GGGGGGGGGGGGTCTCGTGAATGTTGCTGAGGTTTCTTACTGGGATCTGCAGGATGAGCTCAATCACCACACCCACCGCAACAGCAAGAGCAGCTTGGCGGAAGTGCTCGTGCTTGAACAGCTGGGGATTTCTCAGAGCTCGGACAGCTGTATAATAGCAATCAATCAACTATTTATTTGTAGGAGGAACGAATCCAGTGTATGTCACCACTCACTGCCGACGACGGTGAGCTGAGCCCCTCGCAGAATTGCATTGGGCTCGAATTGTGGCATGCTGGGCCACTAGAGGAGCAGGTTGAGCTGACGATACTAGAGCTGAGTGTTTATCCAGCAGAATATTTTGGAATGAGACGTAAAATGCAGCAGAGACAACGTGGGAAGTCGACGGATATGCCGGTTGACCATGGACATCGGAAAAACACCGCGCCGAGCGGTGTTACGACGCAGGAGCAGCAGAGTGAGGCTGTGGCCTCAGGCCTGCATGCATTTGCTTATTTATTACTACGTAGCTACTATTTAACAACTATCAGGCATCATTCTCGTCAATTACAACAATGTCGTTCCTCCGACGTTATATCGAATGGACTCTGGGCACACTCCTCTACCGGCGGCGAGGCTATGATCACGACCTCTTCCACAAGGGACAGGCATTCAACAACTTCCCCAAACCCACCTTTGATGTTTCGTCTCCGGACTGCGGTCCAGCAGGCGCAAAGCTCGGCCTCGAATACTCGCAATTGGGATCGGGCAAAGTGCCCCAACTGACCTGGCCAGCCAGCGGCCCTGAAGTCAAAGAGTACGTTATCATCAGCGAAGATCCCGATGCTCCGTTGGGCCATTCCAATGTCCATGGAATTTACTGTTTCGTTCCCGCGACCAAAACCAGCTTTGGTCCGGCAGACCTCGAGCTTTCGGGCGAGGAGCAAAACGGAGTGAAGCAGCTTCGCAGTGGTTATCGGTGGGGGAAGAACAGGCGCAATATCGTCTACATTGCGCCGCGGCCTCCACTAGGCCATGGACCGCATCGGTACTTTTTCGAGGTCGTTGCTCTAAGCGAGCCTTTGGGTCCGGAGAAGCTGAGTGCTGTGCCAACCAAGCAGGAGGTGTCGGAGTTGATTGTAGGCAAAGTGTGTGGATGGGGAATGTGGACGGCGACTTTTGAGCAGGAATGGAGTTGAATCACAGTACATAGTAAAGCTGGATTCCTCCATGACTCGGCGATAATGCGATTGTTTCTTGAGATTTTGTAAATAGCCAAAGCAAACCGTACTCCGTACCTAGATACCCATTTCCTCCTCTGCTGCCAGTTGTATATAGCTCACGTTGTCTCAAACAAATCTTGTCACAGACACGCTAACAAACGATCCAGCGCCGTGTTCTAACGCCGCCTGCTGCATAATCCAGAGATTTATTAAGTTAGGATCAAAAGACAAGAGGAAGAGGCGTCACGCGACGTCACGCGGCGGAAGCTTGCCTCAGGCCGGAAGGAAATCAGCGGTGCGAACGCCCCCACCACTGACTGACTGACCTGCAAGGCAAGCCGGACTGCGTGTGTAGCTGTACCAACCTCATTTCGCACCGCGTAAATGACCATGGCTCACCCATTTCTTTGAGCTGCGAACCGCGTCCCTGGACACCAATGTGGTCTCGCTTGCTTCGTCCACAATGTCTCAGCCATTTGCACCTGCGGTGCCCATCCGGCGATCCGCAACATTGCCTACAAAGCTGATGCCAGAGAAGCGGTCGTCAAGTGAAGCAAGTACTGCTCAACAAGCCTGCGATCCAGTCTTTTTCTTTCACCCGTCTGCCAAAATTGTCAAATTCGCTCCCGATGCCCCTCCAGCTACATCGCAATCGACGCCGTCGGCCGACTTCGACTACCCAGTGGACACCATTGAGACTCTGCCCTGGCAGTCGCCCACAGAGAGGACCGTCGCTGTCGGACGTCTGCGACTGGAGGTGATATCGGGCTTGTCTCCCTTCTTGAAGTGTGGAACAGTCGTACAGGCAATTCTCAAAAATTCTCAGTGCTGGTGTGTGGACGGCAAATCGACATTTGTGTTGCGCATTCGTTCTTTGACCTACTACCGCATTGAACTCCCAAACGGCACCCCCGAAGAAGAGGCATTAATTGATCAATTTAAATCCGCCTTAGCCAAAGTTCTACGCTATGAAGTGACTCCTTGCCCGTTCCGACGCGGTTTCAGCGTGCCATTACCTGCCGATGCTCACCTTCCGAAGAAAAAGAGAGCCTGGCGTCCGAAGCACCGACGGGAAAGCGCTCCGGCTGCATCAGATTCGGAAAACGCACGATTAAACACAGAGCATGAGCTGGGGACAGGTCAACAGCCGATTAGTGCTGAGGTCTCTGACAGCGAGGCCACCGATGACAGCACTTCAACAACGACGAACAGTGTCCCGCAACCAGCGCATGTATTGCCTCACAATTCTCAAGACGGTGATCTACGCGACATAGTTACCGGCCCAAGGAGCTCAGACAAACGAACCGTCACAGAACAGGCGCACTCGGTCCATGACATTCTTGCCAGATTTCAGCCAATACCCGAATCGGACAGTGAAGACGACGCGGAATCATTCCAATCCATCCTCACCCCGAATATCGAGACTCTCCCATCGCCGTCCAATATAATTCCTTCAACATCACCTCTTGAGGATCAGTTGCAGGACCTTCCGCTTCCACGTCACCACGCGCATACACACAATAGGGACATCTCAGCAGCAACTATTACACCCGAGTCCATTGAGCCTGCCATTCAGACTACCCCACCATTTGAGCGGTTCAATACAGCTCCAGAGGTGCAAGAAGAAAACCCGAGCTCCCAGGATTCCGCTGTCTCATCCGAGCCTTCCGAGCCTAGCTTTTCTGATGCTCCAACTGCCTTATCGAGTGGAACAGATTCGGTTTCTGCTAGCGCAGACAAAATTGAAGATTCATCTCTAAAGTTGCGCCATGCCAGGCCTTCGGGGAAACGAGCACTCTCGCCCTTGCCACCCGCATCTACTTTGGAATACGCCGACCCTCAGGCTTCTTCCAAAAAAGACATGACAACTACGCTTATTCATAAGACCTGCTCATTAGTTCTCATTCCTCCTCTTCAGCTTCTACTTCTTTTAATACACATTGCATCCCGCATCGTCGCAGGTCAGACACCGCAGACAGCAATACTAGATGCCGCGCACAAAACCGAGAACGAGGATGACGTCGATTTTCAAATGTCCAAGACACCTGGCACCTTTCGTCGTTCGTTATTGCTCGGAGATCCTAGCGACAGTCTGTCTGATATTGAGTGAAACCAGTGACTCGCGCAATGCCATCCTTATTTTCTCGAACTGTACCCAATTGTTTAATGATCTAATATCTCCGAAGGCTTTCCTCCCTCATTTCTTCGCATTTCTTTGAATCTTCACGCGGGCAACAAGGCAGGGCCTTGGATGCACGACTGTTATCTATCTACCTGCGGCATGTCTTATTTCGCGGTCATCCTTCTTTTTCTTTCCCCGCTGGCCTTTTTTTTTCCCGTCCCATTAGCGAACACTACTGACACGACGTTATTGTTTTACTTTAATCTTTCTAATGGCGTGCATATTCCATGAGCAATGACCGCCGCAAAGGGTTCGGAGTACAACGGTCATGGAGGCTTATGCTGTGACGTAGCAGCATCAAGCTGTTGAGCATGTATCTAACTGTATTTCTATACTTTACCATCCAAATAGTACCCAATAATTATCCCACAGAACTAATCAAATCAACACTCTTCCTTAAATCGGGTCATGGTCCATCATCGACCCCAGGGTCGTTGACAGATCTATCACAGTGACGCTGTTGTAACCTTTTTTTTTCCCTTTCTGTTTCTTCTCATACGTGCTTTCTACTTGGCAATGAGCTTTCTATTCAATATCTGTATAGAAGTTGATACTTGAACATATGTACGTAGTATCCCACAACACCTTATAACTAACCCATCAACTAGATCCCAGCACTTTACCAGCCTAATACCGTACTGATAGCCGAAGCCAAGATTTCCCCTCCAGCTGCTTGTGTAGCCGCATTAGGATGATAATCGCAACCCACGTCGGAACCTTGAGGAGGCCAGTCAACAAGGTGGGCATTTGCTCCGATCTGAGAGATGGCGTCCTTGAGAGCATTGGACTGGGTGGTATGCTGAGCGTCCTCTGTCGTGGGGAAGGAATCACTGAGCATTGGAGAAGTGAGTAGGAAGAATTCAGCATTTGCATAGTGCGTCTGGATGCTTTGGACAAAGCTGACCATAGCTGCTGTGTACGTGGCAGGGTCCAACGGTGCACGGGCGTCGTACTCCTGTCCAGACGCGTTATACGCCACGTATCCAAAGTCGTTAGTGCCGAGATTAATGACAACGGCTTGTGGTGTCCATTCTGACGGGAAAGTGTAGCTGTTATCAGCATCGTTGGCGCCGTAGCGGGCGTAGAGCTCTGGCATAAGAGGGCTGGTATCAGGAGGAGTTGTGGAGACGGTATTGCGCACCAAACCCTTGCCACTCCAAGCTACGATACTATAGTCTGCTCCAAGCGCATCAGCAGCCAAGGCAGCATAGGTCTTGGGGTTATCTTCGAGAGCAGCAGTGTTGGTGCATGGATAGGTGCCGTCCAGACCGTAGCCAACAGTGATTGAGTCGCCGATAATCTCAATCTTACGCGCCGGGGCCGAATGCATGCCAGAGCTACCATCTGTGGTGATATCACCAACAACGATCGTGCCATAGAGGGCCTCAGACCGTTTGCGCAATTCAACTGTATGACTGCCTTGGGACAGTCCAGCAGGTGTGGAGATGGAGGTTCCAGCGACATTCGAGATGACTGTCGGCTCGCCACCGTCGACGATCAAGTCAACGCTGTTAGTGCCACTGACTTCAGCAAGATTTATAACGGCTGAAGTCCCCGTAAAGGTAAAGGACAATCCAGTTCCTGGCCATGTTAACTCATTAGTCGCTGGGTTGACACGACCGAGATATCGAACAGCAGCTGAGCTTCCGCTCGCAACTAGCGTTAGAGATGTAACGGCGCTTGCGAGAGCCAAGATGGTCAGGTATGACTTCATGGCGATAGTGCGTGAAGAGTATAGCTTGAAAGAATGGCGGAAATTCAACGGTACTTGAGCGTTTGAAGCAGCTGCACCGGGAACAGAGAATCTCATCCTAGTCTTCTGTAGTTCTGTGCAAATAGTCGGAGCTCATTGAGACTTTCTATGCACATCGCAAGTCCTGTTAGGCACCTGGGCAGGCCCTGACTAGCCGAAACTCCGCGATCATTGCAGGTGCCCTTTAGCGTGGCATGCTAGATAGAGAAGGTCGTTTGTTGCAGGATCTTCCATCTCACGACATTAAATACTCAGAAGAGTCGGTAACTAGCCAGCCATTAGCCCCGTTGATATGATTAGTTGATATTCACCCTTCCCTGGAGAGTTGTGTTTCGTTGAGTAGTTAAGTAGTTAACTAAATGCACCGGTGCACTTTCGCTTAGTCAGCTTCGCGAACATATTCACGCTTTTTATTAGCCGCCCTTACGACCTCGACATTTGTTAAAATGGCCTTTGTGGTATATATTGTATATTATTCACCATATCTCATTAGGTACTAAGTATAGGGTAAAGAGGTTATTGAGTGTCTCTTGGCTGTACTCTAGGTATAGTTTGTCCCTATCCAAGAAATTCGACGTAACCGAATGAATGACACTTCAAAGATATCCGTCATGTTTCTGTAGGAGTTTAGAGTCCCTGGAGAATAATTGGTGCAACGAAGATTTCATGGATTTTTCACCTTAAAAATTGGATATCAACGCCAGTATGTATGAAAGAACGCCGTGCTTATGCAAGTCTTTTCTGCCTTTTCTCCATCTCCCTCCTCTGCCACCTTTTTATATGATATTCAAGCCTTCGCAGACTTAGACTTTGCCTTGACTTTCTTCTTCGCACTGCGATCTCTCTTCTTCATGCCAACCATCCCCGCCTTGCAGACATCTGCGTACTTCATAAAGAAGGCATCTAGATCTGCGAGAGCCACGACTGTTGACAATTTCACCTTTGGTGTCTTCGTCGTCTTCGTTTTTGTAATACCTGAATTGCTATCGCTGGTTCGTGGATTTGGGTTTGATGTCTTTCCGTCTGTTGCGCGAACAAGAATTGAACCTTCTGCTATCGTTGGATCTTCGGATGAGACAATGCGCTTCTGTAGGAGGTAGACGCTGCCTTTGGCTTTTTGGGAAGTGCTCGAGAGGAGCGTCGTCAGAGCAGCGAAAAACTGTTTTCTAAGTTAGCCCTGTACCTTCATGGCTGACAGCAGGAATTATGCCAACCTCATCGTTGTTCATGTGCGGCGGCGCCATGAGGAATGGTCAACTGCGAAACGCGTTCGCTTACAACCAGTGGCTGGTATGACTTGGTGTGAGCGATCCGGATATGTATCCAACAAAGATCCGTGGGAGCTGGATATGGATTGATTCAGGACGCAGGAATTGCGAGGGTATATCTGTACACAAAAATGCGGTGTCGTCTTCAACGAATCGAGGTCAGTTTTGGTGGTGGCGGCAGGTGGGGAGGTCTGAAAAAGCTTGGACCACTTTCCGCTTTTCCTCCGCTCTCCGCAAGACTGAATTAAAAAAAAATAAAAAAGATATTGAGACGACTCAGACGATGATATATCAGAACCTAGAGAGGTAAACATGCCGCGGCCATTACATCTCACTACAGCGCTTCCTCGACAGCTGCGAGAGGAGCTGGGAATCAGGGATCGATATGGAGAAAAAGAACGGAATCGCAACCGGCCTGTGTCACGCAAAGCCCAGCGCAAAGAAGAGAGGCAGCAAAAACGACATCATGGCCGGGGAGGGGGAATAACTCGTAAACAACAAGAAGCTTTTGATAGCGACAAAGAAGAAGTTGAAAGCGAGGAAGAGATCGAAGATGAAGAAGACTCCAATTCCGAAGACGAGCGCAATGCCGCATCTGCGAAGCTATCCAAACCGCGAAAGACCAAGACAGCCGACGAAGAAGAAAACTCCAGACCGAAAGAACCGAAGATCTCAAAATCCGTGAGGGATAAACTTGCACAAGACGAAAAGGAAATCGAGGCTCTGGAGAAGCGGCTTGGTATTAAGGGACGGAAAAAACTACCAAAGGCCTTTGAGGAAGAAGGTCTCGCTGATATTTTGGGTGGTCTCGCCGAAGATTCGGAATTAGAAGAGACTAAAAAGAGGAAACGTGAGGAAAGTGACTGGCTGCAGAGCAAAAGGAGGAAAGCGCAAGGCTTGGATCTCGAGGAGGACGGTAGTGAGGTTGAAGGTTCAGATGGGCTCGAACAAGGCTCAAGTGCATCTGATAGTGATGAATTCGACCTTCTAGACGAAGACGTTGGATCCGATGAAGCTCTAGAGAGCGGGACCGGTGAATCTGAAGAGTCTGATGGGCTTGAAGACGCAGATGAAGAGGACGATCAGCCATTGGACGCACCCAAAGAGAAAAAGACGCGAGAAAACCCTTACGTCGCCCCTGTCACGAAATCAATCTCTACATCGAAATATATTCCTCCATCCATGAGAGCGGCTGCGTCAGGCACTTCCGAAGATGATGTTCGTTTGCGCCGACAGGCACAAGGCTTGCTGAACAAGCTTTCAGAAGCCAATTTAATCTCAATTTTGAACGATGTCGAGAAGCTATACCGAGAGAATCCACGCCAAAGTGTTACTTCAACGCTATCCTCTCTTTTGTTAACTCTCGTGGCTGATCGTGCATCGTTGCAAGATACATTCATCATTCTTCATGCTGGATTTGTAGCTGGGTTATACAAACTGCTTGGAATGGATTTCGGCGCAATAATCATTCAGAATCTAGTTGAGATGTTCGACAAGTCCGCGGATGAAAGAGGGCCGTTTACCGGAAAAGAGCATTTGAATTTGATGTCACTTCTTTCGCAACTCTACAACTTCCATGTGATTGGGAGCAATCTGGTTTTTGATTACATCAGCCTATTTTTGCAGGATATCACAGAGACCAATACTGAACTACTTCTCAAAATCATTCGCAGTAAGTTCTTCTTCAGTTCAGTCTTCATGTTTTCGTTGTTTATTTCACGTGTTTCCTAATTAATGCTTTTTTTTTCTGTCTTCCATAGACTCTGGGCCTCAGCTTCGACAAGATGATCCGTCAGCTCTCAAAGACATAGTTCTCCTCATTCAACCTGCGGTAGCCCGCATTGGAGAATCCTCCCTCTCCGTCCGCACTAAATTTATGATCGAAACTATTACAGATCTCAAGAACAATCGTATGAAAACTGGGGTATCAGCATCTACCATATCATCTGAACATATCACGAAGATGCGCAAGATCTTGGGATCATTAAACAATCGGAATATTCGCGCCACTGAACCAATCCGAGTCTCCATGGCCGATATTCGCAACTCGGAAAAGAAAGGCAAGTGGTGGCTCGTAGGCGCCAGCTGGAAAGAATTCGACCCTCTTGAGGCTGCGCGCCAAGAATTATCTGCTTCTTCAGCAGTCGTGGCGAATCCTACCACGAAAGTATCTGTAGACGAAGACAGTGATGGGGAACCCGATCTCGTGAGCATAGCCAAGGCGCACCGCATGAATACAGACGTCCGTCGGTCAATTTTTGTGGCTATTATGTCTGCAACCGACTATCGAGATGCTCACGTTCGACTCTTGAAGCTGCATCTGAAAAAGAACCAAGAATACGAAATACCACGCGTACTCGTGCATTGTGCAATGGAAGAAGAAGCCTACAATCCATATTACACACTGATTGCTCGCCGACTCTGCAGTGAAATGGGTCGACGAATCAAGATGTCTTTTATGTTCACACTATGGGACGTGTTCAAACGGATGGGTGAAAAGAACGACCTCGACGAAGACGATAACGACAGTGAATTCAATGGTTTCGACGATGACTCTAACGATGCTGCAAAACTGAATATGAAATCAATCGTCAACCTCTCCAAGATGTACGGCTCTTTGATCAGTGAAAGTTTGCTGAATTTGGCAATACTGAAAAATCTTAATTTCGCCTATCTGCAACCTAAAACCAGTACCTTTGTTGAAATTCTGATAATCACTATCATCCAACAATCCCAATTGCTCCCATCGACAACAAAGCGCAGGACAAAATCTACGACGCAGAAGGAGAAAGAAATGGAGAATGAGGAAAAAACAGAAAAGCAAGCTCTCATTCTTTCTCGTATCTTCTTGCAGACACACGAAATTGCGCCTCATATTGTCAAGGGTTTGTTGTATTTTATTCGCAAAGTCGTTGCGAAGTCGGATATTGTATCCAGCAATAAGGAGAAAAAGATGGTCAAATGGGGCTGTACTGTGGCGACGAATGCTTTGAAGGGGATTGAAGAACGAGGGGATTGAAGGAATTTTGTATAATCATACTATTTGTTTATAGGGTTTATGATATATTATGCATTTATGGATATAACGGCGCATGGGAAGGAGCGTGTTTCTTTTTTCGTGGTATTATAGAACCAATCAAGCGTAGAAGACATCGGTCTTGAACAAATTTACATGGTGGATATCATCACTTCTTGACTCCTTTTGAAGCTACAGTCATTTCGGTGTCAGGACACTCTCTCTGAGTCTAACCCACTCAGCAGCCACAAGCCATGTCGTTCGTGCTTTTCCTTGTGGAGAAATCGAGCGACGTGTTTCCATCTCATCACCATCCTCTTCATCGCTCACAGACGGAGATTGAGAAGACGCGATGACTCTTTGTTCGGAAATTTTGGGCTCATTATGCTCGTCGTGAGACTCGTCTAAAGCGTCTAGTTCAATTTCCCATGTCAGTCCGGCGCGGATTCCGATGATATCTCCTGGTTTTAGTTTCGTTCCCAGCGATTGGTGGTGAGTATCGGCATGTCTATTGCTTGCGCACGAATCGGAAGCGCCGGTACTTAGTAAGAGAAGTTCTTTCTGTTGAAGATCATCTGTAGTCACTGTCTCTTTATCTTTCAGCTCTTCTCCATTGCCATTGCGCCTTGGAGTTGCCCGGACGATCATCACATGGCCTGACGATTTGAGATAGGTATGACGACAGCTATCAATCCTTGCAGTCAAGACGTACTGAGCGTCGTCGTCCCTACGTGATAGCTGTTGTATCGTACGGTCGCGTTCTGCGCCTTTTTCCAGGATCCAGTCCCGGAGTTGCTCGGCTAGACCACCAGGTACATATCTTGCGGTTGTGTCTGAAGATGTAGGCCTCCCTCGTCGATGAGGACGTTGACTGAGTGTGGGGGAAATTGGTGCTGGAGTTCGACTTGCGTGATTCTCCGTAACTGGAGATGGCGATCGAGGTAGTACAAATATTGGTTTCTTCCGCCCATGTGAAAGAGCTGAAGCAGAAGGCACAGTCGCCGGAGAGGCATGTGGTGCTAATGAAGGTGTATAATTAGCTGAGACGATATACCTGGGAGGACTATGAAATGCAGGCGTCTTGCTGCTTGATCGCATATCTAATTTATATGCCGCGACATCATTGGGCGTCCTGGGGTCTGGGTATCGTCTATGGCGTGTCGGTGCAGGGGTTTCAAAGGTACGGGATGGATGACCCGATGTACGGTGTGTGAAGGGCGATGCCAGTGTGTGATTACTGACTTCATTTAGATCAGCGTCATCAGAATATGATGGCACAAAATCTTGGATTTCATCCATCGATTCCCGAATGGGTTGGTCTGTTTTGCCTTTAGACTGCGATGAAGAGATACGGCGTCTCTTGTGTGAATCCCGAGGCGAGTCAAAGAGACGGTCCAATTCTGTAGATATATCGCCACCTTGGCAAGCATCTGTTTTTCCCTCACGCTCCTCGTCGCTCTCATTACTGTAATACTGTGGAGAGATGTCATCTTCTATTGTCAAGTCGTGTATCCTATCGGGTACATAAGCCAAGCTCCGGCGGTATGTGCCAACAGGAGAGGCCCTGAAAGGCGACAATGCTGCGCTGCGATGGAACTGGCTGTTATTATCCACTCGAGAGGCATGTTGAGATAACAAAAATCGAGGTGGTGAAGCAAATTGGCTGCCAGAACCACTGCGAGCCGAAGGAGTGTTCAGCAAGAACGCCGGGCCGCGCCGCAGACGTTGCTGAGCAGGCGTTTGATTAGCATTTCGGTGGCTGTCGGGCATACGGAGGGCCAGCTTGATCTAGGTTCATCGGTTATAGGTGAAGTTAGGCCTTGGTCAGATTAGCGAAATCGTTCTTGTTGTTGGCGAAGCAGAGCATGAGCGATTGGCGGCAAGAAGGCACGAGCCTGTTTGCTTATCTTATCGCCCCCCGCAACGTACACTTTCTGTCTATATTCTTTTGAAGTCTACCACAAGCAAAGAACCGTGGATATTTGATTGAAACAAAAGACGAGTATCCAACGTATTAATCACGGATACATTCACATACACCCTCTCAGCAACAGAGCGGCTACTCAACGAAAACGTTACCAGCCTCGATCACCTCAAAAGCCTTCGTGGTGTGGTCCCAGATCCTCTTACGCATTTCGTCCTTGTTGAAATTTTCATATGCCTGGGCTTTGATGTTGTTATCTCCTCTCCAGCCCAGAGAATAGACTCCACTTCCCGGTTTACCATCTGTTCCCACCGCTACAGTACCCTCTTTGTAGGTTTTGGACGGGCTAGATGACCGCGGGGGATAGCGAGGCGATGCCAAACTGACCATCCTGTCTCCGCTCTCACTGGGCGGAACTGTCAAAAATCTCCCAAACAAGGTGTTCATCACTCGGAACATGATCTTGAACCACATAGGATGTCCGGGGTCGTAATACCCGGGTCCGATAACAAGTCCAGGGAAGATGTGAGCTAGCGAGAGCTTTCCGGGGTACTTCTCTGCCAAGTACTCCATGAACAAGACGTGCATATAAATCATGTGTGAGCGCGCCTGCGAGTAACTATAGCGCTTCAAATCACGAAGTGAGAGATCTTCCGGGTAGAGCTTTGCTTCGTATCCTGCTGCGTATACCGACACAACGTGCGCAGGGAGTGTAGAGTTGAGCAGCAGAGGAAGTAACTTAACAATGGCTCTCATTCGAGAATAGTACATCAGAGCCATTGTAATGTCGAGGCCTTCTTTTGTGTCTGCATGATTGTTAGACGGCAGTCAGGTGAAGAAGGAGTATATACCTGTACACACCTATCCTTGGACCAAAGATTGAACCACCTTGGGACATCATAAGATAATCGATTCTGGGGTTTTGGCCTTCCTTCTCTTCGTGCTGGATAATCTCTGCGCAGGCTCGGTCGACGTTTCGAATCAAGGAAAGATCATCAATCTTCACAAACGTGAATTGACCCTGTGGATAAAGACCACGACATTCAGTCGTGATGTCTGCGGCCACGCTAGCGTTCCTAGCAACAATGTATAAACGTAGCCCTTTGCCTCCATGTTGCGCTTCAGCTGCGGTTAAGGCACGTAAAGATTGATGTGCAATGCCCGATGTGCCGCCGAAAAAGACGGCTACCAAAGGCTGGCTTTGCACCAGTGCAGCATTTGCGCTGTGAACCTCCTCCAGTTCGACCATGATGGTAGAGGGGGGTGACGAGTCAAATATAATTCAAGAAATTGAAATGGATACACAGGTAGAAAGTTGCTGAGAACCTTGACTTTCTACTTGGAAGGCATCGCCCCTATTTATAATACGTCTAGACGTCTGCGTCTTGTCAGTCTAGAGATAACGAATCTGTGATCAACCGCAATAGCGGGCTCTCATACCTGAAAAGGAACTCGAATACGCTTGCATTCCTGCAATTTCTACTCGTGTAAACATAAACATCAAGATCCAAGATATGAAGTTCAAAAGAAGCGATGCCATTGGTCGGCGTATGGGTTGCCGTATGTGTATTAAACCTTGGGTTTGATTGGTCAAGCATACGGCTCACTGACCAATGGTACATCAACAGCGTATAGACTGCCGGATCCGGTCAAGCTCCATAGAAGCTGTCGTGAATCCAGTTGTTTCTCGCCAACTTTCGACGTCCCTTAAACTATCTGTACTTTGTTCCTAATTGAATGGCCTTGCTGTTGCTGCCTAGTTTCATTGCAAAAGACTGATCTGGTAGTTAGCTATATCATCAAGCATGAAACCGGTCTAATACGTATCCCGTCTCTCCAACTGGTCATGTCGCAAAGACGCTTTCACACGAAAAGCCGCTACGGCTGTTTACAATGCAAGCAAACTCGCAAGAAGGTAAGCTTGATGTTCGCCTGTCGTTTTTACCTTCAAGTTGCCTTGCTTACAATGATTGTTCCATGACCAGTGTGATGAGAACCGGCCTCGATGCGGCCGATGCAAGAGAATAGGACAAGACTGCTCACTGTCCGCCGGATCTCCAAACTTGGTTTTCATCTCCAGCAACCTTACGACTCAGCGTCGGAGATCGCGCGTTGGTAGTCCAGAGTTGCAATCTGAGAGCGGATTAGCAACTTCACCTACGACCTCTGGTGGAGATTTCGCAAATTCCTCCCCTGAAGAGGTATCTACTTCACCATCCTTCACCTCGATGTCTGAAAGCTCGGCCCCCAACTCGTATTTTACCGACGCAGAACGAGATCGACTACGATTAATGCATCATTACACTTTACACACCGCGCCGACTCTCGGGCAACTTAGCATCCCGGAAGGCAGAGACCAGACACTCTGGACAGACTTTGCCATCGAGCTGGCGTTTGAAAACGACCTAGTCCTCCATGGCCTTCTAAGTCTGAGCGCGCTACACCTAGCGCTATGTGGCATCTCCAAACGGAAAAATACAATTCTGGCTGTTCACTATCACGATATGGGATTAGCGTTGTTCCGACTACACCTTTCGAACATTTCAGAGCATAATTATAATGCCATATTTGCTTTCAATTGTATAGTAATGCTTTATGCATTCGGTATCCAGAGGTGTTCCGAATCAACCACGAACACAATCGCAAAGATCCACCAGATTCTCACACTCTTCGCTAACGCGAAGACAATCACCAAGTCTCACATCGAAACGCTCAGGAGTAGCCCTTGGTCCGTATTGATGCTACCAGAGCCATTTCCATCCGCAGATCAGAGACTGTCCGATGAAGTAGAAACGATGCTAGCTAAGCTCATTCAACGTGCTTCGGTTACAGCCACTACAGCGAGTCGAGCGGCGACGTACCTGTCAGCTATTCAAAGTTTGAGATACATTTTCATTCTCATGTCCACAAAAAGGCCAGGTCAGGTTGCATTGGTAATCTTCACTGTGGCGGCGCCCTCTCAGTTCTGGGATATGGTGAAGGATGGCGACCCATTGGCATTGGCAATATTGGCCAACTATGCGGTCATATTGTATTGGCTAAGAGATAATATATGGCTGGAAGGATGGGGGAAGGAAACAATAGATGCGGTGCATGAAGCGCTTACACCAGAGTGGTATGATTGTATATCCTGGGCTCTTGGAAAAACGGAAAGGGTCATAGGTGCATCATGAAACGATATACTCCGGTGAAAAGAAAGAAATTCTTATAAGCAACCCAATAGCAACTGGCTGAGTCTATCGGTCGGTTATACAACACGATCATTCCAATACGATCACAAAAAGTACTAGGAACACGAAGCTCCGCCACATCGCACAATCAATTTCTAATATGATTTTGTTATTGATGACGAAGTCAAATTGAAGTTGAATCCAACCGAGGGCTGGATTCTGTCGAGGAGTGACGAGTGCATCCTTTCAGGAACCGCATATTATAGCACCCCGACCAAGAGACCGAATATACTTGCCATATTATAGAGCGCGAAAACTCGCGTATGAAGAAACTCGGGCGCGATTGACCGTGCCTCGACTTGGACATGAGGAAAGCCTTTACACTAGTCCACTTCACTATAGCAGAGCTCTGGCGACCCTCTCCTCTTCATCATATAATAGCTTGCAATAATTTGTCAATTTGGTTTGTACCGCTTTATCTCAGGGATAAGCGCTTCTAACGAATGAATTATTGTCACATCCTTGGGACTTTCAGAGAGCGTCATGTTGCGATCCAACAGAATGCCATGCCACCCAGCGTCGATGGCGCCTTGGTGGTCTTTTGCAAGGTCATCTCCAACATGTATAAGTGTCCATTCCACGTTGTCAGCGTCGTCTTTAGTGATAGAACTGGCGTGAACCAAAAAGCGCATAGCCTGCCGTACTGCAACATCGAAGATCAGACGGTTCGGCTTCTCCTCGCCAGCCTCGTAGCTTGTAATTACCATATTGAGATCGCTTTTGTTTGGTGCATCATTTCCCAAGATCTGCCCAACAGTCTCTTCAAAGCCTGGGAGCTGAGTACTGGAACGATCTATATCAGCGCGCGTATTACCCACCGACAGACCTAGGGATTTCAAGACGGCAGGGACCCGGTCGTCCGAGTTCGATATAACACCTGTGACAATGGAATCGAAAAGGGCATTTTCTTTCTTAAAATCTCTCAGTCCGTCAAAACATGGTCGGACATCATCATATAAAGAATACCCCTCTTGACTAGCAAAAGTGCCTAGTAATCTGTCAATCATCCCACCAGGCAGATCCGCATCTTGTTTGCCCAGAGCTTCTGCAAATGTTGCCCTAAGCACATCGGCCCACCATTGCGTTGGCCCTCCATATTCCCCACGGAGCACTTTGTCACGACCGTAGTTTGGATATACAGTGCTTTGTGCTTTGTAGGCGTTCTTGAAAGCCGCCTGCAGATTGGCAGGCGCTACGACCGCTTTGGGTAATCCAAAGGCACACGCTACTGAAGAGTACAACTCTGGAACTGGACGACGAGGATGGAAGAGAGTTGCAAAAGCGTCGAAAGTGAGGAGAAGGCAGCGGTGGCGCTTGTGGGACATTGCTGATATATGGTAAATGTTGCTATTTCAAGAGAAGCAGTTGGATTATATATGCAACGAGCTAACACTAACCAGGGATAGGTTAGTGCGGGCCAGTTGGTGGATCGCCGGGCCCCCTGGTCCTGGAAGTACTCCAAATTTCTGAAGAACTCAAGAAATATCGTCGTCTTCCTTCCGTCGAGAGGCCCTGCACATTTACGATATATTTACCCATCAGCCTGTCCGGGTGTGCGCTTCTTCATCGTCATCACTTATCATGGCAAACCCCCCAACTGCAGCACCAGTTTCGGTGCTCTTCGTTTGCTTGGGTAACATCTGTACGTTTTCGCAATCTCTATTTCGCGATCCAATCCTTATCATGTTTTATCTAATATGTGAATAGGCCGCTCGACTATGGCCGAAGGCGTGTTCCGTTCCCTCACCTCTTCGTCGCAACAGCACAGCTTTTTAATCGACGAGATCGACTCCGCAGGCACTGGCGCTTACCACGTCCACGATCCTCCTGATCACCGCACAATGGCCACTCTGCGACAGCATGGGATAAAAAACTACAATCACGCCGCGAGAAAAGTTACAAAAGAAGACTTCAGAACGTTTGATTTCATACTCGCAATGGATCAGTATAATCTGAGGGATCTATTACGGCTGCGTGATAGTATTATGCTTGGGGGGCAATCCGGGAGAACAAAAGGCCGCATAACGACGAGTTCGCTGGGACAAAAAGGCAGTGCAGGCGAAACGGCGATTTCAAAGATCGCAGAGGTGCGGCTGTTTGGAGACTTCAACCCCGACGGCACTGTCAACAAACAAATTGGCGGTGGTCAAGAAATTGAGGATCCCTATTATGGTGGAATCAACGGTTTCGAAATTGCCTACGAGCAGGCTATGAAGTTTTCCAAAGGGTTTCTTGCGTATTTGGAAAAGCAAACTGAACAATGAACGTGTTCAGATTTTCGCACGCATTATACCAACGACGCCGATACGACAGCATGATCAAGATAGACATGGTTTTAATAAATTTATACCCAATTCATTACAGGATTGCCAATTCTGACCCACTCGAGACACCGATAATCCTTCATTTAAACGCTAGGTAACCGCGACTTGTACAGCTCTGTGACCAACAATACCCAGGGTTAGATGTCATGCCGCCGAGCACGCTGTGGGCTTTTAAGATCGCGAGAGATCGAAGCACATCTCAATCATAGAAACTCTTCTCCAGTCCGCCGGCAAGCCGTCGGGAATGATGAAAAGGTGATTCGCGTCGCTCGGTGGTAGTGTAAGACCGAGGACACTGTGCGCAGGAGCATGTGCAAGCACAGAGRCTCCCATGCGAGATCCAAAAATGAGATTAATCAATGTTGTGTTCCTTAGAACACTTTCAGAGATTAAACTGAAAAGAACAGATACTACACTTGATCTAAGCCAAAAGGCAAAGAGAGCTGAGGAAAGAAAGAAGAAAAAGATTAAAGAACGGGGGCGGCGCGCTGCTTATATACCCTTATTGATGGTCCGTGCGCGAGTGGCTACGGAGACAAACTTGGTTTGTCTTGTTTGAACTGTTTGCAGGTCAGGATGTTCCCGTGACCGCACATTGCACGAAATTGTTTTTTTCTCCTTTCGAGATTTCCCACGCCCAGCCTTACTCCAAGTACACGTTTGTACACGTTTCAACGCAACCTCGCCATCATCAAGCGCAATGCCTACCCATCTGTCAAAGACCAGAAAACAGTTAGTTTCGACTCCCATTTGAATCCATGTTTCGTAACTAACTAGCTACTAGCCGCGGTCATGTCTCCGCCGGTCACGGTCGTATAGGAAAGCACCGAAAGCACCCCGGTGGTCGTGGTATGGCCGGTGGTCAGCACCATCATCGTACCAATATTGACAAATACCATCCTGGTTACTTTGGTAAGGTTGGTATGCGCCATTTCCACCTTCAGCGCAACCACGAATGGAAGCCTGCTGTCAACCTGGACAAGGTTAGTAGACCCTCAAGTCTGAACGGCGAGGTTATGGAGAGAGTACTAATAGAGAACATAGCTCTGGACCCTAGTTCCACAAGGAACTCGAGACAAGTACCTTGCCGAGGGTGCTCCTCAAGACACAGCGCCCGTTATCGACCTTCTTGCCCTTGGGTACGCCAAAATTCTTGGCAAGGGCCGTCTACCTAACGTGCCCGTCGTTGTCAAGGCTCGATACGTCAGCAAGGAGGCAGAACGCAAGATCACTGAAGTCGGCGGTCGCATCGTTCTTGTTGCCTGATTTTTCAATGGTTTTCATGCGAGTGATATGGGGGAAAGGAAAGATTACACAAAGATACCCAAGACATGGCTCTCTGGCTTGATTGCAGGAACGATCAAGTTCGGCACGAGCGAAAGGCGTTTCAGCGTGGTGGCTGGGTGATGATTCGATTGAATTAGCTTTCAGGCTTTAGAAAATTGAATCATTGCCGAACAGACCAATGTGCGTTCTCGTGCATTTTTTCACACGGTCGGGAATTTTTTTTTCCCTGGACCATATACCCTGCATCTGTCTAGTAACTATGCAGACTGCATGGGTATGGGTTCCTTAAAACGCCGCTCCGACCTGTCGGCATTCTGTCCCTGGGGCTGATAGCCCTATGCAGTCTGGGGATACGGTCTCGTAGAGTATTTCGTAAGCTGTGGACTGTCTGATTGCATCAGAGACCAGTAAGATCCAGGTAGGCTAGTAGCATCTGTAAATTTCTTGCCCTTTTTTTGCTTTACTTGTCTCCAAGTCGATAGACCTATCCATACCAACTGAACAATCCAATTAGCGTTTACTATGAATTGGTTGGGGGTCATCCTTGATCCTTCCCTCGGCTAAACCCTATGCGGGTAACTATGGTACACTTCATGAGTGCACTGCGCGGTAGCCAATGAGATGATGCGATCCCTGGGGCAACCGTGGTTATCGTCCACAGCCACATCTATAATTAGAGGTTGTCAACATCAGCCTCGATGCACTCACAGTTCATGTGCCTTGCACAGCCATACCTCTACACTGCATGCGATGCATGTACGACGAGTACAACCTTATGAACGAGCAGCTAAGCCATCATGACGTACCACAAACCTGTTACTAACCATGTCTCATACTTTGACTCAGTTTGATGACTGCCTAGTGCTAAACAACCATACCATCATGACTTGCTCTTTTGGAAGTATGCATGGTTTAGGCATTGAGATAGGCGTCATATCAAGTAAGATGATATATTCAATGTAACTCTGTTATTATAGATCTACGTATTAGAATGGCATAGATCACAACGTTCAAGCACCATAACTCGTGTATAAAATAATTTTACTCATGCTTGGCTGCCGCGCGGCGGAACTTGGTTGGCCATTCAGCGGCGCTCAACCTGACATTTCAGGCAAGAGCCAAATCTCCCTCGTCGGTCCTGCCAATTTCTCTTTCCTTCCCCCATTTCTCTCCTGCCAATCAACCTGAAACCATGTCTTCCTACAATCGCCTAGGTGAGTGCTTTTTCAAATATCCGTCACGATTACCTCTTGCACGATCACCGTCACTGTTGGATAAACGCTGCTGCTGTGTGTGTATTTGTTTACAGCGGGGCGGGCTTGTTGATAGGGAGACACCGTTGCTGGCTAAAACCGCACCGGGTCAACTCTCAGATTCCCTAGCCTTGAACTCACTCGAATCCAAAAGGGGGTGCCTCGGCGTGTGCTGTTCTGTTGCATCTTTTTTTCGAGACTCTTGGAAAATACTATCTCGGCCTCCTTGTTTGCTTTTGGCGTTTCTCTCTCCTCGTTGTGGCGGTAGCAGTGTGTTTGTTGCCCTGCGCTACTTCACTTTGCGCCGCATGCCATAAATCAACTATTGGTCTCATAGCGATCGCAATTTTATTGTCGCAGTACTGATGCAGCGCTTTCCAGACCCGTACGCAGACGATGGGAGTCATGCGCCTGCGATGAATCCTCACTATCCCAACGATCGGACGCCATCTCCCGGGCGGCCGTTACAACCCTATCAACATGAGACAGAATTCAGACCACTGCAGATGCCCTCCACGGACCAATTGCTGGATCAACCAACGGTGCGTCGTGCAATGAATGCAAATCTACTCAGCATGACACTGACTGTAGAAATCAGTACTCCGTCGAGGGAATCCACAACTCGTACGGCCACAATGAAAGATTCGAGCAAAACCCGCCTCAGACCTACCCAACACCACAAAACTATCCGCAAGAATATACACTGCATCCTGAAGAGCATCACGATGCCTACTACAATCAACCTTACGAGCCAACAGGCATTCCGCATGACGACTACGACTTGGCAAACTACCCTCCACAACAACCTTCCCCATATCAAGATGATCGAGTACCCATCCTGCAAGCAGATAATCCCTACGGCCCGGATCCCTCGTACAGTCCGAATCCCTTCGAGCCCCCCGAGTATATGCACGGGGACGATTATATTGCTGACGAAGCAGCGGCGCAACCCGAACCTTCTCACAGTCCGGCACCAATTCGACGTTGGAAGACGGTTAAGGAAGTTCAATTATTTCGTGGGAACTTAGTTCTAGACTGCCCCGTGCCCCCCAAACTGCTAAGTCAAGTGCCCCATGCTGAACCACCCGAGCGCGATGAATTCACCCATATGCGCTATTCTGCCGCGACTTGCGATCCCTCGGAATTCTACAACGATCGATTTACCTTGCGACAAAGCTTGTTTGCGAAACCAAGACATACCGAACTTTTCATCGTCATTACCATGTACAATGAAGATGAGTTTTTGTTTGCCCGTACATTGATTGGCGTGTTCAAAAATATCGAGTATATGTGTTCGCGAACCAATAGCAAAACCTGGGGCAAAGATGCATGGAAAAAGATCGTCGTTTGTGTCATTAGTGATGGGCGTGCTAAAATCAACCCTCGCACACGCGCTGTGTTGGCTGCTCTGGGAGTATATCAGGACGGTATTGCAAAACAGCAAGTCAATGGCAAGGACGTTACCGCTCATATCTACGAATACACCACTCAGCTGGCATTAGGGCTGAAAGGTACGCAAGTCTCGATCAAGGGTCGCTCGGCCACCCCAGTACAAATGGTATTCTGTTTGAAGGAGAAAAATCAGAAGAAAATCAATTCCCATCGCTGGTTTTTCCAGGCTTTCGGTCGTGTCCTTGATCCCAACATTTGTGTCTTGCTTGATGCTGGTACGCGACCGGGTCGGGACTCCATATATCATCTCTGGCGAGCTTTTGATTTGGAGCCAATGTGCGGTGGTGCTTGCGGCGAGATCAAGGTTATGTTGGACCGTGGAAAAAACCTCATTAATCCGTTGGTTGCCGCCCAAAATTTTGAGTACAAAATGAGCAATATCCTGGATAAACCTTTGGAATCGGCCTTTGGTTTCATTTCCGTCTTACCTGGTGCGTTCTCAGCCTATCGATTTGTTGCCCTACAAAACGACAAAACCGGCCAGGGACCCCTCGAGAAATACTTTGCTGGTGAGAAGATGCACGGTGCCAATGCTGGTATTTTCACGGCAAACATGTATCTCGCAGAAGATCGTATTCTGTGCTTTGAAATCGTGGCAAAGCGCAACTGTCGCTGGATTCTCTCCTATGTCAAATCTTCCACGGGAGAGACCGACGTGCCTGATCGCATGGCTGAATTCATTCTTCAGCGTCGTCGATGGTTGAACGGAAGTTTCTTCGCTGCCGTTTATGGAATTGTTCATTTCTATCAAATCGGACGCAGCAGTCACAGCTTCATGCGACAGTTCATGCTTATCTTTGAATTCTTTTACCAGACCATTAACATGCTGTTTGCTTGGTTCGCAATTGGCAACTTCTTCCTTGTTTTCCATATTCTTACGCAGTCTCTGGGTGCCACCGACCTGTTGGGTACAGCTGGAACCGTCCTCGGCGTTGTTTTCGAGTGGATTTATCTCTGTACTTTGGTAGCCTGTTTCGTTCTGTCGCTTGGCAACCGTCCGCAAGGCTCAAACAAATTTTACATGACAATGGTCTGGTTCTGGGTTATCGTCATGATCTATTTAACGTTTGCAGCCATCTTCATCACTGTCAAATCCATCGAGATTCAAGTTGCCGAGAAGGGGTTTACATTTAGTGACCTATTCACTAACAACGAATTCTTCACTATCATTATATCGCTTGCATCCACATACGTCATGTGGTTTGTTGCATCGTTGATATTCTTCGATCCATGGCACATGTTTACTTGTGTAAGTTTTTTCTTTTTTATTTTCACTTTGCCATACGTTCTGGCTCATGGCTAATTACGAACAGTTTATCCAATATATTCTGCTTACGCCCACATATACTAATGTGCTGAACGTATATGCTTTTTGTAACACGCACGATGTCACCTGGGGTACAAAAGGAGACGACAAAGCTGAAAAGCTGCCTTCTGCCACCGTTAAACCTGGTGGAAAAGTCGACGTCAGCATCCCACAGGATGGAGGTGATCTGAATGCACAATATGACCTTGAGCTAGCAGCATTCGCAACTAAGCCACCAAAGGAGGTTCGTTCAGTTTCTGAAGCTGAGAAACAAGAAGACTATTACAAGGGGTTCCGAAGTGGTGTCGTGCTGGTGTGGATTTTTTGCAATTTTGCCCTTTGCGCTGTTGTCTTGAGTACAGCTGGATTAGAGGATTTTAATTCGAGCAGCGATCAGTCTGCTACTGAGAGCAAGCGGGCTGATATCTACATGTCGGTTATTCTGTGGAGTGTTGCCGGTTTGTCATTTATCAAGTTTTTGGGGGCAATGTGGTTCTTGGTTGTACGCATGGTAAGTCGACTGATCTTTCCTCTTTCTATTGCCCGGAGAAGTGCATCAGCTAACGAAGACATTTGCAGTTCCGCGGCGTTTAGAAGATGAGAGGTGTTACGATTCCGAAATGTATTGATACATTTCTTATGACGTACCTTGTCAATTTTTATATCGATGAAAGCGGAGTATTTGAGAGGTTTCACCCACAACTACGATGGGTTGTATCAGGCCATTTCATTTTCCTACCTTGCAAGGATTTTCATCTTGGTTTCCACTTCTATGATTTCATGATGAATGTGAAACAACACGGTTAAGGTACTTGATTTGTCGGGTTTGATTCTCAGTGAACCAATTCGATTGATGATATTGATACTTTTATGCTATGCTGTTGGAATTTTTGCATCTGTCTAATACCCATCCTTTGGTTTCTGGGTTTCTGTTTGCGTACCAGGGTTATGTTGGACTTTGTTCTATTCAAGGCGCTATGTATGGTTAGGTAGATTGTTTAATGTTTGTTTAATTATACAGTTTACTTTTAATGCCTCTGGAGCTGTTTATAATTTTGGGATATGTTCATTACCAGATAAGTAGAGTATGATATGGGTGTCTACAAATATCCCATTCATTTCCAAGATTGTTCGAGGTCGCTGCCATGGGTTCAAGATTTATGCCATCATTATTTGTTATTATAAATATATATATACAATATAGAGAAACCGATCTGCCTCATACATGGTTTTTGGACTCTACACACAGGGCTATTCCGCCGAGAACCAGAAACATACCGAGCCACGTTTCCCTGGCAATCCCCTTTCTTTCCACGTACCATTCTCCCAGAACTGTGAATAGGAACGCCATGGAATTCGAGATTGGGACGGTGAGAGAGAGCTCTAAAACCGTAAAGATATTAGTCTATCTTTTCTTATCTCCGTAATAGGAATAGGGATGGGTGGATAGAGGAGGCTTGTGAAGACATACCGTGTTTTCCAACCAACAAGAAAAACCATACGCTGCCAGTCAAATTCACCACGAGCGGAATCGCATAGGCCGGTGTTCGTAGCAGATTGACAACCGTCCAGAATAACGTCTTTATTTTCTGTTTGAGCGCGAATCTTCCTCCTCCGCGTCTTTGTTGCTGTTGCTGTTGCGCCGAGATAGAGTCATTATCAATGGCGGGAGCCCGTCTTGAGTCTTCTTGTCTCTTATTGAAATCCACGGCTGCGCGGCGTATGAATGGCGTCGTAAAGCCCCAGGCGATGCCGACGAGGATGAAGGAGAGGATGTAGTTGAATGCGGAGGGGGCGGGTTCGGCAGGGGGAGTTTCGGGGTCCATTGTCAGAAGGATGCGGTGGGCTTCATTCAACGGAGGGTCGGATTGAATGTATATATAGATGAGTCTATATATCAATGACTCGAATGGCCGTGTGTTGCAAATGTTGAATGTTGATTCGGTGTTGTTGTTGCTGCTGTGAGAGCAATATCACGAGCTAGGACGCTTTACCCAAAACGGGGTAGCGGCATCAATGATCAATCATGCCAGAAAAAGTACGTACAACGGAAAATTCCACATGAACTTAACAAATGCCACTGAATAATATGCACTGAAAGAAAGATTCTCATGCATTTTGAAATTATCCAATGCGCTTAGCCCGCTCGTTATCCTGGATAACAGGGAGTTTGCCTGATTGCATCTCATTGTAGCAAAAGTGGGCCGTATATTCTTCTGCCGTCTACATTTATCTACAGCGTCAATATTTCGCAACAGACACAACCTGCCCTGGGCGAATTGACATACCGAACCAATCCTGGAGCAGCGAGGGAAGATACAAAACGAAAAATCAATATGTCCGCATCCTTCCCCCCGGACACATTACATTTTCCTCCATTGTCTCGTCCCTTCTTGGACCCTTATCTTCCTCCGCTCTCCGACGACAAGCATAATGATACAGCAACTGAGCGAGAAGAAAAGAAAGAAAACGGGCTTTCTCGTCCCTTTACGACACTTACGTTTGCCACATCTCTTGATTCTTCGCTCTCATTAGCGCCAGGCGTGCGCACTATATTGTCTGGCCCGCATTCAAAAGCCATGACGCACTACCTCCGCTTCCGCCATGATGCCATCCTCATCGGCGTTGGGACTGCGAACGCTGATGACCCCGGTCTAAACTGTCGAATTGAAGGCGCAGGTGGGTATGAGGAAGTGATTCATGCCGATGCTGCCGATGCACCGCAGAAAGAGGACGCTCCATCCGATCCTGAGATTCAAGATGTAATGAAAGCCGTTGCTGGGGACCAGGCTTCATCAAAACAGATGCATTTATTTCAAAGCCATGCCGACCGAATATCAGATGAACAAACCGCCGCGGATACTGAGAGAATACGAAGACAGCAAGGAATGCTACACCAGCCACGACCTATAGTTGTCGACCCAAAAGCTCGGTGGGTTCTACACGAACATTCCAAGATCATTCAACTGGTGAGACAGGGCAAGGGCAAGGCACCTTTGGTATTAATTTCGAAAACAACTACTCCGCCTCAGAGAACACGAGCTCTTCTGGAGAAATATGGAGGAAAGTATATTGCTCTAGATACGGTGGAGAGCCCTGATGATGATAATAATAATAATGATGGTGTTCCTCGTCAGCATTTCGATTGGAACGCTATTCTGGACGTGCTCTACACACAGGAAAAGATAACTAGTCTGATGATTGAGGGCGGCGGGTCGATTATTAATTCGCTGCTTTCTGAACAGCGATATAGCGGTCTCATTGACTCGGTTATCGTGACTATTGCGCCCACATGGCTAGGGCAAGGGGGCGTGGTAGTTTCACCTAACAGACGCGTTGATGAGGACGGATATGCGATTCCGGCTTCGAGACTAACGGATGTTAAGTGGTGTCCGTTTGGTGAAGATGTTGTTCTGTGTGGGAGGATTTCGAAGACTTGATCGATTGTATTTCATGCCTTGCATTCTTACTTCATTTGTACGTATGCCAACGTGAAGGACAAAGAGGTTCTGTTTATAGAAAAATATGCCCTAATCAAACGCTTCAGTGTAACAAAAAGTAGCGCGCTCCTAAAACCACATTAAAATGACAACAGATACAATCCACCCATCCATCCATGCCTAGTTATATCGTCAAAAACAATCAAACGCCATAAGAAAATCCTTCTCACTCCCATTGGTTCTTATTCAAAGCCATCAGACCACTGGATAGCGCCTTCTGCTTCAAGAGAGCTGCAGTGGCAGCAGATTTACCAAGGCGGTCTCCTAACCTCAGTTCGCGTTCCCTTTCGCGTTCCCGTGCCGCTGTGTAATAGTTCACAGCGCCCTTTGTCGTAGAAACAGCAGGTCGGGCACCAGCGGCGGGCTTTTGGGTACGTGTTGTTGAGAACGATGTGTCGCTGGATGTTGACGACGAGGACGTTGTCGATCGACGGAATAGCGCTGGTGGTCGGAATCCCACATGGGACAAAGAATCCAAACCAGTCATAAAGGCGGACTTGGTGTTGGCGGAAGCAGAGTTGGATGATGCGGCTCGTTTAAGAGCCAGACGGTCAACAACACGGCCACGTGTGCGGCGTGGGTTTGGCGGAATAGCAAACCCTTCTGCCGACATTCTCTTCTCGGGCTCTGTAGTGCTGTCGTCGTCATCAGAAGCGCCTTTATCGGTGTCATAGACAATATCTTGCTCTATGGACGCATCTTCGTGGAACGAATCATATTCCGGCGTTGCCGTTAAGAAGGATAATGTTTCTCGGATCTCTGATAAGGAAGATGGTTTGCGTGAGACAGAAGCTGCGGTACGTCGGAGATGTGGCGGAGGCCGATTATTAACATCTTCAGGAGCAGGTTGGAGAGGACGTTTTCTTTTGTGTGAAGTGTTGCCCGAGTCATGAGCGGCTGGCAATGTTTCGCCTTGAATACCCTGAGAAGAGACTTCCTGCGAATCAGCAGCACTTTGAAACTCAAAGTCCATGTCATCATCGTCCCGGTCTTCCAGAGTCTTGAAAAATGCTTCTTTCTTTGGATTCTTGGCAATCTCGTTGACCTTTTCATCAGCAAGCAATGCCTTACGCATTTTGGCGAATTCGCGCTGCTTTTCCCTTCGTCTAGCCGCGCGCTCGTCATCTGAGTCGTCCAAGTCGAAATCATTGTCCGCTCCACGTCTACGTCTGAGAGCTCCAGTTGTGATGTCTTTCATAATCCTGGATACTTCCTTCTCATCCACGGCTCGTTGGTGATTTCTGTCGGGGTTATGGTTAGTTGACTCAGTAAATTTCATCTGCAGTCACACCACTTACGCATTTAATGCCGCTAATTCCTTCTCATCAACAACTTCATTACTGTCATCGTTGATCATTTCCCTATCAAATTCGTCTTCGTTCCCATTTTCATCGTCACTTGCACCACCCAGGCCGGCATATTCATCTTCAGATTCTTCGGCAGCTTCATCGACGTGCTCCTTTGCCTTGCTGTTCATTTTATCAAATGGAACAGCCGACTTGGATTTACGCTTGCCAGACTTCTTCATCACATCAAACGCGCTAGCTTTGATCTCAAAGTCCCCGTCTTCGTCATCTGACAATTGGGCAGGTCGGCCTCGCTGAAGACGATTCTTTCTGTGCATAGTGGGAGATGCAATATCCCTCTCCGGTAGAATAACTGTATCAATGGTGGAGGCCGGGGGATCAATAAACCGTTTAGACTGGTCAAATGGAGTGAGTGTAAAACCTGCGTCTTGCGTGGGCTCCGGAAACTGTGAAGCCTGAGACCAATTCGGAGCTGGAGACTCTGAAACACGAGCGTTAGATTGCGTATAACTAGCAAGTAAGTCAATTGATTCTCGGCGCTGCTCTTGGCTGTCTTTGACCATCACCTGAGAATCAATGACCATGCCTTGGAAGTTTGACAATCCGGGGTCTGGAAGACTTTGAATAGCGCTGAAAGAGTCTTCGCCATCCGACTGGTTCTCCCCAATCGTTCCAGCGAACGCCTGCGTGAGACCCATCGTAAACGAGGATGTTTCAGCCACGTCAGGAAAGTGTGGCCGTTGGGCAGAACCAGATGACAAGGCAACAGATCGTGCTGGCGTTTTGATTTCCTGCAGCGACGTGGCGGGCTCTTTGCCATTCACTTCATCTTGCTCGTCTTCATCGTCACTGAGAACTCTTGTGCGGCGTTTTCGTCGCACGCCCCGAGCCACATCTTCCTCGTCTTCTTGCATTTCAATTTCTATCTCTTCGTCCTCTGATTCTGCAGTTTCATCTGCTTCATTGTGGATCAATTCATCGAGTTTGTGGTGCGAAGCTTCTTCTTCTTCTTCCTCTTCGCTATCTTCACCCTCTGTATCTGACTCACCGACCTCGTCCTCTTCATCTTCTTCCTCTTCAGAGCCCGAATAGTCATAGTCTTCTTCGTCACTTTCAGACTCAACAACTCCAGACTTTTTCTCCCGAGCAGCCTTTTCCTGCCGAGCGATTTCCTCGGCATCCTTTCTAGCTTTTTCTACTAGATCTTCGACTTCCCCTTCCATTGCTTCTCGTTCTTCCGCTGTTTCGATATAAACACCCCTAGCACGTAGCTCTTCTATTTTCTCTTGTCTTTCTTGGCGTGCCTGCTCTCTAGCCTTCCAGAGCAATGACGCGGATAGTTCGGCATGATTTATTGACTTTGTGCGGCGTGTAGGCGACGATACGCGAGCCAGCATTTTCTGCGTTAGAGCTGATCGACTCTCATGTGAGTTCTTTGACCGAACATTCTCAAATATGGAGAGCTGGCGGCATTTCCCGGGCGAGGTAACAACTTCTAGTTCATCGTCTGATGCTTCTTGCTGATACCTGGCAACGTCTTGGCGAGATAGTCGGACATTAACGGTTGGCCTATTTAATATCTGAGGTCGGGCGTTGGCTGTGGTAGCATTAGGTCCTGAAATAGCGGTAGCTTGACGAGACGACGCAATCTGTGACTGCAATTCCTCCATAGTTGGCAGATAAGGTCCCTCCTCCTCCGAAGAGGCTACTGCATTTTGGGCTTTATTGGACTGATCATTGAGACTAACTCGCACCGGTGATGTTGCAGGCGTCCCTTTCTCTTTAATCCCTTCGCCATCCGATGAAATGGTTGAGCTTGAAGCTATTGAAGATTTTGAAGAATTCGTGATATTGGTGGTTTGCGCAGAGGTATCTGCACGCTGACCATAATTTTTAAATTGGTCGAGAAAGCTATCCATGGTGATTTTGCGTTTTGTTCGCGCCTCGTGGGTGAGTTGCATGTTTCGGCTTATTCGTTGAGTCTCTCGATTCATCTCTTCCAAAGCTTTCTTGCTTGCCTTGCGGGTAGGTCGGGATTGTTGCGTCATTTTCCGTGCGCTTCCTATATCTTCCTCACTGTCCTCACTAGCCATAATATCGGAGTTGAACTGCTCCGCCTTTTCTGCTCTGGCAGCTTTCTTCTCTGACTCAATTCTCTCCTTCTCCTTGCGTTCCTTACGTTTTTTCTCAACTAGAGCACGAAGACGCGAATTCTCGGTTTCGGTTATTGGCTCATCATTTTCCACCTCCGATTCTGAGTTATTGTCTTGCTCCATAAATAAAGGAGATTCGGAACGCTCTCTCGAAGACTCGTTTTTTTCGGACGAAACACCAGGTCCGCGTTCTTTCTTTTGAAGCAAGTGCCGTCGAGATAAAATGGCAGAAGGAACATCATCATCTTCTGACGATTGATCTTCGTCTGCCACCGGCGCAGCATCCGCAGACGGTGCATGTAGCCTTCTCGCTACTCTCTCGTAAGCTGTCTCTGGATTTTGAACCGGGCTAGGCCGTGATGCCTTCCCATTCTCGTCATGACCCTGCATTCGAGCAGCCATCCGACCTCGGGGAGCAAAGATCACATCATCTTCGTCCTCGTCATCGTCTTCTGGCTCAACAGTAGGAGCGGTTTTGTTCTTTGAGAAGTCGAAGGTAGGTTTCGAGAGCATTGGTCGGTGTGCCACAGATGTAGTATTCTCTGGTTCTGAGTCGTCGTCAAAGGCTGCCAGCATCGCTTTGATTTTTTGACCCGGAGTGAGCATCTGTGCTGGCGAACCAGCCGTGGGCTCCAGACGCGTCGAGCGCGGAGTGGATGGAGCAGACATAATTCTATAACACACTGTCTAATGTTGTTTGTTGTAATAAATAGCGGTAATCGTTAGTTAATTTCCATAGTTGATTCGGGGTAGGAGAGAATAATATGTCGTCTTCTTAAATGTGCAGAGAATGGGTGAGTGCTTCCGCCTGCTTCAGTTATGCTTAACGCGGCCGCGCCGACGCGTTGTTATCGGCGCGACCTCTTTAGATTGCAGGTCACGTGCTGATAAGACGGCTATCAATCGATAAATGTGAGGCGCGAATAGTTAAACTACTTAGCCAAGGTGGACACGGTCATCAATAAATGAACTTTGTTGTACTATTAATTAGCTACTTACACCCCAAACCCGGATTTGATGCATTGTATGGAGGCTAGAGTAAGGATAGAAAATAAAAACAGTACTCTCGAGCGCCATCAAAACTCCTGCTTTTACCATGCCGGGCCGCTATTTGAATACGAAAGAACTGCCAATATACAGCGAATCAAAGCCAGAAAAGCAATTTAAATAGTAGTATCCAATGTGAGACTAGCACCGTGGAAGCCTCCCAAGTGAAACGCACTATGATGACTGCTTGTCAATAATGGCTGCAGAATATTCGACGGGTGGTATGACCTTCGAAGTTTCGAAGCACGACAATCCAGGACAAGGACATCAACCGGCGTGACACAAAGATAAATTAAATGCCAAGATCGATATCTAAGTCTAGATCCAGAGCAGCAATGTTATCATCATCCATATTCCGATGACGAATGACGGCAATTCCTTTTGGTTTAGATTGGCTTTTCGAAGGTGTACTGCTAAGTTGAGGTGTGGCAGGAGATTCGGTCGTCGTAGCTGGTGTGCCATTTTCCAGATCTGCAGAGCCATCTTTATTGGGCGTCGCCTGTGGGCCTGAATTTACATCGTGATAGGTCTTCGCACGAGTCCTCACACGAGCAAAAGGATCAGCAGGGGCTTCTCCGCGAGCCACAGCTGCTGCATTCTTGCGGTTCAAGCGTCGTTCTTCAAGTTGTGCACGACGAACATTTTCACTATTAAGTTTCTGATTCCGACGATTAAGCTCGGCAAGCCGCTGTTCGGGAGTTTGCTGCTTCTCAGGGCGAGATTTATGGTGTGCTCCGTTGAATGCCAGTTTCGACGTAGTCTCCTTCGCAAGTTGTGCTTGTAAATCAGCCACCTCATCGTCATTTCCTTCTGCGATAGCTTGGTTCAACTTCTTTTCCAGCTCAAAGCGCCTTAGAAGTTTCTCGTTTGCATTATCAGCTCCTTGCTTCTTCAACTTCTCTTCGAGCTCCTCTCGAGTGAACTTGTAATTTATAAGGTTGTTGATATCAACGACTTTGGCAGTCAACTTAGATTTTGTGGGTATCTTGCAATCTTCAACCACCATTGTCTGGCGCCAACGGTTGAACTCGGCCTTTTTAAACAAGAGTAATAATGTCAGTAGGCGTCAAAAGAGAAAGACATGGCTAAAGCAATTGATACGGACCTCTGTGAAGGGAGAGTCTGAGCATTGGATGAATGGGAACTCGCGCTCAGCCTTTCCATGAGCGAGAACAGCATATTGGTCTGTAACATAGGTACGGCCGGTTGCTCCTTCAATCGCATATGGACGTCCTTTGTTAAATCCTACGAATAGTCAGAAATGAATTGACACTATGCAGTGAAGTATGATATACCTTTAATGATGCAGACACGGTATTCATTTTGACCCGTTTCCCGGTTGGGACCAATGTTAACTCGTGTGAAGCAATTGGTGAGAGATGGCACGAAGGTAGGATGGAAACAAACGCTGGCAAAGTTGGTACGGCCAACACGAACTCGTTGAATATCCTTCAACTCGACAGGAGGGTCGTCTTTGGGAACATCTGGTTGCTTTGGTGGAGTGCGGCGTAATTTGTCCTCATATTCAATCTCGCTCTCGCCTTCTGCGTCAGTCTCTGAGTATGCACCCTCTTCATGAGAAGAGCTGCGACCTCGGGTTTGTCTCGAGTCCGCATCTCGACGACGTTGCTCATCACGCTTGCCTTTCTGCTCTCGTTGTCGCTTGTATGCCTCGATTGCATCGGAAGTCTCACCCACTCGGCGTCCTCCTAATGTTGTCTTCTGTCGGGAGCTCTTGCGCTGGCCTTCTTCTAACTCGGCGTTGCTAGCTTTGCGTTTAGATCTGGATTCGGAGCGTGCTTGTTCACGCTCGCGAGAAGCTAGAAGACGACGCAGAACAAGATCCTGGTTATGACGATCGACTTGCTGGGAACGCTCAGACAGGATTTGTTCGCGTTCGATTTCCGGGAGACTCATAATCTCTTTCTTGTCGTTGGCTGAGTAGTAGAGTTTTTCATAGGGGAAAATGGGTCCATCGCCGTCAATTTGCACATTTGCGTCGTCGGGTTCAGACTCTGACATGCTGGCAGAGCGCTCTGAGGCGAGGGATTCAGCTGCAGACCTGCCGTTTGCAGCGAAGGTAATGATTAGAAGACATTAAAAAAAAAGAAAATGAACAGTGATTCGTTAACATGGACAGTCCTTACAGTTCTCCTTCATCGTCAGATTCCGCTCTCTTTTGCTTCCTTGGCCGCCTGGTTGGCTTCGAAGCCTTGACTGACTTTGCGACACCTTTGCGAGCCATATCCTTTGATTTTTCGGGGAGGGAAGTTTTGACGTCCTCGGAGACAGGGGATTGAGGAGAGGCAGAGGCGTGTTTGGTTTGCGGGGGGACATTCTCCTCGTCAGAGGAATCGCCCGCCAGGGCAAGCAGGTCGTCGTCTAAACTCGCCATTTCGAGCAGAATATGGCGGCCTCAGGTACCACAAACAGGCAGACTGTGAAGAAGGCGCCTGTGCGATTCGCGAACAGCAGCGGGAAGTCGCGATATGGCGTTTAGGTGTCCTATCGAGCTCACACGAAAGAAGCAGGCGAAAAACAAAAGAAAAAAAAAGAAGACAGCACGTAAACAAGACAAATAATTCCTAGATAGCAAAATATTGCGATATAATGGGCGGCAGCGGTGGCAAAAGGGGGCAGATGGCCTAGATGACACGCATTGCACAGAGAGACAAGAAAGTTGCCGCCATTCACTGCGGCGTTTTGACTCGGCTGGCCAGGCCAGTTACGGCAAGTACCCACCGCCCGCGCCAATGGGAATTGGCAACTGCCGGAGCTGAGCCGCCACCGCAACGCATCCAAGTAAACTCATCATTGGCCGTCTCTGTCAATAGAGCTATTGTTTCAAGCATGCGAGCACTCAATTCAATGAGGCTGCGCCCTCTGGCACGCCCTCGCAGGGCTGTGTCCCTTGAAACGCCATTGTACCTGGACTTCCTAGCTCCGATCACCCTCGGCCAGTCGTCTCGCCGAAGCTTCTTTTTCAGTACCAAGACCTCTACGAATGACTCCCACCAGCCCGATGAACGAAGTAACTCCGGCAACCCGTCCGCAAAGCCTCGATACACCCTCAGTAAATCACAGCGAGAGTACCTCGACAGTGCCTTGCGAGTCAACCAGGCTGGCGAGCTAGCTGCCACGCTAATATATGCCGCCCAGAAGCCTCCTGTCGTGCGATCGCATCCTCACCTACGACAACTAATGAAGCACATGTATGACCAGGAAGCCGTTCACCTCTCCAATTTCAATCACCTCGTTGCCAAGCATCAAGTGCGGCCCACAGCTATGTATCCGATCTGGGAGGTCGCTGCTACGTTTCTGGGTTGGTCGACAGCTGTCATGGGCCGTGAGGCGGCGATGGCATGCACCGAGGCAGTCGAGACAGAAATAGGGTCGCACTATAACGAGCAGGTCAGCACGATTATGGGATGGATGAAGGAGGCCGAACAACGTGGTGAGGAGGTGGACGATGAACTCAAGGACTTGTTGGCTTTGCTTAGAAAAACGCGTGATGAAGAGTTAGAACATCTGGACCATGCGGTTGAAAACGACTCCAAAGAGGCGAAACCGTACGACCCTTTGGTGAACGTTATTCGCTCTGGGTGCAGAGCAGCCATTAATATAAGCGAGCGAATTTGAGTTCGCTCTGTGTGTTCCTTTGGGGGGGGGGGGAACAGCATATTGTACAATACTTTTTTCTGCGTTGGTTTACAATGTTTCGGACCTGTCTACCGGTGAACTACACATCAATGAACATGAGGCAGCTCACTTTCCTCGAAGCTTGAGCGAATTTGTTGAGTGCGAAGTGAACAGAGAGCACTCTTTGACCATCCCTCCCAACTCTCTGCTACTTCAAAGTACGCCCCGCATAGAAGGAATCCTGACTTAAGGCTACCCCTCAGTCTTCCTATAAGCTTTATTGCTTTTTCAGAAACATCCTTCTTCAACCCATTGGCGAATGATGGCTGTATATCAGTATTCCTATTCCTGGCTTCCTCTCTAGCAATTGCAATCCCTGGATAAGTGACAGGCGCGAAATCCGACAGCAATTTTGCGGCTGGCTGGAATCCATATCAGTAGGCTCAAGGGTTCCACTGCAACTACGCGTGGAGCTGATTATTACACAAGCTAACTAGCGTTAAGCCCAATTACTAATCTACCTGGATTTTCGAGCATTGCAGTTGGTCACAACAGGAGTGGCCGAGTCAAAATGCTAGTCACACGCCGATATCCTCTCGAGCTCGAGGATGTGGTGCTCTCGCAGAGATGCTACCTTGGTAGAGAACGGTGACTCTGTGCGACCACATAGCAGATCGGGGAACGCAAGCCATTGGCTCAAGTGTTACACACTCGGACAGACGAACTCATCAGCCAGCATCTCGCATGACTAGTTTGACGGACTAAAGCACGATGGCCAGGGCTAGCGATGCCAGGGCGGGTAGGGCACCTGCACGGCTTTGCCAATTGAGGAAATTTCTCGAGCACTCGAAATACCTCGTGTGGGTCTGTATGCAACAACCTCGCTGATTCACACTGCGCGCCGTACGCTTTGGGCAGAAGACTGTGTACCTTGCTCAGGCGCTTAAAAAAGGATAACCTGCTCCCTTGCGCAATCGCGTGTACAAAATATTCTGGAACTCTTTTGGCCTTTACGTTCCATACATAAAGAGCAAACCTTGTTTTTGGCTGCGGAACTTACGCTTACATCTCGAGATCATCGTCTCAATAAAACGAGGACTCTCCTGCACCGCAATGGGCAACACAACAAGCGCGGTAGGTCAGCAATGCCTGCTGAACGCTGTGGGCAACGATCCATCCCTAGTCGCCTTCCCAACCGCCTTGCTATATGAATCAGTGGATGTGAGTCCTTATAACCTGGACTATCCCGTGACGCCCGCTGCTGTGACTTTCCCAGAAACCGCCGAGCAAATATCTGCTATAGTTCAATGCGCTGCGGATGCAGACGTCAAAGTTCAGGCCAAGAGCGGTGGCCATAGTTATGCCAATTATGGTATGTTCATTGAACTCGGAAGATCTGAAGCCGATGTACAAGAAGATACTGAGATGAATCAAATAACCACTAGGTCTCGGAGGCACGGATGGCGCTGTTGTTGTCGACTTGAGACACTTCCAGCAGTTTTCATACGACCCAGTCACTACACATGCCACCATCGGTGCTGGAACTTTGCTTGGAGATATTGATACAAAATTATTCGACGCTGGCGGCCGTGCCATGTCTCACGGCACGTCTCCTCAGGTTGGGATTGGAGGACATGCGACAATCGGGGGACTAGGACCGACTGATAGACAGTGGGGCATGGCACTAGATCACGTCGAGTCTGTCCAAGTTGTACTGGCAAATTCAAGTATCGTCAATGCCTCCGCTACCGAATATCCCGATGTATTCTTCGCCATCAAAGGCGCCGGTGCTAGTTTTGGCATTGTCACAGAATTCCGCATCCGAACCGAGGCCGCCCCAGGACTAGCTGTCCAGTATCAACTCACCTTTAACATCGGAGACACAAGTTCCCGCGCAGAGACTTTCAAGGCGTGGCAGAACTTTATATCTGAGCCAAACTTGACAAGGAAATTTTCGTCTCAGCTGGTTTTGGCCGAAGGCCTCCTGTTAATTGAGGGTGAATACTTTGGGTCGCTTGCCGAATTCGAGGCCCTGCAGCTTGAGAGCAGATTTCCTGCCAACCAAGGTTACAACGTCACAGTGTTCAATGACTGGCTTGCACTTGTCGCCGCGTGGGGTATTCAGTTGGGTGAAGATTTAGGCGGAGGTATTCCTGGTATGCTCAGTCTATATCAATAATAAGAGTTGATGTTCTGACCATAATAATTATAGCACACTTTTATGCGAAATCTCTTCCCTTCTCAAACACTTCTCTCATCCCGGACAGCGTCGTCGACGACTTTTTCGAGTATCTAGACACGGCTGACAAGGGTACCTTGCTGTGGTTCATCATTTTCGATCTTGAAGGTGGCGCAATCAGCGATGTGCCCATACATGCAACCTCCTATTCTCATAGAGATGCACTATTCTGGCTGCAGTCTTATGCAGTCAATCTTCTTGGAGACATTTCTGCCACAACAAACACATTTTTGAACGAAGTGAACAACCTTTTCATTAATGAAATGCCAAATGCGGCATTTGGCGCTTACCCTGGATACGTCGATCCGCAATTGACAAACGGTCCGGAGCAATACTGGGGCGCTAATTTAGACAGGCTGATAGAGATCAAAGCTGCTGTCGATCCTCAGGATATCTTCCATAATCCACAGAGTGTGCCCTTACAATGAAGACCGGAAGTATAACGGATTGGCATTCAAGGGCGTAAATCCTCGAGGAATTGTGCCATGGAAGATACGTCTATCGTTGGCAGACTTCCAGGAGCTTGTTTATGGATCGAAAAGTCAGCGTTTGTATGTTCATATTGTGTATATATAATGTTATCTCAATGTCCGGAGTTACCGGTGCAAATGCATTTATTGATCCCTCGCAATCGTACAATACCTATGGAAGCCGTGAGCATAATAAGACTCAATATTTTGACAGGTACCTAATTTCTTCAATTGAGTACAGGTCTCCAGCCTCGTCTAGGAATAAACCCCTCAACATTCTCATCCTCCAGCACCTCGGGGCCAGTTCTTCCTGTGACTACACTTCGTTCGATCTCGGGTCCCTGAACGTAAAACGGCTCGAAGCCTAAAGGTTCGTGGTTAGGTAAAGGTGGAGTACTTCTTTTCCAAGTAGCGTTTTTTCCATCACGAACGAAGCCACTATTCGCACGATCTAAAGTAATAAACCACCGACGCTGGTGTATCGAACCAATTGAATTAATAGCCCCCGGGTATGCATTTGTCAGACGCGTTCTTGAATCAATTGACTCTGAATCAGATGCTGAGGCGGAATGAACCTCGTCTATATCTTCTTTTATATTATCTATCGTATGACCCATCGAAGTCAATGGTATTTCGTGCCGGTCATTCTTAGGCGACGGAGAGCGAGATGTGGATGGTGTTCTAGTTATTTTCATACCAGAAGAAACTATTCGTCGACGCCGACGTTTTCGAGTAATCGGCCTTGTCCGAGCTGCGCTATCGTCCGCTGCTGAGAGCCGTAGCGATATCGTGTAGTTCTTCGGTAGACGAGTCCCATGAAGGCGTAAGCGGATTTTACGCTGCCTTTCTCGTTAGCTTTCAGCGATGGAGGGTATAGGCCGTAGGGAATAAATACATTCTGAAAGGCTTCTTTGAGCCTTTGGCTATCCGATGCTTGTTGATTGACGGACGATTCAGCTGAAACATTAGATATATCGGACGCAGAATCATCTGTTTCTGGTCGTTCCTCTACAGCATGATACGGCAAAACCTCGTACTCGCCAGTGTCCCAGATAATCATGCTTCCCGTGTTACGAGATCCCATTTCCATCATATGGTTCTATATAAGGCGTGAGCGTGCGTTCCTCATCCTTTCAAGGACTCAATGCTTACCCAAAGGCAATGAACTCTTGTTTCCGTGGCATTGCGATTGATCCTACGACTATTCGGGTCACCAGGCAGCCCATACATTATCGCCCAGCTTAGGGAGCTGGAATCAGAAAACTGAAGACGGAGATCATAATGCGGTCCTGCAATGGGATGATCGTGCTGGTGGATTACAAAGTGGTGACCATTTTCATGTTGATTCCTTGCGTACAGATCAAGCCAATTTTCATAGGAAATCCTGCTATCCGTTCCAGAGGATGACTGCGGTCGTGAAACTGCAGCGAGTCTGGCCGAGAAAAGCTCAACTGGGTTGTCTACCGTGACTTGGCCAGCTTCGACAGCAGCAAGACTCAACGAAGACGCCGTGTCCTTCTTTGCCGTTGACTTCTTACGCGGCGGAGACACAGGTGCAGTTAAGCTGGAAAGGGTCGAAACAGTACTATGATTCCAGATCTGGCTGGGATCTAAAGGCTCTTTCGCTGGTCCATTTGTCTCAGAGATATAGCTGCGTTTCATGTTATGTGCGTAGAAACATAGCCAATGCCACTCATTTCACAGCACAAACATCCGGTTTGTCTTTGTATAGTAGCCCTATTGCCACCGTAAGCGCATTCGTCAGGAGTTGAGAGTGGGTTTGTGGTGAGTTTAGAGACCTGACGTTGTAGGGCAAGGACTATTGTTGTTCCGTCCCGACGCCGATTCGCCAGTGGAATTGCACAAACTTGGATGATTTGATATCAGGCTTTGGCGGCAACATGCATTGAGTCCATCAAGCAATCAGCCACAATGAGTCATCTTTGTCCATTTCGCTAATTAGTTGCATCGACTGTTCCGCTATTCAATTCAGTGCTGCGTACGGTGGTATACATAACGGCCCCGGAATATGGCGGCGTCCCGATCGGGTAAGCACTGCCGTCGTGCTAATTGGCTGCGCAAAACAAAACACCCATTTTCAGGCCAGCGTGGAGAAAGATCCTCGTTTACGACGATCTTTTTCCTGTGTCCTGCTTCTTCGCTGAGCTACTCATGCCTTGAATTATTCTCTTTCTTCATATTAGAAACTGCTATTTTTCTACCTTCTTCCTACTGCTAGTACTACCAGGCAAGATCCCAACATCTCCGGTGTTCTCTTAGCTCTACCAACCAAGGCAGATAACAGGAAGAGTCGACAGTTGTGTGGAAAGCACTTCGGTACCTACTGAAGATGACGACCGAGGTCACCCAGTCTCTGGTAGCTGGACTAGTAGCGCTAAGCGCTGTGGCTCTATTAACGATTCCAGCCATCCAATCGATATTTCTGTTCGCAAGGCGAGTGCCATTATTGCGATCCAAATATGTCTATGAAGACGACGATGGGACTGCGTCCGAAGAGTCCATCAAAGCATGCACAATACGTGTACAGAAGTTCTTGGCTGTGCTTTTGACGGCTGTCGGGCTGGGCTGTTCCCTAAGCCTTGCTGTTATCCATGTCTCTGAACCCCAGCATGGAGGTATCTGCCTTGAAATTTGGGCCCAAGTCGCTACTTGGGTGAGTGCAATCTTTCAAAGGCGTTTCGATATGAGCTAGCGATTTCAGATTTGCCTCGCCTTTCATGCAGCCGCTTTGCTGGTAGAGCCGCTACCAGTGAACAGATACCACATCGGCATTTATGGCTGTGTAGCTAATTTTCTGGCCTTCACAGCTCCTTTGGCACAATATTTCATTTGGCAGAGAACCGGACAAATATATGGCCATGACTTGCAGTCAATTTATACCGGCTTCTTCATAGTTTTGTTAGTGACCACATTATTCCTTGCAATCGTGTATATCGCGATTCCACGCCGACCTGATATCACCCGAGATGGGAAATCGGTAGATCGCCAATATACTGTTTCGTTGCTCCATCGCATTTCTTTCACATGGGCAGATAGAGTACTTGGTTACGCTGTCCGCAAGCGAGGACTGGAGATTGATGACCTACATCTAGTAGACGGTGCAACCATGTCGATTAACTTACGCGCTGCTCTCGAGCGCAACAAGGGAAACCGCCCGCTTTGGCAGGCAATCTTGTCAACATATTGGCAGGCATTGGTATGGCAATATATACTTGTAATTGCAACTTCTGTGATGCACTTTGCGCCTCAAGCTATTCTCTACGGCATTTTGAAATCGCTTGAAGATCACGAACCAGACCATAAAGTCAGATGGGAGACATGGGCCTGGGCTTTGAGTCTAGGTGTAGTCATTGTGCTTTCCTCTACAGCTGACAGTTGGCTTTGGTGGACGGTTTACACAAAACTGGGCATTCCAATCAAAGAACAGCTGGCCGCAACTATCTTTGCTAAGTCAATGCGTCGTAAGGATGTCAGGACTATAGATAGGACAGATGATTCTAGTGATGGGGAATCCAGCGTCACTGAAGACTCAGAAGATAGTGACGATGATGACGACGACGACGATTCCTTAGGGAAAAGTCAACAGAGCATCATCAATCTAGTCGCTGTTGATGCCGAATGTGTCTCAGATGCGGCTCAATATAACCATCTTCTACCCTCTGCTTTGCTTGAACTCACAATTGCCTGTGTCTTTCTTGTGAGGCTACTCGGTTGGCAACCAACCTTAGCTGGTCTTTCAATTTCAATCATTGTACTGCCGGTCAACATCTACACGGCCAAAAAATATTCCAAAGCCCAATCAGTGCTCATGAAGAATCGAGACCGGAAGGTTGCTGTTTTAAATGAAGTCTTGCAGGGCATTCGGCAAATCAAATTCTCCGCCTTGGAAGCACCATGGCAGAAGAGGGTGCTAGAAGCCAGAGACATGGAACTCACCGCCCAGCGTAAAGCGCTTCTATAGGACATTGGCCTCTTAACAATATGGTTGCTCGGTCCCATCATGCTCTCTGCTGTTTCGCTTGCTGTCTACTCCATCAAAAATGGAAACCTTTCTGCCTCCGTCGCTTTCACGGCGATATCCATCTTCGGGTCTCTGGAAGTGTCTTTCGCTGTAATTCCGGAACTTGTGTCTGATTTTATTCAGGCTTCTGTCAGCATGACCCGTATTGACAGACATCTGATGGCTCCAGAGAAGGGGCAAGTAACAGTTCCGTTTGACCGAGTGGTCTTTGACCACGCGTCCGTTGCACGGCCTGTCGACGACGACCAGGACATTCCAATTGAAGAACGATTTGTCCTTCAAAATCTGACGTTCGAGATACCGGATAGAGGGCTAACAGTGGTCTCCGGGAAAACAGGCTCTGGCAAGAGCCTTCTACTAGCGGCAATCCTAGGAGAAGCTGACATCTTGAATGGCGTTGTCAAAGTCCCACAACTTCCACCCAGCGAAGGACTATACAATGACCAATCATATAATGAGAATTGGCTCATTGATTCAGCAATCGCATTTGTTGCTCAGAAGCCATGGATAGAGAATGCTAGCATAAGGGATAACATTATCTTTGGGCTCCCATTCGACAGTAGTCGATATGATAAAGTTGTTTTTGCATGTGCATTGAAGAAGGACTTGGACATGCTAACTGATGGCGATTTGACTGACATCGGTACGAATGGTATTAATTTGAGCGGCGGTCAGAAATGGCGTGTTTCATTCGCCAGAGCACTCTATTCACGGGCGTCCATCTTGGTGCTAGATGATATCTTCAGTGCAGTAGACGCTCATACTGGCCGTCATCTTTATGAGAACGCACTCATTGGAGAACTATGTCAGAATCGCACCCGTATATTGGTAACGCATCATGTTGCATTGTGCGTGCGACATGCAGATCTATGTGTTCTTCTGGAAGACGGGACTGCTCGTAGCGGCACTGTGGAGGAGTTGCGGAGTGATTCCACCTTCTTGTCTGTTTTATCTCAATATGATAAGGATGAGGCTGCTGAGGTTTGCTGGACTGCGAATAAGGATAGTTATCCCGATTCAAGTGGCACTCGCACTACTCGAGATATATCACCTACAAAAACCCCGAACATCGCAAACGTCGATACCACTGAGAATGAAGAAAGAATGCCACCCAAGAAATTTATGGAAGATGAAGGCCGCGAGACAGGTTCTATAAAAATGGCAGTGTACGCAAAGTACTTTACGAGCGGGGATAGCTTGATGTTTTGGTTTTTGGGAGTTTTGATGGCTGTTGTTTATGTTTCACTCCTCATTGGCAGGGTAAGTTTGATGTTTATACATCCTTTCTTTTTTGTCTTGGATCTCGAAGTCTGCGAAAGCAAAATCACGGCCTCATGCTGGAATCGATGCTGACCGTGATTTTAGTCTTGGTGGGTTAGTATCTGGACTGGCGAGAGCGAAATTTCAGCAAGTCGTGACACTTTCAAGGCCCATCAAAATGCAGTACAATCTACCATGTTTCGCATGGAAAGGGTTGGAGTCGAACCTTCGGTACAGAATACAGATCTCACGTTCTATCTCGGGATCTACCTAGGTCTCTCTGTCGCCGCCACGTTCCTCGGATCCCTGAGATACTTCTGTATTATGTTCACAGCTCTACGCGTATCACGGAGCCTATTTGAGAGAATGATTTTCGTCGTTCTTCGCGCACCGTTAAGAAAAATTGACACCATACCAGTGGGAAGAATCCTAAATCGGTTTACTAGCGATTTCCACCAACTCGACTCGCAGATTGGCTACGATATCAGCTTCATAGCGAACCATATACCCGAATTTTGTGGTGTTTTAATCGCTAGTGCACTCGTCACTCCATGGCTGTTACTTTTCGCCGCGGTTTTATTTGTCGTATGTCTCTACTTTTCCAACTGGTACCTCGCTGGTGGCCGGGAGATTAAGCGTCTGGACAGCAACGCTATGAGTCCCATACTGGAGCAGTTCGGAACTGTTCTTGCAGGCCTTGGGACTATCCGGGCATTTTCTAAATCCGACTCCTATATTCATCGTATGTATCGTCTAATTGATCAACATGCGCAGGCGACATGGCATCTCTGGCTCTTCCAACGTTGGCTCACATTTCGAATGAACCTAACGGGGGCTGTATTCACCATGTTTAGCGCAGTGTTGATAGTTTCCATGCCAGGTATGACAGCTTCCCTTGCAGGGTTTGCACTGAGTTTCATTCTGCAGTGCAGCGATGCCATTGAATTCTGTCTTCACCAATATGCGGATCTGGAGCTTGAAATGAACGCTGCTGAGCGCATTATTGAATATACGGAGCTTGAGACTGAAGACCAAGGTGGCGAAGATGTGCCTGCTTCATGGCCGTCAGAAGGCAAGATTGAAGTAGAAAGTCTTGTCGTGGGGTATGCTCCAGATCTTCCACCCGTTTTGAACGGGTTGACATTTGAAGTGCAACCGAACCAGAGGGTCGGCATAGTCGGACGCACCGGTGCGGGAAAGTCATCCCTTACGTTAGCCCTTTTTAGGTTCCTAGAAGCTCGACAAGGTCGTATTGTTATCGATGGAATCGACATATCAAAAATGAAGCTGTCTGATCTTCGCAGTCGAATGGCAATCATACCTCAGGATCCGGTGCTCTTCTCAGGATCGCTCCGATCGAATCTGGACCCTTTCGCAGAATATTCAGATTCCGAACTATACGATGCATTGGAAAGAACACATTTAGTGACTAGACCTACCGAATCCCATACAGATGACCCTCAGACAGCCGGAATGTTGGCCCCAGAAAGCAATCCTGAAATAACCTCAGGGCCCAACCTTGCAAAGGACAAGAACACCATGTTGACATCTCTAGATTCTGCTGTGGCAGAAGGAGGTCTCAATCTGTCTCAGGGTCAGCGTCAGCTACTTTGCCTTGCGCGAGCCATCGTCTCACGCCCGAAGATCATGGTTCTCGACGAAGCGACATCAGCCGTAGATATGGAAACTGACGCGCTCATTCAGCGTTCAATTCGGTCGGAATTTGGCCGCAACGCCACGACTCTCCTTGTAATAGCGCATCGACTCAGCACGATTGCTGATTTCGATCGGATATTGGTCATGGATGCAGGACGTGCAGTGGAATTTGGATCACCGAGGGATCTAATGCATATTGAAGGGGGCGTGTTCAGGTCGCTAGTCCAAGAGAGCGGTGAGAGACGAGCGCTTGAGCGGATTATTTTGGGCTAGACAATTTATATATAGAAAAGCAGCTAGAAACTGGGAAGTTGTCTGTTGTCGACGGGGAATTCGTGGATCTATGTAATTCGTTATCGATAAGAGCGATAGCAAAAGCTTCGGCCAATGGGAACACAGCCCGCAAGGCCCGAGGGATCACAGCTCCACCCAAGCTGCATTCCAACCTTGTGGCGGAGAGGCAACCGCTCGTATTCTCACAATGTTGTTCATTGCATAATTAAATATATCGTTATTCCTCTGTCTTCAATTATTCCTACGTCTGAAGTGTTCTGGCCCAAAGAAAACATCATGTCTGTCTCGTCCGATATCGTCGATGTGTCGCGTCCGTCGTCACCGGGTAAACAAGTCTCACAGGCGCTGAAGTTCGTCAGGCCAGCGCAGATGTCTCTCTTTGCGCGTATAACGTGCTACCCTTCCTTGGGCGAAGTAACGAGTGTGAAGAGATTGCAAAAGTCGGACTCAGCCGAAGATGACAAGGTACGCACGTACGAGTTGTTGACGTCCGAGTACATGACTGACAATTGCGACTCCATTGAATTACTAGATTCGGTTTACTGTCATCCTCTCATCTAGCAAGTCTTTCCCAGAACAGGATTGGAACGTCGAGATTTGGCACAATATTCCGGATACCGAGTTGTGGACATCTTTGCCATTGACAAAATGCAATGCTTCGCTAAATCCTACAATCATCGGTGACGACGATGTCACACAAAGATACTACCATTACACATTCTCCTCAGAGCTGGAACTACCTTCCTCCTCGGGAAGAGGCAACTTCACTGTCCGCTATAGAACGAGCCCCGATACGGATTGGCAATGGGCAAACCAGAGAAGATACGTGAAGGATGGGGAAGTGATATTTGGAGAGAAAGGTCGTTCCGTCGTGTCTAATATAAGCGCTCCACCACAACCAGGCCTCGGGAGCTCTCCGCGGGACGAGATTGGGGAGTATATTGAAGACTTATCCAGTAAACTAGATGTTCAGGCAAGAAAAAGTGAAGCACCAGGGGCCATATTATGGAGTATAGCAGGAAGCGTACCACCTGCAGAGGTTGAGACGTCGGGAAAGGCGAAGTTCCCACTAGGGTCTCCAAAGTCATATCTCCGTTACTTTTCATTGGTGCGACTGTGGAGTCCCTGGCTTGCTCCAAGACACGGAGAGAAGGATTTCAGACTGACGGAAGATGCTATTCTTTGCTCTTTCCTAAGGTCTGATGGTCTAAACTTTGTGCTTCTGGCTGTATCAGGAGTTAATAATGTTCTGACGGTCTTGGGTTCTGGAGAAAACGGTGAAATTGTGGTAGATGTTAAAAATGATGGCACCGACGATGCTAACTTTCAGATACTTGCCTCCGTTGGTGAAAGTTTTGAGGTTTGCGTATCTTCTCTGGTGTACGAGGCTCGAAAAGTTGTGAGAGACTCGGTTACTGCAGTAACTTTGCCTGTCGTATCCGACTTGCCGCAAGAGCCTGAATCTCCGGTTCCCGACGACTTGGTCATTGTAGAGAACGATGCACGTGCACAGTGGCTTGCTGATTGGTATGAGGGTCTTTCGTACTGTACTTGGAACTCACTGGGCCAGGACCTGACGGAAGAGAAAATCCTTGAGGCTCTTGATTCTCTGAAAAGACATGGGATCAATATTGTGAACTTGATCATTGATGACAATTGGCAATCACTTGATAACGACAGTGAGAAGCAATGGAATCGTGGCTGGAAGAGATTTCAAGCCAATGAGAAAGGCTTCCCCGAAGGGCTAGCACACACAGCTGCTACTATAAGACAACGATACCCTAATATCGAACATATCGCAGTCTGGCATGCACTCATGGGTTACTGGGGCGGTATATCCCCTGATGGGGATTTGGCAAAATCCTATAAAACGAAGAAGGTTACGAGGAAAGATTCCGTTGCCGGTGGTCCAATGTTGGCCATTGATCCTGACGATATCAATCGTTTTTATGATGATTTCTACTCGTTTCTCACATCATCCGGAATTGATGCTGTAAAGACAGATGCTCAGTTCTTTCTTGATCTACTGGATAGCGCAGAGGACCGAAGAAGGTTTATCTCGTCATATCAAGACGCATGGACGATCGCTAGCTTGAGATATTTCAGCACTCGCTCCATTTCTTGCATGTCGATGACACCGCAGCACATTTTCCATTCGCAGATACCAACCAACAAACCAAGCATTCTCCTTCGTAACTCGGATGATTACTTTCCCGACGTTGCAGATTCACATCCCTGGCATGTTTTCTGCAATGCTCATAATTCCCTTCTGACAGCTCATCTGAATGTTATCCCGGATTGGGACATGTTTCAGACAAGCCACCCATATGCTGCGTTTCACGCCGCCGCGAGGTGTGTCTCTGGCGGACCAATTTACATAACGGACAAGCCCGGGGAACATGATATTGATTTGATAAATCAGATTACGGCGCCCACAACTCGAGAAAATGCTATAATTCTTCGTCCAAGTGTTATGGGTCGCACACTAGATGTTTACCATAACTACAACGAAGGAAACCTCCTCCGTGTTGGGACATACAGCGGTTGGGCTCACACAGGGAGTGGTATTCTCGGTCTCTTTAACATCAGCCCGGCAGATATCTCATCCATTGTTCCACTTACAGCATTCCCTGGCATTGATACAACAACTACTAGTACTACTCATTCCTCCGACGCGTTCCGTGGCAGAAACAGTAGCAGTGCCCACTATATCATTCGGTCTCACAGGACAGGGATTATCAGCGAGATCATGAAACCCAGCGGTGCACGTTCACTAGTGTCTATTTCCCTTCAACCAAAAGGCTGGGATATTTTGACCGCCTACCCCCTTCGCGCATTCACGCTTGAAGGCAGTCGTGGCTGCTCTTCAACGTCACCCTCAATAGAGTCTTTGCTGACACATGTTGCTGTGCTGGGACTTTTGGGCAAGATGACCGGTATTGCTGCAGTGGTCAGCTCGGATGTATCGGTCGTGGAAAGCGGGCGACTAAAGTTCGATGTGAATCTCAAGGCTCTTGGCATACTGGGGATCTTTCATTCGAAGCTGGATAGCAGAGATGTCGACAAGCATGTCATGGTTCTGATCTCGGGTATTGCGGTGCCACGGCATACGGTCTGGAAGGACGGAGACAATGTTCTGGCGGTGAATGTTCTACAGGCATGGAAGGAATTAGGATTAGATGCTGGGTGGAGCAACGAAGTGCGAGTGCAGGTGTTTATTAGCTAGGGTTTGGGGAAGCACCTAGATATTGACAAGTCAACATAGGTATTCGGTATTCTAAGACTAATGCATCCATGGATGACATACCTAGGTAGGCAAATATATATATCACGCACGTTACGCATCATAAAACCATCGTGCATAGAGTGATCTGTATTTCCTTAAGATAGAGGTTAGATGCCTCTGCAATAAGTGCAACACGTACCAAGGTACTTCATACAGCGTTAGTCAATACCAAGTACGTACCTGACGAGATGCACAAGCCGCTTGTGAGTAATGGGGGTGGCTGACCTAAATGGGGGAGAACAGAGCGAAAACCAATGAGAACGTCAGAAAAAAGCGGCTAAACGAACGGGGCGGATAGCTTATTTTCCAGGGCCTCCGAGGCTAATACCAGTACGTACTAGTTGGCAGCCTTAGGCGATCATTAATATTTTTACCGCATCGATGCGGAGGGTATATCATCGGCTGAATATTTAAGACCAAGCCTGCCATGGCAATTGCACTGGAATGGCACAACCAGAGTATCGGTGATTGGCCAGTGACTGGTTTGTTTGTCTCAGCTTACTAAGACGGGGGATCTGCAAAGATCGTCCATACCATGCGGAGAGCGACGTAACGCCAGCAAATGAGTTGCGCACAATCCGAGACAGGCTGTGCTTTCCCCCCCCCCCCAAAAAGAGATATATGATATGTATGTGCCTCGGTTGCCCACGGATATTCGTGAGCATAATGACGTGTGAAACATGTCTTATAGTTATTTTTGAATTTGGGGGATCTTCGGATATCTAGGTGCCTAATATTAGAAACCCATGATCAAATAAAGAGGCTTTTGTAGTCGCCGTGACAGACATATAGCCTTGAAAGCCGCCCGAAGAATATCCAGATACAACCTCTATTTCTTTCTCCATTCATCAGAGTACCTAGGTAATTGACCTGCAGCACCAAGCCGATCAGGTGTGCCTCCCACCATAAGACATATCAAAGCCGATTTCAAAAGACGGCAATGAAGTTCAGTACCATTCTTGCCTTGGCAGGTGCCGCACTGGCTGCTCCAGGAGGAGTTAGCACCTCGACTGTATCTGTGACGACAACTTCCACTGTTACAACCGGCTCAGTCAGCACAGTGTTCACATTTTTACGGGGTAACCCTCCATCATCGAGTTCTTCAGCTGTGGCTGTAAATGAGGAAAGAGCGACCTCCTCTTCTATTCCCACTGTCGTAACAGTAACCAGCACCGTCACCGAACTCACTACTGCCCAAACACCTACAACTACCAAAACTTTCTATCCATGCGCCACACCTTTCCCATCGCTTATACCTACCCTGCCATACGGTGACTCTTCGCTTCCGGATAACTTCGCCACTGAAAACTCGATTTTCAACGTCGCAAGCACACCCCAGGGTGCTTCGGCCGAGGCCTGCTGTAACGCCTGCTTCTTCGAGGTGCCTAACTGCGTGCAGGCATACTGGTACAGCTACGAAGGATGTGTGGTATCACAGGTCACCAATGGATCTATCGCAGGTGCTGCATCTGGGCAGCAGGTAAGCCATGTTTGTCCGGCGGGGACTTTCAATGGCTTGTCGTACGCGAATGATACAAATCCTGCTTCTCGGAGTACGGGAAACATTGCTGGACCTTGTGCTCAGACTTATAATAATCTATGAGAGGGGATGTCTTTTGATCGAAGCTATATCGAAGCGATGGTGGTGAGGTCTAGAGAAAAGCGTTTTAAAAGGAGATAAAGACTGATGTATATGATACCTAAGCTGTTAATTTTAATTAACACGAAATTTTTGATACGGGAAATCGACTAAGTTATATATAGATTATTAGATCTATCTGCTCATCTTATCTGCTTATCGATTAGGTTTTTAGATAGCTTATCGCGGCCCTACGTCATCAGCCACAACGGTCATCTGAATCTTCTTGCGGCAAACTCCAAAACAGGATTTTCGACTATTTTCTATTCACTTGACGACCTCCTGTTTAAAATATTGAGGAGAACAAAAAGAATATAATCCTAATTAACTTTTGATTCTGACAGACATCTATGAATTCATTGCCCCTAAGCTCTGAATGATACTAATCGAACTTGTCCTTACATCTTGTTTGCCATACAATGTCGCTTAATACAGTCACAAAAGGCGTTGGTGGCGCCACAGGCAATATCGACAAGACAATTGACTCTACCAAAAAAGACAATGTCTCGTCGACTGCCAAAAAGACCAAAAAGCAGACCGACAGAACAACCCAAGACCTAGCGGGCATTTCTGTTCCCGGCGAATTTCCAGACAATGACAGCGACAAAAACAAACAGGCGGAAGAAATGCCTCAAGTATCCTTGCCGTCTGCCTCTTTCATAGTCCAATGGCTAATGGACAAATTCGAGTCCAATACCAAGGGTTTCATTTCTCGTTATCTGCCACAACAACGTCAAGAAGCCATCTATCAATCAGCAATGTCGCGCCCAATGGCAACGACTTTCATAATTTGTCAATTACTTTGTTGTGGTGTGCCTCTGTTGGTATTCATGGCTGGCGTGTTCATCTTTGCAGCTGTTGCGATTCTGCTCTGGGCTTTGTTATCGTTATTGATCCTAGGTCCAGTGCTGTTAGTAACTGGCTGTTCAGGATTCCTCTTGTGGGGATGGGGCTGGTTCTTCTATTCATTTATCAAGTGGGTAGATCAGCGTTTTCTGGGCGGCGTGCTGACACGATTCTTCTTGCCATTGTCGTCGGCACAGGATGATAATGATGCTGATTCCCAGCCATCAGATCAGGCGTCTGGTGGTTCGGAGAAGAAGCCTTAGTCGAACTACTCGGCTCCATCGTATGTTGCGCCCATGAAACAACTCCTACCATTTATTTTATTTTCCGTCGTATTGTCAGCACCTTGCAGCAATTCCTATATCATGTACATATATTGCCTCTTCTACCGATATCACCCCGCTTTGATGTTTGCAGTATCCCAAGTGTTTATTACTACAATTCACGAATGCCTGGCGTATGCCTAGGTATCTACTAAATCTGTCCACAGACGGCTTGACTTTTAATTAAGAGCGATATCAAAATGCCCCATATCAAGAAAACATTCAAGACTCATTCGTGGATGCATTATCTTGCTGTAAAATAATAGATCGACTATACCATAAGTGCAGCACCAGCCAAACGCCACCTGCCAATCATTGAAAGCAGTTCAAACAATATACAGTATCCAATAGCTTTTAAACTTTCGATTTTGCAGCATTCTCAATCTTTCTCCGCTTGCTGCGAAGCTTCTGCGCCTCTTCATCCTTCTTCTTGTTCGAATAGAGCATCTTATCCAACAACTTCCGTTTCTTCCGACTCATCATCATCTTCTGTCTTTCCAACTCCTCTTCTTCTTTTCGCTTTTGAGCTTGATATTTCTTGTTCTTCGAAGACGACTTCTTTGCAGATGAGCCGTTAGCCGATCCGCTGAATGGAAGACCCGCAGCTTCGGCTTCAAGTTCCTTCTGGTGCTGAGACCGTAATGTCTCGTCCTCGTCTTCAGACTCTGAAGCTACCTCTGCAGCGTCATCGAAGCCGTCGAAATCATCGTTCTCTTCCTCGTTACTGTCACTCTCCTCGGAACCGTCCACGTCCATTCCATGGTCATCCTCCATTTCACTTTCTTCGTCTTCATCTACCTCAACATCTTCATCTTCGCCAGTATTCTTCGCATCTTCAGCGTCATCTTCAGATTCACTGTCCTCAACTTCTTCCGCACGTTCGGCTTCACCCTCCTCTTCTTGGTCGGCCAAGCTTGCCCGAGGATCATAGCCTCCTCTGGTGGCCTTGACCCACGGGCTCAAATGCGGCGGAAGGGTTGCGCCAGGCGCGTAGATATCTGGTCGTAGAAGCTTTCCTTCGTTGACGCAGTCCCATACCCATTGTGGTTGGACATATGTGCGACCCGGAATGCGACCACCGCGTCGGAGTCGTCCTGAATCACCACTTGTGTTCTCGGGGACTGCCGGGAGCGCTGATTCCGGAAGAGGTGGGCGATCAACAATCTGATGAGTGATACGCGGATCGTTTTCGTCGTTGGTGAAAGCACCTTCGCCCGCGACTTCATCCCACGCGATGCGCTTGCAACCGAAGGATCGTAGAAGGAACTCCAACGGCGCCTTAGGAGCCTCTCGTGAGATGAAGAAGGTGAATGAAGAAAACAGGCTTCCAGCCTCACTTTCGCTTCCATCGGGTTGAGGCAACATGTCTGCTTCAGGGGCAGCAGGCTCAAACTTGTCGATAGCATATTCGTTGGTCGTTTGATCCTCGGCAACCTGGTTGTCCGTACCCTGATCCAAACCAGCAGACTTAACGACTTCATCAACCTTCTCTTGGATCTCCTTTGAGACCTCGTTGCTAGGCTGACTTCCATTTGTTGTAGGCTGCTCAAGAGCCTTTAGCTGACCCACGTTCTTGCTTTCGAGTTTGAACGCGGCCAATTCAGCACCTCGCTCGTCACTAGCAGAATCGAACCTCGGGGGGTAGACCAAGCCAATGGAGGTATACAGACGATAGTTGACGAAGCCAAGAAGAGTAGTGTAGAACTCGACAAAGGTAGCCATAATACGATAGTCGACGTCGCCGTTTACCTTTTGGACGAAGCGATACGGAACAAGCCAAAGAATATCTTGGCCCTGAATCGTCGCTTGGTAGTATATGCCCTTGATTGACAAGAAAGACTTGCGAAGCGAATGCGTGGTGATCAGGTAATGCTGGAACTCGTGGCAGAGCCGTTGGCATCGAGCAATCGTCTTGGGGGGAACTGATGTGGTTGACGGCAAGCTTGCAAAGAGGAACAGCAATGAAAGACAATCATCGAGATCCCTCAAGGCGTCGACAAAAGTCGGGTATCGTTCTTTGATGATGTGGTCTAGGCTGAGTTTGGGAGCAAGGTTTTTCTCGAGTCGCGCGGCATCTCCTACTTCACCACGGCCGAGGGAACGAGCGATCTTCTTTGACAGCGCCTTTTGCTCGCGGAATTTTCGAAGCAATGGCTCATGGAGGAGGTACTGGATATCTTTTGTGTAGTAAAACGTGGTGTTGGGAGTGGAATTCTTGGCTGCCTTCTTCTTGCTCCGCGGTTCACGAGGGTAGATTCCTAACAGATTGAAGGTTAACAGGGTGATAGATTTCGGAATAAATGAAAGATATATTCACCTTTAAAGATACAAAGTCGTCGAAAATCTGGCAGAGATATCTGCAGTTTTCGCACGGCCTGAGTACGCGTGATATAGTTTTTGGCCTGGCCGGAGGTTCCTAAAGCAACCGTTAGTCTTGCAGCCTTCAATTTATTGAGCATATTCAATTCAGCTGTAGACTAACCCTTCTTCTTAATTTTCGCCATGGTGTATGAATGCGCAAAGCGATTTCCAAGACGGCTGTTGCTGAGCACAAGCAAAGGTTAGACAGGAAGCCGGAAAAAAAAAAAAAGTCCATCGAAATCTTTTTTTTCTCCAATCGGCGGGACGGCGGAGATGGTCCGTGCGCCGAGGGCTGCGGGAAAGGAGGAGGACGGAACAGCCACAGCGAACAACAAAAGCAACACCAGTGAACATGCACACTTGAATAATATAATGACTTCAGCTTGCTAGCGCCTGAAACCAGACATCTGCATTCAGTATCTTACTTTTGTCTGTTCATTTTTCCTGCGCTCGTCCTTGCAAATGCCTGTCGACCGGAGGAAAGCAGCTGTCTTCGCTGCAGCTGTTGCGGTGCGGCTCTTTCTCGTCATTGCTTTTCCCTCGCTGCCTGGTCTTTTGACCTCAAGGGTCGAAGTGTCCACTCCAATTAGCAGTTTCAAACGATGTGAGCTCTGGGATTACACAGTCTCGAGTCTGTTCTAAGGCTGACTTAAATGAAACTTAGTGCAAGAAGGTCTTTTTCTGTACACCCGTAACGTGTCCCCATACGAGGGCGGCGTCTTCCATCAGGTACCGGATACTGCAATGTGTAGGAAGGAATAATCGATCTGACTGTGGGAAATCTTTAGGCACCTCTTCTTCTTCCCATTTTTTCCTTGCTTCCAAATCCAAGAGAATACCCGTTCGCTACAAATGTGCTTTTCACCGCGATTGATCTCTTGAATGCGAACGCCTTGATCACTATTTCCGACTCAGCCGAATCCGTCACGGGACGTCTATATAGTTCATTACGCAAGCATATTAGGTGGGATGGGGTATCAATCGCTGCATGGTAATTTGCTTCCAGACTTTCAGGAATAAGTGATCCTTGCAAACGCTGACACCCAATGAAGGTACCTCTTAAACCCATTCGTTATCGCAACATGCCTTGCTCGATCGACGACGGTATTTACCAATCTGTCCATTCTGTATGCAATCTCAAATGCTGTCAGCGGAAATAGTGTCAATGCTATGGTGGCTCTTGCTTTGGCATCTTACTTGTCTCTTTATCCGGCGCTCCTCTTCATACCATTAATCCTCCTCTGTTATGATCGACTAGTCAAAAGCAGGAGTGAACACGAGAGACCTTACGAAGTTGCCTTTGTGCTAAAGTGCTCAGGTATTGCTATTGCAACCATTGCCGGGCTGCTAGGTGCATCTTTCCTAGTGACAGGATTTTCGTGGGACTTTATACCTGCAACCTACGGGTTCCATTTGCTTGTCCCTGATCTTGCACCAAATGTTGGTTTATGGTGGTATTTTTTTATCGAGATATTCGATTCCTTCCGGGAGTTCTTTCTCGGTGTTTTCTGGTTGCACTTGGTGGGTTACGTTGGAGGACTGACGATTCGATTGCGACGACAACCCTTGTTCGTCGTCACTTCGTTGATTGGAATTTTTGCCATCTTCAAGCCTTATCCTAGCATTGCCGATGTTTCGTTGTACTTTGCGCTTCTGCCCTTGTATCGGCATCTGTCACCACGTAAGTACTTGATGATATTTTGACAACGGCATAACGTCTACTAATATCTCTGTGAAACAAATATAGTAACGCGATACACCTTCTTCGCCGCATCTGCATTACTCTATGCCACTCTGTTAGGACCGGCTTTTTATCATCTATGGATCTATGCTGGCTCCGGCAATGCCAATTTCTTCTATGCTATCACGTTGGTATGGAGTCTAGGGCTCACAATTCTTGTTGCGGATCTTATATTTGCAGCTCTGCGAGACGAGTGGGAATATGATCACCCAGAGATGAAGGGAAAAGACGTCAGGCAGATCTGAAATTTAGTTTTCTTTTTTCGATACCATAATCTGACTTGTATGAAATCTAAAGGCTCTAAATGATTTGAATACAATAAATCATAATGCCGGCCGTCTAATCTCTATTAAATTCATACATATCGTCATCGACCCGGTATCATTGCTTTGGACAAAATCAAATAATCGGGCTCCTTCACCGTACCATTCCTCAATCGTCTCGGCTCAGGTGAGAATTCATCCACCCCATAACCCAATCGCTCATAAAACGCCAATGCGGGACTATTAGCCTTGAAAACTGTTAGCATGGTCTTTTCGAGTCCTATTCGGCGTGCTGTTTCCTCGAATAGACCCATGAGCTGCCGGCCGATACCGTGGCCTTGAAGTTTGGGATGAATGTGAATTTCATAGCAATATAACACTTCCTTTCCGTCTTCATATGTTGTCATGAATGACAAAAATCCGAGTACTTCGGAATGGGGAGCAGCGATAGGCGCATTATCATTATCATCATCATTATTATTATGGGCAGCAGTGTTACTTGCTGATGGCGAGGACGTGTCGCTACCGATACTATTATCACTCATCCTTTGCTTTTTCTCTGTTGGTAGTCTACCTCGTAGAACCATGAACCGCATATCCGGTAGACGCATTTCTTTCCTTTTTTTCGAGGGGGACCATCCCATAGACGAGGACTGGTAGTCGGCGGACGAAGTCGTTTCGATCAGCGAGAAACAGCTCTCAAAATCTAGCGAGGGAATAGTCGCTGCTGAGTATATGTGGATTTCGCCATGGAGTCTATCGTCACGCGCGGAGTCATCGTGCTTCGGGGATGCCTGTACATGTAAATCCGCCGGGTTGATGAAGCACGTGGTGAACTCGTGGACGCTCAGAGCATTAGTACGCTCGACTAGGGGAAGTTCTTTTGCCTGATATTCTGCAATTGTATTTATGGCCTATTTTAGTCTCCTTGGAACGATCTGCTTGAAAAGACTGGTTTCATCCATCTCACTCACCATCCCCTGCTCTTTCACGGTGATGTTTGGACAATCGAAGGCCAGATTGTGAATGCGACAACGATTGACGAGGTGAAGGTTTACTAACCCTGTTGTTCTTCGTTGCGGGCATTTTATGAACGGAATGTCGTCGAATAGAATGGCTAGGTAGGGACAAGTGGGAGTGAATTTTCTAGATGGCATCGAAGTCACATGAAAATCCGATAAGATAAACAAACAGCGCCGTCGAGTGTTTTTCCATCTTGAGCCCAACTCAACTCAGCCTCACCCATTATAATTATGCTGACTATGTGCCTCGGTCCTCTTTTTGCTTTATCCTAGGATACCAATATTCATATAGGTACAGTGATGTGCTTCTAAATTACAAATCGCCCAGACTCCGGCGAATCCGAATACTCCGACAGCTCCAGGCGCTCGCTGCCCGGAGCTCTCCTAGTCATGAACCATCGCACTTAATGCACGATACGCGCGGCCATAGTTCTTCCCAAACGATGCCAGATTGTGGAACCAACCAAAACCTCATCGCTGGTGTACCGGGTCGTCGGTCGCCCATCCGGCTATGAAAAAAGGCCACCGGCGTGGGCAGCCTTGGCCTTTAATTCTACCTTCAGCTTGTGACCAGCGGTCAAGGAGAAGCCTGCAACTCCACCATGCCCCTCGAAGCCACGGACACCGAGATGATGAGCCATGAGGGCCGCTGCGATCTCGTCTTTGAACGCACTTGCCTCGATGAGCTACATCTTTTCGCCTCCACCTTCTTCTGCAGGCGTACAGAGAATGCGCATGCGGAGTGACGATGAACCCTTCGCGGCACAGGAGGTCTGTGATGGTTTGGTGTGCAAATTGCTCCTGATACGCGATTTCCGGGTGACTGAGGAGTTACTCGGTCAGCGAAGCTCGTTATTAGCCTCGTCAATAATAGCAGAAGCAGGTTCTAGCACGTCTGTGACAGTGCCGGTCTGACAATTATGGTTGCGTCCATGGATTGTGCCATTTATTTGCAATTACGCCTGAAGAGGCTTCCTTTCCGTGGTATCGTTATAAAGGATTTGAAAATGCAGTCCATAGCGTAAGCCATTGTACTCAGCAGTTGCACCCGGATTCATGGCTCGTAGATAGCCGATGCATTTGGCTATCTCTATCGGACATCTGTTGTGCTTGTGAGTACGCATTACAAAACCTCCTACCTTTTACATAAAATGCAAAGGATGTGTTTGTGTTCGATATTACAATCGCGCTTTTTGAGGCATTGTTAAATCCTCAGATTTCATTGGCTGCCTAACACGGGTTGGCGGTGAACAAGCTGTACATATATGTATGTAATCTGCCCGAAAGCATCGCCAGCCGTTTCTCCAACTCACCCCAGCTTCCTGCCCACTATCTATCGAGGCACATAACGGTCTTGCTGCGAGCAGAAATATGTCTAATACTCCAAGCCCCCTAAGTGTCTCAATGACAGATGTTTCTCAGCCACGTGAGACCAAAAGGCGACGAGCCCGCCACCACAAATCTCGCCAGGGATGCTACACCTGCAAGCTACGCCGGGTCAAGGTCCGTCGACACCGGATATGAATGATTCTACAAATTTTCTCTCATTCTTCGTCAACTTGAGCTGTTGACCACATTTCATAGTGCGATGAAGCCAGACCAGTTTGTGGAGCGTGTTCCTTCCGTGGCGAGTCTTGCTGCTATCCGCCACCAAACCAGCAGCTAATGTATGTACCTTGAGTTTCAATGGAGAGGATACACCCACCTAGTTGATCGTTTGTTGACCTGCAGAATCCAAGTTCCTCAAACTCAGCGCGCTCTGCTCGTCTGGGCAGCGAGACTGTAGAGCAGTTGCTGCAGCCGTTAGAATTGCACCTGCCCGAGCTATCTGAGAATGTGTCTCGGGACGATGAAAGCATTAACATGGCAGACATGGCACTTTTGACATATTACATGATTCATGTGTCAGGCAATATGGCTGTCCATCCGGAGCGGAAACTCAGCTGGCAGCGAGTCATCCCAGCCCTGGCCGCCAAGCATGAGTATCTGATGCATCTTCTCCTCGCTCTGGCCGGTACGCATGCAGTATTTGAGGCGGAGAAGGCCCATGGCTCTCCACTAGTTCCCAACACCGATGGGAATATCTCCAATCAAATCGACGCCGCGCTATCGCGTGATTATCATCGGATCCTTGAGCATCACCAGAGAGGTCTTGAAGGTTTCCGGCACGCATTAGCAGGAATGACAGCCAGTAATGTAGAATACGTTTTCTGTGGCTCCGTTCTTATTGTGGCCTTTGCGTTTGCTTCGTTGCGAATCCGGGCCCTAAACGATGCGCACATGGCACCCCGCAGCGAAGATTCGCTCGAACAGCCCTACACCGACTGGCTACATCTAGTCCGTGGCTTAGCCACCGTAGCGCAGGAGCACTGGTTTTCGCTTAAAATCAGCAGTATGAGATCCTTATTGTTGTATGCCTACGCCAACGATGACTGGAAGCCAAACCCGCCGTCATCCCCGGCTACCATTTTCCCCCGCCTACAACATGCCTCTCCGCAGTTGCTTTTATTTTCGCAAGGCGCAGCTCAACAAATATCCCTCCTAGGCAACTTTGCAAGCATGCTGAATGAAGACGTTGGGACATGCATGGAAGGAACCGGAAGCCCAGAAACTCGTATATCCCCCGCCATGCAGGCCTCGGAACTTTTGAGCGAACAGATCAAGACGCTCGAAAAACTTGAGGAAATGTACATGCGCATTTTATATGTATTTCAATTCACGACCAGTCAGCATGACTGTTCCGTCTCTCGCGATCTTCAGATTGATCTCGAAGAGACTGCCGTCCTATCGTGGCCGCATGCCATCTCGAATGCATTTATCTTGTCCCTGCAACCGGGACAAGAATTAGGGATTCTCGAGGGTTTCTCATATGTGATTCTGGCGCATTTCTATGTGATCTCGCTGTTGTTCGAAGATCTCTGGTATATGAAGAGGGCCTTCCCACAGGAAATCCGGACTGTTCATAGGCTGATTGGGCGGTTGGCATATGGACCGCTTGCGTCTTTGATGGAGTGGCCAATGGCATTTGTTGCTGGACGGTGATTGAGTGTCATCATCTGGGGTTTCTCGGTATCAAGGCGTGTACGCCCTTTCCTACACGGTCTCCACTACTAGTTGGACTCAGGAAAAAAGCCTCATGTAACACATTTATTGCCAATACAAAGGGCATTCTATTATCTACAGTTAGCGGTACACCACCGCCTAAATATCATTTCAAAGAGCCATGCCCATGTCCCAAAAATCCATCTGCCGATTCCGCCCTCGACTCCAATTGGACATCCCCATCTCTCGGCACTTTTCCCCTCAGGATCTTCCCGGGATAACTAATAAGCAAAAGCACCGCCTGCAGTGCCATCAGACATGCATCAAATATATACAACAAATACTCTCTCTTCATGATATATCCGTCGTTTCCCTGCACGAACTCGACCACGCGGTAGACTGAGCGAATGAGTATCAGAATACACGCCCCGTAAATACACCACAACATGTATTGCCACGAGGCGCGGCCACGGGCCTCTTTCCGCGCAAGGTACCGCGGGTTCGTTTTGACGCGATAGTGGAAAATCGCGCTGGCGACGATGAAGAAGCCGAAGAAGAGAAGTTGAACGGCTAGACCACCGACGACAATGTCTGCGCCGACTTCCATTGCGGAGAGAGAGCCGGCAGCCATGTATCCACCTCCTAGGAAGTTGTCAGCTCGGGTTATGTGAAACGAATGCTGGTATAGGAATGGAAAACATACCTCCGCACTGCAGTAAGAAGGAGATAACATCACCGACGACGAAGATCTTGGCGATGTATTTCACGCGGAGGAGAGATTCGGACTCGGCGTCTAGATGAAGGATGAGGCGGCCGAGAGTCATGTAAATGGACGCAGCGAAGAGTGGAGGCGCGACGAGGATGAGCATCGTCTGAACGATGTAAGGTCCGAGGGCGACGGTGTCATAGTGGGAGAAGATTCGAGCGATGTAGCCGGCTGTTTCGACTGTTTCGTAGTAAGATTGGTAACGTTAGTTAGCTGCTCCCGAAAACATGATCAGAGTTTGCGACGTACAAAGAAGACCGACGATGTAGGGAGTGAAGAACCTGGCACGGTATCGAAAGAGTAACACGGTGTGAAGTATAGCCAGAAGGAAGAAGATGCCCGCGAAAACAGCGGCTGCTGCTATGGACGGCGTATACCGATAGAGAGCGTATGTCACCTGCTGGGAATCATCCTGAGAGGCCATTTTAGCTGGTGGGAAGGAGGGAATGCTGAATTGCAGGTATGCAGCCTGGGAACTTCGATATTGATACATATTTATAGTAATCACATAGCCATTCCCCAGATTCAGAGGTATACGAGTACGAGCGGGTCTCGCTCACGAATGGCTTGGCAGGATATCCCTCCACTCATTTTAAAGTTTTGCAAGTGCGGCTCAATGAACTTCGGTGTGATTGGCCAGCGGTCGTTCACACTTACTGTATGTATGACTATGTACTCCAGCGAACACCGGTCTTGTTTTTTTTTTCAACAGGTTAGAGTGGCTATCTAGCACTGATTCAAAAGATCTCCCCCCATCCGCCAAACGGCCACCAAAATGCGTTCACGGTATTACACTAGGTCAAAAGACACGAGAGTACAAACAAAACAAAAGTTTGTTGGCCGTGGTTCCTAAAGTAGTTAGACGCCGGTCGCCACATTTGAACCCATAATAAATCTCTGTTGCCGAAGCCGGGATCCACTTCCTGAAGTGGGGCATCGCATACGAATATACGAGTGCACGAGGCGAGGTTCATTGTTCATAGCGAAGATACCAGGGCAGCTGTTAGCTGCTCCTAGGAATATTAATCGCCACTTGGTCTAGTTAAGACTCCTCAATGCCCTCATTGATAATAGCAGATACTCGCGACAGCTCTAGTAGTAAGTGCAATATATTCTCGTTTGCAGGAATACAGTCATGGTGCGTCTATATTGTGTAGTTTCGCATGGAGAGGTCCTACTTGGGATCAACATAATAGTCTTGAATAAGCTCAAAAATATCGACAATCCATGAACATCTGAGATTCATTTGCGTTGTCCTGTTGTTAGGTGGGAGCCCGATTTCGTTGACTGTTTAACATTTTAATCACACCGCCTGCTATATCTGGCATACAGCCGCCGGCAGTACCGTTCCCTTAGCCCCAACCAATCCATCATATGTTCGGAGCAAATAAAGCATTAACATGATATAAAAAGCAGAGTGAAAACGGTAGAAAATAAAACATCGATCATGAAAGATAGAAAAGAAAACAGAAGAAAATTCGTTATATCTCTGCTACATGTGGCCTAGTCTAACTAAGCTACTTGCAACTAGTTCCGCCATTTAATTTAATTTTATGCATTTGCAATCCTCACCCTTTCCTTGGCTCAGTCAGTCAGATAAACTTTTAACTGACTGTGTATAATCCCACCATGTCTATCTGGCTATGCAGGTAACCGATCCATTCACAAGCCTCTATCCTATCTTCATACTAATGATATCTTAGTATTCTGCTAGCTCTAAATCTAGTATCCTACATTGCTCAGCTCTGCAACCTTCGAGGAGGAAAGAGTTGCAAAAAAACAAATACTCCTCTCCTCTACCTCGCCACCAATGTCCTCAGTGCAGTAGAGCAGGTGAATCTTTGTTCTTGGTATTCCAGGGATGTAGCGAAGAAATCCCAATCATATGGAGACCACTTTGCCCAAAGATCTCGCGAATGGATGGCTCTATCTCACATAGCGGCAGTCTGGATGATATTTTCCTTTGTGCAGTAAGCGAACAATTTGATATCATTTCAGTCATTTCAGCTCCGGGGTCTATCACTAAGGACTAGTTTTGAGTAGAATCTTAACGAGGGCCACCTACAGCTCCGAATCGTTCAGGCGAAGAACCTCGTTAACAGTTGTCTATGGCCTATATGGGCTGTTTGTGCTCATTCCTCTCATTTTTGGTAGTTCTCGCCGTACGATCGCTGAGACTTTTACCACCGACTTACCCTTCCTGCTGCCCTACATCAGTCCTGCAGTAATCTATTTTGGTTTGTATACATTTTCTTCAAAAAAAATCCTTCTGACAAGCCCGGATTCTACATCAACTTTTAGCCTCGCGGGAATTGCTAGCCAGGCTCTGGTACACGGTATTCTGCTTATATCTTGGGCTCAGATGGTCTGGCCTCGGTTGGAGCAAATTTTGACTTCTGTGTGGCCTGTTTTAGTTTTGTCTTATAATTTCTTTTGGTGGCCTATGGTGGACAATGCGATTTTTGCCGTACTACAAGGGAGGTTGTTCTGGATTGCTTTGAGAGGAAGGAAAGTTATCTCCAACAGAGATCAACAGGTGGTTTGGGAGGGAGATGAAGAAGGCTCGCTTTCACCAGGGATGACCTGAGATTCCTGTTACTCAATTAAGGATTCAGGATTGGGCTCACGGGGCAGTTTCTCGCATAAACAAGTTATTCCCCGGATATTTCTGATTGCACAAATATGCTACTGCAGGTACACGTTATACTGCATTATAGATATAGATCACAAGTTTAATATACTAAAAAAATACACTACCATATGGCAGCAGAACTACTCCTTCTGACATTCTTTGACGATCATATTGTCAGTATAGAGCATGTGCGTCGTGAAAAAAAAAATTATTTTGAACCGCTTATCTCCAGAAAGGTGAGAAAGCAGCATGCAGGCCCCTTCTTATTACCGGCGGACCTTCGATACACATCAGTCGATTCAATGCTACTTGAACCCCTCGCACACCATAATCCATGCTTACGGCAGTCGCATCTTCTATCTCCACAAATTGACCAACCAAAGCGAGATTAGTCATATTCTCTGGAATTACACTGGGACGGTCCGTAATCGTTCGAGGTAGCAGTGACGCTGACATGCGAGGCATCACGCATGGAACTGTAATGGAGTTGTTCAGTATCGGTTCCATGGGGAAATCGAGATGCCATAACAGTTCAGTCATTATCTCTTCTCCCGAGCAAAGGATCATTGGCTTTTTCACGAAGTTGCCTTCATGACTAGGAAGAAGGCTATAGCCCCAAAACACGTGCACATCGTTTGGTTGATCGGAAAAGAATGGTTGATGCGGTATACACAAGCTAATCATCCAGTGGCTACGCTTGAAAGACACTAGGGTCCCCAAGCCCAGCCTGTTATCTGTCAATTGAAAGAAACGGTCAAAGAACTCAGCACCTTTGAGTGTGACAGTAAAGGTCTCTAATCTAGACCCACGTGCGTGAGTGCAGAAGTTATAAGGGTTGCCGAATTTTGGATTTTTCGTCCCCAAATTTAGCCACAATGACCAGTTCTCGTCAAGTGCGATTTCCGGTTCCATGGAACTTGGCGGCGGTGATGATCTGTTGGTGCCGCTCGACGAGCCGGATGTGATAGATCCAATAGAAACAATAACAAGGTCGGTTGGACAGACCTTTATAACCCCCTCCAAGCCGTTCTGCACTGTATGGATTGCCGAAACTGATTCAACGCCACTTGCCGAATGTGTTTCAATATCTGTGACTCTATGGCAGAATCGAAAATCGACTCCTTGATTTTGAAGAAACTGAACGATTGGAACAACAATAGACTCATAATTGTTGTACCGAGTGCAATCGAGTATTTTCTTTGTGTTTAGGCTTCGAAAGTCAGACAAGTAGCCTCGAAGGCATCGACGAAATTCAGCAGCAGAGTGCCACGGCTGGAAACTAAATCTGTTGTTTCCTTCATCAGTATTGCAATAATCTGCGATGTCCTTATATAGCATACACAGTTGAAAAAACATTCCACAATGTACTGTTGAAAAAGCGTTTATCGAACAGCTCCTCGATTCGTTTTCGACCTAGGCATTTCTCGGTTTTTAACATGAGCGACACTAAGTCAATCCGATCTTTGAGCTTCACGCCAAATTTTTTGGTCTCCAATATCTCCAGCCGATAGTTCCCTCGAGTCAGCACAAGTGTGGTCGGAGATTCCTGGGAGGCTTTCTCAACATTAAAACGCTCTATGTCCTCTAACAGCGACTTGTTAGAGCTGGTAGTCGAAGGCACCAAGGCGAGCAGCCTTCTCATGCTGGAGTCACTAAAAGTCGGCATACATCCAGCTCGATAGTCATAGCCAGCTACTGGATTCCCAGTACTGATCATGCCATCTCCAGCTACACTGTGGGACTCGAAGATATGAATTTGAGATGCGGGGACTTTTGCATCACAAATTAAGTGCACAGCCGATGCTAATGACGCAATACTGCTTCCCAGTATCCAGGCATTGACCTCTGTAGGTGCTCGGCGCGCCGGAGACTGAAGAGGTTGCGAGCGACGAGTCATTGAATGTAAGGTGCAGTTCTCCAATTATGTATCTGTATGTTCTAAATTGCAACTGTCAGATGGACGGACCGTGTTATATTATCCCATAGGTATCAGCCTGGCTTTTGTTCAGTCACGCTTTTCTACAGGGGGTTGAGATCTTTGGAACGGATGTAGGAATCCATGACGTACCGTGTTACGAAACCAGCCTGCACAAAGCTAGCATGAAATCAGACCCAGCCAGGCTGGATTCATGGGCAAAGCAGCCATAAGTACTACCAACCATTGCCACAGCATATAATTACGATGAACGTTAAGATGGATAATTAAGTTGCTCTACTGATAAGGCTGATTTAAGTTAGTGGCTAAACAAGCAAAATGCGCTAAATACACTAGCTCTAAGTTAGGTACATCTACCCCGCAGCTAGTCCACCAATCAGAGTGCTGCCTGTCAAGGCCCACATATGCCCTACCTAGGTAAGTTAAACCCTGAATCTGATACAGGTAATATGCGATTTTCGATCTGGCAGTACAAGAAAAGTGCGTGAAGATCCAATGTAGTGAGTGGCTCAAGCCCTAGCAACCAACCATCGAATAAAAGATTAGGGCGGATCTCTCTCCAACTGGCTTGGCAGCATCCACGATTTTCCGTCAACTCCGATGTCGCGAGATGCCCAGTTCACTCCCAACCGTGACGCTTCCGTCGTTCGTGGGATGATAATCAATGATTACCCTGCACAACCCAAGCCAGGGCAATTTGCGCAACCGAGCAACCTTTCTGAGTTGCCAACTTCTTAATCTCCTCTACGATGGCCCTGTTCCTGTAGAAGTTTTTGCCTGGAACCTAGTGACTAAGATTTGGTTGGAGGTGGAAGGGGGAGGTTCACTGTATCTAAATTAAACAAGAAATCTAGCGTAAACAGTAACTGATCAGTGCGGAGAGAATCATTAAGGACCAAGTCATCAGCAGACTTGAATTAGAAGTCCTCTACAAGTCAGCCATGTCCTAGAATACTGCATGCCACAAAGGCAACACCAATTCTTTGGCTGTCTCAATCAAGCCACTGGTCTCGTGCAATGTTTCAAAAGCCGAGTATTCGCCCTGAACGGCGTTTATTTTGCCGACTAAGATGTGTTAGCAGGTGCCTCGTGTAATTGAAGGTAAATGAACTCGCGTTTGCCTTGCGCAAGGTTGCGACAGAGTATTCGGATAGGCAAGCACTTTGTTTTTCCGCAGCGAAGAAGTCTATCCAGGGTGCTAATGGACTCTTCAAGGGGGTGGCGTCTTAAATACAGAATCAGATACTTTGCCGACAAATTCTTTGGCCACGTTTTTTACATATTGGGGTCGATTCAGTGGAGATAGTAGAGTGGGTGAAGTGAAGCCTGTCAATTGTTCTTTCAATAATTTCTTGATATGAGAGGCGAAATAGTCACTATTCGTTGAGGACCGAAAACGACAAGCCCACTGGGAAGCTACTGGGGGTGATGTGATATGAGGCAATGGAACAATGTGGTAAAAAGGTGGAGTGATTGTTCTCTTCGAAAAGCTTGCCGCGTATATCATGCTTCTTGATGAAGTCTCCAAGCATTTTCGCCATTTTCGCCGTTTTTATAGGCAATCTGAAACGCGATTAGATGCTATGACATATCGAATGGTTAGTTGCTTACCGCAGTATCCTAAATAGTGCAGCCAATTTCAACGGCTTTCAACAGAACAGACTCGGACTGTTAAAGGTTGAGGTCTATGCCCATAGAAAAAATTAAGGGCCATGGCGCGGAAGCCGGGAATAGAAACCTGCTGGTCGCCAAACGTGAGCGTTTTGACCATTTTGCTGAGGCTGTTGCGGTCTACACGAGCTTCAGCGTAGACGTGACTTGTCAAGCCCCTAGCTCCATGATGAGCTTTCAACAGAAAATTGGCGCACATTTAGGTTTCTTAAACAAGTTATTCCAAAATTGTGAGTGAGAAGGTAGGCACCTTGGAATCAAGACAAGCTATATATATGTCGTCTTGTCACGCATCTGTCAAGTTAAACGATATCTGAATTTCATGTAAACAGACGACTTCAATGACAACGCTTTTTCGCACCCTCTTTTAATAAGGAACAAGGCAGAATAAGGAGACACTGATAGTCTGTCCGATATAGCGTTTCGAATAGCTGCAAGAAATAATGCCAAGACCCAATAACAATTGTACGTACTCTCGACCATTCCTCTATTGGTTAAGTCTCATGCAGGCAAATGGCAATTATGGATCGGGAATCGATCGAGGTAGATCTAGAGCGTTATCTCCTTGCGTCATGCTTCGATGAAACTTTTGTTATGTTCGCTTTTCGATTCTTCTGGTCATACGATTGCATGCGTGATATGCGATTATGGATGACTGACCTGTTCTTGCTGAGCAATAGCTTGCAAATGAGCGAAGCGGAAGATCTCGACAAGCGGACTGTTTTACAGTCATTCTCCAAGCGCATTCATTCCTGGCCAGAGGAGGACTGGCCAGGAATTTCAGACTCCAAACAACGCAAGAAAATCCAGAATCGTCTAAACCAGAGGGTCCAACGTAAGTCTGTCTACTCCGTTTGTCTAGTTGCTATATGGCTCATGCCCATATTGCGATTAAGGATTATGTAAAGAGGGACCTGACACAGTCTAGGGAGCGGAGACTGCGGTAGTCGTTCCTTACAACGCCACTCTTCAGGTGCGGTTGAATCTTGTAAAGAAAATGTGGAACAGTCTCCGAACACTGATCCCTCCCTTGATAGTACTATGGGTCAACTGCTCATAGAAATAGAAAACGTACATATCTTTGAGACAGACTCACAAGTGACTAAGAGGCTGATGCATAATTTTGAAGCGATAGCATGCCACCAATACATGCTTGGTTCTCCGCGTACAGACGTGCTCCTCAGCTTGTCTCAGTCTAATTCCACGAGTTACGACGATCCCATATCACCATCCAATACTGCCGGCCCATCGCAGTATGGCTTCTAAGCCTCATTAACCCACAGCCTCCAGCCCACTTTGATTCAACGCGCCATAGCTCACCCTCCATAGGCCCAGGGTTGCGGAGCTCCATGAACGTAGAACATCCCCTTTGGTTGAGCAAGTTGCTTCCATCATCTTCAAGCGGTGTAGTCCTTCGATTGAATGCTTGTATATACAGTGAACGTAGGACCGGGCAAGGACACTAATAATGCATATGCCTGCTTTCTAAGCGCACAAGGACATACAGTCATTTCCGGGAAGGGTTGTCCCTGCTTTTATTTGATAGAATATCACAAAATAAATAAGGCTTATCTGTCGGTTCATATCTTAAAGTCATAAACAAAGTCCAGAGATCTTACTAAACAGCAGTGATTCATCATCTAGGGATTGCGTGCAATTGATTTCATTAAATATATGTCAAACATACAAACTTCTGACTAGATAATTCCAGTTCATAAAGCTCCTAAGACTAAAAGAACCCCGCCATTAAAGTCATTCCTAACATGGCTTTACTTCGATTCAACATTTCTTCTCACCCTGCCCCTCATCAAGACCAACTTGACGTCTATAGTGTTTATGTTGATCATTCTTGCCATAGTGACGGATAGTTCGCAAGCCTAGTGCCAGAAAGGTAAGGCACATTAAAGGCACACAAATCATGTGAAAATAATTTGTCCACAAAGTTCCGGAAAAGGAGGTATGAGCATGAGAGCAATGGCGATTAATGGCATCGTCAATTCCTTCGACGTGACCAACGTGTGTTTCCAAGCACTGCAATATAAAAGTTTTCAACGTGGGCTCTTCGTTCGGAGGTGAACATAGTAGGGCAAACGTTTTAGCGGAAATGTAAGGCGGATCGTATGACTGTAGCCAGAAATTGCAAGCTTGTATAGAGCGATGCTCGTTTGGTGAAGACTGGTCTTCAGAGGCTGTGTCAAGTCCGCCATTTTGAGGCAAACCAGACGGTTGTTTATTTTGGCGAATCATAGTTGTCTGTAATGATTTCTTTGAGCAAATTGGGTGATGTGCAGAGGGGAACTAAACAAACCACTAGAGGAACAAATTCTCTGTCAATGCCAGAACACGATTACGCGGTGAATATGCCACTGTGCTGTATCAGCAGCAGGATTTTTATGATTTTGGTTTTTGCAGATAGCATCGGAGAGCAGCCATATCTACATGTAATCAACGGAGAGAACGACATGCAAAGCCTGGATGCAATGCGCCAAGCATTATCACTGTCTATCGCCGTCAGCGACTTGCATTAGCGTCTCCACTGAGAGAACTATGAAATACGAAGTGGGGCCTAAAATCCCTAGTGTAATAATGTAACGCAAATACTGCCAAAAACCAATAATGTATCCCTTTTTGGAATAGTGGTATATTGTCCCTTACTATCGATATAGTACTTTCTTGTGCTGATGACCTTGACCAGAATCTCAAAGAGCATGATTGCAATTGGATGCTAGTTTGAGAACAGCATCGTTTTAATAGTACCGCCTTCCACATGTGGAATAATAACCGCCAGCAGTATTATTCTTTCAGCCCTAATCAATATATATCTTCGAAACAAGGAATATTCAGGAAAAGGAAACCAGCATAAATCAAAATAAAGAATAAACAACACAAAAAATGCAGTAAGCAAAAGGAAAATAAACAAGCACAACCACAGAAGAAAACCTAGATCATGATAGACAGAAAAGAAAAAAAAAAATATGACAAAAGAAAAGGCGAGTGCGTGCGACATAAACATATAAGAAAACTCACTGACGTCCTTTTGGAAGCCATGTCAATTACCGCGGAGAGGAGAAGTTCAAAAGCCCAAAAAGACGATGCTGGGTCGGTCAATATTCCAAGTAGTAATGACAGAAACAAGCCCTAGTGACGTCCATATTTATCTTCTTTCTGTTTTCTTTTGTAATCCTCTTTGCTAAGACCTTTTGTTGGCCTTATTCCTTTTTGCTTTTGATCGTAGATTTCAAGGTTGCTTTCAGCCACCCCTATTGACCTTGCAATTCTGCTTGCGTTGGCCTTCCGATTATCAGCGGCTTTCCAGTGATTTTTGTCGTCGAAATGTGCATATGAGTAGGGGTACTTCTGGATAAATCCAGAACGTGACATTGCAGCACTAATATTTATGGTTAAGCTTGGTGAGCGAAGGGTGAATCTTGGTTATACGTACTCGTTGGCCATTCTCCGAACTTCGGTTCCCTGATCAATGATCGTGTGGTGATACGAAACATCTTCTTGGTTCTTAGGCATTCTTGGTCGACCATTCTTCGGCATGGTATTTTTAAACTCGGCATACGCCCCATCACTTTCTTTCTCTTTCATTTTGTAGTAATCGTATTCTTTCAGTACGTGAGGAGGGTAAGGATCCGGACGTTTAACGTATGGTATCGGCTCTTTCGGTGTGCGGCGGGGGAGGGAGAATGAAGATGAAAGCCCCTTCTCAACATTTTGAAAGTCGGGCCCATAGTAGCTAGGCTCTTTCCAGTTGTAGCTGTCGCTTTCACGCCTCATAATTGGTTGAGGACGGGTATGAGGGATTTCTCGAGTACGGTAGGACGTTGAAGGCTCTCTCTCGATGTACTGGACTTCATGAGTGTGGTAGCTTCTTTCGCCTCGTGATTGGCTAGAAGAGTAGCGAGAGGACATTCTTGCTCAAAGATAACAAAGCTTAGACTGGAGAAAGTGAGAGAATCAGGCTTATGAGAAAACTGAAAATGAAAGCTTCTTTATTATTTTTATGTTGTAGAATTGGATATGACCTTGGAGGGTATCAGGCGACTTTTTAAAAAAAAACCAGAGATAGCTTCATCTAAGTTCATTGAACCTCTTGACCATGTTGGAATGCGGCGCAGTTGGAAATCTATAATTAAAACACCAAGCCCCCGTTTCGCCAATTCAGCAGGTAGTGATATCAAACGCCGATGAATCTTCTCGTCTGTTTACCTATGAAAGAACTGCATACTAGTCAGGTTGAAACGGTTCAAGTCGTGGAAGCGGTCATCACAGCCTCCGCTAGGGCGGGGAGCCTCTCTCTCTTTGTCTAGAATTGCGCTGGTTCCGGTCTCAGGGAGAGTTTCATTTAGCTATCCCTACTAGGGGCATAACTTAACATCAAATCATGGTTAGACACGCAGCCTACTTAATGAGGGATTGAACTTGGAGATGAGGTGATCCGCTGGCGCTAATTTGATCTCATACGTTCCCCGTACTTGATATGTTTCATGATCAATAATAACTTGCGGCTGCATAGCTATATACTTATCATAAACTATGAGAACGATCTGAATGTGTTATGGTTGGCTGTCGATGTATTTCCTTATACGTTTCATATGGTAGGTCGGCGCTTACAGAATGTCCAATCAGCGTTGGCGAAACACCGCAGCTTAAAAATAGTATAGTAACCCCCACAACCTTCTATCCACGACAATCAACCCATCTCATCGATTTTGTCGTCCTTGAGCTAGCTGACTCTAAGTATATCATGAAACTCTACTGCCTCTTACGCCGCTCAGGTTTCTCCTACCTAGATATTTTTTCATACTGAAGAGTCGGTCTTGAGAGAGGATCAGGGCACAATGGTGAATGAAATGCCTTAAGTTTGATCTCCTCAGAAGTACTTACACGTATAACCAGGCGAAACCTACTCTGGATGGCCTTCCAATTGAGCTACGAGTTTCTATTCTGCGTGAGGTCTCTGATTTCACATCACTCCGAGCGCTTTTATTAGCATCCCGCGAGTATTATCGAGCCTACGATAATATACGACCAAGGATTCTTTTCGAACTTCTATTTCGTCAATACAACGGTCAGGTCGATTTTGTTGAATCTCTAACAACAATTCGGTCTAAAGGTCTATGGGCCGAGGATGCAAAAAACACCGAAGATATTATTGCACTCCTCGATTTCCGGCGAAGAGCTTCTAAGGAGGGGAACTTACCGAAATATGACCATGATTCACTGACTATTAAGGAGCTTGTACAACTTCTTAAGTTGCATGAAACGGCAAGCTTTTTGCTAGAGGATTATTCTAAAAGCTTAGAGCAACCGGACTGGTGGCAATCAGGTACACATGGGGTTTGGAAGCCTGTGCGATTCTCGTCCAATGAACGAACTCGCTTCTTTAGGGCCTTCTACCGTCTCCAAACATGGTGTCACATTTTTGGGCACATGGAATATTACCCCATACGCCCAACGCGAGAAACAGACCAGTTCATAAACGATTGGTATGGGAAGACATTTTCTGCTGCCGACGCATGGCGTCTTCTGTGGGGAACTATGCCACCCTGGGAAGTTGAGGAAGTGGGATGCATATGGCTGTATTGTGATAACAAGTACTTGAAAATCTTCGAGGAGATCAGAGACACGCTTCTCGAGAGATTCGTTCCGCGTTATCCCGGTGCCCCACCTACCGTCGAAAACCATTTGGATGGGGATCTTGTACCGGAAGGCACACCGATGTCGAGTATAGACGAACTTGAAAGTGAGCGTGCCCATATTCCACGGATCCAACCTATTCAAAATACTAACTTTCTCTCATTCGCAGGTATGGATGGATGTTCCCGGAGAGACGAAATGATTGCTATCGGTCTCTGCTTCTTTGCTAAAGTCCTACGCTCAAATAACGAGGAGAGAGAAAAGGCAATACTAAACAATCTTCGACGTCCCTTTTGGACCTCTGTAGACAGGGAGTTGTGGCAGATCGGGAGATTGGGCAACAACGAGAGACTACCTCTTTTATCGCCGGCTGATCGCTATGAACGTGAAGATCTCGCGGATGTTATTTCTTCCTGGCCGCTTTTAGAGCAACCAAATCAAGCCTGGATAAAATATTGGTGCGCCGGGACACCTCTTCACCCAGATATATGGCTAATATACCCCCTTGGACATGGTGTCCCAACGTGTGCGTTGGATACAGGCGAATGGGACTGGGGATATGTTTTGTGGGATACAGAGCGTATCTTGCAATGGAACCCCCCAGTTTTGGAACAAGATTTCGATCCCTGGCAGACGTTCACCCGCAGAGATACATAGAGAAGAATGAAGCAGCATTATCTTATCTTATCTTATCTAAGATAGCCAGATAGGCAAGTCCCCAATAGAGAAAAAAGCATTGCCCGCACATAATTGGCTGGAAGTGCCGAGATGCTATCAAACCGCAGCTGTGATTGGCTGAGCCTGCCGAGATGTGTTCGCAAGACTTTGTGCAACAATGACGCTGGCACGTGATATGGGATGACGTTGCGAGCTCGGAGCAAAGCAGCGAATCACAAGCCGAGCAGCGCGCCGCGACTGCCTTCCGCAGCTCGATATAATAATCCTAACTTCCTAACTTTCGTGATTTCCACGCCGTTCTTGCTTCTCTCTTGAAAACTTTCATTCTGTCTGTTTGCACACTGGCCGTGCCAGCTTCGTTGGGCCCGAATTCTTTACCCCGCTTGTTGATAAGACTCGCAGTGCCGAGCGGCCGGCACTTCTGCTGAAACCGAGGGGAAACTCGGAAGCCCCTCACGATTAGATTTCTCACTAATCAAGTATAAGACGCTCCTACCTTCTTCGCCTGAGCTATGGAACGATTTGTTCGACCTTTATGTCGACAATTGACGAGGCAACAACTGCGATATCCCTACACCATCCCTCCATCTCCAGCATTTCTGAGACTATACAGCAGCATGGGCCACACAATCCCTCCCGTAAGTCTATGCCCATTGACAATTATGACCGTTCAACTAATAAACGATATTGCTTGTACAGTTAAAAGATAAATCCCTTTTCATCGAGAAGGCATATGTCAATGGCGAATGGGTTGGGGCACAATCTGGACAGACATTCGAAGTTCATGGTGAGCACCATAACAAACAACCGCGTGGTGATTGATCGCTGATAAGTAGAACCGTCATGATGAAGACCCATCCGATGGCAAGGTTATTGGCACCTGCCCAGAATTCACCGCTGCCGACACAGAAACGGCCATCAAGGCTGCCGCCGCCGCTTTCCCCAGTTTCCGCAAGACGCTTGCTCGGGAGCGAGCCCGCATGTTGCGAAGATGGTATCAGTTAATGATAGACAATGCAGATGATTTGGCGACCCTGATTACCTGGGAAAACGGCAAGCCTCTTGCTGACGCGAAAGGTGAAGCCACCTACGCTGCGAGCTTTTTCGAGTGGTTTAGCGAGGAGGCTCCTCGTATCTACGGTGATACCATACCGGCATCTGTTCCCGGAAACCGAATTATCACGCTAAGAGAGCCGGTCGGTGTTTGCGGTCTCATTACCCCCTGGAATTTTCCTGCTGCTATGATCACACGTAAGATCGGGCCTGCTCTGGCGGCAGGCTGCACCGTGGTTGTAAAGTCTCCAGGCGAGACTCCATTCACAGCTAATGCTCTAGCTGAGCTCGCCTCGCGCGCTGGTATTCCCAAGGGTGTTGTGAACATTGTAACGGCAGACAAGAATGTGGCTGAAGTTGGAGAAATCCTGACCACACACCCGGACATTCGCAAGGTCTCTTTCACTGGATCCACAAACGTCGGCAGGCTACTCATGAAGCAAGCATCTTCAACTGTCAAGAAAGTCTCCTGGGAGCTTGGTGGGAATGCCCCATTCATCGTCTTTGACGACGTCAAGGATCTTGATGCTGCCGTCACTGGAGCTATCACGTCCAAGTTTCGTAGCTCAGGGCAAACCTGCGTGTGCGCGAATCGTATCTATGTGCAAAGGGGAATTTACGATGAGTTCGTCACCAAGTTTACCGAAAAAGTCCGAGGCTTCAAACTTGGACCTGGATTTGAAGAAGGCATTACTCACGGCCCTGTCATTCATTCTCGTGCAATTGCCAAGGTCGAACAACATGTGCGAGATGCAGAGTCCAAGGGCGCCAAAATCACCGTCGGTGGGCAGAGAGCACCTGAGCTCGGCGAAAATTTCTACTACCCTACTGTCTTGTCACATATGACTAAGGATATGCTCGTGGCTTCTGAGGAAACCTTTGGTCCTGTTGCAGGCCTGTTCCCATTTGATACCGAAGAGGATGTCATCAAGCTTGCCAACCAAGCTGAGGTTGGCTTGGCTGCGTATTTCTTCTCTAGCGACGTGAGACGGTGCTTCCGTGTCGCTGAAGCGTTGGAGGTCGGTATGGTTGGTGTCAATACCGGTCTCGTCAGTGACGTCGCTTCACCGTAAGTCTTCGTACCTTTTTCTTTTTCTTCTTTTCTATTTCTTCTTGCAGTTATTATTTACTAATTGATTCATAGATTCGGAGGTGTCAAGCAAAGCGGTTTCGGTCGTGAGGGAAGCAAGTATGGTATTGAGGAGTTCATTACCACAAAATCAGTTACGTTTGGAGGCATCACCGAGCCTGGTTTGTAATCTATAAAATATTTTGTTTTAATTAAAAATCGTGGTCTAGTCAAGGAAGATTGCACTGCAATTAGTTACTAGTTATTCCTAACTTGAAAGGTAGTCAATAATTCCTAACGCTTGCTTTTTATTCCAATAGCAAACTATAGACGTCTTCATATTGTGGTGAAGCGGTGAAACCATAGAATGCTCTCCTAAAAGGAAGCTGTGCCGAAGGACAGAACACAGTTAGAGGCATTGTATTCAACTTCCAATGCCTCGCAACTTCGATACTGACAGGTTCACGTATTTCATCTTCGTTATGCTTCATGCATGCAGTTTAGGCCATTCATAGGCCAGATAGAATGCTTCACAAAGCCTCGGAGGAAGTAGATTTGCATCGTGAGGATGTGCAATCATTCGATGGGAAGCGCATGGAATTGGTACTGGCGAAGGTTTGAGACAAACCGTGTTATTCTCCACTCCTCATCTAGGCCTTTAAATCTAGCGACTGACAGGACGAAGACCCTTTGTATAATATCCCTCCCCGGGCGACCATAAAGTATATGGCGACAGACTATCTCCCCTCGGAGGGAGTGAATGTGGAGAGAGTATCGACGAGTTGACGGCGGCGTGTGCGGCTTCATAACCCTATATTTCAACACCAGACATGGAACGACTGTTGGCTGTTAGAATATGCAGTGAATCCACATATAAGGAGGAAGGCCAGGCATGCACACATACGAGTGAGTACAGTGTTAGCTCGCCCATCGTCTTTGAGGAGGCCGAGATTTTTGGCGTCACACGCATTACACTGACAGGGCCAGCGAGTATATCACGTTGGCTGAGAGACCTGGATGATACTGTTCAACTAGTGTTCTCTGAACGAGAGCTCTTAAAACCTCGAATACCGTATAGTAACCTAGGTCCTATGATTAGAGTCAGAAAAACAAGTGAAGACTAAAACGCATGAGAGGAATAGGCTTACAGATCGCGAGCGGCTTAGAGTACCTCCTTTTATATAGTCATGAATCTGTAATGAACGCTGCTTGAGCTGAAGCAGGAACCGAAAGGGCTGGAAATGTGTAGCAGGCACGCTGTCACATGGTCAATCACGTTTCCTACAGAGCAGCCTTAGGCAGAAAGGCAGACCTCGTCTAAGCACCATGCTCACTATAGACAGAATAACGATGTTTATTGTCTTTTCTCCAGCGTGAACCAAAGCCTTCTTCTGTTACAATTGCAGCACTCAATACAATTGACTGCATCACTATAGGTCACTATAGATGTAACATGTCTTTGATGATTCTTACTTTCTCACTGACATCAAACAGTATGAGCGAGATTGCAACATTACCTGCGGCATTTTCCATGACAGAGCTGAGGTAAGATTGGCTAGCTCCAGATCCACAGACCTCAATAGCCGTCTAATCGTCTTGTCAGACCTTAATCAACTAATAAAGAGGAAGCAAGCTGCTTCATAATGAAACCTTCTTAGCTCGAGAATGAGATGGAATTTTCCAGACCGCCTCTTGAGATTACCAGATTCCACCTCTATCGTCTCAGTTGCAAGTCTGAAGGTTCCGATTTCATACGAAGTGGCGACAAGCCTCTGTCGTCGTAGCTAGTCATGGATGAGCCAAAGTTGGGACCAGATATTTGCAAATGACCGGGCTACGCCACCAGCCCGACTAAATTCGTAGAGTCCAATAGTCAGATGCATCGTGCAGGTGGAAAACGAATGTCGTGAAAGAAATTATGCATAGAATGCATCGATTAGGATAAGACACAAAGTTATTGAGTTTCGCTCATCCATATGACAACATTCACTCGGCACACTTCATTACAATGCCCGTTGTGCGCTGTACGGAGTACGGACATAAGTCAAACAACTTGGTTGTCCACTGATCCACTTGTGCTCGCTGGGAACAAAAGAGGTGGAAAGCATAGGCTGGACACGGCTCGAAGAGACGTCGATGCACCGTGGGTGACAAGCAATGCGTAAATCCTAGCGTTTTCATGCGTCAAGCAAACCACATGGCTGAAAGCTAGCCACCTGAGTAATGTCCCGAGACGTCGACGATGCGAGCGTTCCGAGCGAGTACGTGCACCAATTGCCTAGGGGACTGGTGCGACGAAGACATGAGCAGAAACAGAGGGGAATAAGAAAATAAAACAAAGCGAACAAAGACAAAGATGGACGAAATGTCTTTGTTCAGGGCTTTATTGAGCTGATGAAGAAACGGCCGCTGTCAATCGGGATATTGGCTATTGATACCCAAAAAGGGAAATTCTGCACTGACGCAGACTTGCCCCTTTCGGCGTGCTCAATGCCAGCCAACTTATTGACTGCGTGAAGCAGACGCTTTCAACCTCCCAATGGCGCTGCTTCGCTTAGGATGAACCAGAATATCTCTTCAATCTGGACCCTCGTGTCTTCGTCGTGACGTTGGTAGCGATGAATTTTATTGTGGATGAAGCTTCTCTCTCACGCACTGACTCTGCTCATTGTCATCTGAGATGTTTCATCTTTATAAAGAACAAGTCTAATCCCTCATGGCAACTGTCTTTTTGTTCCCTCTTATCCGTGCAGGAAGACTCCCTTGCAACTATCCCAACTACTACAATCAGTAATATACTTAGCAATCTGTTCTCGACAGACAGGTTGGATCAACTATCCGTCATGAAAATTATCTTCATCATGCTAGCCACTCTGGCCCTTCGAGTCGCTGCTGCTCCAGTTGCTATCAAAGCTCCGGCTGCTGTTCTACCGCCTGGTGCCGAGGACATCGAAGAACGCAGCAATTGGTGCACGGCTATCGGTGAAGCATGCTTCTAGGCAGGATATCGTGCAAGTCCAGGGAAAGCATACGATGTATGTCCCTCGAAATTCTGCATTCATTTGTGCTGTATGAGAGTCGAGCGTTTTGACTAACCTCGGAACCATCAGTCAACATCACACATCCTGATAGTTATTCTCCGAAGTCATGCTCCTTCAACGACAGGTAATATTTATACCTGAAAATTAAATCTTTTCACCATGTTCATATTTCACTTTTACTGCAACTGTCAATATACGGATCCTCGATGTCGACAGAGTGACGACTGAACCTTGAATTGCGGTTCATACGTACACAGAACACGCTTTCAATACGCACACAACGCACATTCGGACAACTCCAAATATCTTCTCGGAGACGAATCGAGGCTGGCCAGTCCTACAGGTCGTTTCACGAGATTCAAATGCTTGCCTTCGACGTGGAGTATGTCTATCTATAACGCAAAATACACTCCGCGACCTCCAACGGCTTGTCTCAACGAATATGCTCAGCGAACAATCACCAGTTGCCAACTTTCCGCACGTCTACAGGATGGAATACTTGTGATTTATTTATCTTCATTGTTAATTTTCCCCCCCTCTTCTTTCGCTTCTTGTGTCTATTTCTGCATATCTCTTCTTTAGGTCTTGATTTTGACCTCATCCATGTTTCAAACATGAACTGAACATAAGATCACTATGCACACTCATGGGAATCAATAAAGAACCTGGGTATTCTATCATGTATTTAACGTTTTCATCTTTTGGACATATGATCATTTGCTGTGTATAAATGAACACTCGCTATTTGCACATACAAAAAAGAGACTGTTAGTGTTTCGTTTCAATCTTATGGGAAAATTGTAGCCTCGAATCACTTATTCTCCAGAAACATCAAAGGTGGTCAATAAATCAATGTCAAATTGAATTTTGCCCACAACAAGTTTACTAGAAGTTTCTAACGGTTCTCTTTGTCAATACAATGCTATTTTTTGTTGCCACGTCGACATGCATAGACTGCAGCATTTAACGCGCATGCAGAACAAAGAAAGGAATATTCCACGGCATACTTGAAACGCTAGCTTGAAATATTGTCGCGGAAGTCATCGAGTGTGCACATAATTAGCAAGTGATATCGTAGGATAGTCAGAGCTACTTCTCTATCTATACGCTGTCGTTTTACTGAAGAATACGATAGACATGCGAAGCACCGTACGAAATCCAAGCTGTTCCGCTGGTTATTACTGTCAACGATTTAGGCAACAAAGCCCCGTTAGGTCTTGCCGGCATCACGTGGCAGCCGATATTATTTGTCATGTCAGAGCTGTTATGGACGAATCTGATAAACTTAATAGATAATAGTAAGTCAGGATCTTCAACTGATCCATGGATCTATCCACTTTACCCCATGCTCGATCGTCAGGCGCCGGTATCTGTCTCTGCCTACATGATCCGATGGCTGCCTACATGGAAATACAAAGCCTATGGTCTAGTGGAAGCAGTCGTGAGCAAAACATAAACAACTCCTAGTGCCAAATATAATTGCATAGGCTAGGCTCAGATCTCGTCTTTGGTGTGTTTGGACGGCATGCCCTGTGTACCACGGTTCCGCTCAGTCAACAACACCAAGACACCAGGCATGACTGAGAAAGTCGGAGATTACCTGTGTAGCCTGATGTGCGCAGGCTGTAAAGATATAAATATGGTAAATATTATGGTTACTTCTGCCTATATATATAATTTTATCGAGGCAATACCTTTTCCTCCTACATTATTCCATCCTCATTCAAATCACTACTACTATCTCCTCGACGTGAAAGCTCTACACTGAACTTTTTATACGCAATTCTATATATCTAGCTACTAAAGCTACCAGAAATCATAAGTTTCTTCTTGGTCTTGAAAGAGACACTGGAAATGCGACACTTCAGACCTCCTTTGGCAGCCCTTGTGCTCATTACCGGTGCGGTCTCATACGAACACCAACCAACTAATGCTACTCACCCATGGAGTGAACGCATCGATCTCCCTCTTATTCCAGTGGCAGTTTCCATGGTTCCAACTACTGGAGAGGTTGCAATCTGGGCTGCATTCAAGAATGATTCCTTTGGTGTTGACGCAGCCGGAGTCACTCAGACGGCTATCTACAACCCGAAAAACGGCACGATTGCCCATTACTCAATATCACATACCGAGCACGACATGTTCTGTCCCGGAATCAGCCTAGATTTTAAGGGACGTATTATTGTTAGTGGTGGAGACACGGAGGAAAAGACAAGTATTTTCGATGGAAAAGAATGGAAGGCAGCGTCCGATATGAAAATCCCACGCGGCTATCAATCATCTACTACGATCACTGATGGGCGCATCTTTACTGTCGGGGGTTCTTTCAGCGGCGGTATAGGAAACAAGGACGGGGAAATATATGATCCTGAGGCTGACGAATGGACGCTGCTGCCTGGCTGTTCTGCTGAACCAATGCTGACCAACGATGCGGGTGGCATCTATCGTTCAGACAACCACGGCTGGTTATTCGCATGGTCGAATGGCTCTGTCCTACAAGCTGGGCCAAGCACTAAAATGCACTGGTTTGACACTCATGAAAACGGGTCTATTACGCATGCTGGAACTCGAGGAAACGATACTGATGGAATGGCCGGTATGGCTGTTATGTATGATGCTGGCAAAGGGAAGATTCTCACATTGGGTGGTGCACCGTCATATAACGACAGTAAGGCTACATCTAACGCCCATATCCTCACTGTGCATAAGCCTGGAGAGCCTGTCCTTGTTGAGGAGATCAACAACATGCATTCTGCGCGATCATTTGCCAACGCAGTCATTCTGCCAGATGGAAAAGTCTTCGTTGTCGGAGGTCAGTCTTATCCTATTGTCTTCACAGACGCAAACTCTAGCATGGTCCCTGAACTGTGGGATCCAAAGACAAAAGAATTCACAGAGCTTCCAAAGCTTCCGACCCCACGAAATTATCACTCTTCCGCTCTGCTTCTGCCAAATGCTACAGTTTTTGTTGGCGGTGGCGGTCTATGCCCCTATGCCTGTGAGGCCAATCATTTAGACGCCCATATTTACACTCCACCATATTTTTTCGAGTCCGACGGCGTTACTCCAGCAAAACGCCCGATTATCAATCATGTTGTAAACCCCACGCTGAAAATTGGCCAAACTCTCAATGTTTCGCTTTCACAACCAGTCGAATCAACTCAGAAACTCACTTTTTCGATGGTACGAATGAGCAGTTCTACACACACAGTCAACACTGATCAACGCCGCGTGAACGTCTCTCCACAAGCTGCAAATGCAACTCTCTTTACTCTTGGCCTGACACGTGATGCTGGCGTGTTATTGCCTGGTTATTGGCATTTGTTTGCCATGCTGAACGGCGTTCCTAGCGAAGCTGAGACAATTCTCGTTGAGCCTCCGATGGCATCTCAATAAAGCAGAGGTTATGGCGGAGTTGTGTTATCATCTATCTGGAATTTGTTCATGGATTAGACACATTTACTTTTTATGTTTGCTTCTTGATATTTAGGACTGTGTCGTGTTGTGAAAATTGCAGTTCATGTATTGGCAGGGGTATCTCGCTCTTGATTATCACATGAAAAACCTTAATCATTATCTTTTCTTTGCCAGGCTGAAACTAGACTTTCGATGTCGTATGTCAAAAATATCATTAGCTTCTGTTCATTCCGCACCTGCTGTGTAAGCAGCATACCCAGAATGGGTGGTATGCGCAAAATGATAGTAGGAAATAAGTATTCTAGTGCTGTTAGGAAGCCCAGGTAGTCATGAGACTATGTAACTCACATTCATGAATCACTGTTCACTAGTAACTAATGGGAGCAACTGATGGAACGAGGCCTGTTAGGGCTATCGTGCCGCTAAGCAAAACTTGGTTAGCCCCAATACATACACGATTAGTCGTTGTGAGTCATTTGCACTGAGCCCAATCAGGATGCATGAGTGGCAGAGGAAGCCTCAGCAAGGAACGAGTGACTCCGCCTTCCGCCGCCACCGCCCGCTGCATCAGCCAATTAGCAAATCATCCGCTGTGGGGCCGATGGAAGCGCCGTCAGAAAGTTTTTTTTTGGATCGGTAATCTTTTTGGCATCGCATCCCCGCCACCGACGAGCAGATGGTGGTGCCTGTTTGTGCACCGCGGGGAGTGCTGTTAGTCAGTATCGCTTTTATAACTACCATTCATTGCGGAATACATCAGCTACTTCTTTCCTCCCTTTTCCCTTCTCTTCCTGCGTACCCTTTTAAGACGTCTTATCTCGTTCTTGAACAGCTACCCCAGCAACACTAAACGTGAACGCAGCTGTCCCGGAACTCAAAAATATCGCTACTGGATCTAGCATGAGCGCCGCCGAGGTCTCAATTGTCACTGCCGCTGTGGCAACCCCTGAAGACAACGCGAGAGGAAATACGGGATCACGAGGTAGAGGAAGACGGGGACGGGGGCATCACCGTGGTCGAGGACGAGGAGGACATAACCGGAGTCAAGGCCGAGATGGAATAGAAGAAGCACCGGCTCCCATACTGCCCGATGCAACTGGGATACAGAACCTCGCACAATCCTCGACACAACAAACACCCAGTGGACAACCCCAACGACGAGCCCAATCAAACAGGCATCCAAAGCAGACACAGGACACCGCCCGCGGAGGGCACACTCACCAAGGCAGGCGTGGCAACCGCTCATCTCGGGTGAGGGCGAACAGGACAGCTAATAACAATGGACATGATCGAATTTCCCCTCAAGTTGGGGGCAGGTCATTCGGAGGTCGGCTGACAAGAAATGACGAGGACGCGATAGAAAACCCATCACCGTCGCTTGCCACGACTCATGATGATCCTTTACATGCCGATGCCCCTGAATTTGTGCCAGGACAATCGCCCTCTCACGGACTCGACTCCAAGACTGGCTCGCAGCTCGTCAAAAAACAAGCCCGCAAACCTCCTGCGAAGATAACGACAAAATCGACGGCGCCGGATTTAGCCACTCGTACGCACGAAGATATTGCCAATGGTCTGTATGAATGCCCTATCTGTACAAGCGAGCTAGGCCGGAAATCCCGGATTTGGTCGTGCGGTCTGTGCTGGACAGTGTTCCATCTCAGCTGTATCAAGAAGTGGTCGAAGAACGAAGGATCGGCTTTTCAGCAGCGTCAAGCAGAAAATGGCACAGAAGCTCAGCGACAGTGGCGCTGTCCTGGATGCAATCTGCCACAGGATATTCTTCCAACAACATACTCATGTTGGTGTGAAAAGGAGATTGACCCTCGTCCTCTACCTGGAATACCTCCCCACTCGTGCGGACAAACTTGCTCTCGTGCTCGCAAGGGCTGCCCCCATCCTTGCGATTCAACCTGCCACGCAGGTCCTTGTTTACCCTGTACCGCTATGGGACCCACACAGGACTGTTTTTGCGGAAAGAACTCAACAACAAAGAGGTGTGTCGACACTGATTACACACATGGCTGGAGCTGCGGGCAAATATGCGGTGATTTACTGCCTTGTGGGAAGCACACTTGTCCCCTTCCATGTCATGAAGGGCTCTGCGGTTCATGCGAAGAGAAAGTCGATGCTCGTTGTTACTGTGGGAAAGCCCAAAATGAGATTCTATGCAGTGCTACTGAAGAGGAAATTACGAGTGAATTATATGACACAGCGTCTCCAGACACTCCCAGCCACCCAGAGACATGGATAGGCTCTTTCAAGTGCATTGAGATTTGCAACCGCCCGTTCGATTGTGGGGTTCACTTCTGTCAAAAAGAGTGTCATCCTCAGGATCGCAATTCGCCTCATTGTCCACGTTCCCCAGACGTGGTTCTGCGCTGCCCATGCGGGAAGACTCCACTATCTAGAATCGTAGGGTCTTCTCCTAGGGCCTCATGCGAGGATCCCATTCCCAATTGCTCTGAGCCGTGTGGTAAAACCCTAGCTTGTGGGCACTTGTGTCCCATGATTTGTCATACAGGTCCATGTCGCCCGTGTATGATGAATGTCACCATCAAGTGTCGCTGTGGTCGCAATGAGTTCAAAACTGTGTGTCATCAATCAAGAATCGAGCCACCTCAATGTTTCCGCATCTGCAAAGCTACAATGAACTGTGGGCGCCATACCTGTACGGAACATTGCTGCTCGGGTGAACGCAAAGCCATCGAGAGACAGGCCACGAAACGTAAAGCGAGGCCCCTCGGGTCAGCACAAAATCGCGCGGTCGAAAATGATATCGAAGCTGAACATATATGTCTGAAAAGGTGTGATCGATTGCTGAAATGCGGTAGCCACACTTGTCCAGAACTATGCCATAAGGGTCCCTGCGGCACTTGCCGTGAGGCTATTTTCGAGGAGATTTCATGTCACTGTGGACGCTCGGTATTATATCCGCCACTCCCGTGTGGAACGAATCCTCCGCCGTGTCGATATGATTGTGAACGACGAAAAGCTTGTAATCATCCGCAAACGCCACATAATTGCCACACCGATAACGAAGAATGCCCGAAATGTCCTTTCCTTACAGAAAAGATGTGTCTTTGTGGCAAGAAATTACTGAAAAACCAACCATGTTGGTTGGCTGAGCCCAGGTGTGGCATGGTTTGCAGTGAGACTCTAAAATGTGGTTCTCACACATGCATGAAACAATGTCACAGACCAGGGGAGTGCGAAGATGCACTGGAATCTTGCAAGCAGGCTTGTGAGAAAATAAAGAAAATCTGTGGTCACCCTTGCTCTGAGCCATGCCATGCGCCATTCGCCTGCTCCGAAAAGGAGCCATGCCCCACCATGGTTATGATCACATGTCCGTGTGGCCGACTTCGTAAAGAGAAGCGTTGTAATGCTGCTCGAGTCTCGGGCAAAAGTCAAGCAGCACAAAGCGAGACTCCGCCGACGGTAGCGCCGCTGAAATGCGATGATGAGTGTGCGCGTCTTGAACGGAATCGGTCTCTCGCATCCGCATTGAAGATTGATATTGATTCTTCCACAACTTTGAATCAGAATCATTCGGCGCCAATCTCTACTAATACTACTACCCTACCTTACTCCGACGAAACGCTTGATTTATACGTCCAGGTCTCGTCATCCTCGACTCTTTCCACACTTCAAGACTACGAGGCGACATTGTATAGTCTGGCAACTAGCGCCACGCAACGCTCTGTTCGGTTCCAGCCTGCCAAAGCCCCCCTCCGTGCATTCGTGCATTCTCTTGCCTCGGACTGGGGCTTTGCGTCCGAGAGCTTCGATCCCGAACCCCACCGTCATGTTTTCGTGCTGAAGCCTACGCAATGGGCTTCCCCCGGATTCGGTTCAGGCTCGGGGGTTGGCATCCGAGGAGTGGCCGTTGGTGAATGCGTACGCATTCGTGATCGTGAACTCTTTAAGGAGCGGGAAGCGAAACGCCTTGCAGCCGCAGAGGCGAAGGCTCTGAGGGAAGCCTTGAAGGCAACATCTGCGGAAGGTGCTGACGGTGGCGGAGGATGGGCACAGGTGGCTTCTTCGCGCAGAAAGCAGTTGCAGCCGGGTTCCGACGGCAATTCTGCCCATTTGACACGCGTGAACACGCCGATGGCTCAGCTTACCGCTCGGGGTGCTGGCACTGGGTCTATGTACGCTGCCTTGGGTCTCGATGTGGCGCCCTCTTTCATTAACGCCGGTAGTGCATCCAAAAAGAAAGACGGCCTTCTTGTCCTCCGCTCAGGCGTCGGTTCTTCTAGAAAGAAGAAAGCCGAGCAGCAGGAGCAAGAAATTCAGGATCTTGCCGATACTTGGGAGGAACAAGTTGAGCGCGAAGAGCACGCCGAGCAGCGAGAGAAAGAAGAAGAAACACGGCGGTCTAGCGAAGAATTAGAATCTGATCGAGAGATACCAGCACAGGCTCAAGATGTCACTGTTCATAGTTCAGAGTGAGAGAGAGACTAATGACTGATAAATCACTTGGCATATACATACAGTACGAAATGTCATGCACATAGATACTTCAAATAATATGCATAAACATGGTTCATAGGTTCATGATGCCCGATTCTCGTGCTGCCTAACCAGTAAGTCCGTACTACGGAGTAAATCATTACAACGAGACGGAAAGTATCCAACGTCAGCTATTCCCTAACGTACAAAATATATGTAATGTCGCGTACTGCTGAGGTAATTAGTATGTTTTTTCTGTTAGTATAAATATGCAGCAGTATCCTAATACATAAATACTTTTTAAAAAGAAACCAACTCGTTCTTTTATGAAGGAATTTTAACTTCAATTTTATTTAGGGCAATTTTTTATCCAACCCTAACTACTCAGAATTAATCCGGCTTGGCATTGTTTTAGACGCAAAACTCTTAATGCAACGGAAAATAAGCAGCGGGACCCAGTGCGGAATTCCCCCTGGACCACTGACAAATCCCCATATACACTAGCTTCAGTTGGCTAGCCACCAAGTAGTCTACATAAAAAGGCTGTTCCTTCATGGGCGGATTCGGAAATGATTCACTCTCCGTGCTGTCTTGACGGGCTCCTGCTCTGTATGCGAGCACTTGCAGAAAATGGAGAGCAACCAGAAGAAAATAGACCAGGAAATAGAGCAGGATGTCGCTCCTCTGCGAGATCCAAACGCTCGCCCTGAATGCTTCTCCAACACATTCCAAGAATGCCTTTTTGTCCTAACGTCCACGATGGCCACTGGTCAGTCCTCGTTCTTCCAGGGTGCCGTCATCGTGGTTCTCGCTGAAATCGGCAAGGATCTCAATATGACTTCTGCCGAAATCACCTGGACTACTGCAGGTATCTCGTACGCTCCTCTCTCTCGCTCTCGCTTGTCCTCGAATGCATCATGCTGATACTCAAACCTGCAGACTGAGTAGTGGCGCTTTTCTACTATCTTTTGGGAAAGTGGCCGACATGTTTGGCCGCCGGACAATGTTCATTTCCAGCATGATAGGATATACGCTCGCTCTTTTGGTGATTGGATTCGCAAACTCGGCCTTGTACTTCGACGTTCTGTCGGGAGTTATGGGCCTTTTCTGCGCATCATCTGTTCCACCTGCCGTTGGATTGCTGGGCGCAACGTACGAAAAGCCGTCGCAACGGAAGAATAAAGCATTCGCTTGCTTTAGCGCAGGAAACCCTATGGGTTACGTGGGTGGCATGCTCGTTTCTGGAATCGCTTCCCAGGTTTCGACCTGGCGCGCGTCCTTTTGGGCTTTGGCCGTCATTTACGCCATTTTCTCTCTCATCAGCATCTGGTCTGTTCCAAAGGAGGGTAACTCGCCGTACAAGGTTTCTTTGACGTGGGAAAACCTCAAGAAGCTAGATCCGGTGGGCATGTTGCTGGCTGTCAGCGGTATAGCACTTTTCTCAAGCTCCCTATCGTATGTATTGATCTGGTCTCCTGCAGTCAGTTACCAAGAAGTAGCCATGTGACTAACCCTCCCTCGATTTATCCTCAGGCTCGCGGGTGATGCACCTAAAGGCTGGGGTACTCCATATGTCATTGTCCTCCTTATCCTGGGGATTGTGCTCATTGGTGCCTTTCTTTTTTGGCAGTCGATCTACTCGCATCCTTTAATGCCGCTATTTGTTTGGCGAGACCACAATTTCTCTTTGGTATGTATTTCTCTCTTCTTAGATGAAGTCGACCTGAAATTGTTCAGTTCATATCACTAACGTAGCCTGTTGCCGTGTTTCTAGTTAATGGGCGCGCTCTCTTTAGGATTCATGGCATTTATATCCGGCCAGTTCTGGATGGCGCTGTATATGCAAGAAGTCCAAGGCTATACCGGTCTGGGTATCACAGTTCGCCTACTGCCCATGGTTGTCAGTGGCGTCCTAGTCAATGTCGTCTGTGCCTTTGTGCTGCATCGAGTCAGCAACAAATTGCTTATGCTCATTGGGACCACGGCATATACCGTGTCCTTCCTGATTATGAGCTTTACAAAAGCCAATAGCATTTACTGGGGCTTCTATTTTGTGCCCTTGGTATTAATGGTCGTTGGAGCTGATATCGAGTTTAACGTTGTCAACGTAAGGATAAATATAGATACGATTCAGATGGAGCGAGAAATTTTCTAACAGGTATTATAGATGTACGTCATGTCATCACTCCCGCCGTCCCAGCAGTCACTCGCAGGAGGCATCTTCAACACCGTCTCCAAATTAGTCTCCAACGTCGGTCTCGGTGTTACAACTGCCATTTACAACGCCGTACGGAACCAAGGCGGCTCGTCTGTGATTCGCCCGTATGCAGCGACATATTGGTTTGCTACAGCTATTGCTGGGGTTGCTATATTAACAGTCCCTTTCCTCAAAATAGGGACCCAGGGAGGTAATCATGCTTCGAACGAGCGATCGGATGAAGAGTCATTGGATCAAGTAGGTGATAACGTGACTGTACAGACAGAGAAATGCAAGGCTTGAAGATTGCTATTTTCATTTTTGTTAATTCACTATTCTATCATATCAGCATGTGGTTGGCGAGCATATAGAGTATACCTAGATATATATTGATGCTTATTAACGAATCCTATGATGCAAATATTCAAAGTCATATGCTCATCCGTCTCTAGCGTGTCTAGTCCATGTTTACACGGCAAATGTGTATATGATCACCAACTAGCCTACACATATCTGCATAGCGCTTCTCACACTAAAAGTTGAGTTGCGGTAGAGATACTAGGGGGCAAATCATCCGCACTCGTTCCCCACGTGCTGGCACTCTCATTCGGACCAACTGTCAACTCGAGCGTCTGACCCTCGAGGAAAAACTCATGACCAATCCAACTCTTGGTATATGGTTCTCCATTGAGTGTGGCGTTCATAATATAGATGTCAGTATAGGTAGGATCGAAATTTGTCACACGAATTGTTGCCGTTTTTTGCGTCTGCGGGCTAGTGATGTTGATGGAATCGAAGAAGGGCGTGGAAATAAGATAGACATTCTGCCCGGCAACGGGGAATAGTCCTAATTGGGAGAATATTGTGAACGATGCCATGGCTCCAGAGTCATCGTTGCCCGGCAGGCCGGATTCGGTGGCGTTGAAATATGCCGGAATGAAGCTGTGTGCGCGCCTAGTAGAGAGTCCTGGGCGACCGGCGTAATGGTAGGCGTACACGGAAAGGAAGACTGGCTCGTTCCCAATGTCGGCTATCCCAGACTCAAAGTAGAAATCAAGTCGTGAGATGAAGTGATCTGCGCCACCTAGGGTACTGATTAAGGAACTCATGTCATGGGGCACGTAGCTAGAACCGTGTCAGGTTCGGTTTTATCAACGCCTTTGGCCATATAGTAACTACAAAGAGGGAAAAGAGCTCACAATTGATATTCCCACACACTAGACTCGAATGTCTCAGATGGGTTGTCAGTCAACGAGCAAAAGGAAGCTAGGGGACTGCAGGCGATGGGGTCTTGATAACCCCAGGTGCCATTCAGATATTTAGGCTGAAAGAAACCCACAAATCCCGTATCGGTTCCATTGATGTAAGAGGTTTGATCTGCTTTGAAGATATTTTGCCAGTTCATTGATCGAGATAGATATGTCGTGGCATTTGTCTTTCCCAGCCCCTTACCAACGACACTAACGCAGTAATCATTATAAGCGTATTCAACGGTGCGCGAAATTGACCGAGAGTTGGTTCCAAATCCGAGGTAGTCAAAATCGAGGTACGGAATGTAGTCCAAGTTCTTCCAGCTTTGCAGGCCACCCCGTCCTTGGACTGACCAGTCCAACGGCTCATTTTCGGCATCGTTAACCAGTCCGTCATAAGCGAGATCCCAGTCTATTCCAGTGAGATTCTTTACAAAAGCGTCCGCTAAAACCACATCAGCATTGGAGCCACCCTGAGTCCAGCCTTTGCAAAGACTCATCCGACAGTCAGGCATCCATCCTTCGTATTTGTATGTATCTATTAAGCTTCGAACCATTTGTGACATGGCGTTTGGGTCGACAATGGTCAACAGGGGATATTGCACACGGAAAGCGTCCCAAATGCTACCATGTTTATTAGGTTGTGGTCCAATAAAATTATGGTTTTATCGGGCTGGGGTTGATGATTTCGTTCAATCGGAGAGTAAATTGATATCAGAAACGTACCAGTAAAAAGAGTCAAAATACGGCTCAGTGCTGTTCCATAGAGGATTCTCGCCCGTATAGTTTTGCGGAGACATCATTGTACGGTAGATGGCACTCCAGAACAGTGTTTGCAAGTTCTCACTCACCCCGGTAGCATTCACCGACACAGGGCTAAGCTTTTCTCTCCATGCGGATTCAGCAGAGGTTTGTATTTGGCTGAAATTCGACGCAGGGTCAGAGATTTCTGTCTCCGCATTCCGACATGCTTGATGGGTGCTAACGAGGCTAACTCCCACTCGCGCGTAGAATACATTAGCAGATATACTATCAAAGGTGACAAATCCGCCTGCTTGGAGATAGAAATCGTTGAAGCCACGAGTGACAAACAGATCCTTGACTACGGTGCCAGCTCGATTGTTGACCCATATTCCAGTGTCGTTAACACTGCCACCTGCAAAGTCAACACAGACAAAGGATTCATAAGAACCAGAGCCAAAACTTGGTAAAAATGTCCCATTTGCACTAATACGGCCACTCGTCTCATCGATGCTGATGGTGGCATTTTGACGACTTTGCCAAAGATCGGTTAAATCCAGAAGAACAAGCGGCTTAGTTCCTGTGGTGCCATTCAAGGCATCCTGGAAGTTGAACTTGTACAGTGCAGCGTGGTGTGTGGCGGTCATCTCTGCGGTGATGCCATTTGACAATGCAAGGGCGAAATAGCCTGGAGTGGCCACAACCGAAGAGTTGATGTAGCTTACAGCACGAGAGCCGATGAGAAAATCGCAATTATCAATCACATCATCCTTACAGATCTGTGGAAAGATTGGGAAGTTTCCTAATGAAGGATTACCTCCGGTGCCTGAATCGTGCATGGAAGAGAAGCCTGTAACGCTGCTGCCATCAGTCGCAAAGCCTCCAGTATTCTCCCCATTGACATCGGCCACGGCTTTTGCCATGCCGTAAGGCAAATTAGCACCGGCAAAGACGTTTCCGCCATTGTTGGTGCCAATCAAGGGATCAACAAGACTCAATGGGTCAACGCTGGCGCGTGCACAAGTTGCAAACAAAAAGGCCGCGGGCCAGCTCTTATTCAGCCTCATGGTAGATGCGGTCAGTAGTTACAAGCCCACGTGGGATGAGCGAGAGGAATAGGAAAAACGACGGCATTTTCGTGAGACTCTCCATGCGGAGAAATTCAGTGCACCTACGTAGGTAGCCTGATATTGGGGTGACATCGGCGAATGCGGAGTCAAGAGATAGACAGCAATTTTTACTGTACTTGGCAGGGGGAGCCCCGCCAATGAATGCGCGAAGTGGTTTATTGGCCTATTCTGGAATGTGATGATCTTCTCACCGGGCGAGATGCAGGAGGAAGACTTTCGAGGTTGGAGTTGGGGCATAACTAACGCTTATCGCGAGCGCGGAGTTTATCAGCCCCGTCGCTGCCAGATTGTTCAGGTGTCGCTTTCTTATCAATCGGCGAGTGGTGCCCCATCAATCAGGCGACCGCGTCGACTTTCTTTTGGCGTCTTTTTGTGTTTTCGATTCTGATTTTCAATCATAGAAGGGTTAACCTGCGTGTATCGCCATATTGTGTACCGTTTAATGAAGAGAATATTATGCTAAATATTCAATTGTGAGACCCCAATGACCCTGCTCACGTGATATTTCACGTGGGCTGACAAAGGCGGTGGAGTTCTCCGTAGTAAACTAGTTGGATGGGTCAGAATGATGCTAAACTGTCCTCAACGACAGCAAGGGACACTATGTATGACATGCACATTGGTCTTCGTACCTTGACTTGCACTCCTTGTTACCATGACACTTTGAGAGGAACTCTTTAACCAATCCCTTATTCGCACCGGCCGCCATTCGAAGCACGGAACATGGCAACTCGGCCGACTACCCGCCTAGTGCTTCTCAGCACGTTCGCACTTCTGTTTATTATATATTTTATCTTCCTCCAGCCTCGAGGCCCAGAGAGTCCGGCAACCCGAGCGCCAGGTCATTTGGCCGAGACTAAAAGCACGATTCCGTCCAACCTCGTCCTTACTGAAGATGTGCTCAAAGGCGATGCGGTCATGCCAAAGTTGGGGAATGAGACAGCAAAGTATTTTCCTCCTCCCATTGGCCCCTTTGAAGGCAACGATACGATCATCATCTGACCTCGTTGCCAATTTAGAGCGGAACTAGGTCGATCCACTTGGAAATTCTTTCATACGATGATGGCGAGATACCCGAAGGAACCTTCGCTAGAAGAACAGGAAGCATTGCGTTCTTTCGTCTACTTGTTTTCACGGCTCTACCCCTGGTAAGTCTTTTTCGATCTACGACAATCTCGAGAAAGGGGGACTAAAGGTTGACACTCATATAGCGGCGAGTGCGCGTCACATTTCCAGGGCCATCTGAAGAAATACCCGCCGCAAGTCTCGTCGCGTGATGCAGCATCAGGCTGGGCCTGCTTCATACATAACGAGGTAAACCGCATGCTAGAAAAGCCCGAGTACGACTGCAATAATCTTGACGATTATGATTGCGGATGCGGGGACGAAGACGAAGATGCAGATCCTGGTCTAGACAAGGGCTTGGCTGCAATTGTCAAGTACGATACGAAGGAATCGAGCCAGGACCATGCTTCTGGCCCTGCTGTGGAAATCACCAAGGAGCCGTGAGTGGGGATCCTTTTCCTTCTTCGTGTTCCGCAGACAACAGGCAGAAGACTTACTGATCGTACCATCTCTAGACTCACTCGCGGGGGTTAGCGAAAAATAAAGCGACCGCGAGTCCATTCGCTTAGGGCATTCTGTCAGGCCTCGTGATGACAGCCGCCCACATTCCTCTCTTAGTCACAGATCAACCTGCGAGGAATAACGGCTGCAGAGTGGCATGGCGCATGACCTGAGTCGGTTGAGGCGGGCGCTTGACTAGCGAAGCGGCTTGGTTCCCTGCGGTGCTGATGTACATACTACATCAATCATATCGTGTATATATTTTTATAGAGTCACTATACCCATGTTTGCTTTTCCCCTTCGTTTCTCCAATGTGTCTTCCCAACCATGTACGAAATAATAGTTTTCCAACTGAATAACTACGTGGATTTTGATCCCGAAGCATTGCATCGACCTGAAATCAGTATGTATAGAAGACAGCACTAACAGCCCTGGCGGAATCACGATTGGACAGCCACTGTCTGCTGACTCGATCGACTGATCATTGGCTGCAGGAGATCAAAAGCGAAACCGCTCAGGGGGGTGGTGCCGTGTCAGGTTGCGTATGATTCGTGTTCTCTGCGACGTTCTGTGCCTACACAAGGATATAAAAGGATATACAAGGCAGCCATGGCTGTCAATGGATGCATGGCTGAGAAGCTGAAACGGGCCTAGTGCCGCGATCCCCTGGCAGGCTGCATGGCTCACGCCCAATCCCTCTCGCGCGTCGCCAATCAACAACAACAACAACAACAACAACAACACTCGACACTCCGTTGGGTTGATCCGGATCAGCAAGTGGAAAGAAAGGGGGAGAAAGGGGCCCTTTAAGAGTATGCGATCCCTTGTCGCAGTCAGAAGTATATCTATCTGTGCTATCCCCACCTGTTGCATGCCTCAGGCAGCGTTTTCAGCTCTCTTAGGAAATAATTTTTCTCCGCCGTCTCTCCTCCATCTTCATGCGCAGGACTTACAAACTGTTGCCTCTCTCTCTCTAGACCGACCCTCTAGACCGCTTGATTACCATTGGGCTTTTTGTCTCCCCCCTATGTTTAACTGATCGGGCACTAAAATTCCTATTACTTCTTTCCACCAACAAATCCACTTCAGACAGCTGTACAGCCCGCCCGATTCCTTCTGATTTGCGGGCATACATTGGTGCCTGAATAGAGGATCAGAATGGTTTCCTTCCAATGCGAGGTATGAATCATCTCCATTTGCGCACTGAATCCGTCTAACCCGCTATGTTATTCTTCTTAGGCTTGCGGTGATGTGCTCACCAAGAAAAAGCTCGATCCCCACCGCGGTCGATGTCGCGGCGCCTCATTCACCTGTATCGATTGCATGGTCCACTTTCAAGGCACCGAATACAAATCCCATACGGTACGCTAAAAGCTATAGTTGTGGCTGAGCTCCTCTCCCGTTACTTTGCAGCCCATCGCCATGCGCAGAGAAAGGTATTACCTGGGTCGCGCGCGTCGCACCATCAGGCTGCTGCCAGATTTGCGCCTGCGCGAGACCTGGTTTGATGCCTAGTACCCGTTGTCGCCCAATTGGTGCCTGTAAATTTCTGTGCCTGGCATAATCATTGCTCTGTTTCCTATTGGACGAAGCTAACGAGCTCTTCTTTTTTTTCCGCATCGCACAGTCATGCATGACCGAGGCGCAAAAATATGAGGGCGCCCTATATAAAGAGAAGCCTCAGAAGGGAAACAACAAACAGAATAAAAGACAACCCGACAACTCCAAGACACTCACTAACACTAACGGAAATTCCGCCAACACCAAGAAACCCCGCCATCCGTACGTTGAAGACGCTCCCGATGCAGATGATCCTCCGTCCAAACAAGTTCCTCCCCCAGCTCCCAGTCCTCCACATACCACAGCGGCCACCGGTCCGGCCTCAAAATCAAAAGTGGCTGCTTCCACTGACAAGGACGACGTCAACGTCTTTGACTTCCTCGTCACAGACCAGACGCCAACCGCTTCGAAAATCTCGCTGGCGGGATCCAAGGAACAGATGACCATGGTTGCCAATGCACCGTCGGTCTTTGAGCCCAGCAAGGCGCTGGCTCAGTACGACACCGACGTAGATGACGAAGACCGCGAATATGATATCGCCTATGAGGAAAACGGCTTCTCTTACGGCGCTGATCCAATCAAGCCATCTCCGTACGGAAATCAAGTGTCGAATATCTCCATGGATTTCATGACTCCGGCACCAAAGAAAAAGAAGGAGAAGAAACATAAAAAGAAGGACAGCTCTCCCGATCCAGAGCCGCGAACAACGAGCGACAAGAAACGCAAGCGCGGGCATGTTGAAGAACTGAATGTCGAGGCTGCCAACGCCCGGTATGAGGAGGACACGCCAATGACAGACGCCCCATCCAGCGTCGCCAATAATGTAGGCACACCATACCTGCAGCACTCTGGACTAACAGGAGGCTTGGACCGCATGCTTCGCGATGGAAGATCACCTTCCTCAGACTACGAAGATTACTCGGATGACGAACACGATCTCCGCCAATATCAGGATCCCCACTCGCCCCTCAAGCGCACTCGCCCGAACAATAAGAACACTAGGAATGGCAATGGCAATGTCGATGGAGATGATGGTGGCCTGGGAATATCTCTCAAAGGCCGCGCTGGCCGCATCATATCCATGTTCGGTGGATCGAATGTTTCTACCAGCAGCCGGGGAAGTGCTGAGCCTCCATCGAAGACCCTAGTCCGGACACGACGCAGCCCATCCTCCAATGGTGACCACGCAGGTGCCCTGGTTCAAGTGCGCCGATCCAAGAAAACTCCGAATGTGCGACTCGTCCGCACCAGCGCAGCAGCAGCAAATGATGACTCGGCGCGCAAGACCAAACGCAAGATCAGTTCCCAAAGCAACGGCAACGATTATCACGACGCGGCACGGCCGTCCCGTCGTTTAAAGGCCATCGAATACCGCGGGTCTGATGGCGGCAGCGGCGGCGATGACGATAATCGCAAGATGGTCGTTTACCGCAACCATGACGACGAGGGACTCACCGAGGAAGAAATGGAGCGCGATAAGGCCCTCTATTTCCTGTCATTAGTGACCAAGGGGCCCGATAGCGAGCGTGGGTGCTCGATTAATAAAGCCCTCAAACGGTTCCATCGCGATTATCCGGCTGCTCGCATTGAATCTCCTGGCGATCATCACCACCACGACAACGATGATCGCCGCGGTCGTGGTCGTAGCAGCCGGGCAGATCGGGATCGCCGATTGGACGAAGAGAAGGATTTGTGGCGGACGTTACGATTGAAAAGAAATGATCGGGGCGAGATTGTGGTTTTCATTTGATGCCTATCATGTTACCTATGTGTTTCATTTCACTTATTTTGCATTGTGCTACAGTTGCATGACCTTTCGGGCATTATCTCGTTGTGTTTTTTGAATAATAAATGGGAAGAAGGCAGGGAGATTTTTTTCAGCTCTCGTTCAGGAGTCTTTTGACACTTTTTTGCTTCTAGTCTGCTTTGCATTTGATTGATTGTTTTCATTGAATATATAGAATTGGCGTGTTTCACTGTTTATTATTGATTGGCTGTCTTTTTTTCAATTCACTGATATCTTACATCGCAAGACGCTTTCCTTTTTCTGTCCCCGGTAATTACCCGATCGAGGTAGAACGAGCCCTCTAAATAGCTACCTATGTGTACACATACACCGGTGTACGTAACCTGTATAATAACCGAACGAAGCAGGCTCCGAACAGCAGGTATTAGGTGTTATATGAAGCGGAAATATAATTATATGTTGCACAGGATGCTGTTAGGTAGCTCTAGGTAATCCATATGTAAGACAGTCAGTCTCTATTAGTTATACCAGGGGTTCCATGCTATATTTGCAGTTTGAATACGAGTCTGAGGTCTGGAGTGCCCGTTATGTATCCGTAGGCTTTAGTTTGTGGACCCGATCTTTGATAGCCATTATTTCCCATTTGGGAAATCTCCGCTTCTCGTAGACTTATAAGTTGCCCACGAGCGCCCTGTAACGAGCCCCGCTTACTCCTCAATTACTAGTTCAACACCAGATAGCACTGGCTTCTATTATATGAATTCATCTTGTTGTTCCTGGACTTAATTTCTTTGCTATCCAGAGTCTAGCAGGACCAATCTACCTGTGAAATACTGAGCCACCCCGATCTATATTCATTGCTGCGTATGTATTACTATCATTCTCTCAGTTTTTACCATATTCAATACATCATGTTTTGGCAGTATCTGATTTGCATGGTGATATTCACTATTAACCAGCGTCCTTTATCAGAGAGGACTGCTACAACAGCTGTGTCTTTATTTTGCAACAATGTCACTATATGTTAGTTTAATCAGTCACTTACTCTTTGACTTAGGTATAGTACAATCAACCCCAGTCTATTCATTCACAAACTGATGAAAGGTTAACTAGATTGTGAGAAAATTGACAATCAATCCATGTCTGTTCTGAGTATGACATCGCTAGATTTTGCTCATGGTGCTACCCATAGTAAATATATGGCCTGCTCAGAATATGGTTGGATTATCGTGACATGTCTGCAGCTCATGAAGGCTTGGGGCAAGGCGCATCACCCAAAAAGAAATGGTATGTGTCCATGTGAGATGACTTACTCAACTCACTCACGTGTCAAGGAAAGTATCCCTCCTTTTGTCATTCTTGTAACGGTATGGATCGTGTTTATTGACAATAAGTCTTGTTTTAAGATTCTAGGAAATGGCCAACAGAGATGCCGGAGACGACAACTTTCACCGGTAGACCGTTCAATCGGGGACTTTTTGAAAAGAACCTTAAGTTGAACTTTCTCGACCGAACTACACAGCTTTCTGGGAAAATAAGTCTTTAGAAGATGACAATTGATGACGCTGTGAGAAAGAGGATTGTTGATAATGAGACTTTGGGTTATTTCCTAGGAAGAATCTATCTGTTCATGCTCCGTATTGGAGTTCCTAACAACAAGCTACGCTTCCGCCAACATATGGCTAATGAAATGGCACATTCCGCTACTGACCGCTGGGATACCGAACTTCTCATCTCATACGGGTGGATTGAATGTGCTGGGTGTGCAGATCGCTGTGCTTACGATCTCACAGTACATTCGAAGAAGACCGGCGAGCCATTGATTGTTCGTGAACAGAGAACAGAGCCCTTGAAGGTGGAGCATTGGCAGATCATCATTGATAAAGCCAAGTTTGGTCCAACTTTCCGTAAGGATGCGAAAGCCATGGAAAGAGCTTTGTTGGCACTGGGACAGGCAGAACGGGAAGCCTTCTCAGAAGTCTTAAAACAAAATTCTACATCACCATCATCGTTCCTGGAGTGCTCGACGGCAATTTAGATATTCTACGAGAGCTCGTCAAGTTTGAAAGGCGGACTGTCGTGCAGAATATCCGCGAATACACTCCTAATGTCATCGAGCCCCCTGTTTGGTATTGGGCGTATTTTTTGCAGCCTCCTGGAGCACGTCTATTGGCAGCATGCGGATGATGCTGCCTGTGGGGTATGTCATTCTATTTGGCACTCTATACCTATGCATATGCTAAATCACGATTTAGGTGCTGTCACTGCCTCTGTCAGTTGCACCCACTAAGGTGTTGATTGTGCCTTTGTCAAGCCAGCCAGTGTTTGTCCCTATTATTCGAAAAATATCACAACATCTGCGACAATTGGGTATCTCTTGTCGTGTTGATGACTCTAGTGCCAGTATCGGTAAACGATATGCTCGTAATGATGAACTCGGGATTCCGTTAGGAATAACTGTTGATTTCGACCCAATTAAGAAGAGTACAATTACATTACGGGAGAGAGACAGCACCAACAAGTCCGTGCTTCAACAGAGGATATAATAAAAACTCGTTGACAACAAGGAAAGCTGGAGCGACATCTTAAGAAGACTCCAGAATTTGTCAGTCAAGGATGAGTTTATTGTATCATCGGAAATTTGCCTACGCTAAAAGATTCGGCACCAAACCATATAATTGAGATTGCTGCTAGAAACCTAAACACTACATCCGACTTGCCGGTGAATCTTGAACATTAGGTGTCAACCAGTTGGGAAGAGCAACGCTATTGAGGAAGTTCGTTTTATAATTTGTTTAGTCATTTACGTCCGCATTTGGAGTTGTTTATTCCTGTCCTCTTTTCCCTTCGAATATATGATATCCCTCTGGTGTGGATCAATAGTAACATCGATGCCGTAGTAACTAGCACAATCGTCTCTCTTTCACTCTTCTCTACATAAAACAACTATCTTCACCCTCCCTTGCGCGGTTTGATCGCCTGCTGGTGCCGTGGAGCATCGATATGTGCTGCAAACTTGGTGATCACGATATCCGCAGCAGTCATGTTCAAATCGTACTTCTCAGCAGAGATAAGGGAAGCCTGGATTGAAAGGTATGGCAGATTCAATATCTTCAAAGTCCTCCGGCGTCAATTCGACTTAAGTGCTTCGATATTCGCAACAAGATGCTCGACTTTACGTTGTCCAATGATTGGAAAGACGTATGGCGTCTTCTGGAGGACATATGCTAATGCCTATATTTTTGGAGGGTTGGGTTACCTTTTCTTTGGTATATATTTGATGTTTTCCAGACAATTGGTCCATTACTTACAACAGCATGCAGAGTACTACTCTTGCGGTTTGCAATTGCTTCAAGAGCATCAGATATGCGGATCTCATTTTCAGACAATTCTGCTGCCCTTCCTGACCCAGTATGTTCAGACTCTCGCGCTGCGGTAGTTTTGAATTTTCCTTGACCGAGAGAACCAAATGGAGCAATTGCCATGCCCTGATCTCGGCACAGGGGAATGATATCTGGTTCCATATCGCGTAGCATTGCATTCCAACTTCCTTGGTAGATGGAAAAGGGACGGAGACCATGAGCACGAGCATAGTCGTTGGCCTTGACTACCGCCCAGGCTGGAGTATCGGAGATACCAAGGTACAACACTTTTCCTGCAGTGATCAACGCATTCAACCCGTGCATGAGCTCTTCGACACTGGTTGTGAGATCCCACAAGTGCACATATAGTATGTCTATGTAATCTGTTTGCAGCTTTTCGAGTCTTCGTTTGACAGAAACATGCATTGATTTCATTGAGTTACCACTGAAGTTTGAATGCATCGGGAACTTGTCGAACTGCCCGGCGCGAAAGGGTGATGTGTATTCGGTGGCAAAAATTTTGAGATTGAATGTAAGCATATCAATTGTGACCGGCATTGGGAACACCGCTTACACCATTGTATCACGATTCCCACGAGCTTTCATCCATTCGCCGATCCGTTGCTCGCTCTCTTCGAAATGGTAATTGCTGGAGCTGTGGACAGAATTAGCTGGCATGATGGACTAGGCAGGTGGAGCATACGTATCAATGAAATTGCCTCCATTCTCATAAAACGTGTCCATGATGACAAACGCATCTTCTTTCGGGCATTCACCCATAAATTCCTTCCTAGAGATTGTTCAGCCAGTGATCAACCAAACTCATTGATACCGTGGGCCTCACTTACCATGCCGTGCCAAAATTCATCGACCCGAGACATAATGGCGAAACTCTGAGTGCAGGGAGGCGAGAGAACACGGTGATATCCAAGAAGACTTTTTGGCTTGGGAGCACGAGTACGGAAAGCGTTCCTGACTGGTGCCATGTTGAATTTCTTTCTTTTCTTTTCTTTCTACATTTATCTCTTGGAGAGACCATGGACGCATTTTTACCTCACCTCCATCAAGATGATTATTAATGTCGACTTCATTGAGTCGCAACAGAGCTCAATTCGGAGATTAGACATGCCTTATGCCCAAACTCCCGTAGGGTTGATAGCATAGTAGTTATTATGTCCTATGTACGACTCGCTTGTCCACGGGGTCTTGGACTATCCATGGATATAAATGTGAACTCAATCCAGTCCGAGCCTGCGCAGATGCCTATGCCAGTTTTGCTATATTTTACTAGATATACTATACCTACCTTCAACCAATCATATCAGCGTAAGCCGAACGGTGGTGCACAACCAATCAAAAAAGAACCGAACCTTCAAAGACAAAGAATGTCTGCTATAAGCTATGTAGTTATGTGTAACAGACTCCTTGCAGAGGACAAAGGAGAAAAGGACAGAATCGACATTTGCTGGGGGCCAAATTGTGGCACAAACGCGGGATGAACGAATCCCCCACCATCTTGACTCTCCATCCAACTCCCCATCAACTACACAACTGCTCGTATATAGACATTGACCCCTTGTTTTCTCGCTTGTAGCCACAGTCTGCCTTCCTTTTCAAAATGAGTGCCGTTTTCGCAGGGCCCGATCATGCACAACTCGTTATCAATAAGACGCAGGCGCCCAAAGATCTCCTGCCGACCGATCAGCTGAAGTTCGGCGCCTCGTTCACCGGTGAGTTCGGCATGCATGTCATATACAAACAATCCGTGTGATGCATGGTTTAAATTAGCGCTGACATAAACATGACTAGATCACATCCTTTCTGTAGCATGGGACTCAACCCATGGATGGGGCATTCCGAAGCTGGAGCCATACAAGGCGCTCTCTCTCGACCCAGCAGCAGCTGTGTTCCACTATGCCTTTTGCTGCTTTGAGGGCATGAAGGCCTACAAGGACGCCAAGGGAAATGTGCGACTCTTTCGACCTGAGAAGAATATTCGCCGGCTCAACACATCAGCCCAGCGCATTGCGTTGCCGGCTTTTGATGAAGCCGAAGTGCTGAAGCTGCTGGCCAAGTTTACGGAAATCGAGAGTCGCTGGATTCCAGAGTACGTCGATTTTCTCGCTTCTTCATATTCATATCTTTGTCAAAGCTAACAGGAAAAATCTAGAGGCCGAGGCTTTGCATTATACATCCGACCGACACTGATTGGCACGGAGCCTGACCTTAGTGTGTCGCGGCCACAATCCGCCTTGTTGTATATCATTGCAAGCCCCGTGGGAAACTACTTTGGGACCAGTGGCATGAAAGCTATTTCACTCGAAGCCATCTCTACGCCAGTGCGCGCGTGGCCCGGAGGCGTGGGCGACAAGAAGGTTGGCGGCAACTATGCGCCGACGATCGTCGCTGCAGAGCAGTCCCATGCGCGCGGCTTTCAACAGGTGCTTTGGCTCCTGGGCGATCCTAAGGTGCCAGAACAACAGTACATCACTGAGGTGGGCACGATGAACTTGTTTGTTGCGTGGATTGACCACGAGTCAAACACCAAAGAGTTGGTCACTGCACCTCTTGATGGCACGATTCTACCGGGCATCACACGCGATTCGGTGCTTGAACTTGCACAGGAGCGGCTAGTCCCTCAAGGCTGGCGTGTGACTGAGAAGCGAGTGTACATGACTGAGATCAAAGAAGCGGCCGAGCAAGGCCGTTTACTAGAGGTGTTTGGCGCAGGCACTGCCCTCATAGTGAATCCCATTCGGTCCATCTCTTGGAACGGACAGGTGATTCATTGTGGGCTCAAAAAAGACCAGGAAGTTGGAGATATCACATCCTCTATGAAAGATTGGATTGAAGATATTCAATACGGCGAGACGGAGCATGCGTGGAGGTGAGTTAACGCTTTCACTGTTTCTTTCTATCAATATGCTTAGAATAGAGGCTAACATCGGTGGACAGTGTTGTGGTTTGAGTGCGATCCCATCTCGAGACAATAGTCCACGCACATGGCATTGAGAACGAGCAATGCCGTTCGCTCATTGGAACAGATATCATCTCGGTGTTGGCAAATTAGAACATGTTTGAATTGTAAGCTCACATGCAGGCGTCGTAATCAAGCATATAGTTTCTGCCCTCGCTCTATACCTTATGTTCTGGTTGGGGAAAGGATTATCTTCTGCATTGCAAAGAATTGAAAGAGGAATGTGCCTATACCACGGTATTGGTATGACCACCAGTCTAGGTATTCCAGTCTAGTTTCTCCGTTAGATTTAGACATGTGATGAATGAACACTCCAAACACTGCCAAAGGAAGTTTTGGATCTACACCTGAGTTTGGATGACCTTGTCGTCCTGCGTGTGGGGTAACACAAGTTTCTTACGAGCGAACGCTACGTTGCCACTCTATCATTTGATAAATAAATCCTGTCCATTTAAACATATTATAAATATTAATCAGCTCTTTGTTGGACTAGACAATCAACACCGCTGCGCGAGTTTTAATGTTTGTAAGGGATGAGAATGTACAAGAATGTGAGGTTCCTAGCTTCTTATCTTTGAATGTCTTTCTTTTGTTGCCTATTTAGGAATTATGCAGGTCTTATTCTGTTCAAGACTGGAATCCCTTATTAACTCGTTATTTTTCTTGCCGCTTCTTGTTCAATGCGGTTTTTTTTTTCTCTGTCATATTCACAGTGTATACGCTAACAGACAACCAAAATCAAGATGATTATGAAAGCTGCTGTTAGCCTGCTAGCCATTAGGCTCGCTTCTGCCCATATAGAAATGAATTGGCCATATCCCCTGCGCAGCAAGTATGACCCTGACACACCTACGTCTCTGATCGACTATTCCATGACAGACCCGTTGAAGTCGGACGGTATGCCCCCTATCCTTCCCCTTTCTCGAGACGTATATTCGCAAAATCTGTGGTTCAAGACGAGCAATATACTGAAGTTACAAACAGGCTCCAACTTCCCTTGCAAAGGCTACATTTCAAATACTCCCTGGCGCTCTGTGACCAGCTACATGGCTGGGCAGAAATACAACATCAGCCTCGCAGGCTCAGCTACACACGGTGGAGGATCCTGCCAACTCTCTCTTAGCTACGACAACGGCACCTCATTCCATGTCATCGAGTCGATGGAAGGCGGTTGCCCTCTGGAATCCTCCTACGACTTCAATATGCCTAGTGATGTCGCCAATGGTGATGCACTTTTCGCATGGACATGGTTCAATTACGAGGGAAACCGTGAAATGTACATGAACTGCGCAGATGTGACCATCTCGGGTGGCCAGGGAACCGCAGATTCCTTCGAATCTGCGTATCCGGAGATCTTCGTGGCTAATGTCGGTAATGGATGTCAGACCATTGAAATGCAGGAGACTGTGTTTGCCCATCCGGGAAATCAGGTCATTTATGGTTCTGGCGTGACCTCGTCTAGTCCGCCTTCTCCTTCTTGTGCTTGATGGTTACGATTTGTCCAAGGTTATATGAGAATACGTCTGGTCATCTTCTTTGATATGTATTCTTCTAATGTTTCTCTTACGTCTTTCAGGGGTTTGTTTCCATGTTGATATTTTATTTTAACCTGGATGATGCTTCGTGGCATTTTATCTAGTCTACTATGTCTTGAATAATTAATTACCCGCAAGTCATTGATTCATAGACAGCCTCCTTGTATCTAATTCCTTCCAACGCCCTAGGGGCGATTATTGTGTAGTTTCTGGTAGTTGATCAGCCCGTTTACCAAGTTCCTGTCCGAGGTATTTCCACTTCAATGGCTCATCGCCTGGTTTCAACCCCTCGATTTCGATAACCTGATCATCTCCTGGTACAATATCCAAGGCGCTATCACTAATTGTGATACCGTCTCTCTCCTCAAACACAAGGCACTTGACTGGTTTTAATGTACTGATAGTAATACTCCGCTGTCCTTTCCCGCTGCTTTCTGACGAGTCCTGGTCAGTCTCATGCACTTTGATGCCCCTGTTGCTAAAATCTAAATATTTTAGTGGCTGTGGCCAGTCGATATCGCGTGCCACTAACCGTCCATCGACCCAGACACGAGCCGCAAGAACGTGTGATTCGGGATACTCCTTGTGGTCAATGACACCGTCTAAAATGATGTTCGTGGTCCCATTCGCGACTAGCCTAATGTTCTCATGAACAATACGATCTCGAATCTCAAGGCCCGTATCAATCGAGATAAACTTGAGCTCTACAAGAGCATTGACTTCTTCTTGCAGACTGCTCACCGCCCATAATTCAAATTTGCTTGTTTTTGCTGGACGTGCATGCGACACGCTCCAGTCATGATGTTCGCGCTGCACCCCTACCGCAATAGGAGCGAGTATTCTCGCCATGGCGTAGTATGCAGGCTTTGGTCGGAGAAAATAATCAACTATGGCCCAGGAGATGGTGGGCCAGCAATCATTCAACTGCCAGAGTAAAGCACCGCCGCAATGACGTTCATCTCCCCATTGGCGCCTCCATGCACGATAGCCGAACATCATTGTCTCTTCCTGCACAACTTGTGTTAGGTAGATATAAGTCTAGACTAGACAGTTAGCTATCTTAACCATACTGAGAGCTAATCAGTACAAGGAAAAGAGAAAAGAGATAGAAGGAATGAAATGGGATTCGTCACCTCCAAATCAGTGGCTGTTCTCAAATTTTCCACCAGATAAGTGGCTAGCCGGCGCTCATGGCCGTCTGCTTTGTTATGGAAATCAATCACACGGGACTGTGGGAAAAGATCCTTTTTGTCTTCAACAAAATATTCAATTGTTTTAAGATGAGGAAAGGCTTCCATGCCGAATTCACTATTGAATCTGCCGCCAATGGTCCCGAATATCTGATACTTTTCCTGGCTGCCGTGCCATACTATTCAAAATGAGTTCTTTTATTAGCCATGCTGATTTTCATCTTCTTTCTGAGCGATAGACTCTAGAGGTATAGTTTTCACTCACCGTTCCATTGGTGTAAGTCACCAACCGTTGGATCAGAGGTGATTTTTCCGTCTCCCCACGGACTTCCAGGGTGGTAGAAGACATGTGGTGAATATTCCTTAACTACTGCGGGCAAGAGATTCTCATAGATGTAACGTGCGGGAAAATCGGTCTGCAGCCACTGCTGGGGATCTTTGTCATCGAAGTTGTATGTCAGTCCGGCTTGTTCCTGAACCTGGTAGTCTTCGTTGTTTCCAGCATAGAGCACAATAGATGGGTGATGCCTGAGCCGTGAAACATTCTCTATTGCTTCTCGTTTGATTGAATCTAATAGGGTAGGCCAGGTCGGGTAATTGCCGCACCCAAACATAAAGTCTTGCCAAACCAAGACACCTAGTTCATCACAAGCGTCGTAGAAGGCGTCTTCTTCGTATATCCCGCCTCCCCAGACACTGCCGGACCAATCAGTAAAGATGATGGATGTTCAAAGTAATCTTCCATGACAAAAACATACCGGATCATAGCCTGGTTTCCCCTAATCATTAATTTGATCCAGTTTCGATATTTTTCTTCACTGACTCGAGGTAAAAAACTGTCCGCAGGAATCCAGCAAGAACCGCCGCAGAAAATGTCAACACCATTTATGCGAAAGAAAAATGACTTTCCATGTTTGTCCGGTTTCTGAACGATTTCTGCAGTACGGATACCAAACCTCTTGGAGATTTGATGAAGTGTATCACCACCCTTTTGCGTTACGGCAACTGACAATTCATATAGACTCTGGTCACCATATCCGTTCGGCCACCATAGATTTGGCTGCTCGATTGTAAACGTTGTCGAACCGGTACCATCAGAGCCAACAACAAAATCCTGATGAGCAAGCTCCTGCCCACCGAATTTAAGATAGAATGTCCCTTGGTGCCCATTTAACTCATGGCTCGACTGAACCTTTGCAAAGGCCGTTACATGTGCTGTCTCATGATTATGGGACAGCTTTATCTCGGTCCAAACATCAGCTATTCTTGCACTGAATATTTCTAGACGCACATCACGCCAGATACCAGCTGTCATCAAGAGCGGGCCCCAATCCCATCCCCAGTGGTATTGTGATTTTCGTACTGCGAGCCTTGCTGTCTCGCCGTTGAACCCAACCCACTTATGCTGCGGATGGCTTTTCTGAATTTCCCGTGCCTTGAGCAGAGCAGAATCAAACACGACCTCTAAAGTGTAGCTTTGTCTGCTAGGATCGAGCAATTGACTCGTCACGTCAACTCTGTGCGTTAAGAACATGTTGTCACTCTGCAATATGAGTTTGCCGTCAAGATAGACAGTTGCAAATGTGTCGAGGCCATCAAAGACAATGAAGGAATTCGCACCTTCTGGAATCGCTGGCTTCTGTATTGTAGTGCGGTAGATCCACGACTTTTCACTGATCCATTCTGCATCAAGTTCGTTGAAGCCGATTAAAGGATCAGAGATCCTGCAATATCAGGTTACAACTAAACCTGTGTTATTTCCTCTGCAGCTCAACTTACTTTTTGTTGGCCAGGAGGTCTTGATGCACCACTGATGGAATCGCAGGTGCAGGAAGCCATGCGTCGTGAGACTCGTTATCGGCTTGCTTGAACTGCCATTGGGACGCCGATAAGGAGAGTTTGTAGAATGGGTTCATATTGAAAGACAACTAGTTTTGTCGATTTGTATACGTTATATGCTTGATCCATTCGAGCATCTTGTAGAAAGACCCAAAGGTGCGACGTTTACGGCTTTAAGGCAGGAGTCTCCCATGGCGCTCACGTGGGCACGCGGAGTGTCGCCTCGAGCTATATTCCACTGCAGACTAAATACACCAATGCTGCGCACGGAGTGGAGTGTGCGGAGAGTGCCCAATGGTTTTAATAGCCCAAATTCGCAACAAATTCATTCGATATACCTAGGGGATATAATTCGGTGGAGCGGATTGCAGAGCGGAGACTCGACAGTCTTGCGGGGCTCCAGCGGAATGCCTGAGGAAGCTTGGCAGCCTGAGGCCGAGGCCGAGACCTCGACACAATTTCTCCCCAGCATATCACCACATATATAACCACCGCCATGGCCTCATTTCGAGCTAGCAGGCTGCAGAACCTGCTCACGAGCAATCACCGGCTATTGCAGTCCCAGCAAAAGAGATTCGCCCAGGTGCACGATGTGCGATTCCTAGCCACACACAGAGATCCGCGACAGATCCTGGACAAGTACAAGCACAAGCTTGACCAGAAAGCAAAGGAGTAAGCTTATGCCGGGGCGATGGTTAACTGTCTACCTCGATATTGGTACTGACACCCGATACTTTTTTCGTGTCTAGAGAGGGCCATGAATCGGTAGAAGCCTTGAAAGATGCGTATAAAGATAAAATCGCCGAATATCGTCGCAAAGCCTCTACTGCCGCCACGCCCGAGCCGACATCACCTCCGGCAACTTCTTCGCCTTCACATTCGCCTGCTTCAACCCCGGCAGCAACTCCGCCTTCCTCGCCATCACCAATCGGCGCTGCTGCCAAGGGGACCATAGACAGCAATGCACCGGGTATTAAACCACTCGGTTCGTATCTGAACATCGAGAAAATCCTCACTCTACCGCCCAAAGAAATCGAGACCCTGTGGCGACTCCGAAATGCAAATAACGCACGCTCAATATGTGCTGTTATTCCCTTAGATACATACCAACGAATGGCGGCGGCAGCCCGTTCCAACCCACAATTCATTCTCCCCTTGCCACGTCAACCGTCAACCACACAAGCCGATGGAAGCGAGGGACAGCCCAAAGAAAACGACGGGTCAGCTGCGGTAGAAGGCGGTGCTGACATTCATTTCTTGCAATGGGGGTTCCATCCCCCCGCTGCATCAACATCATCGCCGCTACAGACGGCTAACACACATACCTCTACAATCGTGTTCACACACCTTGCAGCCTACAAGCTGCATGGCTCATTTGCGCAGCCCCATACAACAATCACACACCATCTTGACCTGGCAGATGAGAAGGGACTGGTCCTTATGCATGGGCAAGTCATGCCGGATAGCGGCGTGTCCATTTCCGAGGCCAGTTGGTTGGTAAGCTGCGTGCAGCGATTCTATGATTTCGATGGTGAAGGCAGTGGACGCAAAGGGGAGCTTTTGCGTATGTTTACGCGCGGTGATGTGGAGGGATTCAAAGTTGAGGATTTGGTTAGCGAAACGGAAACACTTTCCTAGATACGCGCCGAGCAACGGTTGGCTCATTCATTGATAGATGAAGTGTTCTTTTAGAATGTATGATTATGTATTTGTATAAATGTGTAAGTGATATATATGTGGTTGAGAGGCAATGTATCGATCGTACCTAGGTTACTTTGTGGTCTATTGTGCATCAGATGAGATGTTTCGGCAAGTCTGCTATAGATACGTGATAATATAATCAAAGTAATAAAAAAAAAGTTCTCAGTCCACTCAACTGAACTGGATCTGATATGTGTCTGAATTTTGTGAGACAGGGTATCTTGAAGGAAAGTATGGGTAAAGTATGTAATGAAGAAAATTGAAGGAAAAGAAAAGGCCTCGTAAGTAACGATATCCACAGGAATAAAGTAGCCCGCTCAATCAACCACATATTCTATGACAAATGATCGAATGTAGTCGAAATAATGAGGTTCTGCGACGCTATCGTTGTGACCGCCATTGGGAAGTTCGCGCCAAACTTTTGTCGACGCTTGACACAGATCAAACAGCTGCGACATGTGCGACGGTCTGCCAGAGAATATTATTAGTTTCGATAATCGCACGTAGCGGGGCGAGAAACATACGGTATCATCTCGTCTTTCAGTCCACTTAGGAAAAGAATAGGAACGTCCTTGATGTCTGGAAGCACGTCCTCGCTGTTCCAATACTGGTGGCAAAGGCGAGCGAGGTAGCGAGCCGGTGGGAAGACACTGAGATAGTTAGGAGACCAATCTTGTCCCAGACAGAAGCGTTGTATCTGATAATACATACGAGGGAATAAGTTTTCGAATACAGAGAAATGTATTCTCCAAGATCAAACCTGCGATGACGCCTTTCTCCAAGTTCCTAGCCACAAGATTGATCGCAACAGCGCCCCCGAGACTCTGGCCGTAGACAATAATCTTGGTGTCTCTGGTTTCAGCTCGATTTCGCAAATAATCGAGAGCGGTCTGAGAATCGATATTCAATCCTCGTTCATCAGGCGTTCCCGTAGAAAGCCCGTATCCACGATACTCCAGCATGAAGACGTTGCAATTTAGCGCCTTGGTTAGTACTTTTGCAATAGGGACTCGATGACCAATATTGCCGGCATTGCCATGAAACATCAGAATTGTCAGATCACGGGCATTGTCTTTATTGGATGGACGTATAAACAAGGCATTCAAGGTCTCGCCATCGGGGGTAGGGATCTGAAGGTCTTCGTAGTCCGATATTCCGAACGCGGATGGCTGCGGTACATTTGTGCGAGCATCGACAGGCACGGTTCGCGGATAGATTATTTCACTGGTGGCAATACAAGTCAATATTGATTGTCCCAGCTGTTTACTTTTAAACGTGTAGCCACGTACTTTTGTTTGAAATATAACAGACTGCTTGCAACCACTGCTAATCCCGATGATGCCAGCATCGGAAGACGCATGAATTGAATCGCATTCCCTGCCATTGTGGAAATGTTCCATTGCGGCGGTGGAGGGGGTGAGTCAGACATTGTAGCTGTGTTCGGCGCGAGGTAAGATCAACGTAACAGGGCTCGCGAAAGATTCCGGTCGTAATTCTCTTAGGGTGTAGTTATTTACACATGGAGCACCAGCAGCGCTGACGACGTCTGGTCAAAGATTGCACAGGACGTACAATGAGTTCAGCCCGCGGGGATTGCGATGGCAGGGGCAAGCCGAAGACTGAGACAAGCAGGAAGGGAATTAGAAGATCATCTTAAGAATCCAGGCGAACTATCTGGCAATAGTCTGTCTGTTCATTCGGCAGTCAAGGTAAAGGTCATTGCACTCAATGGACTGACTACAGGTGGATGGCGATCGTGAGTCTCGCCCAATAACGATTGACGGCTCAATGGAGGGAGCCAAGCCGCCAAGACATCGCCTGCCAATACAACCAGCGCGCTCTGATTGGTCGGAGCAGCAGCCAATGACAAGCTGGTGGTCCTCTGACCGCCCGGGAAGCTTCGTTGCTGCTTGGTTGCCTGCCTCACTCGGCTTCTTGACCAGCTTCAACTCCATCCTGTCTGTTTGTTTGTTCATACATTCTCCAATCCCCCTACCAGCTACAGGTCATCAGCCAAACTCCTTGCCCGTGCATTTAGCCAGACCATATTGAGATTTAATCAAGCAAATACGAGATGATCTCGAACGCCAGCGGTGCTCTGGGGGAAGGTAAGCTGCCCGAGCCGCCAGAGCTATAACGGACTACAAGCTGAGAGAGTTTATCAGATGGCATCCACGTCGATATGAACCACCTGAAAAAAGGCGAGGTCAAGTAAGTTTTCTTCTTAAACACGAGTTCTGCTCGTCTGGGAAATATTCGCTAACTGTCAAGCGCAGCCTTGGAACCTCGATGTAAGCCTGACCTGCTCCTCCTCTTCACACCTTGTCCCATCAACAGCTAATCACAACGGAAACACAGCATGGCAATCAACTTCAAAGATGGCGTCATCCTTGGTGCGGATAGTCGGACGACTACCGGTGCATACATTGCCAACCGAGTCACAGACAAACTTACACAAGTTCACGACACTATTTGGTGCTGCCGGTCTGGTTCCGCCGCGGACACGCAGGCCGTCGCCGATATCGTCTCATACCACCTCAACATGTATGGCATCGTTAATGAGGAGCCCCCAAGCACGCAGACGGCGGCCGCTCTTTTCCAGGAACTATGTTACGAAAATAAAGACGCGCTTAGGTAGGCAGGGATCCTCAGCTGGAAGCTGGAAGATGATGTGGCCAGGCCAAGACTAACACTGGGTAAATCCACAGCGCGGGAATCATCATTGCGGGCTATGATCGACGACACGGCGGACAGGTATATTCGATTCCACTTGGCGGTTCGCTCCATAAACAGGCCTATGCCATTGGCGGGTCCGGATCTACCTACATCTACGGATACTGCGATGCCAACTGGAAGGAAGGCATGACAGAGGAGGAGGGCGTTGACTTCGTCAAAAGTGCATTGGGCGAGGCTATCAAATGGGATGGCAGTTCTGGTGGTGTAATCCGCATGGTCGTGCTCACAGCCAAGGGAGCAATTCGTCACCTATATTTGCCTGACAATGGTTATACCGGCCCGGGCCCGGCCAGATAAAAAGACCTACCACTGTTTCCATAGACCTGATTATTGGCCGATTATTGGTTCTTCTCTCTCTCTTCTCTTGACTCGTAGTGCGTAGTTGTGGTCTCCGCGTATACGAAAGCCCGCTCCATGGCGAGTTGGCTGTAGCTCGCCTCTTGATGTACTCGGTAGTGTATTAGTATCATGGTCAACCCGTATTGTCAATACCGCCTGCTGCGATCACAAACCACAAATTGCGGGAATAATCACGGCTTCCTCCACCACCTGCTCCTTCGGCGTGCCGTCATTCGCCCGCGGCCCGTGGCTGTAATTTACATGCGGCGTCAAGCTAGTATTTATGTATTTATCGCCGATGTCAAGTCAGTTCCCCATGCTGACTCTAATTATGATCCTTTCATTTCTATTTCTCTCTCTTGCTTCTAGGTTAGATTGAATTGATGCTTGCCCTGCTTACTTCTCGCTTTGGCTTTCATCAAATTCACTCTGTCGTTGGCTGCCCACTGATCTTACTCCGGCGCTCCCGCTAGGATCTAAGGCCTCGGTGAACAGCCAGATTATCAACACCTGCTCTGACTATACTACAGTTATACTATACGGGATATAGTAACAACTAGGTATACTATCTAGAGCATTGGGCACTACAGCGCGCGGGTTACCTCGGTTCATTTGAATCCTCGAACGCACTTTGACCCCCAATCTCCTATATATCCTATAGGCCATCAGACTAACACTGACCATTATCCTACGAAAGAGCGCCATCCTGTTGCCAGCCCGCGCCAGCCAGTTGAACTGCCTGTGTTTGAATTGGCCACTCTCAATCGTGAGTTGCACCGGCCGAGACATCGTAAAGCCGCTACAGACTCGTAATCTGTCCCTCACCACCAATCCGTTGACCGAGACGCCCGTTCTTTCTGCGGTGCTTTGCGCGACAATTGATTTCTCTGGCCCTGCAGACATACCAACTAGCAGCTCAGCCATCCGCGACAAAGAATGCAAGGTTGAGAAGTTGCTTGTGGTCGTGCGCAGTGACGTTGTGTGTTGTGCCGGACTGGCCCATTTGCCGCCCCCTCCACGACTGTAAGGCTCCAAGGCACTAAGTAAGTCGCTAATCCTCCTTCCGGCAACTACCTTGCTTTTGCTTCACGGTGTGCCAGTCAGGCGCCTGTGAGAATACACCCGGACAAAACAGGCGACACTGCATATTCAGAACTGCGGATCAGGTTTTCGGCTTCCTCCGCATTGTCACTTGCTTTCCCTCCTGTAACCACGCCGTCCGTCGATTTGCAATTCCATCCCGCATTTCTTCCCCTCCTCCTCCTCCTCCTCTCTCCCCCCCACGCCTCCCTCCGTTGCTCGTCCTCCTCTCTGTCCGCATACTTGCAGTGTGAGCCAGCCTGCCCCGCATTGGCTTCTTCTGAGAAGTCAGGGCGTCTGGCTTGTCGGTCGTTCTTTTCTTTTTTATCTTGCGGGGGAATACTGACATGGGCTTTGTAACCATCAGCCCAAATCGCGGTGCCGGACAAGGTTCAGCGCCCTCCACAGACGACGACCGGACAACATGCTTGGAGGCAGCACGATCAACCGCGTCGCTAACTCGTCAGAATCCCCCTATCGCTCTTCGTCCGTGCCTCCAACAATAGCTCAACAACAACATCACCACCACCACCCATCCGCTAGCACCCTTAGCTCTAGAGAGGCCTCTACTCCCACCTCTTCAGCCATTACGCCTTCCGCCCCTTCTTCGGTTGCGTCGCATACACCTCCTTACCCGACTTCGACAGCATCGTTGCATGATGTACCAGCATACATCCAATCTCAACATCATCATCAGCCAGTCAATACCCATTACCCCTCCGAAGCTTCGTACACGATGACCCCGGGATCTTCTCGAGAGGTCGGCGGTGCTGATCCGACGATGGCAGCAGCAAGCTCGCGATATTATCCGTCAGAGTTTCAGACCTCTACCAGTCACCCAGCTCAGATGCACATGTCTGGAGCGTCGAACATACCATCTCCATCGTCGCCACAACTACATCCAACACACCCATCAACGAGATCATTGGGGGGGTCAGAGGCCACCTCACCCAGCCGTATCAAAGTCCGCTCCTTATCTCATATCCAGAGTTTTGCCAGCGAGGAATTCCTAGAGCAATCCCAACAGTCCAGACGGCCTGGCCGGGGGCCGGCTGAGCTCGGTCGCCAGTACGAAATCAGTTCAATGCCGGTGACAGACATCATTGAGATGGTTGCAGGCTTGTTGACCAAGATCACGGCAACAAATGACATGCAGCATGAGCAGATTCATCGCCACATCCCCCCTCCGGACGGCACAGCCAATCTTAGTGCGCAAGCCAGCAGCGTGCTTGCGTTTCATGGTAAAAACGTGCCCTCAATCACAATCCTCAACTACCTCGCGCGTATTCATAAATACTGCCCTACCACATATGAAGTGTTTCTCAGTTTATTAGTCTATTTTGATCGGATGACGGAGATGGTGAACAGCAGACCCATCATCCATCGAAGCCGAAATAGACTAGACTCGGCTTCCACTCGGTCTCTAGAGGTGCGGTCTCGTTCCACGTCTGCAGCGACGCATGGGACTTCATTCAGCGGCCATCCAGCTGTTGTCACCCCCCCGTCTTCGAGCGGAATCGTAGCCCAAGATCTGAAGTCTTCGGAAGCTTCCATACCGTCCTCGTTGCAGCTAGATGACGACGAGGACGAGGAGTTCGCCAACTTCTTCGTTGTCGATAGTTTTAATATCCACCGGCTAGTTATCGCTGGGGTCACATGTGCCAGTAAATTCTTCTCAGATGTTTTTTATACTAATTCGCGTTATGCAAAGGTATGTCCAGCTCTCTGCGAATCTTCCAGTACGATTTTGGTTTTCTGACAGCCCGGTTCTTGTTCACTAGGTTGGCGGACTTCCTCTTGTCGAACTGAACCATCTTGAACTCCAATTTCTCTTGCTCAACGACTTCCGACTAGCAGTACCTGTGGAGGAGCTGGAGGCGTATGGCACCATGCTTGTGGAATTCTATGCCCGCGAGGTAATCGCTCAGCAACAGCAAGCAGTTTTAGCCAATATCCCTAGCTCCATAGACTATGGAAGTCGAGAGCAACAGCGCCATCATCATCACCAGCATCATCATCATCGCCGCGATGGATCCGAGTACGGTCAAACACCAACGCCTCCTCGGACGTAGGAGATTGATCATTATTATTTTTTTGTGTCATGCTCATGAAGAAGGATTGGGTAACTTTTTTTTTTTTTTTTTTTTCACTTTTCGGTTTTTGTTCATTCCAAATATACAATCTGTCTACTCATTGATGATTAATTATATGGCTTGCACAAACATAGAGGAAGGACATGGGAGTTTTCTGTTATATCTTCTGCTTCTTCTTCTTTTGCGCTTTCTCTCTCTGTGTTTGTCTTCTCGTGCTTTCTGTCTCTGGCGAAGCGGATTGAATTCATCTCTCGTATCCTAGGTAGGCGGATATTTTGTGTATTGTGGTTATACTGGGATACAATTCGATCACAATTTATGCTCTTTCTACTTCTGGTGCATCGTCCCCCATTGGAGTCCTCAGGCACACCAGCGCTCCTTCCTCGACGACACCGTCCAGCGCTCCTTCCCTCCGCGGCGCCCACTGTTATTGTTTACCGTATAAATACTGCCCTCTCCTCCCCCCGTTGCGTCTTCTCTTCTTCTCCTTCTTCTCTCTCCTCTTCACCCATCGTGGCCCTTCTCTCCGTTCCCCCTACTATTCTCATTTTCCTACTGCTACCCACATTTTTCATACTGCTATCGCATTCACAATGCCTGCATCACTGCATATTCCTGGGATTCCCTATATGGGGTCCGGCATCGTTCTCGGTCGCCTCAGCAGAGCCTCTGCTTTCCTCGCGCTTCCTCGAAGTCCTGTCAAGTTTCGCAGAAACATCAGATACCGTGAGCTTCCGTCAACTCCCCCTTCCAAGCTCCCTCGGCCCTGTGTTTCTGGTGCTCCGCACCGTCGACGATTCCGAGCTGCTCCTGCAAGTGCTGTCCCCTTCCCTTCTATTGCTCGCGCAAAGCCTGCCACTCCTCCCCCCTCTCCTCCCCGTTACTGTGTTTGGCCGACCCCTTCCATGTCGAAGAACGGTGTTAGTCGTGCTCTTCTGAACCGCGTTCTTGAACCGGCTACCCCTCCTCCATCCCGTATTCCTGTTCGTGTGCCCCTGCGCTCTTGTATCTCTTCCATTCCCAGTTGCCCAGGCGCTCCCCGCAAGAAGGTTGGCTTTGCCAATCCTTTGACCAGATCCTTTGCCCATGTCTTTCCCTCCCCTTCTCCCAGACCCTCCCGCCTCACCTTTGCCTGGCGCAACACTCCTGTAGCCCCGGCTCCTCCTGTACCCACGCGTCCTTCAGTGCTTCAAAAACTTGTCGGCAGCCGGAGTGCCAGCCCTCTTCGAAGCATCCTTGTTCGATCTCGGTCGGATGAGGTCAGAGCGAAGAAAGGTGTTCGGTTCGGTGATGTCGCTGTTCGCGAAGTTGATTACTGGGTTGACCGAAAGGAACACGTCTTCTTCGACGGCGGCCTCTGGGCACTTGGTAGACTGCAAGGTTGGCGTGTAACCCCTCTGGATACCCCTGACGAAGATGGCGAGACCGAGAAATATATGACTATGTGGGGTCACGATCACAGTTCCTTGTATTATCATACCCATATGCCTCCCTGTCCTCATGCTGGTTGTGTTTGGGCGAAGATTTCCCGAATGGCATTGCATTACAAGAGCAAAGGTATTTATCTCTTTGACGATCATGAAAAACTCTTGGCTCTTTGGAGTGAAGTGCGAGGGGTTGCACGAGACCGAGGCCATTGGAAACTCTGATCTGCGCCTCATGTATATCCTTTGCTCGTCATGTACTTCGCCCTTCTCATGTATCGCCCAATCATGTATTTTGCAATCCCTTCTTCATGTACTGCCCAGTCTTGTATTTGGTCGCCTTGTCAGGAGTATGCTTTACTTCCGCTCTCTCTTGGGGTGAAAGTCCTCTCGGCGCAACGTCCACTTCGCCCATGTCCTGGTCCGCGGACATCGGTTAGCAAGGCTCAATGGTGGCTCGGATTCATAGCTTGAAAGGTAAGAACATTCATGATAATAGTTTACGACGTTGCTAACTAGACCAACAGTACACTCTTAGGGTTGCTATCTTGCCTAGATTGATTCTTTCTTTGATTTTTGTTGTTTGCGTTGGCATTTGTCTTTCTGATTGGCTATTTTGACTGTTTTGTTCTTTCTTCTACATACTTATGATGTCCAGATTCTTTGTGATTCTTGCTGTCTATTTGTTGATTCATTGGCCGCTCCGGTCTTTCTGCGGCATGTTTATGACACCCAGTTTATTTGTTGACTCTCTCTGCTCCTTGTTCTGCATCCTTATGATGTTTTGTTGGATTCTTTGGTCTTGTTCTGGGGGCTGTTTTATCTTTGCTGCTGTTCTGTTTGGTTGGCTTGCTTACTGTGGTCTTTCTTCTGTGTCTTCACGATACCCAGCCTGTTTTGTTGGCTTCCTCTATTTACTCTTCTGCATATTCGTGAGACTCGGCTTGTTCCTTTGGTTGCTCTGTTTAGTTGGCTTTCTTGATTGATGTGGTCTTTTTTTCTGCATCTACATGATGCCCAATTGGTTTTGTTGGATTTCTTGACCATTTGGTCTTTGCTCTCTGGGCTGGTTTGTCATCCTTTTTTGATTTGTGTTTAGTTGGTTTTTGATTTCTGTGGTCTTTTCTCTGCGTCTGTATGATGCTCAGTCTATTTTGCTGGATTTCTTGGGCATTTGCTCTTTGTTGTATTGGTTGCTTTCTCGATTTCTCGTCTTTTTGTGCTCTTCATCTTCATGATACTGAGCTTGTGCTGTGGAAGTTTCTGCTGTGTCATTTATTGTTCTTCGTTCATGTATTTTCTGGCTTGTTTCGTTTCATTTGATGTTCTGGGTTTCCGTCTTGTATTTGCACGTCATGTACCCCGTCAACTCTTTCGTATATCGAGGGGCTTGGGGGGGTGTCATCGTCCTGCAATAATATTACTGTGATATTGTAAATATATTATGGTTGCTCTGGGAGAAGCGAACACAATCAAGGCCACGCGTTCTGTTTCTAACTTTCAAGGCATGCTAGACTACCTAGTTGGTAGGAAATGTATTGTAGAATCTTCTTCCAGGGTGAACTGTTTTATTAATGTCAAATAGCAAAGCACCGATTATTTCCAGAATACTTTCCCTTCCATAAGTCTCCGGGCAGTGCGGTAGACAGTGGACTTTTCCAGCTCTCCCTCTGGATTATAGTGTGCTCCCACGACCAATTTCCCACTCGGATGACCGACAACAAGCTCATTCTTGCTAGACGCTGCGGTTGACAGACACTCATGCACAACAGAGCCTTCGAGCTTTGCCGCTGCAGAGACACTCAGTCCCGATGTAATAGGCAATGCCTTGTGCGGTTGACCGGTAGAAATTGCTCGGACAACGACATCGACCTCATCTGCAGACAAATTCTCGCCCGATAATATACGATGCGATACAGGCTTTGCCACGAAACAGATCTTGGGAATAGATGGAGGCACATCTTTCTCCGCACTTGCCATTCCCATTGCAATAGCCGCTTGGACTCGAAGAGTCTCCAATCTCTGCAGCAAGTCGGGTCGCTCGTCAGTCTCATGCGGGAGTATAGTACCACTCACTCCGAGTTCGTCGGCCATCACGAAGACACACGGATTGCCCACATCTATACATGTAACATGAAATCCATCGATCATGTCGACGGTGTTGCCCGTAGGCAATAGTTTCCCCGTCTTCGAACCACCAGGGCTAATGAAGTCCAGTTGGATTTTAGCAGCTGTTCCAGACACGCCATCAATAGCAAAATCCCCGTCATAGACTGTCTCCAAGCCATCACTAGTTATGGGGAAAGTGGCCTGGATGATCTTCCCCGTGTTGGTGTTGTACAAGCTAACAGTCGTTTCAGGAAGGCGACCATCGATTATAGGCAGCGACGTGGGCGGTGGATTTATCAAGCCAGAGTCAATCGCAAAGGGGCCAATAGCACTAGACATATTCCCACAATTGCCAGCGTAATCGACGCGGTCATTCTTCACCCCGACCTGGACAAAGGTGAATTCGACCTGTGCATCGGTGCGGTCCGAGGGTGCAACGACGCATATCTTGGAGAGGCTAGAGATCCCTCCACCCATGCCATCGAGTTGTCTGCCATTTACATCAGGTGACCCAATAGTGCCAAGGAAAATGGGCGACCAGTCTTTTCTGTCTGCGGGAAGATCCTTCTTGTGAAAGAGTAAGGCACGAGATGTGCCGCCGCGATAGTATGCTGCGGGTATGGAATTTTGCCCTTTTGACAAGAGTGCAGAAGCAGCGGAGAAGACTCTCTTTTGGCTGATGTTTATCTGTGGAAGCGTTTGATTAGGTGGGCGGATACTTTTCCAATATAGTCTATCCATGGATACATAAATGGTTCTGTGAAAACTTACACAAACTGTCGCCATGTTTATTTATTTTCTACTTGGGCTGCATGCAATTGGCGCAAATTTTTTTCTAGTACGAATACTCCAGACACCTGGAAGTTGTATCACCTGTTCTCCATTCAAAGTAGGGATATAACCCCTCAAATAACTTCCTGCAGACTTTAGAAAAAATCAGTCTCTAGACATGTCGTCGCAATAAGCTTCCCCGATGACATCGCAAGGGGTTGGTTAACTATTTTTGCTCACACACGGGCCAGCCGGGACGATCCGTGGCGGCCGCTAAACTAAGCAAGATTTTAATTTTGAAATGAAGGTTTATCACCACGTAGTTATGGGGCCCTGTTGAGTTTTCTCATCTAAATTGCACACATGCCTGAGTCAAGGCGAAGTGTTTCGTACTGGTTTTTATAGAATACTTTGTCTCTGCGGACGTGTCCGCTGATATGTAGGCGGTGGTTCTTATTAGGTTGTAAATAGTATGCCTGAAGGTCCATATTGAACTAATGCGAACTAGTGATTAGATGAATCACATGCAAAAATCTGGGGAAATGGTCAAACAGATTCATCATTATCACCTCTCGTCTTATCATGTCTTTCATATTTTGGTATATGGTCTCAGATACCTTTGCGTCATCAAAAAAAAAGACGATGCGATGCAAGGGAAAACAAGGAGAAAAACAAAGAATAAGAATACCGAAACGCCATGCTGATGGAGACATGAACATGAATAACAGTAAAAGAATCCACTGGCTTAGAAGAAAGAGAAAGAGCACCAGTACAAGTTTAGACTACCTAGTCGATTCTAGGCGGACTCCTTGAATGTCGTTCAGATGGGCTCGAGCTGTGCCTGTGCAATAGAGTTAATGAAACTAGAATCTAGCAAAACAAAGTGAGATAAGGGGGGAGATATAAACGTACGACCTTCGACGAACCCCCTCCTTTCTGAACCCCTCGATAATCTTCAGAATTTGTCTTCTTCCTGCAGACGCATCGACCCTCTTCCCTGCCAAACTCATACTGACTTTCTGGTTTGAATTTGCCTTTAACAGCCTCTCCAGAAGTAAACATCGTATATTCAAACACACAAACACACCACAGTCACTACTATTTTCTTGAAGCGGCGCATCTTCAAGATGAACAAATCGGATTGGGCAATTCAGCAACGCGCCTAGTTTCATCGTGATTGTGTATGCTTCCATTCTGTTTCCGGGAGGCAACGAGTCGTAATGAAAAGCAATGCGGTCCACTATTGATACTAATAGTAGGGACCAGTGCGTCCCTCCTTCGGCTTCGGTGACGTTCCGGCAGTCGTTGATGGGTAAGAAGATGTGGGTTGTTTTGCTGAAGTTTGGAAGTGCATCGCGAAGCGTGCGTGGATCTGGTGTTTGTAGGAGCATGAATGACATGCTTGGTCGAAGGAGGATGATATTTGAGTGTTCGAATTTTGATAGGTATTCATGCTCAAGATACCTAGATCAAATTAGCAATCTGTAAAATAATAGGAAGAAAAAAAGTGAGCAGTGGTATAAGCATACTCCTCCCAGAATGAAATGATCTAGACCGTCTTCAGCATATACTTTACGTTATGTGAATGTGAAATTTAACTTACATTGTCTGTTAACCAGTCGTTCTTCAACGTCTGTATATCCTCTCGCATCACTAATAGCAGATTGATTAGTTTGATGCAGAGTAGAAACCTTCTTCCACCATTTCAGCCACCTTACATCTTATATCGTAATCTAGACAAGGAATATTAAGGTTAGAAATTTCCGTGTAGAACTGAGAGATGTGCTGGTGAAGTCTTACAACTCAAATATGCGTCATCAGGATGCAGCTGCCAGTAGCTGTTAGCAACTCCCTCCGCCCCCCCCAAAAAAGGAAAGACTGTGACAAAATATAGTCCGTAGTTATTGCCATTATTTCACATACCGTATCAGAAAACCTCCCCATCATTCTCTTCTGAAGCTTGCCGAAGCCGCTTTCACGCATCTTGTTTGCTGACACTTCTTTTCGGTTTTTCAATATGTGCGATGCGTTAAGATTTGTACGCTTCGTGTTCGTTTATATATAAACTGATATGTCGGTGGTTTATGTATGTTTTCCGACGACTGGATTCGGCAAAAGAAAAGAAAGCCGGAATGCGGAAGAAAAGGAGGGCGCTTTATTGCGCGGATACGTAGCAGATCTCAAAGCAAAGTAGTCATACAAGTTCTATGCACCTTGGAAATAGAGAGAATGTCAGCGAAAAAGCAAGGTTCAAACGTATGTAGGATGAAATGTTGACTTGTACGCCTTACCTGTTTGTCCAAGAGACGTAAGTCATGTAATTGCCTCGGTAATGAACAACCCAGGTCAGTATACGATGTACTGGATAGGCTGCTGTAGCGAGAGAAAAAAGGAAAAGAAAGAACAGGTTAATAAACAATCAAATGCCCTAGATCAGCGTGATAGTCAAGAGGAATATATGCAGAGGGGGAGAAAATAAGGGTGGCTCTCCTTGCGCAGGCTTCAACGTTTGGCGCCGCGACGTCACCAAGTGTGGCTGATTGACGTGGCTGGTGCATTGCGGGGCACCAATTGGGCGGACCCATCGTTTCAGCCTCAGGGCTAGTCATTGTTTTCTTACATCCGTGAATAGAGACGAGAAAATCATGGCTTCGAAGTATTTGAACATTGTAACTGGGTATCTACACTACATAAATACAAATTTCGGTCGCCAGGCTGTTGAACAGATCTGATCCGCGGTCTGCAGAAAGGGAAATTTTTACAATAAACACAAGGGAGGGAGGGAAATAAAACTGCCATCCCTCGAGACACAAGGCTTGCCAGATCAACTGGGAATAAGTGATCGGGGGAAAAGAATAAGCACATCCCTGTTAAAAAGCAAGCCCGTCCTGTAGAGCTGACACATCTGCAACTATCCCGGCTGATGGGACGAGTATGAATAATAATCATATGAACAATATGCAAATACACACGGCAAATAGAACTTTGGCATCGGGGAATCAATCATAAATAACAGATACAAGTGGAATGTTCCATGGTTATAAACAATGGGAAGCGTGAATCAACAAAGTGGCCGTAGAATAAATGGAAACATAGAAAAGGAAAACCCATTCAGAAACATTGGACAGTTGTGTCGCTAAATCACGCTCATGCTAACACCTGTAGAGCGCCTAAAAATGCGTGAAAGTTGTCATGTCTAATAAATTCGACATTTTGTTGGTAGCTTTGGCGTTGAAAATCGCTTTGTACAATATGCCTTAGAGAAGGGCCTCGTAATGAAAGGAAAACAATTCTCAACCAGGCAACTTTGCAAAATGCTGTGTCCATATCCAGCCGACTTGACCTGAGGGATCATCTTGATTCTTAGCGAGCCATAGCTCGCCCTTTTCACCGATAACATCGAACACTTCACCCTCGGTGTAGGTAAGATAGGGATACCCGGCTTCGCGCCGTGACTTGTCAATGTTAAACTCATACAAGCTAGCCGCAAGGAATAGTACTTTCGGATCTGAATTGCTCGTTGGTGCGGGAGCGGGAGCGGGAGGTATCGGAGCCTCTTGCATAGGCGAATCAGCCATAGGCATTGCAGACGAGAAAAATCCCGAAAAGCGAGCGGGAGATGCAGTTGACTCGATTGTTCTATTGTTCAGATCATGCGTATCATGAAGCAAAGGATCTCGCATGAAAGGCATATCAAGACTCAACCGGGGAGCGGTATGAGATGAATCTGTTTGGCGACCGGTTGACCCTGTGCTGGGCCGTGCTGGAGATAATGCACTTGCCACAACTCCATTTCCAATTTGCCCATTCACGGCTTCTGCACTAGCTCTCGTACTCACTCCCGCACTCGCCACCGTACGAGCCGCGCCAGAGAACGATGAGCTAGCACGCGCATGGGAAGCGCCGGTGACATATGACTGAGATCCAATAGAGTGATAATCAGACTGGCCATCCATACCATACGAATGGATTGAAGTGCCATTGGTGCCGAGGTCATAAGACACTTTTGGTGAGCTCTCAAACGTCCCCGATGTAGTACGAGCGCTGGAGTTGGTCACAGTAGACGGTCGCCGGGGCGAGGTTGTCCCATCTGCTGCAGGAGCATTGAAATTAACTAAATTGCCGGCTTCGGAAAGAAGAGCACCATTGCAGAGCGCTAAGGACATGATTTGTGCGTCGGCAAAGGAGAAATCCGCTGTCCAATCGTCGACAATGCTTGGCAGATCCCCTGGATAGCGATCAAGGATGGGGCCCAGTTTCTGTTGGAGGATCTGGTACCATTGCTGTTGAATAGATATAAATTTCTTTAAGCATGCTTCCATAAGCTTAGCTGTAAGATTGAAAAGCCGTGGAAGCTCATCCTTCAACGCGTCATTCAAAACCGAGAACTGCTCTCCCTGCTCCGTAGTGCGTTTATCAGGCTTATCACCGCGGTCTTTCACAGACTTGTATCGGGCATAGTCAAGCAATCTCTTATTTCGCTTAGTCATTACCTTTTGTGGACCTTCGTATAGCTTGAGTAAGGTGAGCATAGGGTCGATTACACCTTTGCGAACAGCTGCAATATGTTCGGGAAGAACAACACTCATGACTTCCCGCACATATACCCGTAACCTATGCCATTTGCTTTCAATCTCAGCATAGTTAGACTGCGCAGCGTCGACACAACCATGGACAGCAGCGACGTAATTATTGAACATGTCCATGCCCGACTTGATTTCCCGGGTGTACATTTCCACATCACGCATAACTACTTGCAGCTGAAAGAAATGTTCATTGAAGCGGTTCGCCAACGCATTATAGTCCGTGTCCTCGAACATTTCGGAAAGACCAACCTGTTGCCTGAGCTTTTCAGTACGACGACCAAACGCTTTGGAAAATCCCAGCCGAACATCAGAATCCTTGCGTTTCCGGCTGCTGACAACCTGACCTACAACGTCCGCGCGTTTCTTCAGATCGTTGATCCGAACTGAGATTTTAGTGACCCCTTCGAGGGCTTGCACTAAAGCGGTGTGGTCTGGGTGGCTCTCTGGGGTGGCGTTAATCAGCTGTGTGAGAAGGAGAGGATATTTCACTAAACGCTGCACAGGCTTCACTAGTAAAGCATCCAAGTTCCAGGCGTCTGTGAGATCAGCGGCCCAATCACGGCATTCTTTTAACCAGATTTCAACTTTAGGATTTTGTTGGAGCACTTGTAATTTCTTGTTGGCAGCTTCATGGTTTTTGAGATATTCAGTGTAAACCTTCTCCATATGACCGATATTCTCCATGAAGACATGGCCCACAAAGGTAAGCTGATCTTGCTCAACACTAGATAAGTCAGCAGTGGAGTTTTGCGTTTCTGCTGGTGAAATATTCCTGCCACTTTGATTCCCTTGTTTACTGCCCCATCGTTGAGATTTCGGCATCACGTACACACTCTTGGCTGCATGTTTCAGGGCGTCTTGAAAGTTCATAGAAAACTGAACAATCTGGTCGGAATTTGCAAAGAGAACTTTGACATCATCTGCAGAGAGATCTAAGCAGGAGCTGGAGGTGCCTTTGTAGATATCGTCCACCACCTTCATATCGCGGCCATAGGTGTATTCTGTATCAACAAGTTCCTTGATCACATTACGGCGTTGCTTCAACTTCTTCTGTTCAGGCGTTGGTGAACCACTTGGAGCTTCTCCAGCGGGGTCAGGAGCAGGAATGTGATTTTGCGAGGTGGCAGACGATGCCACAGTGGCTGGCGAATGCGTGAAACCGGTCTGTGTCAAATACGAGTCTTCACTGTGGCGTAGTGTCTGTTGTTCTTCGAATGCAGGAAAGGGAGAGCTGGATATGTTGCTTGACGGCGGTTGGCTGGTATAAATGCTTGGTGATACAGACTGTGGCGCAGGGGTTTGCGAAAGGGGAGCCTCTAAACCTTCAGTCGCTTTCGGAGCTGGAGGAGGACTATAGGTAGGCATTGGCGGTAAAGGAGACATTCTTGTTTCGTCCACGGGGGATTGTACGTGAATTGCAAGGCCAAGTCCATCCCAGGAACTATGGGCCTGTTGAGGTGCAGGGGCTGAAGCTTCCATCGTCGAGTTCTGAGGTTTATTGTCACTGCTAGAGTCGTGAATCACGACTTCATTTTGCGGAGTTATCGCCGATGGCTCATCTTCTGCAGCCACCTGCATCCAGTCTGCGATTGATGGCGACGCATTTTCCCAATCATCTCGCAAGCTCAGACTCGCCCGGTGTGAAAGGCTATCCTTTGAAGATAGATCCCGGACGCGTGGCACCATAACCGGTTCGTCTTTGAGACTATCGGGCTTAGATAGGTTCTCACTCGCTTCGCCTCGTTGAACGATTTCCCAAGGTCGGTCGAATGACTGCCGGAATCCGCCACGTGCCAGTTCCTGCAAGTAGAGTTGCGTAACACGTTTAGAATCCCAGCCTCCTTGTCGAATCAAGCTATCGGGGTGTGAATGTTGGCGCCTATGAGTACCGGGGCTTGTCGTTAAATTGGCGTGAAGATAGTCATAAGTAGACTGACGGCGCGGGCTATCTGCTGCTGCTGGCTTCAAATGATATAATGATTGGTTATCCCGTTCGATCGAGAGCGATGGTTCATCGTCAGCGTCACACTGGCTATCTGAACTCGATTGTTGCTCTCCCGTGGAAGAAGTCCACGATGCCATGCTCCATCTGTTGGGGTCATCATGGCTTGTTGTGTCTTTTTCTATATTTTGACTGACTGGAAGATGTTTATTATCACCAGTGTCTATTCCATCCAAGAAGAAGGTAGACCGAGCGGGATCGAGCATGATACGAATTGACTCCTTCTCATTTTCCTCGTCGCAAAGTACGTTGTCATCGTCCTCGTCGTCTTCGTCGTCATCATCATCGTCTTCTTCATCTTCGTCGCATTCATCACTAGAACTTGACTCTCGAAGCTGCATGATGCGACTGAGCAGATTGCGATGCGATTCCTGGTGATCGAGGCCCACTTGCGGTTCAGGGTCAAAATTAGTGGAACCGGAATCATTCGTGGCTGCCGTGACTGCGGACAATGGTGGAATGTCATCTAGGGAAGCATTGACGAACGTCGAAGAAGGCCGGATAGTGGGTGCTGTCGATATACCCAGTGTTGGGGAGTCTGCCCCACTGACGTGAGCTTCAGGTAATACAACTTCTGATTGCTGAGTGTAGAGGTTGCTGGTATCGATAGATAAGCTGTGGGTGAAATTCTGGTTTTCCGGTGTTACGAAAGGTAGCGATGCGACGTTGCTCTCCTCCACCTCCTTTGGCTGGGCTGATTCTGGGATTTCATTCGCATGTAGCTGAACAGGCGTTGTTGTAGACTCCATAGACGCCATCTTGCGAAGCTCGCCCTCACGAATGAGCATTGATCGCACTTGTTCATCCCTTTTATAGCGGGCTAGTCTTCGACGCTCGGCAGCTTCTTCCTCTTTCTTGACCGTCTCCTGAACAGACTTGTTGAAAGCTTGCTGAATCCGTTGTCGGCGTGCCGCGAAGTCAACATTGCCTAGCTCGGGTGGTTTTCGTGTTCTGGTTCGGGAATTTCGCGTACGGTCATCAGAGCTTTGGGACGTCTGGAAACGAGAAACACGATCAACGACTTTTGCACGGGATGCTGCGGTACTGGCTGCCGATACTGGCTGCCGAGGTCTAGAGCTTCGTAATGGAGGAGACGTCTTGGGCGGTGGCGCGGAAACGTAGACCTTGAGAGACCCTTTATCCTGCGCTTGGCGAGGACTCCCATGCGTATGCATGACATTTCGGCGGTTAGGTGATTTTATAGTAGGGGTGACGGGTATATTCCGCTCTGGACTCGTGACTCCTGAAGTTGTCATTAAATTGAGAGGCTTTGGAAGACGACTACTGCCTTTCGGAGCAAGCGGGACCTGGTTCGAGGTAAAATTGGTGTTATTGTTGAGATGATAACCCAAGGCTGAGTTTGTTCGGGTTGAGGGAGACGAAGGGCTAGAACAATCTGAGGCACGTCTGTTCGCAACAGGAATGCGAGATTTTGTAGTATGAGAGTTATCCGGTGTTGTTGCGGATACTGGCTCTTGCAGTGAGGTGCCAGCCATTTGGGCCTCCAACGGGCTTCCCACGACAGGTCTCATAGTAGTCCAGGAAGCGTCACTTCTTGTACGACGGGACTTACGGCTGCCAGTATCAGGTAGACTTTTATTGACAGACTCGAGTGACTGGGTGTAGCCTAAGTACCACGCCGTTGGTGATGTTGGAGAAATTACCGGACCTAGGCCTCCAGGTCCTGAGTTCTCGATGAAGAATGGATGAGGGCTTGGTATGCTGCTTTCTGAGCCTCTGCGACGGATGTGAGACGGAAGAGTACCATGTCCCAGCTGATTATTCACAGCGGTGTCAATAGTCAAAAGATCTCCGAACAGCGGTCGCCGTGTGATACCTTCACCGCTGTGCTTTTGGGAAGGGGAGAAGTGAGGATTCGGATAGAGTGAAGACTGTGGTTGGTCGTGTTTGTCGTATTTCGGTACAGGCGGGAAGGATATCGGAGGAGATTTGTCGGCGTGACGAAGTTGGCCCTCGATCGTCTCAGTTCCGGACCGACTGCGGCTGTTTAATGCAGGCGACGGACTTGTGGCTCGAGACGACAAGGCACTTGGTATGGGTGGAATCTCGTCCACGTTTTTGTTAAAGCGTTCAACCAGGTCTTTGAACGAGGCCTGCCTGTTTCGTGCACCAACAAATGACAATGGTTGCGGGCGAAGAGCAATATCTCCGGACGATAAGTTGGAATCCTGAGAAGGGGAGCGCAGTTGATATGGCCGGGGAGTAGACCGGTTGTGGGAGTAGGAAGAAGAATCAAAGTGTTTCGGGAAATCAGGAGAGCGAGGAGCAGAAGTAATTGCTGTCATTCCAAGGCCAACGTCCGCGGGTGGCAGCAGGCTACCTAGGGCAGGACTTTTTTGCGCATCATCAATGGCATAAGGACGATAGACGTCGTTGGGATCGGGGGACGGGGTCTGTTCGGCGTGGACTTTGTCTGCTTGGCTGCCAGAGGTACATGTACCATGAGACTCCAGCGCTTCGGGATGGTAGGAGGCTCCCGGTAGAAAGGGCCCGTCGTGAGATGAGACGGTTAGGGTTGAGAGACGATTGAGCGGGAGAAAGTCCAAGGAGGGTCGGTGTGACTGATGGGAAGAGGGTTGTTCAGGCCATCGGGGAGAATGGGGGTGCTGTTGAACAGAGGAAGGGTCATGGTCGTCGTCTCCGTCAGGCATCTTGCACGACACCTGCGGAGGGACCGGTCACTGAAGAGGGCGGGCTCGGGTGGCCGTGCGAAATCGAAAGGTTCCACCAAGAAGGATTGCCAGTTAAGCTACTGATGCGTTGTCGTCCACCCTCAGCCTTAGTTCAAGCAGTTATCCGTCGTCTCCAGTTTGAGAGCGATGTCGCAGATTGGTCCAGGTGGGCTACAGAGAGAGCATCTCGTTGGTGTCTTGGGCTAGCGGCATATCGAAGCTTCGCCCAGCCTGCCTGGAGGGATTGGACTTGTAATGTGTCCTGCCAAGCAAATGGACGAAGCAATTATTTATTCGTTTCTCGAGCAGGGGTTGAGAGATCGGGACGGTATTGGTCGCAAGGCTGGCTGTTATTGAGATGCAGGCAGCGATGGTGCTCGAGTTGGGCCAACGAGGGAATCTCACGAACAAGCGAGGGAACGGCCCCCTGGCGATTGGAGAGCAGGGGTCTGCGGCGTAGCGTAAGCAGGTGAATCGAAGCAGCGATGTATTAGAAAAAGAAAAAGTAATGTTAAAAGTAATGCGTAGCTAGCGAGCAGCGGGCGAGAGTGGCTGTGGGAGGGAGTTGAGTGTTAACCGGTCTGAGGAAAGAGCCCAAACGGGAAGCGTTGAGAGCGGATAGGCGCACCGCTGGCAGCTAACTAAATACGTTTGGTTAGGCCGACGTGTCGCAGCGCTAGACACCGGGCTTTGTCCAGGATTAGATGAGTCAAGGTCAAGGTCTTCGAAGCTTCTTTTTTGTTTGGCAATAATTCATACATGGTAATGCGCACGGCACACGCACCGGAAACGCTGCCCGCGGGGGCAATGAGCGGCGCGTTCATTCGCTGGGTTATTATACATAGTCATACTACTACGTACTACTAACTAAATTACCAGGGCTTAGTTGCAGCGTTAGGTGTCACCCCTCAACGCTTGCTCCATTGTCAAGGCTGCGTTGGGCCGATTTTAGCGGCCAAGGCAGATGAGATGCATCGTGTACGGAGATGTCATGAATGTTTATTAAATTAATATATACACATTTATCACAAGTGCGATCATGGATGTAGATAGTGTTACACGTAACTAGTTTGTATACTATGTAAATGAGATGATGAAACTGATCGTTATCGTAACCTTAAAAGAAACGGAACTCTGGACAAAAATAGCAACGCCGGCGTCTCAAGGCCATCCTCGCATACTATAGGCGCTGCACAGTGCTGGCTCGCAGACAAAGTCAAGAATAAGAACGCGAACAGAAAAAGATTATTTATCCACGCTGGCAGAGCAGCATAGAGGAGATGACGCCTTGTAAACAAACCGCGGTGTCACGTGTGTGTGTGCCTGGCCACGCGCCCCACTCTGGCCGGGCAGCCACTCACGCTGCAGCATCGCCCGTGGGCCAATCAGACGCCGTGCGCCACGCGGGAAGCCGAGTCTGGCTAGTCTTGGATTCTTTCTTTGAGAGCAAACAGTGACTACAAAGTACATGCTGCTGTTACTAGATAGCATACTCAACCCGTATACAGCAGGGTGTGCGTCCGTTTGCTGTTTGCCACAACTGTGCTATATGCTATGTGCTCATTACGCAGTCTCAGAGTACGGTGTAGTTGCCGATCTACGATTGGCGAAGCCATCTGCAACTCGGTGGGGAGGAGCCGGTAGGGCCACAGTGGAGCTTCATGGGGGGATTCACTCACTAGCACACCGACATTAAACATCCTCCTGCTCGATCTGATACTTTTTCCTCATGGCATGGAAAAAGCTTTCGAGGCCTAACATTGTGGTATCGCCATGGCTAACATGTCATTCGGATGAAATGTGAACCCGCCTTTTGAGTCTAATGTCTGTTTGCTACGAGGACCGGAAAGCTGAAACACTCCCAAATTACAAACAAAAGATGGGATGTTCAATGCGGTTTCAGGTTTCCATTCTTTGAAGGCGGCTCAAGAAAAAGATACCATCTAGACAAAGCCGTGTTTCTACGTCCGAAGGGGCGGTATCTTTACCCGCCAACAATCAAATCAACGCATTTTGAAGACGGAAAGAGACAAAACATGGACCGATCGACAACGAAGTAGATTGATATTGAAGAACCGTCCAAGGGCAAGGGAAATCAAAGAAATAGGCAGGCCCGCTACCTATGCCATATGTATGTAAGGCTTCGTGTTACCCTGACTAGAAAGCAAACAGCCGTACCTGCAGCTACCAAGTCATACAGTATTAGGTGCGTAGCAATAAATATGGGGATCATTTACCGGGAATTGCCTGGAAATAGTATGCTTTTCCAGGAATTCTTACCCAGGGTTTCGGTGCCTGCATAACGACTCCACCAGGCTAGGTGGGAAAATGGTACGTAAATGTAGAGTTGGCCAAATAATAGATATGTATGCTTAATCGATCGTGATGCATGTTCTGTTTTTCCCCATTAACTCGAATATTCGGGATAATCTCCATATCACATGACTGATAATGCAAACAACCGATGCATCGGTCTTAGTCGTGGCGAACATGACGTGAACAGGAACCAGGTCCCTCGGGATAAAATTCCAAATCACGGAGAACCGTTGCTTGCGGGGTTTAACGAGAATCAAAGGTACCTTCGTACGTAGTGTTTCCTGATAAAGATTGATCTATCTAGATCTCAATACGTGGTTGTCTCGCTTAATGTTATGTCAAGATATGAATCCATGAATATAACATGTCGTATCACACACATATATACTTCAGACCAATTGGATAGGCTGACTAACCAATAAAGATTCCAGTTAGTTAGTTACCAGATACGCATCTTTACCTTGCGCAACGGAGCCAGAGGTTCGAAAGTAAGGCATATCACTTCAATTTACATGTCCATCTAGCACATACGATCATAGGGTGTGGAAAATAGGGCTTCCCGTCCGCTCAGCCGTACTCAAACCACACGCCGGCCAGTCAGTAGCTGGGTGGGTGACCACCAGCGAATCCTAGCTATCGTATGTCTCATTTCTTTTCCTTCTTTTTTCATTGAAAAAAGAAATTGCCTTTTTTTTTAAAAAAAAAAAAAAACTTCCTCCTTTTTCTCGTCGTCTTGTATTTACATTTCTTCCCCTCAGCACACTGAACTTTGAAATGTAGGATAGGATGTCATGCAGGACATGGTAACAATAGAATATAGCCGTGTTCGATTAGGGCGATTTCAACAAGAGGATTTACTTGGAGCTTTTCATTCATATTTAGAGTCAGGTAGAACATGGACGATGGTTGAAGTCTGACGCGTGGATTCCCAAAGCGGAAACCATTAACGCGTGGGACCCACACCGCGTCAACAAGAGTACAGCTTCAACTTCAACGTCCAACGATCTATGAAACAAACACTGCCAGTGCTATTTGAACGAGAACAATGATGTTTCTTGTATTGTCAAGAGTCACGACATGTTAGTCGCTTGCCTAATAACATGAGGGTCTAGCAGGCTACTCTCCGCCATGGGAAAGAAGCGAAAGCGCCCTCAAAAGACAGCTGCATCGCAAGCTACCCACCCCCAAAAAATCCCCAGGATAAACAATGATAAAGCCGCCGCTGCACATGAGCACCCGGTGCTGTCGAGATACTATCCCAGGGTTGTCACTCTGAGACAGTATTTACTGGAGGAGCTACCGTCATCTTCAAAAGCACGTCGACGCCAGGTTCTTACCTTGGGGAAGCCGAAACATGCTAGAAGTACAGATATCAGTGTCTCTACATCAGAAAAGCCAACTCAGCGCAATGAAGGAACTGATATGAACCTTGCTCACTTCCTTGATTCAACGCTGGTTGGGATAAGGAAAGATGTCAGCCCCGCTGTTCTCAACGCTCGTCATAAGGAACTTGTCGCTTTCATGCAGTCAGAAGAACGCAGTACTTTGTTCACGGATACGGAACAACGGAGTGCCCAGTCCGAGGTGCGTTGCTGGAAATACATAGAGACTTTGTAATGCACGTTGTGCATTTCTAACGGACAACAGGTGGTCGATTATGCCATAGAAAAATTACTCAACCAAGATCCAAAACCTCCACATATCCTGACCAACGGGTTCTATCGTACGACACGGAGAGAAATCATGGATCATGGTATTGGCGCGATGACATTCAACATCCCCGGCGTTACGTTACGCTTCCCGAATCCCAAGGTAACCGCTCTGAAATCGAGCCCGTGGACCGACATCTTGACTCTTCTCGGTAGCAATGGAGAAGATATTATGTCCAAATTGCTACTGGACTGTGGCATTTTCTCTTGCGTAAATGAAGGGAAAGCGGCTTTTCATCAGATTAGTGGTGTGTATACTGTAACAGTGTCCTATGAACTACGTACTGAGATATTTGGGCGTGGCAGGTACCTACCTTTCTGAGCTGGAACCTATTGATGTTGAGATTTCCACTTGTCAAGATGGAAAGTCGCAGACTAGGGCTACTGCCTCCAAGAAATCTCCATCTACGATGAAATTGTCAAAGGGCGCAGCACCTGTCCTTCATAAATCGAACAGCATCGTTTTTGTTAGGCGTCGGATGCTATATGCGCGTCCAGCCATTAATTCAAAGGGCGATGTTCGTTTCGGATTGAGACATATTCGTGAGTGACTCACTTTGATAATAGAACGTGTGAAGTACTAAGTTTGTTAATTTTATAGACGTCCTTAATCGTTTTCCAAACTCGAATGATATCGAACAAACTGTTCACGTAATGAAGTACATTTTTCCTCGACAATTTGGACTACATAACGCGTTCACGTCCGCGGTCGACTCGCGAGAGACTGTACAGCCGTTCAAAGACTATACACTGAGAGAGGAAGAGATTGCTCGTTTGCAAGGGCCAGAAGGACATCGGCGTACGCAAATAAAATCCAAACTTCCAAAACGGCTTCGTGGAAGTCCGCTACAGTTAGTGCAGAAGCTTCAGAAACGTAGCCAAACGTGCTCTTATACCGCATTACTGAGGCATTATTGTCCGCTTAGTGTAAGCTCGGGTCTTTATGTCTTTATCTATAACGTTTGCTCATCATTCTAGGAAACGGGACTTTCCAAGCTCGCTGTGTTGCCATGCTCCTCAGACGACAAGGGCTCTCAGCAGCTAATCACCCAGACTTCTCGACCCAGTCAGTCGAAAGCAGATCATACGCAGCCTGAAGACTATGATAATCTCGTTTTTCCTGATTCCACAGCCCCATCAATCGAAATATCACCCATAACTTCGACGCGGAAAATATGTTTATTGGACCATGCAAGTCCAACTTCATCCGTCTCTGCATTCTGCCGAGCAACGCTACGGAAGCTGATTCCACATGAGTTTTTCGGTCAAGGTGAAGATGGCGCGTCAAACCTACGAACGATGATGAAACAGATTGATCGATTCATACGGCTAAGCCGTTTCGAAAGCCTCACCCTCCATGAAGTTTGCAAGGGATTCAAGGTATGAACGAAGCTTGAAAAATAACTTTTCCATACATTTAACCATAAGTTAATGCAGATCACCTGTCTTCGCTGGCTTGAACCGCCATCTTGTCCATCCTCACGTGGGCTGAATATCTCTCTGTCTGATCTACGCAAAAGAACCGAAATTCTTCACGAATTTGTCTACTATATTTTCGACTCCTTGCTAATACCCCTAATTCGCACCAATTTCTACGTCACAGAATCTCAGGTTCATAAAAACAGGTTGTTTTATTTTCGGCACGATGTATGGCGGAGCCTGATTGAAAAGCCGCTAATTGATATGAAGTCTTCAATGTTTGAGGAAATCAAACGCGATAAAGTCAGCCGTGTGCTAGGGTCAAAGAAGCTGTCATGGAGCGCAGTGAGATTATTGCCAAAAGCTACTGGAGTTCGTCCAATTATCAACCTTCGACGACGAGTTGCGAAATATTATGGCAGCCATTCATTTCTGGGGCCCAGCACCAATTCAACCATGACGCCGGTCTTTAATATTCTCTCCTACGAAAAGGATCGCAACCCAGACCTGCTTGGTTCGTCAATGTTTTCAGTCGGCGATATGTACGCCCGCCTAAAATCCTTCAAAGACCGATTGAGGCGGCCTGAAAAGGCAAATCTTCGACATGAACAACTCTATTTTGTTAAGCTGGATATTCAATCATGCTTCGACACCATTCCTCAGCGCAGCCTTGTATCACTCATTGAGAGTCTTGTTACGGAGGATGTGTATCATATCACTAAACATGTGGAAATTAGACCAGGCGATGGTTCCAAGCACAGAAACGGGTTTATGCAACGACAAAGAACACAAAAGCCGGCAGCGAGACCAATTCGAAAATTTCTCAGCAAAGCGAGGGGGTTGAAAGAGATACTGAACCCCACCGTCAATCCTCCTAACGAAGCTAGAAACTTGAAAAGGAACACTATCCAAGTGGATACGGCAGCAGCCAAAAACCACCAAATAAATACACTGCTTGATTTATTGAGTGAACATATTCGAAAGAACCTTGTGAAGATCGGAAAAAAATACTATCGCCAAAAGAATGGAATTCCTCAGGGTTCAGTGCTGTCCAGTTTGTTGTGTAACTTCTTTTACGGAAAGTTAGAGCAAGAAGTGTTAGGGTTTCTGAAAAATGACGATACACTTCTATTGCGACTCATTGACGATTTTCTTCTAATAACAGCCCAGCCAGAACTTGCCAAAAGGTTCCTGCAGGTCATGATGGATGGTCAACCAGCTTATGGCATCACAGTTAACGCTGGGAAGAGCCTTGTGAATTTCGAAGCAACAATCAACGGTACAAAGTTGCCTCGATTAGAGGGATCCACGTCCTTTCCGTATTGCGGGAATCTGATTGATACACATTCGTTGGCAATACGCAAAGATCGAGACTACGGCCGCGGTAGGCAGACGAATGTCGCAGACACGTTGACAGTTGAATCGAGCAGAATTCCTGGACAAGCATTCTACCGCAAAGTTCTCACCTCGTTCAGGCTCCAAACGCATTCTATGTTTCTGGACACAGAACACAATAACTTACGAACAGCGTTATTGGGTATATATTCGAACTTTGTAGAAACTGCAATAAAGATGTATCGCTACATCAAGTCATTATTGCCACGTTTGCGTCCTTCCCAGGAGCTCGTGCTTGAAACCATTCGTGATGTAATCCATTTTGCGGTTAAATTGATTCAATCGAAACGACAGCAAGCGTCAATTTCATCAACAGCCCCTACAACTGACACCGCCAAAGGCATGGTTGAAACCGGGCCCAAGTTCAGATGTGCTGTCTCGCAGGCTCAAGTAGAATACCTGGGTTCAGCAGCTTTTCGACATATTCTGGGTAGGAAACAGACCAATTTCGTGTCCACACTTCGAGGATTGCAGAACATTCAGAACCGCTGTAAACCCCGAAGCGATAAGGAGGTCATTCGCATGCGATGGATTATCCAGGAGGGGAATAAGATGTTTGATAATTGGAGATACTAATACATACCTGAGTATATCTAGAGCGATAAAAATGAAATAAATCAGCCGTTCGATGTATCTCTACCAGATACAGAAAAGAGTTATGAGACAAATGTTTATCCTTGTAGCAACTGCTTCTCAAGTTGCTGTTGCATTATCATGATCTTTAATCTTCTTTCGTCATTTTCAAGTTCTAGCTTCTCAATTTCAAAAGCTCCCTCCGAAGTCGAAGTTCTTCGTATTCAGTATCACTCCTTTTGTCATAGATATTGATAGAATGCCAATTCGCTTCCTGCTCGATTGTTTGAGGGGATCTAGCAAGGATTGACATAGAAGCCAGTAAGCCAGTAACTGGTCCACGCATTGTACATACACAAGAATATGACCTTACCTCGAAAAACCTCCGTATAAGAACTCCGTGATTGCGAGAGGTCTCAACTAGTCATTTGTTGACTTCAACGCCCTCTACTTGAAGCACCACTGGATAGTCCTTTTGTCCGTCATGTTTTCGTTCTAAGTATGTTAGTTTCGTGCCTGTGAACAATGGATTTGAGAAAACAGTTGTGATAGTTTGCTCCTTTAACCTAAGTGGAAATCCTGTCCATATTTCTAAAAACTATCTTGTATCCGAGCGTAAGTTTATCACGTCTAGCCCTTTATAAACACAGGCATGGTATCAATCGGACAATCCACTTCTACTGAGCGTCCTCCACTGAATTTCTCCCCATGATCACCCGCAATTGAACCGTCTTTAAAGAAAGTCCAATCTCCACGAGGAAGGTAAACGCTGCGTGTCTTCTGACTCGGATACAATACTGGCGCACAGAGGTATCTTGAACCGTACATATACTGGTCCTCTACATTCCAAGCATGGTTGTCTTCCGGAAACTCTAAGAATAGCGGTCTTATGACCGGTGTGCCCTTTTCATGCGCTTCCCTCATCAGCTCCCGGGTATAATCTCGCAGCTGCTCGCGGATTCTGAGGTACTTGGAGCAGATTTTGTACACATTTTCTCCATATGACCATATCTCATTCGGCGCACCCGATAAACATGTTGCCCCTCCAGTTGTGCCGTGCTGCGGTTGTTTCGGTTCTCGATCTCCGTGGAGCCTCATCACAGGGCAGAAAGCTCCCCATTGGAACCAGCGCACCATCAGTTCCCTAAATGACTCCTTCGACGGGTCCCCTCCGTGGAATCCGCCAATATCCGTTGTCCACCATGGGATACCTGCCATTCCCATGTTCAAACCAGCTGTCAATTGGCATCGCAGTGACTCCCAACTCGATGCAATATCCCCACTCCACACCAAGGCTCCGTATTTCTGAGATCCAGCCCAAGCGCAGCGCAGCAAGTTGACAATGTTCATTTGTCCGGCCGCTGTCTGGCCCTCATAAAATGCCCTCGCATATTCTCGGGGATATATGTTTCCGATGTTGACATTTGATCCGAGATAGTATCGGTAATTGTCAAAGTCGTATGCCGTGTACTCCGGTTCAGCTTCATCCAGCCAGAAGACCTTGACACCTTTGGAGAAGTAATTCTGTCGTGCTTTTTCCCATACGTATTCTCGAGATCCTGGATTAGTGGCGTCAAAATGCACTGTTTCACCTTGAAAATTCATTGCTGTGCGAATACCGCGGTCTGTGCGGATGAGATAGCCCTTTTCAAGCATCTCTTGGTAGTTAGTCGATCGTTTGTCAACTGTTGGCCAGATGGAAACCATAAGCTCAATGTTGAGTTTCTTGAGTTCTCTGATCATGGAGTCTGTGGGTGGTTGCTGGATTAGTATAAATAATCTCCACTTCCAGAAAGGAGCGCTTAGAAAGCATCCAGATAGATCATTCAGAGCAAATTTGTGCAAGACTAACCGGGATCTGGCCAATAAACCGGATCGAATTTCCAGTCTCCTTGCAATGGCCAATGAAAAAAGTCAACCACAATCAAATCAATAGGCAAATTTCGCTTTCGATACTCTCTTGCAACGCTTAGTAGCTCGTCTTGCGTTTGATATCGCAGCTTGCATTGCCAGAAACCTAGCCCATATTCAGGCATCATAGGAACTTTCCCAGTAACGTCCGCATATGCCTCAATGATTTGTTTCGGCGAGTCCCCAGCCACGATCCAGTAGTCCAGGACACGAGTTGAATATGCCTCAAATGACATGACATTTTTGCCTAGAACTGCACGGCCAATGCCCGGGTTGTTCCAAAGAAACCCGTAACCCAGTGATGAGACAGCAAAGGGCACTGAAGCTTGAGAATTGCGTTGAGCTAGCTCCAAATCAAGCCCCTTCAAATCGAGGTATGGTTGCTGATATTGGCCCATTCCGTAAATTTTCTCATTGCGATCGATGCTTTCGAGTCGCAAAGTCAGGTGATAGTCGTCACGACCGGCATGGGGTTTGAATTCTCGAGCTTGGACTTCCAATGCCGAGCATTTGGGGTCCAGTTGATCCTTACGGTTGCGCATATATTCTTCGAAAAGGAGTTGTCCTGTTTGTGCGTTTCGAATAATGATTTTTCCTCGAGGAGAGATGACGGCTTTGATCTTGCCGTTGACAATTGTGCCCCCGGTAGTGCCTTCATCGATCGTGACTGTGGCTGTAGTTAGGTCTGTGGACGAGGAGTCGAGAGCCCAGTCTTGGTTGGATGGGAATTCAGGCAGATGTGTAGCGCGGACACGCAGGGCGTTGGGGCCCCAGGGCTCAATGTAGACCTTCTCGGAGTCATATTGGTAAACCAGGCGCTGACTCTGAGAATCGTGGGAGAGCATTTTGCTGTTTGCGTTGACGTAAGTGCTCTAAAGCTATCTACCTAGTACCTGGTACCTACGGACTATAGGATAGGCAAATGACCGAGCAATGTTAGGATGCAGTGTCTTTGATGACTATATTTCAATGTCAATAACAACGCAATTTATAAGAACACATCACCCGTAGGTCTGCGGGGTCCCCGGGTATATGCACCTCCTTGGTACTCCATGCATATGCGTAGTCGTACTGAATTAGGGCTAATTATGACTTACTCACAGGATTATTTAGGCTAATCAGTGCCTGCGTGCCTGAATGGGCACAACCCGCAGGAGATTTCCCCCAAAAGGAAACTTCCCGAATAGGTAGGTGTCTGCATTTAAGTCACATGGAGATAAGGGTTAGGGCTAGGGGTTCTTTCTCTATACACCTAGGTACCTAGTTAGTTAACAAAAGACAATTATGTACTACTTTGTTATAGTGATCGATTCACTAGACACTGATAAATGATCGATGTCTCCAAGTACATGCTATATCACACCAAATGGTTTGTTGACGATGGACTCCCTGCTAAGTGCCCGCATAGCTGCTTTCAGTGCCTTCTCTTCGGTAGACAAGGTGCTAATCTCGTCTTCATTCACACTTGTGCCGATGTGGAACGGCCGTTCATCCACGTCGCAGACGGTACCTGGAGCCGGTAGCTCGCCTGTCTGGAAATACTGACGGACCGTTTTCGCAGTACACAAGGACGGTGCGCTGATCGAACAATGCTAAAATATCCTTCCGTCAGTACTTGCATTCCTACCTGTTGCCTTTTGGCTGCTATGAACAAGGGCGGTTTACTCACCCCTTCTGATTCCTGTTCTAATACGACTGAATTTGGGAAAAGGCCGGACATCACTCGGGCACTGTGATGATAAGATGTTAGTTTTCTCTTTTTATACTTGTTGCACGACATCTCTCTAAATGATTGGATAACATACTTTCTAACGGGCGTCACAGGATCGCGGGAATTGCCTATGAAAAGTAATGGATGCGCCGTATCGCCAGCAATCTCGCCTGGTTTCCCCAGAATTTGACATCAGCTTTCTGCATCTTGTGGTCACGAAGAGGAGGAGGATATACCTTCGAACCGCCAGGCTGGTTTTTCCTTCCACCCCAAGCAAGATAGTCGTAGAATTGGCCACATGTCTCCCATAATACTACTTTGGTTCAGTAGAGTGCTCCAATACTCCAAAAATGATGACTTGTCGCCATCAATGACGTCTGTTGAATCAGTGCAGGCTATTCCAATGACTGACTGATACAGACCACCGAGGCAGTTCTTACCATCGTCGTTCTGACATCGAGATGGGGTTGGTCGTATCTCTTCCCGGTTTTCTTCCTTCAGCTGTGATAAATAGGTGCCATTTCCACGGCTAACTTCTGCAATAACCTTCGCCAGGGGCTCAAACAGTTTGTATGGGGCATATAGTGCTTCTCCAATCAAGGTCTTTAGGTCACTATAGGTGACCACATCTGGAGCTCGATTGGGATTTCCAGAAACTACGATCGGGCCAGTTTGCATGGAAGAGAGTATCTGATCGAAGTATATCTTGGTATCTTCAGCACTTTCACCTGTTGCAAAGGGACAGACTTCAGGACCCGCTTGGTGGCAATATTCACAGAACTTGTCAACAATGGAATCGGAATCTTGAAGATTTGCTAGCCACCTTCCGGTATAGTAATCGGTGGCATTACAGACACCGTCAATCGCGGCTCGGTGAACCCGGTGAGGCTGCATTGCCGCAAAAGTCATCCCAAGAATGGATCCGTACGAGAACCCCCAGTACAATAGCTTCTCGTCGCCTTTTTGCCAGACATTGCGTTGTCTGACCATTTCTCTCGTTTCACCCGGGAGTAACTGAATGGTATTCCCAGCTAGAAGTTTCTCGGTTTCCTGTTCACGCCACTCCCCATGTCGTTCAATAAGCTCAACCATATCTGCCACAACGGGAGGGGTGTTCATGAAATTGCCCAACCATTCCGAGCCAGGCGTGGGTTTCGCACAAGCTGCTGCTAGAGCTTCCGATCTAGCCCATATTTGGTGGAGCGCATTATCTGAACTACCTAATATGCCTGTCGCTTCTGTTTGCAAGTTCCACTCATATTGAGATTGAGCGTCCGGAAAGCAAGAAAACCCGGGAGTCGTATTATTGACGCCTCTAGGGTCAAAGCTAATGATGTCGAAGTACTTTCCTTGGTCGTCGTATGCTGCTGGTGCAAGAGAATTGTAGTCGGCAATGCTTTGGAGTAGCTGGCCATATTTTAGGAGCATTAACACACCCGAACCGCCAGGCCCGCCTGACCGGAACGCCGGTTCAATCAGCGCACGCTTTTTAAGAGAAATATCTAGTCAAACACACCTGGATTCAATAATATAGGGCCTCCGTATCTTTTGTCAGTGACGGGAACTTTGGCTGGGAGTTTCGTGATCGCCAATGCGATTTTTTCGCCAGCGCCATCTGTCCGGTTCCAATCCATCGGCAGCTCGAGCCGAGCACACTGATAACCACCAAAGCAGGGGTGATATTCCAGATTTTTTGTTGGTGTAATCTGAAGGTATAGAGTTTAGTTGTTATGTTTAGCGTGCGGTAAGCAGAAATATGTCCATAGAATAATATAAAATAGTACGTACCTGATGCCATGCGAACTCCGAGGGCTCGGTTGGCTCGCTTAGGTCGTGTTGTGTACGTTCATTTCTGATGATTTCAGCGGTCAATGTCCACTGCCGAATGTTTATGATGACACCCAAAGCCAACAAGCATGATATAATGATCGCTTTTGTATAGGAAGGGCTCCTATCGCGAGGGCGACCCTGTGATTGAGGCGGCACGAACTTCCCCATTGGTCCACAAGACGAAGAATTTGAAAACGCGAAGCCTTGAGCATCAAGTTTCAAGAAACTGGCGCAATTAATGTGTCGACTGACGTGAATCAAATTACTTAAAGGGAAAAAGCGCGAGCAAAGATAAGAAAATCACTAACCAAGCTAATGCTAGAGCGAACTTTGATACATGTAACTATCAGCCGCAATCTACGCCGTCCATAGCCGATTTAAAGTGAGATGAGGATCAAATTTTAGCCGCCTGTACGAGAATCCATCCATTCCACCTATACTTTCATCACTTGGAACCATGGTACTTTTCTCTTGAAATTTCCAACATTATGAACTACCTGGTGAAAAGGTGGCTGTTAATAAGAGCCTGAAAATGCAAGAAAATTGCCATAGCCAAAAATCTCGCATCCATCTCTTCATTAGTGGCTGTAACCCAACTAGCCAGTGACTCCGAGTCTGGTTATTCATGGCTAATCACGTTAGTTAGTTGTAATTAATTGGAAGGTCCATCTAGACTCATAAATGACTCACCATTTGCATGCATAGCGTCGCATTGCCGGCTAGGCTGAATGCACGTACACAATTATATGCATTCGATCAGCAAGTATATTTACTGGCCTTTTCCTATCGCTGGTTCTATAATTTTCCAAGTCCTATAAACAAACCTCAAGTCAGCACAGGCTAAGAATGTCGACGCACTTCTCTCCCCCGTCGTCATTCAGCATCCCAACAGAGCGCTTGCACATCTCATATATCCAACCCGAGAACCCCGACCACCATGCCTTTATTGTGCATCTCTGGAATACAGAGCAATTCATACAGACCTGTGGTAATACAGGCATTGACACTCCCGAAAAGGCAAAGGAATTCTGCAAGAATCGCGTGCAAGCAGACTACAACCGGAACAAACACGGCCAGTTCCTCGTCTCACTCAAGCCACACCCGGATGCATCACTTGCAGAGAGCAAGCTGATAGGAATGGTGTCTTTGATGAAAGGCGAGCCTCCAAATGCATACACTTGCCCGGATATCGGCTATACTATGCTGCCTGAAGAAAATGGCAAAGGATATGCGACCGAGGCTGCGCTTGGATTATTGGACTATGCACGTCGCGAGCTGAATGTCACTGGTGTCTTTGGTTTTTGCTCAAAAGATAATCCGGCAAGTCGTCGCGTATTGGAGAAGCTTGGTCTTGAATTTAGAGGATTAAGAAAACTGCGAATCTTTGGAGGCTCGCTCGACGCTGTTTATGCTACGCCCGAGATGAGTTCAGATTTAACAGTATACGGAATTGATGATTGAAAAGACGGGACTAGCTTTTATTTAAATAATGGCCATGCAGTTTCACGTTCGATACTCGTCCCTGGCTTGTTACATAGATATAATCGAAGTAGTTATGCATCCTGCTCTCATTGCGAGAAGCAGAACGTTAAACGCGGTTGAGGCACAATGGAATAATGAAATATTAATATCTGGCTATCCACAAACCAACTGTGTTTACCGCAATCCGATAGAAAGCAAGTAATCGAAGGGAAAAGAAAAATAAACATATTGAATCATCTGCAAGAAAGACGCAAGAATATTTTCCCTGCTTGATGATATATAACCCCTTTAGATGGACGAAGGGAGCTGGATAAGAGAGAGAGGAAGCTGCAGGTAGACAGAGATACCCTGCGTCAAGATGGTGAGCTGGTTAACGGACTCACTAAGGGGAACATTGTCTGCTTTTCGTTAGCATGCACCAAGTTCATATATTTGCCACCTAAATTATCTGACGACTTACTCTCCATGCCGCTGCAGAAATTGCTTGCTAGTGTCGCGAGTTGGCTGACCGTGCTTACGGGGTTGGAGAGGACGCTGGAACCAGTGTCCCGCTTGGTTATGCTTGATTCACCTACGTATATACGTTAGATAATATAAGGACTGAGACATTCAGATCAGGACGTAGACTAACCCCAGATTGCAGGGCTCACATCATCGGTGACAGGAGCAGCAACAGTGTCGACAGTGTTGAGTGTGTTTCCCACAGTACTAGTAGTATCTTGGAGGATCTCACGTTTTGAAGAAGAGGGCACCAGAGCCCTAAGCTGGAATTGGATGTCGGAGAGCTGAGTTTGCAAAGAGCTCAGGTCCAAGTTGGCAGCATTCGCCTCGTTAGTGAGGTTGCTGACAGCAGGCTTGATTTCGTTGAGTAAGTTATTCAGCTGGCTCAAAGTAGAGTCTACGCTGATAGAGATTGTAGTGTCACGAGGAATCGCGACGGCAGTAACGGCACCAGCAAAGGCGAGGGCAGCAATGAACTTCATTTTGCTGTTTGTCTTATAAAAGAGTGGCTGAATTGGGCGACTTCGAATTTGAAGTAGAAGAAACAGCGACTGACTAAATATAATTTGTGTTGTTGACAGCGAAATGAGTGAACATGATGAGGCCGCCGTTTTTCATTCTTATAGATGTAGTTTTACAAAGTCTTCAGCCCCTATTTCTCATCTTGTGCTCCAGGGGGTATTGGATAAATGGCGATCGACAAGCATTTGGCAAGACCTCGAACGGATGTTATATTGATCTTCGTCAAAGAGCGATTCATGACCCTCTGAACTTATGCCACGGCCAATACAACTCCCAAAACGCACATCGAACGGTAAAAGTTAAGCTTATTGACATGTGGACTTGAGTACATCAATTGACCGTTTCATTTGAATTCCATCGTCTATGGACAGAACCGATGACTGTACGGAGATCTAGTAGGTAATCGGGCTTTTGCGAGGCTCTACTCCGGTCGTGAAGATATTACGGACTCCTTTGTGGTACATTTTACTCCTATTCTGGCCCTAAAGGACATAACTCGAACCCATTGGTACATCCTCTCTCCTTTGACGCAGCAGAAAACGGCCATCTTGCTCGAAAACGCAAGATATGTCTGAAGAAGTACTTCAGGGCAAATGCGATGAACTGGAGTAAATGATTGTGGATAGGAGAACTATAAAGAACAATGTGCATTAGAACGAGCCGATAATCGTCCTCGGAGTTGAAGACAGCACAAAGATAAACGTCAAAGAATACGTTGACAACTGAAAACGGTATGCTAGACGTAGTACAGAATGTGCTTGTTTGTGCATGGGTTTCTGTACCTGTTCTCATCTGCTCTTGTACAGCCTGATGGGTCAATAATTTTAAGCTTTATGTCAAACCGCAAGCGACTTCTGTATCACTAGCGGATTTCGAAGGACGGATAATCCGACGGTCTTATCATTTGAAGTAACCATTCCTTGTATGTACACTATGTAGCAATGTCCTAGCTTTAGTATCCGCTGTCACAGTTGTGGTCGGAGGGACCGACGACCTGCGCCTTTTGTGTCGACCTCTGCGAGGTGAAGTTTACAGAAACCAAGTCTTATCTAAATCACCTCCTCCTTTTGCTTGATCTCCTTTTTTAATCCAATTTCCTCTACAGTCCCAGCCTCAATGCCACTTAGAGCAGGAACACCATCTAGAACAGCGTCAATCTCCTCCAACGTCATCCCCTTAGTCTCAACCCAGAAAAACAACACGAAAATGAACTGAAACACATCCCAAACTCCATTGATCATGTACGCTTTCCAACCAATTCTGTCCATCGCAATTGGAAATGCATACACAGTCACTAGGCCAGCTGCCTCAGCGGCGAAAGTATATATACCCATTCCCAAAGCTCGCATGCGAAAGCTGAGGACCTCGGGCGGGTAGAGCACAGTTAAAGGGGTCCAGCCGAAAGAATATGAGCCTTGGAAGAGGAATATCATTGCGATGGTTGCGTAGAGTCCGGAGGTGTTATCGGTGGTTCCATATAACTTTGTGAAAGCACCAACTAGGAAAAGAAATATGGTTGATAAGCCCGACGACCAAAGGGCGAGGCGCTTACGACCGATTCTGTCAACGAATGCCGTGCCGAGAAGAGAGACGACGAGACAGAAGGAGTTGAGGATGATATTCTAGCCACCATAAGTAAAAAAGAATCTTTAGTAACGGGTGTACTGTTTCCACTTACAATCTGTAGTTGGGTTGTGGTATTAGTCACATTGGCCTGGTCCAGCATATTGCCCAAATAAAAAGACACGATATTATTGCCGGACCACATCGAAAACACTGCAACAGAGAGCATGAGCAATGCTCTTTTTCGATCGGTAGGCTTTTTAAGCATGTCTCGCAAAATCTTCCACGAAGTCTCCGACTCAAGTGATTGTGTCAGAGATTCAGCAATGTTTTGATCCTCCGTTTGGACTCTGATATCATCTACGTCTCCATTGCTGTATAACTGAGCGAGGACTCTTCGGCTTTCATCACGTCTCCTGGCGGACGCCAGCCAGCGGGGGGACTCGGGTATAAATGGCAGGAAAAGAAGAAGCACAATACTGAAAAACCCTTGTAGTAGATTTGGCATTCGCCAGGCCCAGGATGATGACATTCCGTTCGTGGCGTAAGTAACGCCAGAAGCAACGAGGCCACCAACATACCTCGATCGTTTGTCAGTTGCAAAGCTTTGATTTGGTCCATTTTGGGAAAGGGGGAAAATACCAGAAATCAAAAATAAGACACAACGCAATACCTCGCCATTTCGTAGGCAAAGTCTCCGAGAAATAAATCGGACCAGCCATAGAAGAAAACCCAGCTCCACACCCAACGATAATCCTCGAAGCCACGAACATTCCATAATTCTGTGCTGCAGTGCCAAGCACAACTCCAATGATCGTGATTAAAGAGGCAATCAACATACTCGGTTTTCGACCAATTGCATCTGGTACTTTGGCAAATACAAGGGCGATAACTATGTTACCAATCCAGGTAGATGCAGTGGATAGGGAGGTCTTGGACGTATCCATTTGAAAGTAATCATTGTAGGCCGGGAGCATGTTGAGGCCGTTCATTAGACTGCCGTCGTAGCCCATGGTGGTGCTAGTAACGCTGGAGCACATGACGATTAGGGCTACGAGGACACTTGAGGATTTAGGGATAATTCCCTCTTTATAGAACATTTTGAAAACCATGTTGTTTGACGTTCACATTTCACAACTGTATTCAACTGGACTGCAGGATATAGCTGACTTATAAATGCAAATGTAACTAGTTATGAAACTAAGACTCTTAGACAGCGATTAGATAGCTAGGTAAACAGATCTAAGGCACCATCCATGATAAGGATATATGTATATGCTCTTATCGCCAACTATCAGTGAAGAAAGATATGGCTACGTCGGGTCCTCCGAAGCTTCATTGGCGCACAAGCCGACACTCTCTATCTGGGGGGATTATATTTAGAGTACTCTCCTCCACTAACTATCTCCTTATAGCTACCACTCATTCAATAACTCTATATCTGATAAAGACAACACCATATGATTGGTTCACTTGATACATGGCCTGCCTGGCCTGAATTTTCATTGAACAACAACGCCGAAAGGTCGGATGACCTGATACAATTCAAAAAGGCCATAATCAAAGAATATGGCCAGGAAAATTTGACCAGAAGCTGGGTGAAGGTCTGCTCAAACCTAGAACAAATCACAGCCAAAATTCGGGATGCCGGAAGCACAATAATCCCGGAGATTGCGTTCGATCAATTACAATACCTGAGCGAGGAGCAAAAGGAGGAATCTAAAAAGATAGGATGTTTTATCATTCGGGGTGTTGTTCAGAGGGATTTGGCAGAGAAATGGCTTAAGGATCTGAAGGATTATGTTTCTGAGAATCGGAAAATGGTGACTGGTACGAGCTTATCTACATTGATATACCTAGTACAATAGTAGTATTGCGCTTGCTAATAGTATTGAGATAGGATGGCCGGAACAAACTCCTTCAATCTTGCGCATGTATTACAGCCCCAGCCAAATGGCTGCAAGATCACATCCCAACTCGCTGAAAGTCGCTCGCGAGCTCATCAGCTGGTGGCACGACAAGGAATCCCCGCAGTCACCAGACCCTCTTACGTACGCAGATGCAGTCCGGATCCGACCTCCAGGACAGCCCTTTTTTGGTCTCGGGCCCCATATTGACGCCGGTTCACTGAGTCGATGGGCCGATCCAACATATCGATCATGCTATGCACCTGTATGGCAGGGAAATCCCGAAGATCTAGATCTTTATGAGCTTTCGATTCGTAAAAGGGCAAATCCAAGGTTGTTCCCGGGAAGTGCTCACTGTAGTGTCTTTCGTGCTTTTCAGGGATGGACTTCACTCACTACCACGGGCCCGGGGGAAGGGTCTTTGTTGTTGTATCCTCACGTCAAATGGGTTATGGCATATGTTCTTCTGCGTCCATTTTTTAAAGCTCCCAATACAGAAGAAGATGTATTGGATGCTAGTAAATGGACATTTGATCCCGATACACCGTGGTTCCCGGGTACCTTCCGCCCCGAGTCTCAGCGACTCTCGATATCTTCACATCCTCATTTGCATCTACGGGATTGTTTAGTCCATATCCCACCCATGGAGCCGGGGGACACAGTTTGGTGGCATGCGGATATGTGCCATGCCGTAGATACCGAGCACAAGGGTACAGGGGACTCAGCCGTGCTATACATTGCCGCGACACCTTCCACGGAAGATAACATTCGGTATATTGATTCACAGCTCGAGGCGTTCCGGGATGGATACTTTCCACCTGATTTTCGGGCTGACGGGAGAGTGCACAGTTTGGAGCAAAAGTACAAGGGATGGCTAGGGGAGGCTGGTATAATTTCACCCGAGGGGAGGAGTGCAATGAGACTTGATGTTGAAGCTTGAGTCTGAACCTATCCAAGATATATATATGATTCAGGGCGGTAGGGTCGTAGATTACTCCTTTATAAATCTATGACCAGCACTGGCTACATTGTTGCTTGAATGAGACTAAGTAAATCTCCGTCACTGCGTAAATTTACTTCAGCTGCCCGGTATTCGTTAGTTCCCACTTTCAACCATATGAATAGCGAGTCGAGAAGACCACAGGCCTTCGCGATGAGACCAATTTTCAAGAGCGTCCATCGCCCTCTGCACGATTCGCTGATCCGCACATCGCTCACAAACGTAATACAGAGGCTGGATAACTCCAATCTCCATCAAATGGCTGGGTTGTTGATGGTAATATTCTGTCTTGGCGATAGCTTCGCATTGATCAACAATATCGTGAAATCGCAGTGTATATACCTCGTCTTCAACTCGTTCCCGTTTCCACAACAAGCATAGATCGGTCTGCAAAGAAAAAAGGCCGCAGTGAAGTCGTAGTATTTTGAATGCGTACTTGTGCTTTTGTTTTAGCAAGCCCCTTTCTTCATCATCGTTTCCATGTCTTATTTTTGCTTCAAGCCTGTCTAATGCGCTTTGGAGCTCTGCTAGGAGCGCTCGCATGTGCTGTTGCCAGACAACCAATATAGACCACTGTCTAGCAATATTATCTGAGGATAGCGATTCGCAGAATGCAAGGAATTCAGAAAGCGTGCTTAAAAAGCAGTTTCGTACTCTAAAAGCGGCCGCGAGCGTATCAAGGGCGATTGGATTCTGGTGATCCACATTGATTGATGGTGCCTTAAGAAAGCCGCGTGGATTTGATTTCCCAAAGTAAACTGCTTGATCGTCTAGGTGCTGCATGCAAGAAATAAGCGATTTACTGATCCGTTTTTCTTTTTTCAACGCTTCTGGCTCTTGACCTATCGCTGCCCCAGTTCATCGTGCGCGCCCAAAATAGTGATTCCTTGCCGGAGATGTTTGCAAGCGGCGTCACATTGCCCAAGAAACAATTCAACCGCTATGAAAAGGAAACAACATACTAGGGCTGTGTTCTTGAGTTCAAAATCATTGGATCCCATCCTTGAGTTCAACGCAGCAATTGCTCGCCCATATTGCTCCAGGGCAAACCGGCGAGGAATATTCAGGGGGACACCCTGTGACGGGATCGTGTCGCAAGACCCTTGAGTCTCTTCATGTAAGGCTCCGACAGCGATGACAGCGTGGCAAACAGATGGCTCGGCCGTACTCAGCTGCAAAAAGAGGTGATTCCATAGATCATGGTCGAACCAACTATTCATCATTGGAGCGGACATGACTGGAAAAAAGAGAAACTCCGCATTTCATCTGTTGTACGACCGGGGAGCCTGGAAGCAACCTAGAATTCGCTTTTCCTGCTTAGCAGAGAATCGACACCAACACGATCCCTTTTAGTGCCTAACGGGAGTCTGATGTGATCATAACCTTCACATTTACGACCAGTTGAGATGCACCTTCTACATTCTCCTGGGGTTTCATCGCATTTAACACGCCGAATGCTAAGCCCAATAGAGATCAAAAAGGGGCATTCAGTACCGACCAATGATGTGTAGTTTGGTGCAAGTACCAGTCGTTTGTAGCGCTTAATTTTCCATTTAAGGGCATTTGCAGTTTGCATGCATATTTTTACGCTAGTACGCCGCGCCCAGCCAATCATAATCCTCCAGGCCGCTTTGCTTAGCATAACACTTAGCATCACACCTGACACCTGCTGAACTTTAGACTTCAGTCCTCGGCCATGATTGATGGTCACGGGCACCAAGGCAGCGACCAAGTGGTATAGCGAGGATGGGAACCAAAGGAATTGTATGTTGTTGAAGGGCTGACTCGCGCCGACTTGTACGATCAAGTGAATGAAGCGCGGGCCAGAATCGCAGAATTCTTTGGGAAGAGCCTCACATAAGGAATTTAACAGTAGATTTACTATTCCTATTTTATCGGATCTTGATCTTGTTGGTATAACGGTTTGAAATCATTCAAAAGTCCGACTACGTAACGACGTCTATCAAAGTCTAGACTTGTTGCGCTGGCCTCCTCCAATTCCGACGCCAGGTATGGCCAATGGATATTCTCATCACCAATTATCTCGTCTAACTCAATCAATGTCGTAGCCACTCTTTTATGCCAATAGCTTTTTGGAAGGGCAATTTGCATCGCAATTTCCAATCTCCCTATATCTTTGCAGTGCGTGAGATCAATAATCCAATAGAAAAGCTCCCCTGGAAGGTCCAATAGTGGATGATTTTGTGAAGAAGCAAAGGAAGAAGCCGGAAATTTAGGACTATTCTTCCTGCTCTGAACAATAAGATCTTGAACCAGTGGAATTCTATAGGGATCATTAGAGACGTCTGGGCGATCCAGAGCGGAAATATACTAATGTATTGTCTCATTAGTTCCCACAGGAAGGTTTGTTGTGAATATTAGGTATATAATAACTCTAGATTCTCTTCGATAGATGTTCCGAGTACCCATCGGGCCATCCTCCACCAACTCAAGTGCAGCATAATTGGTACTTCACACCATTTTTTACGCCAATCTTTGCCTATGCTTGAAGTAGGCCACCAACATATATCCTCGTCTGTATAGCATTTGGTTAAACGACGGTCATTTCTGGCTGGTTGGCCTATGAAAGCTTTGCCCCTATTTTTGGGTGCCGAGAATAGAATATCTTCGTTGCTGTGATCGCTATTACACTGTCCCACCCCGGAAGAAAAAATTTGTTTTTTAAACGATCGTACATGACTTTTCAGGATATTTCAGCAGCTTTGTTATCACAAGTTGGTTCAAGAAGAATACTTACGGAAACGATGAAAGCCATGCCAGTATTCCTCATCCGTGCGTCTGCCAAGGTACTTTTTTTCCAACTCTTCTGCGTTCAGAAAAAGTGCCGCTCTTTTCTGGTACTTCTTCCATCTTTCATCCTTGAGAAATGTCTCGCGAGCAAGCAATGCTGGCGAAGACAAACATGGCGCACACAATACAAGGTATGCCAGACATGTCTAAACAAAATCAATCGAGAGTATAACACTGTTGATATAACTCCAAGCTGGAAAAGAATATGAAGTTCTCACAAGCTTGCAATCTTATGTCGTAATGACACCGCGACAGTTAGGCTACTTGCTGACGATGCTAATGCCTGTAACAACCTTCATAACGCTATTAACGGGAGCTCGACAACCTTAAGGCGTTGCAAGGAAATATAGACTTGGGGAATAAATAGATAGTTTTGCTACATAAGGTGGTCACACATAATATTTATGGCTTAGTGAAATATGTACATTGACGTCGGGGTAATCACTACTGCACTGGATTGATATGTATCACTTCCCCTCCAATATAACCGTAGTGGTATCCAAAATATCACCCTGCTTCAGACCTACAGCCGCATTATCAATCCTTTGTGTAGTCGAGTAGTCCGACCCGAGGCCGGCCTTGAACACAGCAGCGAATATTAAATCCAATGCACCACTAAAATCCCATTTCTCGATCTTTTCAAGTCCCTCCTTCTTGAGTTCCTCGGTTGTACGGTGCGCAATAGTCCAATCCTTGGCATGGGTTTTCGTCGCTCTTAGTAAAGCTTCAAAAATCTCATTTTGAGAAATGGCAAACTCCGAAACGTAGACGTATCTGTTTGTGAAGTTCTCTGGTGCTGTGAGAATGCTACCAACAACATGTCCTAGGGAAGTGATATTCGTTGAATCAAATTTGCCGGTGCCGTTGTCGTACAAAGTCGCAGTGCGTGTCTTTGGGTTGAATCCGAAGAGGTCTCGTTCCATGCCCTAAGGTAATCGCCAGATAAACACTCGCTCGACTAAATTGTCTAGCAACAAGAAAGGGGAACATTAATTTCTTACCCAATCATAGAAAGGCCCATTGATAACCGCAGTCCAGGTCGTAGCAGGGTTTTTTGCAACAACTTCTTCAAGGTATCTGGCTGCATCCACCTTTCCTTGATATAGAGGTACTGCCTCAAGAATCTTGGGATTTGTGACGTCCTATGGTTAATTTCGACGGTTAGTCCGTATCAATTTGGGTTGACGAAAAGAATGAGACTAACACTGCCGAAATCACTAGGGATGATTCGTTTGACGCCGACTGCAGCGGCAGCATCTACCAATCTGTCCTGCAATTTAAAGGTGTCTGGAGTTGAGTTCAGGGCAACCACCAGAGCTTCTTGGTCAGTGAGAGCTCTCTTAAGAAAAGCGTCGTCGCTTAAGTCTCCTCGAACGACCCTGATAGCAGCATGGCCTTCCTGCGCAATTCTGGATGACGAGTCCGCGCGGACTAGCAGCGTGATGTTGAACTCCGTTGCAGAAGCTAAGAGCCCGTTCACAATAGTCTGACCAACGCTCCCACTTGCCTATATTGGTAGATGTAATTAGACGTGTGTTTCTAAGGACAATGGTATACGATATTTTTTCATACGTACTCCGACAAGCACGACGTTCTTATATGGAGACATTGGCACAAGTCCAAAATGAATGTGTATGATCTGTCAGAGAGAATAGGCAAGTATGGATTTTTTTGTTTTCGAATGAAGAAGCAATGATGAGAAACTCATTCAACAGAAGGAGTGCCCACGCTGGTTTTATAGACGATCGTGAGACTCAGCTGAAGCCCTGAACGCGGTGTCATTCCGTCACCACCTTCAAGCCTTTGATTTATAATGTGATTGATAAGCCGCTCAGACATTTGCGATGCTGCATATTTTGTTGGCCCTTTGTGGATCGATACAGTATTGTTATCCACATGGTTGCACGTTCACAAACAATTTGAAGCTCCTCCCAACTTCCAATTAGGGCACGCGCGGGCGCTAGCGGACTAGCGCGGAGTATTCGCTACGCTAGCCGAAACCGGTAAAACCGTCGAACGACGTTATTTCCAGTATTGGATATAAAAGTTCAGGCAGCCTAATATATTTCCAATACTATGTAGCTATACGGCGCCATAAGTGAACCTGGGCACATGGTCTTAGCGTGAATCTAAAAGCAATAGTGTTGAGATCCTCGTTGACAGTGAAAAACAGCTCATGTGGTGCTTTGAGTCAGGGAATTCCGATATTGATCTGATGATAACCTTATGTTAGATTTGTCTCCATATATCCACTAATGATTCACAGATATGCTGAGGCATTATTCAAGTTTTCTACAGGAAGGAATAAGGCAACTTACCTGCAAGCCCCCACCACCGGCCGTTAAGCTGCAGAGCTTCTTTCAAAACCATTAATCCCCTTGGATATTGCGATTCAACAGCATGACCTAGCGTATTCTGCCGTAATATTGCCAGTGAAGCACGATAGTTCGAAATCACGCTTGCAATGGGTGCAACATCAGTAGTTGAGTTTCGATTCTGATCCATAATATAATCTTCTGCGATGTCCAAGGTTATTTCAAGAAATTTGGTTAATGTGTGCCACACATGAGACTGCTTGCCACTCTCTGGCTTAATCAGCCTGCCAAATTGGAGCTCGATGGCAGAACTTGGCAAAAGGTCACTCCGTTAGCAAGCTATAGCACAGGATGTTTATAGTTGCCGTGCGATTAATAATACTTACATGAGAAGCATGGCAATGGAACCACAGAGAGGCCTCCAGGACCCTGATGCTCGCTCGAAAAGCACGCTCAAAAGTGCTGCCAACTGGCCGTTCATTTCTTCAAATTGTGACTCGTGATATTTGCAATCATTGTTTAGGTAATCTAAAATCTGGCCCACCAGATAGGCAGACCGTATCTCGTCATGAAACAATTCATAGCACCGAGCCTCTGCTCCACTCCTATTCTGAGTGTCAACCCTGAAGGGAAGATCGGCCGTCAGATCTCTGACTGAACGTGGTTGTTCCACAAGAAGAGGTAAGTTGTTAGGCAAAGATGCCAAAGCAAGTATTCTATAAGAGAGAGAAAAGTAAGCGAAGGAATTCAATGCCAAAATGTGATCAAAATAGGTCTCACCGATCTAGTAGAAATATTGCCCACCACACTACTTCTGCCTCATTGTCATGTTCTTTCTTCTGACGATATTGTTTCAGTCGATTAACTCGAGCTAAGCCTGTGGTAGTCGACAGAGTAACGTAAGCCTCTAGAAAGAGGCCGGCACCAAGTTGATATACTGTCAGCAATAAGCCGCACTGGATCGTCCCGATGGCGAATTTATTCAGTATCTGTGAGGATGCAAATGCCTTTTGTGCCTGTGTATATACTTTTTGTGATGCCTCGCTATTTTGCATTCTCGTTGACGATGGCTGCGTGGCGATATGAATACACAAAAGCAGACTGGCAAGCTCTGCGTCTGCGACTTCTAACATATACCGATGACCCAGGCGATCTTTGATACGTCTGACATCAATGATCGGTAACCAGGGATGAATTATTTGATTATATTTCTCGATCAAATCCACTGAACTGCTCGATTGGTTATTCAGGGTTTTCAGTATCTCGCTGGTGCTCGTTGTTTCTAGATTTTCGACTTCGCTATGAGGAGTACTTGATACGAAGACCCCGCCAGCAAACATCGAGTGCAAGTCATCATAGAGGCATGGATGTTGAACTCTAGCTAAAATAAGCCATTGACCTTGTTTTCTTTAGTCATCCGGTGTGTCTCGAAGACTTACTTGAGACAACGGCTGCAAGATGGTTTTCTTCTATCGCACTTTCTCTTCTTCCTGTGACAAGCCGTGCATGCGACAGATGCCACCGATTGATCTGCATTGACTGGTAGGTGGTTCATGTTGCATGGTGTGTATTGCGATGCATCAATGCTCCGATCTATTTTAATCGATGACGTTGGATGGATAAAGTCGAAAGTTGCCAGCAGGCGGAGATGTGGATGTGGGGAATGGAGCGACAACTTAACTCTAGACCCGCCTAGTCCACAACGTTGGCCTCACTGTCTCTGCCTGCAGGGGTACGTAATACATCCTACCTTCGCATTGCTCTCAGATGAACGGGAAGTCTCGAAGAACCAATCGATCAGCCATAGCTGGGTAGCTGGGTAGAAAGAGGGCCGTTGCAAAAAAGTCACGTGTCTGACAGAACCCTAGTCCACGTACTGAAATAACAATCTTGGGGGTGTGATTGAATTGAACTCTCAATATGGTATTTGAACCGAGAGGAATGTATAATGTCAGCTCTGATCAATGCATGATTGCTAGTTATTTTCATTTCGATTCAGTCACTCTTCCACCTACATATACAGTGAGAGGAATGAACATATTGCGGCTACCAAGGTATACAATCATTACCTAGCTAAACCGCCTTATTCTGAAGCCATTTAAGCATAAAAAGTAAGAGTGATTGCAATTATTTCTAATCTCTCAGGCATTCCAGCGCTCCGCCAGATATGGTTTACCGCGTAGTTACCACATCTATGCTTGGGTCCACAAAGGTTGTAGATGTTCTGTATCGCCTCATCTGTGATTTCGTTTCCATCAGTCAGGAAGCAAAGTACACCAGCCCCGGTGAGGAAATCTGACCGGTTGAGAATAAAAAAGAAGGTGCGCTATAGCTCCCTACCTATCGGAATGTAATTCTCACTTCGATTCTGCGGGAAACTCCGACTGCCTGGTGAACCGCTCCTATAGCTCCCTCTAGTCGGGAGTTCATGATATCCCCGTGCAATAGTAGGGTGGCACTTGAGGATTGAGATGCTGGAAAGAATTCGAAGCTTATTGTCTTTTCGTGAGGAATGCTATCGAAGATCGCAGCAGTAAAGGCGTGTGCAGTAGACATAAACTCCAAACCGAGTTGATTATAGGGAAAGGCGATATAGATAATGTACTAGAGGTCCGATTCTACGGTTGTAGGACTCGATGTAATAACTACAGACGCCTCAGAAGGTTATTGTGCATTGAAATCCTCATGACGAAATGAATTAGCCTTTTTCTGTAATGACTCGACTCAACCATCTCCAGCGCTGGAGCTTGATCAGCTAAAGACGGGCTTCCCCATCTTCATTGAGGCCATAGTCGAACTCAAACCACATAGTATCGAGGTGACTGTGCCCACATAGCAACCTTAATTTCCAAAAGTTGTGAGCCATATTTCGTCACCTTTTTCACCACGTCCTCTTCTCTTTCTGAATAGACTTCACATTCATCATCTGCTAGGGAAACTTCAAACCCATATGGGCTGACGTATTCAATCCGGAGCGAAGCTCAGCTTTCGCTCTAAGCGGGAAACTCCGGTTGGAATTTACCCTCAAGAGATCTGATACAGCTTCATAGCCCGGTCGCCCGCTAGCCAGGCTGGTCTGCATGGTCTCGGTACCGCTGCGCAATCCGTTGCGATTGCGGCACCCTCAATCTGTCTTTGATCCTAGCTATAATGCTGTCTCTTGAATATTTACAAGGGAATAATAACCATAAAGCCACCAAGAGGGGCTCCTTAACGGGACTTCTGGTAATGCTCATTTTTTGTGTAGATTCTGCCTTAAAAGTTCCGCTGCCAATGTTTGATATTTAACATTGATGTCATTGGCCGCTTAGCGGGCGGGAGCTTTACCGGACTGAGAACTAGTCTTGTTAGCATGTCAACTATTACGCATATTCTCCAATAATATCGCGAAACAGCTTAGATACCCCACCTAGCTATAGTCTATTGGTCATTCAAAACAAAACTGGTTAGTGCGGGGGGGAACATTGAGGAGAGAGTCGCCTTAGGCATTTTTTTGTAGATAAGTTAGCAAAATCGACTTCACAGAATCCATCTACCGCTCATATTCAACTTAGCCACTTGTCCAGGACATGGAGAATATAGAATTAAAATGCGCTTCCTTACGCGCACAAATTGCCGCCACTGAATTTCAACTTTCAGCACTCAAACAGGAACTTGAAGCTACTGAAGCTCTGCGCGGGGCACCGAGTCAATCCTCGACTGAATGCAGTGAGCGCAAATGGCCTCTTTCAGCCGAAGAATACAAGCGCTATGGACGCCAGATGATTGTCTCTGAAATTGGACTGCATGGTACTTACACCTTTATTCTTTTCCGTTCCCGGTTTTTTCTTTTTCCCCCTGAGAATCGATTGCTGACGGCTTCGGTGTTTAGGTCAACTAAAACTTCGGTCCGCGTCTGTTCTACTCGTCGGAGCTGGTGGGCTAGGCTGTCCAGCAGCGTTGTATCTTGCGGGAGCTGGTGTTGGTACACTTGGTATGGTCGATGGAGACACTGTCGAATCGTCAAACCTTCACCGGCAAGTTCTGCATCGTACGAAGAACGTCGGTAAATACAAAGTCGACAGTGCAATTGAGTATCTTGAAGAGTAGGGCTGGCTATTCCCATACTAAAACTCTGATGATGATTGTACTTACAATACGCTTCCATTAACAGGTTAAACCCGCATACAAAATACATTGCCCATCGTGAACACCTGTCACCGCAAAACGCACCACTTGTATTTCGGGATTATGACATAGTGTTGGACTGCACAGATAACCCTGCAACTCGCTATTTGATATCAGACACCGCAGTCCTTTTGGGAAAACCGCTTGTTTCGGCGTCGGCACTAAGAACCGATGGACAGTTAATGGTCTTAAATAATCCACCCAAACCCCCAGGGGACCCGTCAGGGGGTCCTTGCTATCGATGTGTTTTCCCCAGGCCGCCGCCTGCAGATAGTGTTGTCAGCTGTGCAGATGGGGGAATAATCGGTCCTGTAGTCGGGACAATGGGTGTTTTACAAGCTCTAGAAACTATTAAGGTTCTCACAAAGACAACTAATCAGGACACCCATCCGGCTTTGAATCAACCATTGACAGCTGATGCTCGTCCTGCTCTTCATATATTTTCCGCATTTAGTACCCCTCCCTTTCGCACAATTCGCCTTAGGGGCAGACGTACAGACTGCGCAGTCTGCTCGTCTCAAGCTACTGTCACATTGACAACCTTGCAATCGGGACTAACAGACTATGTCCAATTCTGCGGTTCAATGAGTACTTCTCAAGTGCTTACTTCCGAAGAACGGGTCTCAGTGCGTGATTTTCAGCCTATATACACGTCCAAGAAGCCGTATACCTTGGTCGATGTCCGCGATCCAGTTCAATTTGGGATATGCAGTCTTGAAAGTAGCATCAATATTCCCATCACCAAGATCCTACATGGAAAGATTGCGAAGGATGTGAATGCAACAGAACAGCCACAATCCTCGCTTCCATCAGAGATTACGTCTCCCGATTCGACGGACCCGATATATTTCATATGCCGCCTAGGGAATGACTCACAGTTGGCAGTTCGAAGGCTGAAAGAACTGGGCTTGGATCAAGATGGACAGCGTTATATTGGTGATATTCGCGGTGGATTCAGAGCATGGAAATCCGAAATTGACCCGGAGTGGCCTGAGTACTAGACTAAGATAGCCTACAGTCTTCAAGTAGTATTAGATTCTGAGGAACCTTTTATTGCTCCTAAAACTTCGGATAGGAAATAGAATTAAATCAGCCATTGAATGAGAAAAGTCCCTGAATGTCTATGAGAACTATCTCAATGGAACTGAGCTTCGTCTTTCTTTGAAAGCAAGCATATGACAATAATAATATTTGTGCCCTCGATAACTGAAGAAAAGACGGTCTCAAAACACCGATAAGATGATGTAACCTATCACGCCCTAATATCACTCCCCATCGCACCCAAAAAATAAAGCCCTGCTTGAATCAAATCCTAGATTTTCTGATCATCTCCTGAGTTGTGCGAGCAAGGTGAGCTGCTTGCTCGGCTCTGCTTTCTTTGATTGCGCGTGGGAGCAAAACGCAGAATTCATCAAATGGAATTCTGAAGTCTTTTTCTTCGCCTTGGACTTTTACCTTCTGTAGGAGTAAACTGGGTAGGGAGAAACTTGAGGCCAAAGGTGACGTATGATCTGTGCAGAGATGGCCACTTGTTTCAAAGGTACCGTGCCATACATGCTCTGCATAGCCGCGGTGGCCTGGATATGATTGTGTCGCACAATATATGTCAACTTTAGTCCGCAAATCCGACTTCAGATCTTCTAAAATGATATGGTTTGCGAGCGAGCTAACCGAATGCTTGAGGATTTGTTGACTTGTCAGACCCCAATAGAGGGTATTGGATGGCGTCAGGATTTTTGACGGTAAGTGCGAAGTTGCCGACGAAGTAGGCGATGGCCGTAAAGGAAGAAGCGGATCCTCAGTGACCAAGATGATAATGATCAATCTCACCGTCCCATTAGAGCCCTCGAACCAACGAGCCGCTTTCTCATAGATATAGCTGCTGCCAAATTCACGCCCGTCACTATTTGGCATGCCACGGCCCGTCTCGAGGATAATATTGGCGTGTTTTGCCCCTGATTCTCGAAGAGCAAGATGGGTAAAGTAATATGAGTCTTGATAGCGACCCCCGAGACCTAATTGCACATCTAGCATTCGCTCATAGGCCTTGTTTGTGAGGGTTTGCATTCTTTTTGAAACCACATATAGCCAATTATTAAAGATTTGAATGAGTGAACGCTGGACTATGCTTAATGGAGGGTAGAGAATGATACGTCGAGTGAGTGCATCGTAGCTGACTGGTGGGAGTCGAAGTGCTCTGAAGAGAAACATAGAGAACTGCGTTGGCGAGACGCTGAAGCCGGTTATTGGCAGGGGTTTTGTCATGTTGGTAGTAACTCGGAGTTGGTCTACGACCGGGTCATTGAGGTCCTCCAGTGAACGAATACGCTTGAGCAAACGACGTTCCGCTGCCGAGACTGTTTCACGTCCATTGTGACTGTAGTTACTGCTTGGATATCTCGCCATGACGTCAGATCTAGTTTCAATCAACGGTGGGAGCAGTGAGCCGTCAACTGTTAAGATGACAAGATGATATATCACCTGTCATTTGAGAAATTCCTCAAAGCAGAGTGAGTTGGTAAGGCAGAAAGATCTGGAGAGAGGCAATCAAAGGTGTAGTGAAGGCCTGAGGCGTTGAGCAAGTCATTTGCTTCAGTCAAATGCTGCCGGTGACCAGTCATATTGAATTGTATGAGCTGAGCTTATCTGACGGTAATGGTTCCCAGTGTAGCAACTGAGTTTTGTCTTTCGTGATAAGACATCGTTCGGCATCCATCATACTCGGTCGATATACACCACAAGCCGCATGCCAGACGCCAAGTATCTCCAAGTCGAAAGTGAATTAAATGCATAGTAAATCAAGAAAAGATATATCAAACAACGTAGGGGTATCATAAGTCAACAATGCATACGAGAAACAAGGTGAGGAAAATGCCGAAGTAAACAGCAACAATCAACGGATCTGCTATGAGAAGACTTTGTTTGTTCTCACTACTTTGACAGATTTGTGACGTTTACTGGAGAACTCTCTAACCAAGCCCATTCTACTGTCACGCGGCCTTGGTCAATATCAGCTAGTTCGCTAAACACTGATGTCGTCGTATCGATGTCTGTCGCCTCGCAGCCAACACAACGGTCAACTATGGTCACATCGACACTCTCATCGTTTCTCCGAAGTCGTATCTTTAGTCCACAGAGTGGGTTTGCATTAGGGTTGGATCCGGTTTGGGCGGCATCAAAAACTAAGTGAGATACAGCACAGATACTATCGGACGACGAGGAAGTAATGCCACATGCGCCCAGTCCAGGTGCATAATATGTCAGGTCGCCAGTATAAGGCCCACCATGTGAAGTTGGCAAAGGCAGATTCTGTGTTCTACGGATTTGGACAAGAAGGGTCAGTAAAAATATATCGCTGAACGCTAGGCTCTTCAGTGGACTCACTTTTTGTTCACGGTAAGTCCTACAGCAAGCCCAATGATGAGCACAAGCAAAGCCGCAAAAAGGCCAGCAAATATTCCAGCCATGGTGTAGCGCCGCTTACGCGGCTCCTGTGGTAGATATCTCTCGAGTGGGCCCAGACGGACCTTGTCGAACACAACGAGCGAGAGAGTGGGTAAGAAAACCTTCCTTCGAGAGGCATTATTATTTCTCTGCGAATCCCATGTGGTAGCTTCCGGAGATTTCTCCGGGTCTGCCCCTAACTGTTGGGTTTGCTCATAACCATGATCATTCGCAGTGGAAACCTCCTTGACAATTGGCTCTTGAGCGGCGGGCACAGGCTTGCGTTTTGGAAAGTTGGCTGATGGAACAAGCGGCTGAGTCAGGGACGACTGGAGAATTTCTGGTTGCTGTGGCTGGGTCTCTTCGGATGCCATTCTGTATGGGTTGTTTTTGTGGAGAATCTGCAGGATCCTATCCGCGGAATGTACAGGAAGAAGTTTTGAGATCGATGTCTGATTGGCGCAGAAGCCAGTAATGAATCAGTGCATCATAAGAAAGAGCATCAGGGGCGTCAACGTAAGGGCATTCATTACGCACGCCCGGCCAGGTTGTTGTCCGAGATGTCGTCCTGGCCTCGACTGTCTCGAAGCGGGCGTGGTGGAGCTTGGGGGGTTTCAGGGGCCAGCCAATCAGCAGTGCAGCTGGCGACTGACTAAGCCAGCGGAGTTGCGGGATGCCTGAGTCACAACTCCGCTGCTTCAACGAACTATTCACAAACCATCGACAGCATGTCCATCTGCGCTGCCAGCGCGGAGGATCAGACCCTGTCGGAATAGTTACTAATATTACACGATCGTTGCAGGGCATAGAAGTACTGCGGAAGACTTTAGTATAAATACGGTGCAATGTCTATCTTCATAACCTACCTAGGCAATCAACCTTCAATTTCATTTTACTTCTATACACTTGGTCTCTTTATCTACTAGTCGCCACATTATCCATACATACAATGACTCTCAAATACCTCATTACCGGTGCCACTGGTGGACTCGGCAGCCAGGTGCTTGCCTACCTAGTAGCCAATGTCCCTTCGTCCGAGTACGCTGCTGCTGCCTCCAGCGAAGCAAGCCGGGAACGCTTTGAAAGCCAGGGCATTGCTTTCCGGGTTGCCAACTTTGATGAACCGGCTACGCTAGACTCGGCGTTTGCAGATGTCGAGAATTTGTTCTTTATCAGTACCAATACGTTTGACAATGCCAAACGTCAAGTGCAGCATCAAACTGTTGTCGACGCAGCCAAGCGCGCTGGTGTTAAGCATGTATGTTTACTAGGATAAACTCCTAGCGAGTACTCTTCAAAAAGCTAATTTTTCCTTCATCTTTAGACATGGTACAGCTCTCTTGCATTCGGTGGCCTTCGCTCAGACTCGAAGATAAGCGTGCAACAAGCTCACCTAGAGACCGAAAGAATGTTGAAAGAGTAAGATTTACAACCGTTACTTAGTTTATTAGACACACTATAACTAATATCATGGTTTCCAGGTCCGGGATCACCTACACATCCATCCGTGAAGGTATTTACGGCGATGCATTCCCACTCTTTCTTCAGTGGTATCCCAGTACAGAAACCATCTACATTCCGGATGATGGGGAAATCACATATACGTCGCGAGTGGAACTCGGTGAAGCCAACGCAAGATTGCTCATTAAAGGCGGCCACGAAAACGAGATTGTTCTTCTTACCGCAAATGAACCCCTTCGAGCGGCAGATATCATCAAGATAATTAACGAAACCACTAACCGGAATGTAAAGCTCACCATTGTCTCTCCAGAGGAGTATGTCAGATATCATACGGAAAACGATATAGGCAAGAAAGCGGAAGGATTCTGGCGAAGTAGGTTGACTTGGTTTGATGGCATAGCGAAGGGCGATGCAAAGGTGTCAAATCCACTGATGAGGGAGCTTCTGGGCAGAGAGCCAAAGACTGGAAGCCAACAGATTCGGGAGTTTCTAGGAGAGAATCCCAACTACACCTGGCACCAGAACTATGCGGATAAGGCTCAGTATCGGGCTACCCTGCCACAGAAAAAGTGAGCGGTCGAGGAAACAAAAGGATTAGATGTGAGCCGAACAAGATATAAACGAAGGCAACATTCAGAATAGTTTTTTACGGAAGTTCTTTCACTAGTATGTTCTGTTTTGCAAGCACTTAGAACTCGCTGAGGTCGTGCTTCTATTGGCGGTCTCAAGCCCCTTAATGGAACATGAGCACAGCGAGTCGATACTCCCAAGATAGTTGAGATCATCAAAAATGACTTCAGTTTGAAATTTTGGCGCTCCTATGTGGGACAAACCTATGACTTTCCACGTCGACGGACAGAGTAGAAAATGAGAAGTTGTATCGGTCTACGGAATCTGACAGTTAAGTTCAGATAGCCAAGCCACATCATGATTGGTGGATCGTGCAAGACCCGCACTAGCCCGTCTCGGCCAAACGTGCTGAGTCATCAGCGCCTTCCCGAGCATGACGTCTGTCACGTGATGCTGGGCATGCCGTAAGTCTCCGAACGCTTTCAATTAGGCCGGCGGTGATTGGCTGGTGCGGCAGTCACGTGGGCGGTTGCCGAACAACGGGGCCCTCGGCAGCAAGAATGAAGGGAATAGCCTAACAAGAAGGCGAGATCTTCACTTCGACTTCATACCATACCTTCGCGCGCACCAGCAACCACTCTCCGCTCCTCTCTGCAACTGCTGCTGCGCTCTTCATTGAGTGATAGTGGTCTCAGACTATCGTGATATCTACACCAGTCCATCCAATTGCTTCCAGTCGCGCGCACCATGGCCGCCCTTCGCACTTCTCGGCTACTGGCCTCTTCCCGGCCACCGTTCACACCGTCGGTCTTCGCTCGTTCCTATGCCACCGTCGACCCGATCTCGAAGGTCAGCGAAGCGACTTCGAGTAGCAGCAAGTTTGTGCCCGAGTCGCAAACCTCGACGGTCCAGGAACCTGCTCCTTCACAGACACCTCGTACCAAGACCTTCCATGTTTACCGATGGGATCCGGACCAGCCCTCCGATAAGCCTCGCATGCAAAGCTATACCCTTGACTTGAACAAGACCGGTCCTATGATGCTGGATGCTTTGATCCGTATTAAGAATGAAGTCGATCCAACCTTGACCTTCCGACGAAGCTGCCGTGAGGGAATTTGCGGAAGCTGTGCCATGAACATTGATGGTGTCAACACGTTGGCATGCTTGTGTATGTTCTACTCTTGCTTGCTACGCTTGATACAAGTTTCATTCCCTTGGGCGCTTAACTGACGTTCTCATAGGCCGTATCCCTACCGACACAGCCAAGGAATCTCGCATCTACCCGTTACCACACACTTACGTTGTCAAGGATTTGGTTCCTGACCTGACTCATTTCTACAAACAATACAAGTCGATCAAGCCTTACCTCCAACGCGACACTAAGACTGAGGATGTATGTGCCAGAATTAATCTTATTTCATAATTGCCGGCACTAATAGCATGATGCAGGGCCTTGAATTCCGTCAATCTCCCGAGGATCGCCGCAAGCTCGACGGTCTCTATGAATGTATCCTTTGCGCCTGCTGCTCAACTTCCTGCCCTTCATACTGGTGGAACAGCGAAGAGTATCTTGGACCAGCCATTCTCCTACAGTCGTACCGCTGGCTTGCTGACTCTCGTGATGAGAAGACTGAGGAGCGCAAAGCAGCTCTTAACAACAGCATGAGCGTATACCGATGCCACACCATTCTCAACTGCTCAAGGACGTGCCCCAAGGGCCTTAACCCCGGTAAGGCGATTGCTGAAATCAAGAAGATGCTGGCTTTTTAGAATAAAATATTGTTCGCCATGGTGAATATAGTGTATAGATTGACCGATACTTATCAATTTCCACAAATCTGTCTTTTCCCGCAATTTTTCCCCTCTGTTTCTGTCGTGTATTGTCTCTTGTGTCAGTAGGTAGCTCTTTGAAATAGCTCGCGCGTCAGGTCCCAATTTTGGTGATTTATATTTTTCACTTTATTCTCGTCAATGTCGAGTAGTATGAGGGAATATTCAAGAACTTGTGTCAAACAGCTTAATCGTTTAGGTAAGATGTCATGCCTCTCCCCACGGGTCTCGAAGATTCCCTGGGAGGACGCAAATCATGGGTAAACGTGGTTTGTCTCCTAACCGAGATGGACACGAGCAAATTAGATGTTCGACATACGTAGGGAGCTACGGCCTTATTCATTAGATACTACACTTCATGTGGATATATCAGGTCAAATAAAGAGAGAGGGTTCTACAAGACTGTGATCATCACGAGTAGAAATTATACATTACAGACGAGCTATGTAGAAGCATAGCTCCTTCGCAAGAGTACCTAGGCATTAAACACAGGAGATCTGCTGTTTGATACCAATAAGAATACAAACAAAGCTCTTCGCTATAGAGAAAGTACGCGTCAAAGCCATACAAATAAGTGCTGAAACCCACAAATAACTTCACTGACTGGGCAGACCATATTCTCATGTGTCGATATCGTTTGGACACGGGATAATGATAGTGGAATCCCTCCATCAATGCCAGAATGTCAGAGTAGTCGGCTTGAAGTAAAGAGAAACATTGCCGGGATGCTTTATCCGGTAAATGCCTGTTTTTCGGCCTTCCTGCGAAGCATCCTTCGGTAGAGAAATAGTGTGCACAGGCCCAACGCAACGATGAAGACGATGCAGAATACGAGGATAACGCCGGGGTTCCTGCTCGCCCAATTGTGTCTTTTCAGAAGGTGGTGGATACGCGGCTGGCTCGATACTTTGTTGATCACCGCCATTGTGTATGGGTTGGAATATACCCAGGGTCTTCTGTTAGGGTTTGGCTTTTGGTCAGTCATGGAATCACGCCCAGTCGAATGGAGCAAGTAGAACGTACTGAATGATTTGATCAAGAAGAAGGTAAAGAAGAAGCCACTTCTGCAGAGACACGAGCTGGAATACGGACCGACACTCTCTAAAGAACGCCCATGTTAGCAGAAGCCCCGAGTCATCCATCCATCGATGGGTGCTCACCGAATTCGAATTGGAGGGAACGAAACCCGGAGAAGGACGTGGAGACGTCCGTACATACGATATATGACCCTGAAGAGGCGATAAGCAGCCGAGGAAGAGTGCTTGCTGGTAAGATAATTGGTTCAGATGGTGCTGGCGATGAAGATAAGAGAGAGAGAGAGAGAGAGCGAGTAAGTTGTCGGTGGGAGACAGACCGAAGGAAGGCCGCGGCGTTAAATGGAAAGTGTCAACCAAGCATCATATGGACTAGCTGTCTCCAGCACTGGCTGGATTGCTGCTTCCTGTTTAAAATTTTGTCGAAGGTTTCAAAGTTGCTGCTTCATGCCGTCGTCTTCCGGTCCAGCTTCAGGCTCAGCACGAATGCACTAACTGCTCTTCGATCGGACAGCATCATCTTCTGGCCACGAAGCGACGAGAAAAAGACACAACCCTCTGCATCTCGTCTGTGCTACAACACTACTCATCACCAAATCCTCGCTGCTGCTAAAGCTACACTTTGTCGGATCATTTTTCCGTGCAGACGTCATGGGCACCCCCGGAGTTAACCCTGAAAGCCTCACCTAGATCCGCGGCATGCACTGCATGTATAATTCTAGTACTCACGAAGATCATGAAAGATGTCCACTGCACGCTGACTCTAAGATGCAAGCGATGTGGTGGAGCTCCACGACTCGGAGTTGCTCCGAGCGCGCTCGCGGGGCAGACAACAAAATCCCGAGGCATCGTGGGATGTTTCACCTTAGGTCACCGACTATAAGGTCTTCTGTTCTTCGACTCTAAGACTCGCTTGATCGATTGGTTCTCATCTGCGCAGTTATCGCTATCAAGACATCATGGCTTCTGGAAAACCCTCAGTTGGCTTTGTTGGCCTCGGCGCCATGGGATTCGGCATGGCTACCAATCTAGTCAAGCAAGGATATCCTGTCAAGGGCTACGACGTCTTCGCTGCCTCAGTCGAGCGCTTCAAGGCAGCGGGTGGAATTCCCGCTGCTTCTTTAAGGGATTCTGCTGAACAAAGACAGTACTACATCTGCATGGTCGCATCAGCGCCGCAAGTGCAGGATGTATTGTTCAATCCAGAGACCGGCATCTTAGATGGTATTTATTATATTCTCCCTCTAACTGCTTGTTACCACCGACTGACAAGATGTGGCAGTGCTTCCACGTGGTGCAACTTTCCTTCTCTGTTCGACTGTTTCGTCAGCTTACGCGCAGTCGGTCGAGAAGGAGCTGAAGACCCGTGGACGCGATGACATACTCTTTATCGACAGCCCAGTATCCGGAGGTGCTGGTCGAGCAGCGGATGGAACACTCTCGATTATGGCAGGTGGAAGTGATGCCGCTTTGGAGAAAGGAAAATTCCTTCTGCAGGAAATGTCAGATGCGAACAAACTATACATAGTACCGGGTGGCATTGGAGCAGGCAGCAACATGAAGATGGTTCACCAAGTCCTTGCAGCCATCCACATTGCTGGTGCCAGTGAGGCTATGGGTTTTGCGGCGCGGTTAGGGTTAGATGCCCACGCCGCTGCGGATGCAATCGTCAAGTCGGATGCATGGACGTGGATGCACGAGAATCGTAGTAAGAGAATGCTGGAAGAAGACTGGAATCCAGGTGCAAGTGCTATGACCATTATTCTCAAAGACGTCGTGAGTACACCCAGACGAGAAAAATATTCAATTACAAGATTTTGCTTACACTGATTTGCACAGGGCATCATCACATCTACGGCACGCCTGCACACATTTCCCACGCCTCTCGCCTCATCAGCAGAGCAGCTCTATCTCACCAGTCTCGTTCATGGCTACGGTCCCAAGGATGACTCATCTCTTGTTCGCATGTACACTCCGGACTCGCTGGTCAGCGTGAAATGTACGTTGTCGCCCGAAGAAACAGCGCGTAGACTCAAGATGGTCACCACGCTCATGCAATACACCAATATTGTGGCTGCTGCTGAAGCTGTCGCTTTTGCTCGCTACCTCAAGGTAGACATGAAGCAATTCTTCGACTTGGTCATCAATGCTGCGGGAGGCAGCAAGATGTTTAATACGCTGGGTGTGGCCATGGGTGAGGGTATCACCACGGGAGAAGCAGCAAAGGGGGCATTGCGTATTGACAATATCATCAACGAGCTTAGTCGTATTGTACAAGAGGCAAGAGATCTTTATACGCCATTACATCTAGCCACGGAGGCACTGAACCAGTATATACTTGCGCAGCGACGTGGATGGGGAGGGGAGGCAGCAACGAGCATTATCAGGGTGTGGGAGAGTTGATAGTTGAAAGTAATCTGCATCAACAACGATGATGAGAAACAAGTTCCTTCTAGAGATATTCCCACGTAATAATATAACAGATAACTAGTCCTAATCGTCATAATTATCAATCGCCGAAGTCCAGCCCGGTGGAGCATGACATCGGTCCACTGTCCACTTCATCGGGCTTGCTCCGAGTGCGCGGACAACCAGCCGGTCTGCAAAACATCTCCCCTCCTACGATATAAATACGCTCTATGACGCTCTTGCAAGACACCAATTGTCCCGGAACCTTCAAGCAAAGCAAGTATACAGCAATAGCACCGAAATGCCACACCCAAACCTCAAGGGCAACCGAGCCCTCGACATCCTCGACAAAGCCGTCGCTGGCAACTATGGCGTCCCCGCCATGTGCTGCTACAACATCGAGGGCATCCTGGCCACTGTAAGAGCAGCAGAAGCTAAAAAGTCGCCCGCCATGATCCTCCTCTTCCCCTGGGCCGTGCACTATGCTGACGGCGTACTCGTCCACGCCGCAGCAGAGGCGGCCAAAAACGCCAAAGTGCCTGTGACCGTACACATGGACCATGCCCAAACACCAGAAATCATTCGCTATGCCGCTGAACTGGGTGGCTTTGATAGTATTATGGTCGACATGAGCCATTACGAGAAGGAAGAGAACCTGGCCAAGACGCGTGAATTGGTTGCGTACTGCAACGAGCGCGGTATCGCGACCGAGGCAGAGCCCGGGCGCATTGAAGGTGGTGAGGATGGAGTAGCAGACACAGTGGATTTATCCGGTCTGTTGACGACGCCTGAAGAGAGCCACGAGTTTGTTGCGACGGGCATTGACTGGCTTGCGCCCGCTTTTGGGAATGTCCATGGCTCATACGGACCGCGGGGAATCCAGTTAGAGTACGACCGTCTGCAGTCTATTAATCAAGCGGTTGGCGATAAGGTGCGGCTTGTGCTGCATGGTTCCGATGAATTTACCACCGAGATTTTCCAGAAGTGTATTGCCAATGGTGTGTCGAAGGTCAATATTAACAAGGTCATGAACAACGAGTATGTGCGCGTGCAGGCTGAGAAGGCCGGTAAAGTGCCCTTGACGACTCTACTTGAAGAGGCTACCAATGCCATGCAGAAGGCAATTGAGCGATGTATAGACATGTTGGGATCTGCAGGGAAGGCTTAATGACAGTGGACGGTGATTTATCCATAGGTGTTTATGATGATTGCCTAGGTATATGATAAGCTCAATCGATAAAGAGAAGTTTGACCAACATTCTATATAAAAAATATATGGATATTTATACGTATGTATGTATTTCAGATAACTCAACCACATATGGGTTGTTTATGTAACATAGGGACAGCTGAATCTATTTTCGCCAAACACCATGGTGCAGCCAAAAAGCTGACACGCAATCATCTTACACCTCTTCATGATGACTAGCAGCATCAGCAAAATCCTTCTGTTCAACGGTAGCTTTTTCCTCCCGATGGTGCTGGATTTCCTCTTCAAAGAGGCCCTTGATTTGAGCAGTCCGCCAGGGTTTCACATCCGTGTCGAAGACAAGGTCGATCTCCTCCAGTGTTCTTTGCGCGGTCTCTGGATATGTGAAAAAAATTTGGAAAGTCATCACAAAGCAGAATATTCCAAAGATGATATACGTCTTCCATTGGATGTTTGTAAAAGCAGGCGTTACGAAATATGCTAGCGCAAAGTTGAATATCCAATTCGCTGCCGCGGAGAGGCCCACGCCTTTGGCTCGGTACTTGAGAGGGAAGACCTCTGAGGCATAGATCCATGCACCTGGGGCCTGTATCAAAAGTCAGTCAGTCATTGAGAACATCCTTTCAATGCGAGGGTGATGACCTACCCAGGTAAGACCGTAGAAACCAACGAAGATGTACGAGAAAGCAATGACACCCTTGGCCGGTGGACCGGTAATGGACCATCGAAGAATGCTGTTTCCATCGACTTCCGGGACCCAGTGGCCATAATTTGCCATGAGTCCTGCAATTGTAAAGTGGCATATCATACATGCAACGGAGCCAAACATCAATAGTGGCCGGCGGCCGATTCGGTCGACACGGGGCAGCATGATGCCTGTAGTAACGAGAAAAATGACATATTGAATGGCCGAAGAATAAAGTGTCGTGTTTCCAGACTATCGAAATGCCGCGTATATTAGCCACGATTCAACGAGGAAGAGAAATGCGAATAGGGGAACAAACCATCCCGGCCATCTCAAAGATGTAGACAACATAGTACATGGCAACATTACCACCGAGAAGTTGCTGCCACATCTGCACTGTCATTCCACACATAGTTCGCTTCCAGATGCGAGGGCCAAATAGAGCAAGAAAGGAGATGTCCTTGGCCTCATGGGCAATACGGGCAGCTTCCCTGACTTCCTCGAATTCCACTTGAACAACAGGGTCGCTGCGATCACCATTCGCATGAATTGCGGCCAGGGTATCGAGACATTCCTCCCACCGCTCTTTTGATCCTAGCCAACGCGGTGATTCGGGGAAGAAGAACAACGATGCGAACAAAATAAGGCCGGGGATACCCTGAATTCCCCAGGCAATCCTGAATGCAGAGGGACCGGATACTCCCACAGAGCAGCCGTACGCGATTAAATACATAATCAGTATGCCCCATTCGATTGCCCATTGTTGTATGCCGACTATTCGTCCTCTAATCCGGGCTGGAGAGAGCTCGGCAAGGTAGACAATGACTTGTGACGAGGTAATGCCAACTATACGGAGAATGATCAGTCGAAGCCAACTGAGTAGCGAAGAGTAGAAAAAAGTACCTGCAAGGCCGCTCACTACGCGACCAGCGATTAACTGGCCCACACTATGGGTACTGCACTGGATTGCAGCGCCAACCACCCAGATTAAAGAAGCAATCATCAGGGCATATCGTCTGCCCAAACGATCTGATATTGGTCCCGCAGCGATGGCACCCGCAAACGATCCGGCGGACATGGAAGCAGTGATCTGCCGTTTATATGCATCGGTTAGTACATCAGCTGCAGTATTGTATATAATAAAACGGGTGGATGACGTACACCTCCCTGCAAATTCGAGTCTGGGTAATTGAAGTAATCGAGATATTGCTCCGAGCCGATCCATGCGCTCATGGAACTACGCACATGATATGTCAGTCAACCGTTTGTCTGGATGCGATATGTAATATGCCTACCTAACGTCAAATCCGAACAGGGCGCCACCAATGGTGCCAAAGGCAGCCAGCGCTTTGTAATCATGGCATCCTCAGTGAGTGACATTTCAGTTTACGATGGATATAGAAGACTAACCATAGATATTCGTGATTCGATACATCTTCCTTGCCGACTCAGCAGAATTGAAGTCAATTCCTGGAAGTAGCTTCACACAGAGCTATGGCATGTGGCTTACAAGAAGACGACCTTGGAAAGTCGATTACAGTAGAGTACTGGAGGCAGCCTGCCTGGGTATATTTGGATTGGTATAAATACTAGCTGGCAACAAAAGCAATTTCGTCATTCTCCCCCATACATTTACAAAACATGGAGAGACCTCCGCTTCTGTCATTTCTCGTATTTCGCATGATTGGTTGCAATTAAGCGAGGCCGGTTAATTGCAAGGTATACGCTCCGTATACATACTATGGACTCCGTACTCCGGACTCCAGGTTAACCGATGCGGGGCTCCGCATCCCGAGCACGGGATACCCTTTTAGGCTGCAAGCCCTAATCTTTGACGACACGAGTTGTTTACAGAGTTCGCATGTTTTTAGAGTAGATACAAACAACACCACGCGCAAGCCAGACTGTTAAACTACGCATTTTGCAGATCTCCGGGGTCTTGTCCGAATATGCTGTATAGACTCATAGACATGGCCAGTATCTGTTTTCCCCAAAAAGCCGAGTCGGGTAAAAGACGTGCAGGAACATGATGTGGCAGTGGATTATTCCGGCTTTATATGCATCATATGGTGTGAAAGTTCTAGACGCCGCTGGGCCCGATTTGTCCTTACTCCTTATCCTGAGTCTTCCTCTATTGACGAAAGCAATACCAAACTTCCGGACGTACAATCCCTGGAACATGTTTCTAACAAGCTATTTCTGATCCTCCCATTCATACTCTTCACTTATAGATGGAAATACCACTAAACTGTCTCTGGACTTCTGGGAAAATCGATCTGGTCATAGAGTCCCTTGATTGGATTCCTCCCTCGGGATCACTCGGGATCCATCCTGTATGTGTTCCATGAGCCCGACAACAGACAAATAAAACAAGGCTATACGAGATGTTTAAACGCACAATCCCGATCATCGGCTTCTTCCGAAACCCTATCCCAAATCATAATAGCCGGCTTCGCAATATCAGCTATGATTTGTTTGCACGGCACATTTGGCGCACATGATATCGTGAGAGTCGAATGGTTGACTTCTAGATATATGACTGGATTTACTAGTGTAGATATTTCGTAATCTTGGAAAATAATTTCACATTCTATATCGGTATAGCATGGCTCTTGTTCAAAAAATTGAACGTGTTCTCTTTCATTGCCGACATCATCTTGTCGAGCTCCACTAAGGATTTCGTCCATCTTCAAAATTGATGATCTATCCCTTAATCTGGCTTTATCGCTAGTGATTAATCCACATGAAAATGCATATTATTTGTGATTTTGTGTGCGACTTCCTCTAGTATGCCCAGGCTGAAGTGTTTGCATTGCTCACTTGACATCCACACGCGTAGATCTGTCTCGAAGACCTGTTTCACCTGTTCCTTGGACTTGGTGCATTTAGTCCTGCTTATAATTTCCTCCAGCCTATCCACATCATAACAGATCTTCAACTTGCAATATGCCAGATCCGGCTGGAGAAATACAACCCATTTGTCAGATACGAGGTGTTGCATAGTGGCGTTTTTAATACCCTGTTTGTTGCTTATCACAGCATTAAGTTCCCTTTTTTCAAAAAAGATTTCTCAGATAACGTATCTGATATCGTCTGAAATTTTCTACCTGCTCAACACTGATGCACTTTTCAAATCTTAACCTCAAACCGAACCATGCCCCCATCTAAGCCCCTCACTAATACCTCCCCTTTTTCTTGCCCAAGAAATTGCTGGATTTTTCCATACGCAAAAGGAATTGCGTCCTTGGTAAAAGAAAAAGGGACATTGTTACCAAGGACGGTTTTGACATGAGCTTCGACTTGGTTCAGGATGGTTTTTGTTTCTTTGAGCGTTGCGTAGGCTTGTTTAGGGCTGTCGAAATGTTGGTAGGTAATGCTATCGTCGTCCGTTGTGTCATCGTATGTTCTGTTGTCCATGTTGTTGCGTTTCTTTCCTTTCTCTCGTCTCCATTTCGAGGAAATTACAAAGCGCTGGGGAGGACTAGGGAATGTCAACATCGGGCTGATTGACTGCGGTAAGCATTGGTCCTCCAAGAAGATTTATATACAGTCTGCCAAGTTTATATACATAGGTAATGTATATATGGATAAGATACAATCATATAGGTACATCCTTTGCCACAAGCAACCTGATGGCTTCGGACATATGGCTCTGGCATATGAGTCTACTGCAGGTGATGTCGAGCCATAACCGTTTTTTGAATCAGTATCAGCCCCTTCATCGAGAGTGGGTAGTAAGTTCAAAACTGCTACGTCCTCATGCACCGATTTCCTAATCAATGGAGCACAGTTCCTATAGTCTTTTGACCTATCAAGGAGCAGCTTCACTACATCGCCGTGTCCATTACTTGCTGCCATGATCAGCGGTGTCTGGTTCCAGTCATCTTTAGCTTCTGGGTCATATCCACTGCTAATCAATACCGACACTGCTTTCAGCAACCCGAAATATGCAGCAAGATGTAGTCCCGTCGCTTTCTTTGGTACATCTTGGATGTGGGCAGGAAAGCCTCTATCAGTGATGGCGGCTACAGCTTGACTGCAATTAGAGACCATGGCTTTATTTTTCAAAAACTCCAGAGTCACCTCTTCCACTTCTGCGGATGCTACACGAGCATGGTGGCCCCAGTTTCTTGCTGCATATTCAAAAAATGGGTTCTGCGATAGCCGATCCTCAAATTCCTTATCTGTAGCACATGGGCCCCTTTCGAACACAGTCAATGATAGGTATGTGATACATGTTCTGGTGATATCAGTCTCTGTGTTGGGGAACCACTTGGAACGTGTTTGTTCGAAGTATTGCTGCGCTGTATGATGGACGAACCGGATAACACCGGTTTCTTCATCAATCATTACCAACCCAGCGCACACAGAAATCATTCTATCGGGATTGGCAAGATTCTCTGCATCGAGTTCGGAATCACCGACTTCTACGGCTAAGGCATGTCGAAGTTCCGGTATACGCAACGGTTTCTTAGAGCACGTAATTCACGATAGAATCTTGACGGCGAACTCTCTAAATCCTGCTTTTTGCCCATTGACTCTTTCCATAGTTTGGTTGTAAATCTCATCGAAAAGTTCACATTTCTTGCTTTCACTTGGTGGAAGTTTTGGCGCCTTGAATTGTATCATTGCCCTTCGAACGGCTTTATTTGTGATTTTGTCTTCAATCGATTTGAGATAAATATGCGCCAAGAGGAACCTAGAAACAAAGTGAGCATAAGCAACGAAGCCTGTGTTTGAAGATAACTGAAGTGAAACATACATGCCATCAACAGCGGTCGATATGTGAGTCTTGACCTCCTCATGCAACTTCGGGCTCCAGTCATCGAAACATGGTAATGATTTTATATGGGTTTCAATATAGCTCTCCACATCAGGGTTGCTCGCACGAATTTCCAACGCTGTTGATCCTTTGAATTCCTGGACTATGTCGGGAATATACCTTGAGGTGACAAAGATATTCACTTTATACTGCTGGTCAAGGATCTCTGGGATGAGTTTGTATCGACAGGCCATACTCATTTCGTCAATTGCGTCGATGACGACGAAAATCTTTGAAAATAGAGCAGCGACGGATCTAAAAGTTGTCAATAGCTCTTCGAAAGATGGTAGAGATCCCTGTGCCCTATGCATGTCGTGGAGTGATATCACGCTTGCTGGTAGATATGACTGGCCGTAAGCTAGCTGCCTTAGAAGGCTTGCAAGGATATCTTTAGCTGTCTGTTCGTGTGTCTTCCGGAAGTCGCAATACACATATGCGATGCCGATAGTCTCATCAGATCTGAAGAGAGCTATCAGACTGTCGACTACGACCGAAACTAAAACTGTCTTTCCAGCACCTGGAATGCCTGGGCAGAACAGCGTTTGCCCGTCTGACTTGATCCACTTCTGAAATTCTAGGGAGTCTAGAAACCACTGACAAGTTCCAGGTTGTCGTTTGCTGATAGTTTCATTCTGCTGACGACTGTATTCAAACGGAGTGATCCAATCAAGGATGCTTCCACGGACATGATCTCGCTCCAAATGACGATGCTCCAGAAGCAAGTCGTTGATATTCTTTTTGATATCTACCTCAACTACAAGAATAAGCATTTTTCTCCCATTAAAAAAAAGACACGTAGAGACGCCTACCTTTCCTAAGACTCAACATCATATCTTCGCAGAGTTTCTGCACCACCTCAACCATTGACTCCTGTTCGGTGGCTTTCTGAGGCCGGACAACACGCAGTAGATCCTTAGCGTAAGCTGCCGCTGTCACGGCGGCATATGGCTGCCACGTCTTGTTCTTATGATCATCCGAGTAGTCACAGACGCCTCGAATAACCAAGCAAGGGAAAGTATCCATCAAGCCTGCAGCCTCCATTTCGAAGCAGAGGAAACGATACTTTTTTCGCAGCTGATCTCGATATTCGGCTGATCGGACAACTTGATTCCCCGACGCAATTATACCGTGATGAACCACTGGATGTTCTGAGTCGCGATTCAGTCGTGTCTCAAGTTGATCAGGGTTGCATTCTGAACATGTTTGCTCGTTCTCTTCGTCAATACTTCGACAATGGGGATATGTTGCTTTGAATAACTGGTCCTTCTGCCATCCAGGGAAAGAGTAGCCTTTCATCTTAAGTCGGGTAGATCTTTCAGAAGCCACACGTATAAATTCGTGCATTTTGCCTTTTTGGAATGCATGGTCTGATTGAAGAGTTTCAACTCCAGTGAGCAATATAATTGGGGGCTTATTCAGATGGTCTGTGAGCCTAATATCTTCAAGCCCTAACCGCTTGCCATAGTCAACCTGACGTACACCGCCGCCTGGAATACATGTGGCCAGTCAATAGCCCGACAAACTAAAAAAAGAAAAGAAAAGAAAAGAAAAGAGAAAAAAAGAAGTCCACACTGTACTTACCGTAACCATCTACCGGACAACTAACAACGACATCTCCGAGCCGAATGTCTTTACATGCATCTTCCGGATCCGGCTGTTTAGGGGCACCGCCAGCAATTCCGACCAGCAGCCCGAATCGAACCTTCTGAAATGTGAGGAGCATTTGAGTAGCGACATAAGTAGCCGCATTTTTACCTTTCCTCTTGGTTCCTGGGTAGGCGATTATGATGTTATGACCATTCATGTCACCAAGGATGTAGTTAGTGTCATCGCCGGGAAGCAAATCGAGGCCATCATGCTCATGATCAAGCAGCAGCCTGGCCGCATTGACTTCGCAAAGCAGTACGGCGACCCAGCCGACGGTGTAATCGTCGTAGGTGAGTTTCCTAATCGTCCAGTGTTGGTTCTAATACAATAAACGAATATTTAGGAACGCACTCACATGTCTCTTCATTTGACTGTTCTTCTTTGACCCTTTCGGCAAAATATTTGGATGTAAAAGAAGGGCGGAATGTACTCCTTCAATTCTGGATACGTCGTTGACCCTATAAGCGGGCGAGACTGGCGTGTCATTGAGCACAGCTCACAGCGCAAGCCTGCATGTTGTTGTTCGGCAAACCAGAACCAGTAGATCTTCCTATCCGCCGCTGATGTGAAACGCTGAACCCTTGGGAGAAAATGTTCTACTATTTTCAGACACAAACATTGTATATTTTGGCACTTTCATATTATTATTCTCGACAGATTTCAAACACTTCGTTCTTCAATGTTTAAATGTTCTCGTTTTTCTATGCAGTCGCAATTCTGGCGCGGAGAGCTGTAACATATTGACTCGGGGACGAGAGTAACAATGGTCCGTCTACAACTGCTTCGGTATAAGTTACTATAAAATGAGCAGGAGTAAAATCCACGCAGAACCAAAGAACCGCCGAAGGTTAATAATTAGGGCTAGAGATAGCTAGGTACGGATCCTGAACAAGCATTCTGTATGCAATGCACCTGCAGGGAAAGACCTGCATCGAAATACGTGACTCATCGTGCGCTTCTTGTGTAAGCAATTGATATTCTCGGAAAGCTACTTGGGCAGATTAAAGTAAACAGGGTGAACAAGTATGCTGGAGAACCTTGAACTCGGTGTGCGTAGACATCGTCTCGGAACCCTAATTAATGAAGCCCAGGGATCCGAGTATTTCTTCCTTCTACTCAGACAAATCTTACGACAATGTAACCTAATGAAGAGTTGTGGAAGCATATCTCCTGCAAGAGAAACAAACTATCCAGTCAAGTATTTGCCAATCGTTACACTATTGGAAATCACATGCAAGGAGCGCGTCATCCGTGTATGTCTCACGCTGTTCGTCTCCTGTCCAGTCAACGCTGGAAGACGTTGCACAGATGCGTGATTTCTTTTTCTTCGGCTTGCATTTCCCCAGGAATTTTTTTTTTTTTTTTTTTTTTTCTCTCTATTGCGTGATCTCGACTCTGTTCTACATGCTTGTCTCTCAAAAAACAACGCATCTGGCAGAAACATGTCAGGCTTGGTTTTAAACTGGCATGAACGTCCTCCATATTAGACGTTGATTTTCCTATACCCAGCAAATGAAAATAAAAAGGGGAGATCCGACAAGGATTAGTTACTTTTGGTATCATGTTTCAGCAGAACATACCACATCCACTTCACCAGTGAGCTCGAGAGTAAAGTAAGGGAAACAATAAAAGACGAAATCTCCAATGTTGGATCCCCTCACCCAATACGATATTACCTTCATCACTCCCTCCAAGAAGGATAATGGCGTCTTGAAGCCCAAGTTCAGGCAAGCCTACTCCTGCATTCCCATCCGCATCACTATTCCAAGACAATCGCCGACTACGTTGCCGCCCAATCCGCGAATCGTCGTGACCGGGTTCGTGGCCAAGGTCCATTACGGCGCCGGATGTCATTGTGAAAGCGCCATCTTCGAAACTTTTGGTCTCTCGACTGCTGTTGACGGTGATGGGTTTAGGGAGATCAGAGGCAGTCATATGAGCAAATGGATTGGTTTTAAGGAAGGGGGGACTATGCGTTTCTATGGGCATCATAATCATCATCATAATGCCAGTATCGACAACAGGAAGCTTGACTGGCGCAACAGGGGCATATTGATGAAGGGCTCAAGTCCTAAGACAGGCGTGGTTGAAGTGCGAAATATGGTTTGGCATGTACCGGGGCTCTATAAAATCGCATTTGAGCTGCAGTTTGACTCAGGGCAGCCAGTTGGGTGGACGCCGTGGCAGACTGTGGAGGTGCAGAGAGTGAGAAAGAATGAGCAGCGTTGAGAGTCGAAAAGTTTCTTTGTATATGAGTGAGGGATCAAAAAGTTACTTTATCGTTTATGACGAGATATCTACCAATTGCCCGCCTGGTTTACATGGCTGGCTTGTGGTTAATATGTAAAGAGTCATGTGTTTTATATTTCTGGACTACATGTACCTAAGGTACCTTCAAGAAATTCCCATATTCGGAAAAAGAAGAAATCAATTGTCGTTTCCCCTGCGCTGATATCTCGTGGTAATGCTCAAACAATGCATCATATCCAATCCACAGAGTGAGAATAGTCTAGAGGTAGAAAGGGGGGCAAGAAAAAGAAGAGAAAAAACTAAAGGACAATAAAAAGAACCTTCATCTTATCATGCAACTTGTGGTATCATCAATCATATAGTGCGTCCATCGTCGTTATTTTGTTCGGAAACCAAGTGAGATAAAGGGCCTGTTCCGCGTTCAAAAAAGAGAAGAAAAAGCCTATCTGCGGCGTGTACGTCTGGCATCGTAATCATTGTCGTCGTCTTCTTCTTCCTCTTCTTCCACCGGCGCAGGTGTTCGTCGTTCACTTCGCCGCCTTGGCCGGCGTCGTCGATTCGAACTGATGTTGCTTGCCGAGTCATCTGGCGCCAAGGACATCCCATCGTCTATTCCATCATCATCATCCAGACCGCCTTCCCAGAGACTCCCTGCCATGGAGGCCGGAGTTCCTAGTCTAGCGTCCAAGTTGGTCGCAGAACCTCGGCGGGCTTGGTTAGCAACCGATAATCCAGCTCCACGCTCACGAAGCGCACGTCGCACAACTTCAGCTTTACAGTGTAATGCTTCAAACGCATCTTCAAGTGCCTCCATGCTCTGAAAGATGTCCTTCTCAATCTCTGCGAGCACGGCAATCTCGTTGTCTTCGTCCAACCCAATCGGAGCGCCATACGAAGCTGATGAAATATTCGAACCGTATGGCTGGCTCATCGGCCGGGTAATAGGGTCCATTTGGAAAGGTGTTGGTCCTCGCGAGGAAGGGGGTATAAAAGGAGTTCCCGCGCGGCTTGCAGACCTTGAAGGAACGAAGTTGTCTTCCGCTCCGCTGCGTAGAAACCCGTCAAAGCGTCCGGAAATAAGAATTTCCCATTCGTCATCACTTATGGCCGCTAGAGTTGCGAGCACGTTATGGATTGACGGATTGTTTAACATGTAGAGTGCCGTTTCCGAATCTCGAGCAGGAGCCGCTAGGCGGTACAAGCGTTGTATGGCCAGTGACGATGCAAGCAAAGGTCTTGGACGCGGCCGTGGAGCTGGTGTTGTGCTTCTGGGCACAGGGGTCGATGACTTTATGTCCAGGAGTGCGCAAAAGATTTCTCGCTGTGTTGTGTCTAAATATGTCATCATCGCAAAGGATAGCGTCTCATCGTCCACCTCTTCAGGCACGTTCAAATCTGTCTGGCCAAGTAGCCATTTGTCAACTGCCTGCTTGGTCTTACGAGATTGTCGCACATAGTGTTCGCGATACTGCTCTGGCACGTCGATGTCCAATTTCTGCATTGGAATATGTTCTTCACCAGGAGCTACCTGTTCCTGCATTGGCGTAGGCATATGGAAAGGGGGCCAATTAGGCAACTCGCGTCGGCCGGAGACCAGCTCCAACACCTCACCCCAGCTTACGCCTGGTGATGCCTCATCTGGCTCGTGACTTTCACACATTACGCATTGGCAAGCCTCGGAGGATATGTCTCGTGCAAAAACCGCTTCTAGCCGATCCAGCAACCGCCGAGCTACAGATCGATAGCCTGTCGCAACCGCAAGGGAACCATTTTTTGACATGACATGCTTATAGTCGTCTAACAAGCGATGGTAAGGTTCAAAGGCTTGAACGATAGCAGATTGCTGTGGCATATTCGATAACAGCCCAGCTCCAAGAAGTCGCTTCGGTACCGTATATGGTAAACCACCATTCTGCAGCAGATAATCTACCCTTGGCGGTGCAATAGGCATTTGTGGAGGGGGTGGAGGGGGTGGAGGCAGTGAAGGTGAATTTTGATTGTGTCCTCCTCCATCAATAATAGATTCATCCTCTTCAACAAATATTTCGATTACAGGTGAGTTCCTTCGAGGTGTACGACTTTTAAACTGCGATGGGGGCTGCGGTTGGTTCGGGGCAATTGAAGTTGCATCAGAATCAGTTGTATATTGTGAAGCATTGTCATTGCTGTTGGCGAGTGAATGTGCTGGTGATTTGGAGTTTTGGCTTGCAGCGCGCTTAGGAATGTCTGCACTTTGCGTTGTAGATTTCATAGTCTTGTGGCTAGAAGTACGATGAGGAACTGGGGACTCCCGAAGCCGTATCTTCACCGGGGTACTGGAACGAGGATATTTCATGCTCACTCGCGAGCCATCTTCAGTATGCGCGCCTAGACTGGAGGTTGACCTTGTTGGGTCCTTGCGGGATTTTGTTTTGCCATCTTTATCTCTGTCTTTGTGTTGTTTGCTGCCTGTCGAGCTTCCCTTCCTCGAGGACCGTTGGTCAGCAGTGAGAGGTGGACTTGGCGGGGTGCCATGACGATGCCCATTCCGCGATGATGTCTTTCGATCCTCGTAATTGTCAACGTCAGTAGGGTCGGGAGTAGGAATGTCGGCTTTATTTAACTGTTCGGGTTTGTCCCACAATGCCACTTTGCTGTGCGCTTTCGAGAAGGCCGGATACGGAAGGCTGGCTCTTGACTCGAGGAACGATGTGGCAGCGGAGTTGGCATTGCTGTCGATTTCCGGCATGGATGATCTGCGAGTGCGAGTGTGAGAGCTCGAGGTCGACGAGGTGGTCATGGTGGAGTCGCGATCCTTGGTTGACGTGCCCGTCCTTTTTCCATGGGACGGACGGGTGTACCGACGTTTCTCTTTATCCTTCTCCACCTCCTTCTCTCGATCCTTGCTCTTGGGAGACTTCGCCATGGGCTTCTCTTTTTCTAGATCGCGGTCACTAAATATGTTCCGCAGCTTCGAAGACATGATTCAGGGAAGGATGCAGGTGTGGGCTAATGAGGGTAAGTGTCTAGCGTCTGGTCCAACCTATTAGCGAGCCGTCAACGAGTAGAAGTGCACGCGCCAGGGGGCAGCCTACTGTTGTGATAGGACAGCTACTCGGTGAGTAATCGCTCGACAAAGTGCCAGTTTTGCTGAACTGCGGCCAACACAGAGAGGTGGGGCCTGGTAGAATGATGACTGGAGCGAAGTTGTCCAGGATGGATCATGATGCGGCCTAAGCCTGCACCGACACGGTCGTGAGCACCCAACACTAACAGTGGCACATTTGAGGTGGGTTTAGCGAATGCTGCGGTGACGTGTGCGACGAGATCTCGCTAGGATCTTACAATAGAGGGCGGGGGAAAGCGAGCGACGGTGTTGCCCATATCAAGTGTAGACTCGGGCTGGGTAGAGATTATTCGGGTAGCAAAAGCGGAATGAAGCGAACGGAAACGAGACTAGACAAATAAAATTGGGGACCACATGCTCTAGAGGAAGAGATCGTGGCGTAGCGCATGAGAAGCAGCGAGGAGGAGGATGCGATGGGATGGCTGGCATTGGCTGCTCACCGCCTGCTGTGATTGGTGCCTGACAGCCTCAGGCAGCGACTATTATATAGTTAGTGTAATTGCATCTAACTATGCTCTAACTTTTCTACATCAACTTCTATAAGCCAACCCAAATCTATCTATATACAGACATCGCATTTCTCCCTTGTCATCTCAAATAGCAAAGCCACCAGAATTCTTCTGTCTTGGCTCGCCAACAGCCTCGAATGTGCCGTTGGACAGCAGCCGGACGCACTGGGCTGAGCTTGCTCCTATGGCCAACGTAGTGACGTTGTGGCCTCGTTCTCGCATGAACTGAACGGTGTCGTTGTTGAATGTTTCTTCAAAGGCCACCACGTTCGGGATCAGCTGGTCGTGAAGGCGAGGCTCAGAAAGTGCCCGAAGGGGGTCCATTGCTCGATCAATCAAGTTGATAACGCTTTGGACTGTTGCGGTGATAATGCGACTACCACCAGCGGCCCCAGTCACAAAATACAGTGACCCATCTGGGTTGGTCACAATCATTGGCGTGATAGACGATATGGGCCGTTTTCCTGCCCGGATATAGTTGGAAGGGGACGGGGCATAGCCGAACCGATTCGATGATCCGGGGATGGAGAAATCTAGGAAAATGGAGCTTGTTAGTAGAAGATTTTGACGGTGTGGGAATGTATAAAACTAACCGTCCATCTCGTTATTCATGATGATTCCGGTCTCTGGAACCATGACCAAGCTACCGAAAAAAAGATTAATTGTAGTCGTTAACGATATTGCGAGCCCAGAGTGATCAGCTGCTGATATATGGGAGGTTCCCGGTCTATATTCAATTAGCCACGTTGATATCAGAAATTGAACGAAAGACACTTACGTGTCTAAACTCTCAAGCCCATCGGGGTCATAGGCTGATACATCCTGAGTGTGGAAATCAGATATCCGCCGACGAATACTGGAAGCAAAACCATCACTCAAAATATCCTGCTCGCGTTGCTGTAAGCCCGGCAAGAAGGATGGATCACCGAAGCTCGTCCTCTGAAGGTTGTAGATAAATTGTTAGCTAGTAATACTACATAGTGATGTTTCCAGAAAACGCACCTGGCCGTATCCAAATCGCATGGCTTCATTGAGTCGGTGAGTGCTCAATTCCGTCGTCTCCGGAGAAAAGAAATCATTATAGCCATCAACAATCTTCAGTATACTCAGACCAATACTACCACTCGACGGAGCTGAAGTGCTAGTAATCTTATAGCCTCGATAATCAATCTGTTGAGCATCGCGTAAAGTGGGTTTGTAGGCTTGGAGATCCTCCATTGTCATTGTCCCATTAGCTGCCTGGACAGCTTGAATCATTGTCTCAGCGATAGGGCCACTGTAGAAGGCGTCTGACCCTTGGTTTGCAATAAATTCCAGAGTGTCTGCATAACGTGTTCGATAAATAGTATCCCCGAGACCCAGAAGAGTGCCATTTGGCGCGAAGTCCAAAGCCCATGACGGGTCGGTTCTTAGGAAACTGTCCCCATCTTTCATAGTACTGTTGATAGCTCGATACAAGTCATCCGTTACAGGGAAGCCTTCTCGAGCAACTCTAATGGCAGGCTGGACCACTGTCGACCACTCGAGAGCTCCGTATTTGTTATGTATGTATTCCAGGCCACGAACCTCGCCTGGCACCGCACTAGACTTCCCAGTCAGGCCGCGCTTCAATAAAAGCATGCTAAGTGGTGCAAGAAATATCTCACCTAGCCAATCCGCCAAAAACGGATCCAAGTGTATCATTGGCGAACATCTCCTGGAATGCTGCGGCCGGTGCAGTCTCACGAAAATCGATATTTTCAAAGGTCCCATCCGGCGACCGTATAAGAGCAAAGCCCCCTCCGCCAATACCGCTGTGATACATACCTATAAAGTGTCAGTATATAACGGCGCTATTTACAAAGGGTTCAGAGCTAGCTGACCAATGACTCCAACGCAGAACACAGTTGCAACCATCTAATAAGCAATCAATCAGAGGCCGAAATTCACGACTACAGATACTCTCATCACTTACAGCATCTGCTGCATTTCCCCCGCTTTTTAACATGTCAATTCCGGCTGCGCTGCATATGGAGCTCTCACTTGCAACAGCACCAATTTGCGCATTGCCATTAGCATATACTGAGAGGGGCGTTGTTGAGGCGCACGACTTGAGAGAAATAGAAGGTCTCAATGTATGAAAATAGATGAGCAAGCAGACAATAGCAGCCAACGCGGTCAGTGTAGTCCTATTAGCCAGAGTCGCAGAGCTCGGCCAACCCTTCTGGGGCTTGGGGTTTGCTTTTGGGCATATCAGAGACTATATCAACATCAGTCTAAGGGTCGTCCTCGGGGAAAGCACCACTAATGATCCAGAATCTTACCTGCTTCTCGATATCGGCAGTCGTAACCTCATCTTTGTAGGCCATCTTTCTCGCAGTCAAGGCGTAGTAACAGCTGAACCTTTCCTTATCAAGAACGGGGACACCTGTGGCTTTCCGGGATTTATTGACGGGCAATCATATCAACAAGGATATACTGTGCGACTTAAAAGCTAGATTGTTTCCGGGATTGGATCCCAGGACATGTATAGGCCCAATAAAAGAGAATAAACCTAGATAAAATTGATAGTACGTGGCACTCAGAGAAATGATTTGCGTGCCCACAACCACCCACTCATCAAAGTTCATGATAAGCTCAACAAATCTACACGGCCTAAATTTACCGCCTGCTTCTTTTGGTTAGCTCCAATGAGAAGGTAACGATTTGAGCGATTTTTGCAGCCTAACATCCAATCATTTCCACCCGCTATTTATTTTCTCTATGACAGTGCCAGATCCATAGATTAAGACGGTTTGCCTTGCAACCAATCAGCTTTAAGGATCTTAGTATACGCAGGCCACAATGTCAAGTTGAGGTCAGCCTCAATGCGATGGTTAACATTGGTCCCAATGTTAGAGTTTCGTCAGTTACAGTACTATAGTCGGGCAAGTTCACGCCTTACTTCTAGGCAGTATCCTTCCGAGATTTTCACCGTATTAACCGAGTCATATGCATTGGAAAAGGAGAAACGCAAGAAGAAGAATAATTCATCATTGACCGATAAAGTTAGTCGATGTAGCATTGCTGCCAAGTCCACAGGCTGTATATAATGCTAATGCAGGTATTGTGTAATGATAACATATAAATCGACGGGTGCGTCACACAAAGACCCAAATCAGACGGCCATTAGCCTTATTTCTTTGATTTTCTTGACATTGATATTCTCCCACATTGCCACTGAAAGCAAAGTTATTGGCAAGAAACCTAGTCCGACGACGCACACATGCCGCATGAAGTCTCCATATGCTTTGATGATGGCTTCTCTGACCGCACTAAGCATGGGGTATCTTAGCTGATTCATGAGGCTTCCATATATAAGCTTGGCCGAGGACTTAGCATCTGGAGGGAGGTATTTCTCTAATGCCTTGGGCATATAGTACGTATACATGCCCGTGGCGATCGTTTGTCCCACAGCAGCGCCCAACTCTGTGAAAAGGCTGAACAGTGCGAGTGTTGCTGCTACATCAGAATGGTCAGTTGCCGTCATAACTGCCATTGGACCACATATTCCCATTATCCCGCCGGGAAGAGATAACATGACTTGATTCAATATGATATGCCATAGCTTTTTCTTTGGCTGGCGGGTTAATATCGTCAACCCCGTAGCTAGAAGGTCAAAGGTAACAGCGATAAGAGCCAACTTCGTGTACTTTCCATTGATACGAATGAAACTATGTTGGTCAGCACGATGTATTGGTGTTCAAAGATTAGTTCCTTACATTCCAGCAAATATAGCGAAGAAGCACGCCCCAATGATGTAGATGTTGCACACGTATCCCGCTCCTGACACAGTGAGGTTGTAAACCACTTGGATGTAGGAAATGAAGTAAGAATCTAGACAGCTACATTGGATGAGCACTAGGGCTAGAGGTAGACGCTTGGAGATGGGAATCCTGCTCACAAAAAGCTGATGAATAGCGTTCCCCCGGCTAGACATCCTCCTAGTACAGTCGAATTCAGCAGGCTGTGGAATGGTACTGTGCAGATCTGAGAAAGAAACTTTTCCCACATCACAAAAACAGGGAATAAACAAATGCCGAAACCAAGCATGAACGGCAGTTGAGGGGTCGTCGAAGATGTTTGGGACATTATCCCAAGGCTGAACGGTAATAGGAGCATCACAAATGTCACGCCAAGCAGAATAGCACCGATAACTAATAATGGAGTCAGTCTCTTTAAGCTTGCAACGGGAGAGTGATTCACACCATCAGACTCTACCAAATATATCTGAGCCAACTTCCATCGTGCTCGATGACTTGTCTTAGGTTCATGTGCCGCACCTGCCACTCTTTGACGGCGTCCGAAGAGAATTATGGATGCTGGCATGCAGACCACGGGCAGAAAGATTGCAAAAAGTCCATACGCCCAGCGCCAGGTGCCACGTTCATGGAACCTCTGTGCAGCCACAGGGCCCACGAATGCATTGATGAGGTGTGGGAGGGTGCTGGTCGCGAAAATCCAAGCTCGGTTCTTGATAGAAGATATATCCGCCATAGCAACCAGGAGGACGTACGATATTGCGTCATAGCCAACCCAGCATAAAGTCTAATTTTTCGGGTTAAGTCAATAAAGTAAGTATGAGGCATGTCAACTAACCTGTGCTACCATGAAGACTTCCACGGTTTTAGACGTTGCCGCCATGATTAAACCTGAGAATACTTAGCAGATTCTTCAACGATCGTGATATGTCATACCAGTTATTGTTATAATGACAATTGCTGTGAATAATTCAACGCGTCCCCAAATATCACTTCCTCTGGACATAGGCAACTTGATTACCGCACCGATGATACTGGAAATAAGGCCATTGGTTGCGGTCAATGGATGCTTGTCAAAGGTACTCATGGTGTGAGCAATGAGGTGATTGCTGATTTGTTGTTGAAGAGAAGTGACAAAAAAGAGGAGAAATATACTACAAATGTTAGGCCTCTACCAGGTACGCTCATCACAGGGATCAACCACCTACCTGATGTATGCCAAAGCCAAACGTCTCTGGCTCCACGGTACATTTTGATGCCCTTGGTTGTGTGGTCGGCCTTGTGTAGTCTCATGAAAGGAATTACCGCCGTCAAATTGGTTGGAGGCGGGCTTTGCCGTTCCTGGTGGTGCTGCACCGTGATGCGCGTATGGAGACCCTGCTTCTAGGCCGATGGGCGAGGCCTCTGGGATCTCCGGAATATCGGAGAGTCCTTGACGATACACGCGCATAGCGAATGCTGGGTGCTAGGAATGCTCGATCAATGCTTTTCCGTCGACGCAGAGGAAGTTGGGACGATCACCGGTTACGACAAGGAGACAGCGGTAGTAACAAGGAGATATCTATATCACTCAAAAGTAGGAGTCATAGAGGCACAGACACGTTCTGGGGGGTAGCGTATAGCGTTCGACCTGTCTGGATACTAATAATGAAATGGCTTGAGAGAGAATGCAAAGTATATCCAAGACCGAGACTTGTTGTGGTGCATTGCAAGCAGCCGGGCAGGAATGGAAGGCGCCTTCCTAAAGAAGACTATACACGGTCACCTGACAAAGAAAGTAGGCCGGCATCTTTCGTTCACTCCAAGTCTGAATCATGAATTATGTTAACACAGCAAAAGACAGATAAGTGAGAGCTTCATTATTGGTCTAGTTCACTATTTCCTTGTATAGCTAATACCATGCTACCGCTGATGCAAGAGCAGACATACACAAATCATGTCCGAAGCAACCTGGAACATACGCTTTCATGATGTCGCCGTTCACATAAGCACATCTTGTTGTAGTGGATCGCAATTATTGGCCACACACATCATAAGTACTATAAAAGCCCTCGGTGCAGTGACATGAGGAATGACCAGTTCATCGTGTCAGCGTAATACATCACAGGGAAATCAGATGTCCCTCGGATTACCACTATGTCCATTGAGCTGTAACATTTTCCTCCACCGAGAGGTACCAGTTCGTTGATACGAAGTATCTTCTTCCTTCTGTGTCTCAAAAGTACAACGGGGTCGCCAACGGTTGCAGAGCGGGATCTCATACATAGAGGAAACGGATTTCCAGCCACGAGACAAAATGAATATGTTCCCCATGCAGATAATTGCTGGCGGGCCCACTGCGGATCTTTGTAGTTGATGAGCCGATAAAATATGTAGCCCGTCTAACTTCATTTGGTGTTTCTGAAAGCAGGCTGATGCTCCATGGTCTGGGAGATGAACCCTCTGAGCGCTGCCCATCGGTTTGATGTTGAGGTTGAGTTCGATTCTGTCACTGTTGTCTTAGGGCTATCCTTTTGTGGTTTCGGGACGTTGTGTTCAAGACTGGTCATCTGCGCCATGTTTTTCATGAATCGGCTTCGCTCGAATTGCTCCATTTTCTCTTTCCTTTTCATAGCCCCCGGGCGGTGTTTTAATGTCTTGTGTTTTATGATATGGGCTTGGTTAATATCCTCAGACGCGTTCTTATCGTCGGCATCGGGAAGGGCATCGGCGAGGGAATCGAGGCTGGCGACAAGCTTTTTTGACGGCCGTCGACGCTTGACTGTCTTCTTTTGAGACTTCGCCACCTTTGAAATGAAAGTTGAGTGCTTGATCAGGCGCTTGTCCTTTTTCGTTGTGCGAAAGTCATCTTCAAACAAGCTGTGATTGACCGAGGGTATCGTGCCTCGGCCGCTAGATGCCTTGCGGTTTGCTGGACGAACGGGCGCCTTACAAAGGAAGTCAGCATGATATATTGCGATGATCGATTTGCCACACTTCGATTGCATACCATTGTGAACAATTTAGAAAACTGGAAATTCAGAACGCACGTGTCAGTCGTATAAAAAAATTTCATGTGTTGCAGCGACTAGTAACGGCAGAAAAAAAAATGAAGTGGCTGAGGCGGGGACGGTTTCCCGAGCAAACCAGGCAAAAAGGCATGTGACGTCGATTGCATTGGCTGGAGGAACAGTTCCTTTCGCAAGTCAACAAATCCAGGCCTAACACCAGCGACAAACCAGGAACTGTGATATCATCGCAATTTATGAATTACTACAAGTGCGCGTCACATGCCACCACTGTAAAATTCTCTTTTAAATCTTCTTCTTATCTCTCCAGAGGCCCCTCCAAGCGATCCCTGGCCACCACTGCCCCCTTATTAACCGCCTCTGCGTCGCGACCCCTCCGTGATACCTCAAGGCCTCTAGGCAAGAAAGAACAACCCCGGTTCCTAAACCCTCAAAATTACGCCAAAATGTTGCTGTCTACGAACTCCAAGAAACATAAAGTGACCGTTGTTGGGTCTGGTAACTGGTGAGTGCAGCGCTTTCCAGCCACATCGGTTTTGCATCAAAAAAGATTTCCCGTCTAACTTTGTCCGTTAGGGGCACTGCAATCTCGAAAATTGTCGCCGAGAATACGTTACAGCACAGTGACATATTCCAAGAAACAGTAGAGATGTGGGTGTTTGAGGAAAAGGTGGAAGTGCCGAAGGATTCGAAGCACTACAGTGCCTCCGACCCTCTCTGCCAAGGCACTCAAAATTTAACGGAGCTCATCAACAAGTACAATGAGAACGTGAAATACCTCCCGGGAGTCCCTCTCCCCAAGAACCTTCATGCGAATCCGTCGTTGGAAGACGCTGTCAGAGACTCCTCGATCCTGATCTTCAACCTCCCACACCAATTCATTATCCGCATCTGCGACCAGCTCCAAGGGAAGATATTGCCTTATGCTCGAGGCATATCCTGCATCAAGGGTGTTGACGTACAAGAAAGCGGGGTTAGTCTGTTTTCCGAAACCATTGGCAAGAAACTAGGAATCTACTGCGGCGCCCTCTCTGGTGCCAATATAGCGAACGAGGTGGCTAAAGAGCTCTGGTGTGAAACCACCATCGGCTACGACCCTCCTCCCCTTGACTCCAAGGCCCCTACGCCCGCTGGCGGCACACCCTCTCAATCACAGGTAGACATCGTCTCTTTCGAACACAAGGATACCTCTGGTCAATATTCTAAAGTGAAACTTCGGCCTCTACCTATCGACTACCCACCGATCGACCACGGCCTTTTCAAGGCACTGTTCCATCGCCCTTATTTCCATGTACGAGTTGTGAGCGATGTAGCTGGTGTTTCTCTCGGAGGAGCCCTCAAGAACATCATTGCCGTCGCAGCCGGCTTCGTGGACGGTTTGGGATGGGGTGATAATGCGAAGGCTGCAGTCATGCGTGTCGGTTTGTTGGAGATGGTGAAGTTTGGTACTCAATTCTTCGCCAACTCGATCGATACAAGGACGTTCACCGAGGAGAGCGCCGGTGTTGCCGACCTCATCACTAGCTGTAGCGGCGGGCGAAACTTCCGTTGCGCAAAGCTCAGCGTTCAGCGCAAGGCTCCCATTGAGGAAATCGAAAAGCAAGAACTCAACGGCCAGAAGCTCCAAGGTACCCTGACCGCCATCGAAGTCAACAAGTTTTTGAAGAATCAAGGCGTGGAGAATGAATATCCATTGTTTACTGGGGTTTATCGTAAGTCCCAAGGCTCCAAACGATCGCTCCTGGCAGGGTTTTTCCATTCAGCTGACCTCAAAATAGGCATCCTACAGGGCGAAATGAAGGTGGAGGAAATCCCCAAATGCCTCGAGTGTTGATTGCAGTTGTCAAAAGTGATTATCTGGCGGGGTCTCTGCCAGCAATGGCATTGTTTTGGTCCTTCGGCATTTTGGCTATTTCCCCCTATTACCTACCTAGGTAGTGGGTGGTTGGAGTTTGGGGGTTTTCTAGATACATTCGAATAGAACCTCGGGGAGGAAGAGACTAGGAGAGGCAGATATTGAATTATATACTGATAGAACGAATAGACATGCACGATGATAATATAATGTGTGAGTTTCTTTCTTTTTTTTCCCTCTTTGCTTCGTGCCTCAGGCGTGCCAGTTAGGTGCCTGGGCATGTGTGATGATGTCATGCGCGGTCTGGCCCCGCGGGCAGTTGCGGCCTGGGGAATCCGTCCATCACGCGGGGAGGACCTCTGACCAAGGTTGTGCTGCAGAGCTACCACTGTCAAGCCAGCCAGTCAACTCTTCATCTAATGACCCAATTGCTTTAAATTTACTTGATTTCCCTCGACTTCACATGTTTGCGCAACTTCTCTCCACTCGACCGTAGCCATTAACTCCCACGAGCTCCCGCGAGCGCTATTCTCCCATTACAAGAATGGGTTCTACACGCCAGGTCTATCTTCTGCCTCTGAAAGATGATGGTACACCCGATGTACCGGGCGGTTATATCTATCTGCCTCCTCCGACATCCCCCGCGTACTTGTTGCGCTTCGTGATTGAAGGCACAAGCTCTATCTGTAGGGAGGGCAGCTTGTGGGTGAACATACCGGAAGAAGGCGCAGCTTTTGCTCGATCAAGCTTCCGTCAATTCAGGTTAGTTGGGTGGAATTTCATTATGCTGTTCAATGAAAGATGCTCAATTTCAGTCATAGTCTTCAACCGGACTTCAACAAGGATATTCACATCGATGTGCCCATAACCCAGGCGGGTGCGTTCGCCTTTTATACGACCTACTCGCCGCTTCCGAATTTCACCGCTTCGAATCTACCTTCGCCAAAGCAGGAAAAGACTGGCCTCCACTATGTCGACGTGTCACCATCATTGGCTCTGCGAGGCGTGAACCTACCCTTGGATGCGCTTTCCATATTTTCAGTTATATCTAAATTCATGGGAAAGTACCCAACAGACTGGGACAATCATTTACGCGGTATATCGCTACGAAACTACAACATGATTCATTTTACACCACTGATGAAACGAGGTACATCCAATTCACCATACAGCATCTACAATCAACTAGAATTCGACACAGCCTCGTTCCCTAACGGAGAGAAGGATGTCGCAGAGCTAGTCAAAAGGATGGACCAGGAATACGGTCTGTTGGCAATGACCGACGTTGTGTGGAATCATACAGCGAACAACAGCAGGTGGTTGGAAGAGCACCCGGAAGCTGGATACAATATCCAAACAGCACCATGGCTAGAAGCTGCTCTAGAACTCGATAATGCACTGCTCAAGTATGGTAATGGCCTGGAAAGCCTCGGTTTGCCCACCGAGTTTCGCAGTGTTGACGATCTCTTGAAGGTTATGAGCGGGATGCACAAGCATGTCATTGACGAAATCAAGCTGTGGCAATTCTACGTTATAGACGTGAAAGAAAACACTAGCCGAATCGTAGAGGAGTGGACAAAGAGTTCAGAGCCAGTAGAGCTCATTGTTGATGTTAAATCATGGAGTCTAAAGCAAAAAGCAGACTTCATTCGCCAACATGGTCTTCCGGGAACATCTCGACTTCTCGGGAGGTTCTCCAGAACTGTGGATAAGAAGGTGGCCTCACGCTTGCTTATTTCTCTATTTGGGCCGAAAAGCACAAGCTCGACAGACACATCTACGGTTGAAGCAGGACTAACACAAATCCTTGACGAAGTTAATCTCCCCTTCTATAAGGAGTATGACTCGGATGTTACAGTAATATTAGATCAAATATTCAACCGGATCAAATACGTTAGGATCGATGAACATGGGCCCAAACTAGGGCCGGTCACCATGTCCAGTCCACTGGTTGAAACATATTTTACCAGACTACCTGTCAATGAGACCACCAAGCGTCACGATTCTCGATCGCTAGCATTGGTCAACAACGGTTGGATATGGAATGCCGATGCTATGAAAGACAATGCTGGGCCAGACTCTCGGGCCTATCTCCGCCGAGAAGTTATTGTATGGGGAGACTGTGTGAAGCTGAGGTACGGCTCATCTCCTGAGGATAATCCATTTCTCTGGGACTATATGGCCAAATACACACGGCTTATGGCGAAGTACTTCTCTGGTTTTCGAATTGACAATTGCCACTCCACTCCGTTGCCCGTGGCCGAGTATCTCCTTGATGAGGCACGTAAAGTCAGGCCAAATTTGGCTGTCTTCGCTGAGCTCTTCACAGGGTCTGAAGAAACTGACTACGTCTTTGTCAAACGTCTCGGTCTTAGTGCGCTTATTAGAGAAGCGATGCAAGCGTGGAGTACCACTGAAGTTAGCCGGCTAGTACATCGACACGGGGGACGACCGATTGGAAGCTTCGAGTTAGATCTTCCAACAGGGTCTTCTGGGACATCAAAGGAAGGAGAAATTGTCGTCCATATTCGTCAGAGTCCTGTCCACGCCTTGTTTATGGATTGCACACATGATAACGAAGTTCCGGCTCAAAAAAGAGATGCAAGAGATACATTGCCCAATGCTGCACTTGTCGCAATGTGTGCTTCTGCAACTGGAAGTGTTATGGGATATGACGAAATATATCCCAAACTTATTGACCTCGTCTCTGAGACACGTCTGTATTCATCCAAATTCTCTGAGAGTGCTTCGATTGAAGTGGGTCCGGGTGAAGGTGGCATTGGTGGAATCAAGAGACTTCTAAACCAGCTTCATACCAAAATGGGTAAAGAAGGATACGACGAAACTCATATTCATCACGACGGGGAATATATTACCGTTCATAGAGTGCACCCAAAGACAAGAAAAGGTGTCTTCTTGATTGCGCATACCGCATTCCCTGGGTACGGAAATGGAAATGGTTCTCTTGCGTCGACTCATATAACCGGTACTCATGCAAAGCTTATTGGAAGCTATAAGCTGGAAGTGGATAATAGTGAAGAGTCACGAAGCAATGCCTTAGAAGACAAAACTTCTCTACGAGGCCTACCTAGCAGGGTGGTTAGTATTGAAGGTGCTTCTGTCAAAATCGAAGGAAATGACTCTAGTATATCTGTGACAGAGAGCTTGGTCCCTGGATCCATCGCCCTACTTGAGACGTGGATCCCAAGTGCTGAACACGCAGATGGTTTGGATAATTACATAACTAGCGGTGCAGATGAGGCTTTCTCAAAGCTTGATCTGATCGATCTCAACTTCTTCTTGTATAAATGCGAAGCCGAAGAAAGGGATTCTAGTGACGGTAAGGATGGGGTTTACAACATTCCTAATCATGGACCCCTGGTTTATGCTGGCCTTCAGGGCTGGTGGAGTCTCCTTGAGACGATAATTAGATATAATGAATTAGCACATCCACTTTGTGACCATTTACGCCAGGGTCAGTGGGCTTTGGATTATATTGTGGGCCGCTTGGAAAGAGCGGTTAGTCAAGACATCTATATTCGTCTGGATTCCGCAGCATCATGGCTACGAAAACGCTTCGATGTTGTCAGGACATTGCCCAGCTTTCTGCTTCCGCGATACTTTGCCATTATTGTGCAAAGTGCATTCACGGCAGCATGGCGACGGGGTATTCAATTATTCAGCGAGAATATTCAGCATGGACAACAGTTCATCCATCAGCTAGCAATGGTTAGTGTGCAGCAGGTTGGCTACGTCAAGTCGGCATCGGTGTGGCCGACCAAGAACGTCCCTAGCCTTGCTGCTGGTCTTCCACATTTTGCCGTGGACTGGGCACGATGCTGGGGTCGTGACGTTTTTATCTCTCTTCGCGGCTTGCTTCTCTGCACCGGCCGCTTTGATGAAGCTAAAGAGCATATATTTGGCTTTGCCAGCGTTCTCAAACATGGAATGATTCCTAACCTTCTTAGCAGCGGAAAACTTCCTCGGTACAACTCTCGAGACTCGGTCTGGTTTTTCTTACAAGCAATCCAAGATTATACAAAGATGGTCCCCAATGGCATACACATTTTAGACGAAAAGATCCCTCGGCGATTTTTGCCTTATGATGATACTTGGTTTCCACATGATGACCCAAGAGCATATTCCAAAACCTCAACGATTAGAGAAATTATCCAGGAAGTTTTCCAAAGACATGCATCGGGACTTAGTTTCAGAGAGTACAATGCTGGGCCAGCGCTTGATGTTCAAATGAAATCACAGGGCTTCCAGATAGACGTCAAGGTTGATTGGGAAACCGGCATTATATTTGGCGGCAGTCAGTTCAACTGCGGCACGTGGATGGATAAGATGGGTGAAAGTGAGAAGGCCGGCAGTAAAGGCTTTCCGGGAACTCCGCGAGATGGGGCGGCAATAGAAATCACTGGTCTATGCTATAGTGCTTTGCAATGGGTCGAAAAGCTTCGTGCAGACGGAAAATACGAGTATGAGGGCGTTGACATCGGAGAAGGCAAATCTATCGCGTTCGCGGAATGGGCATCGCGAATCAAAAAGAACTTTGAACGATGCTACTACATACCTCTTGATAGTAAAGATGACGACAAATACGACATCGATTCCTCTATCGTCAACCGACGAGGAATATACAAAGACCTCTACAAGTCCGGCAAACCCTACGAAGACTACCAACTCCGGGCCAACTTTCCAATTTCCATGACCGTCGCACCTGATCTCTTCAATCCCGACCATGCTCTTCATTGTCTCTCAGTGGCCGACTCTGTGATACTAGGCCCTACAGGTGTCGCTACCCTCGATCCATCAGACTTCAACTATCGGCCCAACTACAACAATTCAGAAGACTCGACCGACTTCACAACCTCAAAGGGTAGGAATTATCACCAAGGACCCGAATGGCTCTGGCCTCGGGGTTACTTTTTGAGAGCTCTGTTGCATTTCGACTTGTTGCGTCGAAAAACCGCACATGAGCGCACGGAGACCTTCCAGCAGATCACTAGGAGACTAGAGGGGTGCAAAGTAGCCCTCAAAGAAAGCCCATGGAAAGGCTTGACAGAGTTGACAAATCAGAATGGGGCTTATTGTGCAGATTCGGTATGTAACTTTTGAAAATAACCAGTGCTTTGCCCTTCTTTCCCCCACTCATAGTTTTACTAACTTCCTGGGTATATAGTCTCCCACCCAGGCATGGTCAGCAGGATGCCTTCTTGATGTCTACTACGACGCTTCGAAAGTAACTTCTCATTAGAACAGGGGAGAGGACTAGCTGGATCGTGCACCATGTTTAGCCGGTGTTCAGGTTCACAGTGAAAGAAGAGCTATATACACGCATCGAAAAGAAGCTCGCATAAATATCACTTCCTTAATTATAATTATTGTCATCATTACTATTCATGTTTCTCGTGTTCGGAACGAATGTACCTAGGTATTTGTTGTTTCAATTTTTGGAATATATAATATGAAAACTATGGCATGACACTACACAGCATCGCTAACTAGGTGCACCCATATGGGCCTTGTTCTCCTATAATAGCTCGGGAGAATTCGCGGAAGCACGTTCAATTGCTTGCTATTCTACCTGCCTAGATACTTAGGTACGACGTAACTTGGAATGAGAAATCTGGATAATGTATACGAAACAAAAGTTGATTGTAAGAATGCTTGCATTGGCTGTTATGGCCAATAGGGTATATAGATACGTAAGATACTGTATATAACTTTATACAGTTTTATTGTGCCTTGTCTAGCAATCGCCGTAGATAAATACAGATAATCAAGACATATGCAACGCTTGCTTTGAAATAACAATAAAAGAAAAAGAAAAAGAAAGCGACAGTGAAATAACCCAAGATCTAATTTTTGCCTTCTTTCGAAATCCACGATAGCCGTAAAATGAATACACAATATGTTGTATGTATACCAAAGTGAAAAGTCTATCATTAACGCCAGCGCCCAGCAGAGGGCTTAGGTGAGGATGTGGACCAGACGGTGAAAAACTTTCTGATTTCCTGAGGATCGTAAGATGCAATATCATGGAATTCCGCGGTATCACAACTGTCGTCAAGGTCGCAGCCGGGCGTAGATGGTGCCGTTGCAGCACGGTTCGGGGGTGTCCATAGACCTTCTCGAGCGCCGAGTTCGGGGATTTTCAGATCCATAATGCACGCCGCAAATGACTGGCGATGGCTGTTTCTGCCGATTGATGCAGTTGTTCGCCTTGATGGCGAAGTCAGAGATGTTGTAGATGACGATACCTCAAAACCATCTACACCGCAGTCGTTATTGGTAGAAAGGGTATTGTTGTCCTTCCATACACTCAGGAGCTTCCGATCAAATGCCGCCGGTTGACTCAAGTGTTTCCGCTTGCGTGTAGCCTCGACGGGTAGTGGTGACAAAAGGCCGGATTCCGCGCGATTCTTAAACGATGCAGATCCGATGCTACCGTCCGAGGAAACATTGAAGGATTTGACAGCAACATCAGCAGCCGGTCTTGTCTTGGATGTGTGTGTATCAATGTCAAAAATACGAGCTTCACCAGATGAACCAAACGCCCAAACGCGGACTCCACCACTCGATGTCTGAACTGAAAAATCAACGACCTTATCCATGCGTCCAATTTCCTTGCCATAGATCTTCAAAGGCCAGAGCATGGCTGTTGGTCGATAACTGACTCGCAACAAGAACTCCCAATCGCCATTCTGATTTTGTGCCAGACTGCCACGTCGTTTCGAATTACGTTCATTATCCAGAAACCAATCTCGTGCCAAATCACTATCGCCCATCACATTATCACCCTGTAGTTCTCGTTCCCGTCGAAGAACATTATACACGTCGACAGGTACAGTGTAGAGCACGAGACGATCTTGGTAAGCAGCCACGATGCGGAGGCCCCAGCTCAAGTCTGACCCCACGGCAAAAACTGTAGGAATGCGTTCTTCCTTTGACTCGAGGCCGTCCGAAGGTGGTATACAGATCATGGCCCGTGTCAAATTCGTCGGACCACCGATTGGTGCATCAGAGCCAATACAAAGAAGACCGGTGACAGGCTCAATAAACAGAATATGCAAGCCATCATTAACCGGCATTGCGCGGTAATGATGACAATGTGTTGCTTTTACTAGACTCAAGCGGCCATTCTTGCGTGGAGTCCAATGCGTGAATGAATTGACTCGAGAAGACAGATGAAATTGGCAAATGACGTCCTCTCCGTTGGCCGCGCGATAGCACTGACATCCAGAGGCACCTGGGCCAGCCAGGGATGATATCAAGCGTAATTTGGAAGCCTCGTCTATCTCCACACGACTTGGCAAAAAATGTAAAACTTCTGCTGGTTGCGATAGAGGGAACAATTTCCTAGAGTCTTCCTGTGTCTTTTCATCCACCCAATGCAATTCAATACCGGATCCGCATCCAAATGCCACGCAACGACGGCCAGGACAGATTGACACGCTGCGAGGAGGATCCTCCAAAGAGCAGATATCGTGGAAATATTTCCTCGGTGCCCTCGTCAAGCGATTCATTACGCGACAAGAGGAAACGGAACGAGAGGTCAAAGTTGGCCGCCTATCTGGGTTCAAAGCATGCTCAATTATTGCGCTAGAGACTATGACTTCGCGGAATTCGCTGATATTTTGAACCTGATCTGTCGAAAGCTGCTCTGTAGTCGAGGAGCCTTGGTGTAAAAGAGGTGACGCGTGTTCCGTTGGTAGATGTACGGGAACTCCTTTAATATCACAAATCATACCAACCCTTCCTCGTAATAATGCGGCAATCACAAACTTTGGTGTGCTAGTATCAATGGCCGCTGACAATACTTCGTACGGGCATCCAATGCTTGACACAGGTAAGATGTCTAGATCATTGTCTCGTAGTATTGCTTCCGCCGTTCTGGAGTCGGATAAACGACAAGGTAGAGTATCACCACTGTTTCGATTCCCAAGATAGTACACGTAGATCATACATCCCGTAGCAATGAGTACATAGTGACCACAAACACTGACACTGAACTTGATGGAACGAGAGAAGGCCGGATCTCGAAGTGCAGCTGTCAGTCTTGGTGCAGAGCCGGTAAACATATCGCGTGACAAGCCCGGCGATTCCTTTGGCAAAGATTCACGCGATAATTGTCCGAAATCCACCATTCCAGTTGGTAAAAATCCGCTCTTCTCGACATTCACTTTTCGGCCAGATAAGACACACTCGGTTGCGAAACGCTTGCTCAGTCGCCAGACCAAACTTTGCTCCACGCCGTTGGCAGGCCGATACGTTTGACAGTCTCGCCGCCATGCATCCCACCAACCGGCCCTCTTTAACATGCTCTCGAGAAGAGCTTGCTGTAAACTGGCACGCATCCATTGCGAGCATGTTCGCCTAGCATTGTCAAAATCTCGTGGGCTTAGCAAGCCATAAATCTGATCCAATATCTCCGGGGGTGCGCGATTTGCCGCTGGAATTTGTTCTGTGTGTATATGAGTAGCGGCACGGTTACTTTGCCACTCCGATTCGGAAGAGGGTGTTTGACTTCGCGACAAATCGAGACTAGAACTACCTGGGCTCGACGTATCATTCTCAGAGGAAGCCGTATCTTCGGAAATGCAAGGCGAGGACGAAAGGTATTCTCTCAAATTGTGATCCTTGGAATGTGAAGTGGGAGTGGCTGAGCGGTGATCGGATGCATTCAGGGCAATAATATCTGATGTGCCATCTATAGAATGTGGCTCTGTGGCGAATTCGGGGAAAGGTTCTGTTGCTAGATCCCAGTTATCCGACCAACGTGAGGGTTTCTGGGGTAGTGTGTTGGAATGAGTTTGGCCGCTGGACGCTGTCCACCAAAGAGGCGCCATTGGCGCACCGTGAATATTGCTCGACATGGTGGGATATTATGGTTATATTATGTATGCAGAAAACGCATATGTCGACTTTCGTAGGAAGTCTCGCCGATGTATATATATGCTATATTTAGTACAACCGATCAGAACTTGAGACGATTTGAGTTCGTGACAATCGTAGCGAACCGGGTCGAAAAAGGAGCTTTCGGGGTTCGAGAGAGTGGCGTTCAGGTTGTGTCTTTTGAATAGGGATCGAATTTGATAGTATGCAGACAACAATTGATGCCGAAACTATTCGAAAAATGAACTACCCATTTAACCAGGCGAGGACACAACGACTAGGAAAAGGGGCCAGCTGTGAGCTGTCTTCTGCATTTCCGGGTCAAAGTCAATGCGACTTTCTGTCTTTCAAGCCTTTTCCCCTGTCCAGAGACGCACTGACAAGCTACCAAAATCAGCAGGTCACGCGCAACATATCCCGGGAGATGGCTTATTGATTTTAGTCGGTGGCGCCACAGGACAATCAATCCCGAATCCAACAGCTGTGTTGGCAGGAAACGCAAATCGAAGTAAGACTACGAAGAAATAAAGAAATGGCGGAGAACAACAGCTGCAGCGAGCAAGTGCTGGATGTATTTAAACCTCTCGGTGCGATCAGTATGCAGCGAGCGCCGCTTACATGATGAGCAGCCAATCCGATTTAGGTCGAGTGCAGCGTCCTGACGAGCGGCCCATAAAACGGGTAATTAGGCCTGCAAGTGGACCCATCGCAGCGAGCAAGGTGGTTCTCCCCATGGTCTCTGACTGGCCGGGGGGATTCACGATGGTGAAGGACATGTCAAAGACCATGGTCCGGCTGACGTCGATACAGTGAGCCAACATGCAGAAAAAAACTGGGGACGATGGAAGAAGGCCAATACATATCAGACGCTAGCTCAAGCTCACTGGCGACCCAGAGACGAGGCGGACCCGCGCTAGAAAACGAAGCCGAGAGTCGGAAAAGAAAAGCATATTCTGGCATCTGCGAAGATCCACTCTTGATACGGTGCAGATGCTAGTAGTGATCGGAAGACTGAAGGCTGAAGGAATGAGAGAGTTGTGTGCGTGAGTTGAGAGAGTTGAGAGAGTTCGGATAGACCGAGCTGTTTCAAGTGAAGGCGAGGAAGGAAGGAGGCGAGACCGCCGCCCGGCGGCAGTCGCGCATCTAGAAGATTGCCTAATTAATCAGGCCAGCCAATCGCTGCTGACCGCCCGGCGCTAGGGCCAGTGTGATCTCATCTCTCTCTCACACCTCTTAATCTTACTACGTACGGCGTATCCCTTTGTCTGCACGGGATAACTCTTTTTCTTCCCTTTGCTCATCCCGAAATGAAATTTACCTTTTCACAAAGCCCAGTCTAGACTCTCTCCATGCGAGGGCGCGTGGAGTGTTGTAAGACACCCGAGGAATGCGGCCAACCGTTCAAGCCTGACGCCGAATGCAGACGAGACGCCCGAGTCTATTATTCATATACAGCAACACCTCGATTGCTGGCAACCCATTGCTGATTTTGCAAGCGAACAACGAGCCCACTGCATACAGACGTACTCCGCATAGAAAACTCGCAGATCATTGCGGATCTCACCTCAGCGCGGAGGGCGGGCGGAGTGCGGGCAGAGCAGTACAGTAAGCAAGCGGCGAGCTGACGGGCCTGAAACCTAGAAGGCTAAAGCATCTTGCGCTAGAGGAGCTTTGCATGAATCCCTGCCAAAAGCCGCAGTAGCGCACGCCCGGTGGGTACCCCCCGTGTTGGGTTTCTGGCGTATGGCGATAGCCAACGCATGCGCCTAAGCTAGAGCTTGAACGCCATCATGCACTCGCAGTCGGTCGGTCACAGCACTCGACTCGTCTGAGAAATTAATAATATCTTCGCACAGGCCTTATCGATTAGCAACTTAATGCATATCGACAAGCCATTTGGCATCTCAATTCTACATCTATTGGACTACGTGACTGGCATCCGGGAAACGATTCCATGTCTGTCCATCATGCACCCTTTTTTTGTATCTGGAATGTGACATGTGCAGCTGAAACCCGGGCAAATCCGAAATAAGACATATACCGAGGTTTTCTGCCCTCAACGTATCCAACAAACGATATTGCCACTCCGTCCAACAAGGAAACAAGCAAGGACCCCAACGAGAGGTATGCCACATGCATGATGAGATAGTGTACATTCCGCAACCTCGCGTGCATCCCCAGCCACGCCGACCCAGGAATGTCTGTTTTTCGTCCCACCTGCAAGGCAGCATGCGATTGATGCCCTTGCGTTTTTAAACTACTACGGTAATTAGAAGCCACTTCGTAGGATTCACGTCTCGTAGCAACGCTTCTTTTCTTGCTTTCAATGTGATCGAGCGGATATCGTCGAGGTAGGACAAGAATGCGACATGCTCGTGGCGTGTACCATGTGGATGGCACATAACTGTCCAAACTTTACATGGTAATAGATCACCTCCACTAAATTTTTTTCTAGCACCAGGTGCGGAATAAAATAAATTCTATTAAAGCTAAAGGGAAATTGGATTTCCTAGGTATCCACACTCATCAAAAAGAAGTATCTAATATATATACTCATGAAACGAATGGCACGTTAGTGGTATCTCAGAAATGTGATAAAAGAAAAATCGTGAATAGAGCAAACGTTCAAAGCAACAAGTTGAGACGACTCAGGCGTGACGTATCAATTGACGATAGAGAGGGTGCGGAAGGACAAGGAAAGGGAAGGGAAAAGAGGAGAGAGGTGTTAGGGTCTTGTTGTACATTGTGGATTCATGTAGAAGCGTGTTCTATATATGATTAGGAGCCAGATAGGTTAGCTATTCTAACTCAATGACCATCACACGCTAACAATATTGGCGTCATCATCAAACGCACTGGGACGAATCACAATAGAGCCGTCACTGCGCGGAATCCACGCCCCGTCAAGAGGGATGGTGAGGTTTGGATTGACATATTTCTTTAACCGGAGTCCGATTTCGCGGCCTCCAATGAGGACGGGGAAAGAATCTCTGTCGAGACCGGACGGAGGCGACAGCAGAAGCGAAGAACTCAAGGATTCGCCGGAGTTGTTATCACTGCTCTGATCAGCTCGGTCTTTGTCGATGCTTCGTAAAGCGATGAATTTCATCAGAGGCTCGTAGGTGTGGGCGAAAAAATACGTGAACCACACCGTGGCTGCCAACAGAGGGACAAGGAGGAGGGATCTGGTGATTGCGCGTCGAAGTGCAAGGACACCGATCATCGCAATTTGGAACACCACCAAGCCCATGAAGATGCGGCTGCAAATCATTGGCCATGCTCGACCCGTTGAGTGTTGCTGGTGATCCATGGCATAGAGTAGCTGATACTTGTATATGAAATGGCCCAGGAAGAAATACACCAGTCCACAGAAACAGATCAGCCATGAGCTGGGAAACACGCTGTATACGACGCAGATCATGAAGATAAAAATCGTCTGGGGTATCGAGAAGCCGTAGCTGAATTTGGGTGGCGTTGACAGCTCCGCATATTCACGGGGCGTTTTTGCATGCAGAGCATGCACCGGGTACATGGCAACGCTTCCAAATTCTAATAACCGGAAAGGAAACAAGCCAAGCCCTTGAAGGATAATTAGATTAATGTAAAAGCGAGAAAGGCCTTCCAAGGATGTTGCCAGAGCGAATGCAATGGTCGTTGCATCTTTAAACGCGTTTTGCAGTTGCTGGAAAATACCGTAGAAACTAGATGCGGAACCGAGCACTGTGAAGAGGAAGAATAGGTTGAAAAATGTGAAGAAGAAATTTTTCGATATGACTGACAATTCCAGGTCTCCTCGAGAAGTCATTCCCTGGTAACTTGAAAGCCCTGTCCAACACCAGCCATTTTTAGAGATCAGCGACTTCAAATAAGAAATTGGTTGTAACTTACAGCTATACAAGTAGGGAACCGCAACCGTCAACAGAGACAGAGTGAGGGTTGGCAAACCAGTCTGCACAAGGGATGCAAAGATTGGATTCTGTGCAAGTAGATCCGCAAGCCCAGGAATGGCTTTGTGGAGCGTATTCAAATCCAAAAGAGACGCAATGGGAACCAAGAGGACAGACCAGAAAATAGTCAAAAAGCTGATAACCACCGTGATAAGCCATGATCGAGTAGTTCTCCTTGACCGTGGGAGGTACGTGTTTTCCCAAACAACGTCCGCTGGAGCAGGAGCAAGAGTTGCCACCAACTGCCTAGGATTGGGATCAATGATAGTCTGCACAACCATCTGACATGCAGAGATCGATTCCATCGTGACAAAAGCCAGATCGGTAGCTGGGTAGTCCTTCTGGCGGGCGGCGATGATCCTTTCGTCGATTCGGCGCAGCTTTTCTTCAAAGTAATCGATCGAATCAACAGTCTTGTATCGTAGGTTGAATGGACCATACCAAATTCGAGTGGTAGGTCGCTCATTACCGACACTACTAACACGAACCCTCCCATCCTCGCTCCCTAGAAGTTGCGAATGCTCCGTAGTCGCTTCAGACAGTATGCTAGCTGACCTAGGACGCGACGCCCGGATTAAGGGTAGTGTATCGTTATATCTCCTTCTTTGCTTGTAGCCAAGATGTCTGGTCCATGCACGTTCTAACTGCTTGAGAATTTTCTTTCGTTCATCCATCAATAAATCCAGCTCATGCCACTGGCGGCACAGAGTCACGGCCTCAACTTTCCCAATATCCAATTTCTCAATGATCTCTTGAATCCTCTCTTCAGAGCGCATCTCTGGAGGAACGCCCGACAATCTAATTGTGCGATCAGTTGTTGACGTCTGGCTTCCAAGGTATTTCTGTCGCGTTCGGATAATCTTGTTGGTTTCTTGAATGAGCAGGTAGATGGCGATGCCAGTAAATATGTAAGGGAAAAAGACATATATCCATAGGTAAGTGGGGTCAGTCTTGAGAGTCTTATCCCGGTCTCCAGCAAGCAGAGCTCTCGTGAATAGAGCCAGGTCGTTATCGTTACGGTCATCATCGTCGTCGTTGTCCCAGCCTGGAATCCCCCACCGACCAGCATATTTCAGATGTAATGGCATGATTATCAGAGTAGCGAGGACGAAGGTAGCTGAAAGAAATTTCATGGCAAATTTGAAGAATGAGAGAAGCTAAAGCCAGAAACTTGTATTAGCATGATTTTCCAGGCGGTTTTAGCGATCATTCCTGTTCAGCACATACAACATAGGCATCCAGTCCGGCAGATTCCAGAACCTCATCATCAGTAATTTTATACACCACTGGAATCCATCCAAAGAGACTGTCAGGCAGCTCAGGTAGGAAGGAGGCTGCATTGCGTCTTTTCCTTCTCGCGGCATAGAGCTCTGTCCATTTGGGCCGAAGAAGCTGTATGAAAATCCGGTTAGATACTCTGGACACGAGAAGGGAAAAGAAAAGTATATGCGACGCACACAAAATGATATAAAAGCACTTAGACCCAAAGTGACGCTAAGAACCAACTGCGTTGCCAAATCTCGACCCCCTCTTGCTTGGCTTGACCAGTCAATCGTATGATTGCCTGGGATTGTGGAGGTTTGCATTGTCGCAAGCTGAACTGACGTCGCGAAGCCGCCGGTAGACGTCATGTCGATCGACTGCGGTCTGTTTTCTAGGGACCGTTCAAGAAATCGCTGTTCGCTGTGAGCAAGGCATATGTGTATGATTCTGTTATCTCTTCCGCGCGTGAACAACGGTCGTTTCCCAATGGCCGCGGTAGTCCCCTAGTTGAAAGAAGCAACACGCAGACAGCAAAAAAGATTAATCCAAAGGAGAGTATTAAATATAATTATCGCATCGGCAGCACCAGCAAGTTGCAAACCGGTGAAGCTGCTGTCTTGTTGATTTGCACGACGTCGAGTTGGGCTTATTTCCTTTCCTTTTGTTTGCGCTATGACGAAAGCACATGTTTGCCTCAGGCTCTAGGCTTGTTTGGGGCTAGCGCAGTCCGTTGCTGTCTCCTGCTTACTAAGAACTGAAGGCGTTTCGGGGACGCACTGCCGGAATGAAAGTAAATCCGAGGCAATCACGGGACTGTCATCACGTGATGTCCCGATTAGGCCATTTCCTACCTCGACGTCCAAGCACCGCAACGCTCTCTCGCTCGTTCGCTGGGTGGGGTCATGTGATTTTTACCCTCCCTTTCATTCCGGCATTTATCGGTGATATACAATTCCGACCGGCTGTGAGTTCTTCCAAGTATTAAATTGCATCCATTACCCATCCGTCAATTTCACCCTTGTGTACTCTTTCCTAGAAATCAAATTCATTCCTCAAATTTCAAGTTTTGAACACCCGCAGGGAAAAACGATACAAATTTTTAGAGTTTTATGCTCTCTCTTGCAATAGAAATACGAAAAAACATATTAATTTTTGATGAGAAACTTCACTTTCTTATTTTGCTTTGACCCATCACTCATTATTGAGCAACGCCTTTTCCACTGACAGGATGCAGTTTCTGGCGTTGTCGAGCAGCTTGTGCCAGTCTCTCAAGGACCAACTCGGTATCTTCCCAGCCAATGCAGGCGTCTGTGACGCTAACGCCGTACTTGAGGCCGGCCTTGCCCTCTGGAGGTACCTTCTGGTTTCCTATAGCCCAAGTCAGCGAATGTGACATTGTTGTACGAACAGTGGTTAATGAAGACTTCCTGACTTACCTTCATTGATGTTGCTCTCGATCATGACTCCCATGATAGCTTGCTCGCCAGCAGCAATCTGCTCCGCCAGAACATCGGCCACCTTAGGCTGGTTCTTGTGGTTTTTCAATGAGTTTCCATGCGAGCAGTCTACCATGATTCGCGGTCGAAGGCCCTTCTCGGTAAGCTTCGCTTTCGCTTCAGCGATGCTCTGTGCATCGTAATTCGTGCCCTTGGTACCGCCACGCAAGATCACAAAGCAGTCGTCGTTACCGTCCGTTCCTACAATGGCCACAACACCGGGTTTTGTGACGGACAAGAAGTGATGGGGATGCTTGACGGCACCAATGGCATCGATGGCAACGCCCAACGATCCGTCAGTTCCGTTCTTGAATCCCACGGGAAAGGACAATCCTGACGCGAGTTCACGATGAACCTGTGATTCTGTGGTACGAGCGCCAACGGCACCGAGGGACAAGCAGTCGGCAGTATACTGAGGAGAGATGGTATCCAGCATCTCGCTGGCAATCGGCATGCCCTTGCTGGTCAAGTCGACGAAGAGCTGGCGGGATAGACGCAGGCCTTTGTTGATCTTGAAGCTGCCATCCATATCTGGGTCATTAATCAGACCCTTCCAGCCAACTGTCGTGCGGGGCTTCTCTAGGTAAGAGCGCATGACGATGAGCAGCGAGTCTTTGTGTTTTTCGCGAAGCTCTACCAAGCGATCGCAGTATTCTAGGGCCATTGCGGGGTCGTGAATTGAGCAGGGGCCGATAATTACAAGGAGACGGTTCAGAGGATCGGTGCCTTGGACTACAGCAGCCGCATCTCTACGACCTTGCAAAACGGTCTCCCTGGAGACTTCGGTAAGCGCAATCTCATGTTGAAGCAGGTTTGGAGGTGTGAGAGGGTTGTATCCGCGAACTGTTCACTCGGCTGTTAGCTGCCCATTCATGCGGTAGGGTAAATAAATGGGATAAAATTTTGAACGAGCGTACTTCGGTGGTCTTCGATGTTGCGGTCATTCCCCAGGTTGGGGTTATCTATGAAGAACTATTGATCGGTGGGTTAGTAAATGTATCCTGTAATCCATACTCTGCAATCCAGCGTGGAGAGTGAGGTATATATACGTTAGACTCTTGACTCACCGGCATTGTGCAGAAAGTGGACAAATGCGGGGAGACAAGTCGGCTTCGCAATTGGACAAGCTGGCTGGAACTTGGAAGGGGAAGTGAAAGTGAGCTCGACAAGAATTGGCTCTTTAAGTTTTGGTTGCGCAAGAACAGATAGATAAATTCAAAAGATTTTGAGCGAGAGTTTCGGAGGGAAACCGGTGATTATTCTCGGCGCCTCCCACGTGATATGGATGTGCTCCTTGTGTTGCAGAGATGGTATGTGACTCATAGCTCACATAACTTAGTTAACCAACAACGTTCTAACACCACGACTGCTTAACCAAGGTTGAATTATCAGTCGCGTCACTTCATTCTTTGTGATTGCGACGAAACATTTTTACGCATTAATTGGTGGTATTCGAATCGACGACTTCCTACCGAGGTATATAAATATATATACATTATAGGGATATAAAGTGTATCCCCTAGGTATCAACACTGCTACTCGTCGAACCCCTATTTGTACTATTTTGATTCTGCTGCATGTACACTTATGGAATCATGGCTAGCATTCGTCGCATGTCGAAAATAGTAGGCTACTAACAAATATTCATTTCATCCGCATCGATCACAAAAATGCGCACTCCGGCGTCGATTATCATCGTTCTCATCACACTATGACTGGTTCCAAAATCTACGAGCTCTACAGCTTTTGTAGAAGCATATCAATCACCTTCTGCCGTTCAATTACGTCCCTCTGCAGCTCAGTGACGTATTCGCTTTTGATAGCTTCGACCTTTTCCTGGTGTAACTTGACGGTATCTGCAGTCGCTTTGGCTAGTTTTGCTTCGAGATTTGGCTTGGCTTCGGTTGGAATGCTATTCAAAAAGTCGCCGTTCTGTTCATCGAGTGAACCTGTTAATTTCTAGGAATTACTTTTTAGTCAAGGGCCTTTCCTCGCCAAAGGACAACATGTCAATCACTTACCTGATTCTCGACCAATAATTGAGCGGCGAAGCTTCTCATGCTTTGTACGCTTTGGGGGGCCAATGGAGCACGATCCTTTGCTCCCATCTGTCCCTGTCCGTTCATGGCCACAGCTTCTTTTGAAACAAGGCCTTCAGCAACGCTAGGTTTCAGAGTGATAGCAGTATCAGGGACCACCGCCGGAGGAGAACTTTGGCCAGCTTTCTTGCTGGTATTACCATTCACTGTCTGTAGAGCGCCGGTCTCCTCCCGCGTAGTCTGAGGTTTCTTCGGAGAATCAACATTTTTGTCGATCACAACTTGTTTGGATGAGGCGCTTGCTGGTCTTCCAGGGCTATCTTGTGCTTTGCTGGAACTTTGACGAGTGCGCTTCAAGGCGGGAAAGAGGGGAGCGTCGCTGTCGCTTTGCTCATTTCCAGCAGTAGGCTCTATAGGAGAGCTATGGAGTCTCTTGCGAGAGGTGCCATCCTGGATTGACCGCGTAGTAGTCGGGGTCTCTTGCTGAGCTACGCTCGTTCCTGCTCCTGGATTTTCTATAACTGGTTAACTCATGATTTGTGCCCTAGCAATTGTTTGTCCATACCAGTAGCCTGGCTGTTTGCAGGACTGCAGGGTTTCTGCGGCTCTGGTGCTGGCTGAGGGGTACTTGAAGCCTCACGACGGCGCGGCCTGAAGTTCTTAAAGGCCTGCAACAGCTCTGAAGCTGCCTGCTCTCTTGTTTGCCTTGAAGGAGCTACGGCAGGACTGCCATTCAACGAAGCCATTGGATCTTTAGGAAGCAAGCAGAGTACCAGTTCAGAGAGGGTGAGCAGAGAAGGCAAACAGAGAAGATGAGGAGCAGAGGTGAGTAGTAGAGATGGAAAGCAGAGGTGAGGGGAAAAGGTACTCTTTTCAGCAGAGAAAGAAGTGAAACAGAAGGTTGGAGCAAGTTACCGGCATGGCCCTCACTTGTAGGCCATGGTGCCTGAGGCTGCAAGATAGACATCGACAGGTTGGGTTCAGTGAGGTAGACCCGAAGCACTGTAAGATATCATAATATTTTACTTTGAAGGGCAATTGAGTTTGAATGAAATTGACACAAATCCAATGAAGCATTTGCCATATGCAATTTGTGCCATATTCAATATCAATTTTGAAATTCTCTTGTAAGAACCATTTCTCGTTTTTGAAGCAATAAAGCATCATCGTGATGAACAATTTGTCTTGTTTGCTTGGTGTTGAGAGCGGCAGCCAATGGGCGCTACTCCAGCTTATCTCCAGATAAGATTGATTAATGATTATGCTTCACTCATCCCTTGCAAAGACCGAACTTACAATGATACAAATGCCCATAAACAGAAACAATGACTCCCTCCAAGAGAAATCCACCTCTTCCACGCACGCCAGCAGACCGGCTACAGCTTGCTCGGAAGCCGTCGTCGGTAGATGCTGACCCCAAACTCTACGAGAACAGAGCGATCATATTGAAGACATCTCAAGATTCGAGTCAGAGTACAGTGCTCTATCTAGCGTACGGCTCGAACCTGTCCGTCGAAACGTTTCGCGGGAAGCGAGGCATCGAGCCTCTTTCGCAAGTCAACGTCTGCGTGCCGGAGCTGAAACTCACCTTTGATCTCGCCGGGATACCGTATATAGAACCATGTTTTTCGAGCACCCATTATCGGACGAACGACTCCACAGATACTCCGGACAAGTTATACTACGGTGGCAGTGATGATAAAAAGGACAATGGGGAGAAAGCTTCCTTCCTGCTTGATCCCGAATCTGCCCTCCTCTACGGGCAGAAAGACTACCATAAAGACCGATGGCACAAGCCCCTTGTCGGCGTCGTGTATGAAGTGACATTAGAAGATTACGCACACATTATCGCAACCGAGGGTGGAGGCAGTGGCTACGAGGACGTCGTCGTTTCCTGCTTCCCATTTCCGAAGGATTATAACCCGAACGATCCAACGCCAGATGTTCCCCAAACAGAGTCGTTTATGGCGCATACGCTTATATCACCACCCAATCCAGAAAACAAGGGGGCCAAAAAGAGCCATCTCATTCGACCAATCCCGTCTTATGCGCAGCCATCAGCGAGATATTTAAAGCTAATAATGGATGGCGCGGATGAGCTGGATTTCCCGCATGATTATCGTGCCTATTTAGCATCTATTCGGCCATATAGAGCCACTACTCTCGGGCAAAAGGTTGGACAAAAGATCTTTCTAACGATATGGTTGCCACTGGTAATGCTATTGCTGGCGCTGGCGCAGTTGTTTGCCGACGACGAAGGAATCACTCCCGACTGGCTCGCAAAGGCACAAGTCCAACTTCATGAAACTATATGGACAAGTTATGATGTGTTTTTTTGTAAGAGGTTTGGGGACGGGGAGAGGACGATTGGGGATGATTAAGTATAGATATAGGCGTTCTTGAACGATATCACGGAAATGAAATTGCAAGGAATTTGTGAATACTGAACTAATAATCGAATCATTTGACAAAGGAAATAATCTAAAGTCTCAGATCAAGCTAATTTTGTGTCTATGTATACAAAGGAGTACAGGATACACCCCCCCCACCCCCCCTGTGCAGCAGAGAGACATTGTTGTTGTTGTTCTTCTTTCTTTCTTGGCATTTCTGTTTGTCGTCCGGGTAAAACTTCAAAAAGAAAAAGAGGGTAAAAAAAGGCAGCACAGAAGATATCCAAACGTACAGATACAGGGCTCTTCAGAGTGGTAATCAGCTTAGCACCACTGTCGGGGGTAAGCGGGGGCGTAGCCCGTCATCCATCGAAAAAAGAACTCAATGAGAGTTTAACGTCGCACTGGTGGGTTATAGACAATCTTTCGTGCCTTGATGGCAGCCCACTTGTATCGCTTGACCCACACGCTGATGGCAAACAATCCAGCAGAAAGAGCGAGGGCCTTCATTCCCATCTTCTTTCGCTCGTCCATCTCTGGCTCGGCGGCCCAGTTCAAGAATTCAACAACGTCCTTGGCCATTTGCGAGGTTGTGGCAGGAGTGCCATCTTCGTATTCGACAAGACCGTCGAACAGAACACGAGCCATGGCAATACCTGTATTTGTCAATTTAGCATGATGTAGCCCCTCTTTCAACAAGTGTATAATATATGAAACATACCGGTGTTAGGAAAGTAAGGGTTGAAGTTCAGTCCTTCTTGGACAGAAGCACCAGCAGGAGGTTCATCGGGGTAACCGGTGAGCAGAGAGAAGATGTAGTTGCAGCCACCATGACGAGCCTTGACGATCAAACTCAGATCGGGAGGAAGAGCACCGTTGTTGGCAGCACGGGCGGCCTCGTCGTTCTTGTAAGGGGCCGGCATGTAGTCAGAGAGCTTTCCGGGGCGTTTCTCGATTTCACCCTCGTCATTGGGCTCTGTGTCATATTCGTTCTCCTCAGCCATAGCCTTCATTTCATCGACGGTGTGCATGACACCAACAAAGTCACGCCATGGCACACGGGTGAGGGAATGGCAACTGGCGCAAACTTCACGGTAGACCTGGAAACCACGTCGAAGACTGCGAGACACATTAGCCTATCACAGTTGTTTGATGCGTCTGGCACACCACAGAGCCACCTACGCTTGATGATCGAAAGTCTTATTCCATTTGGCGTGTTCCCATGGGTACGAAGTTGCGTGCAATCTGTCCAAGGTTGCTCGATCAGTCATTGTGTTCGGCAATTATAACGAAGTTGTACGTGTGTAGAGTCAATTCACTCACCCTTCCTCAGCAGGAGTCATGGCAAACGCTTCCTGGCCATACAAGTGGTAGTACCAGCCGGTAGTCGCGATGGTGACGGCGGTGGCAGCGGCAGCGGTCGCAGTCAGATAGAACGGAGAGCTCGCGTTCTCAGCACCGGATGATGTGGATGATGCCCGCTGGATACACTGTTAGCAATCCTTCCCAACAACAGTCAGAGGCATGACTGGAAGCCATTGCACCACCGATAGACGCCCAATGGCAGGGCTGCGTACCGAGTTCTGACGGAGGCTCTGGCGTGCAATGGCCCGCGTGGGCGCGGCGCGAAGAAGGGATCGAGCCAGCATCGTTGCTACTTGCAGCTGGAGCCCTCCGTGATATAGACAGGAGATAGAGCGAAAAGAGCCGCGGCGGGTGGAGGAGGGGAGAAGACTTCGAGGCGGCCTCTTGGATGGCTTGAAGTTGGAAGTCCAAGTTGGAAGTTCGGAGCTTCGGGGCGGATGGAATTTGCTTTCGCTGATTACCTAAACGCTGATTGGTCGAGGGAGCGGCTCGCACGAAAACACCACGGAACACGCTACGACTGTCTATCAACTGTCAACTGTCAACCACAATAGCAATAGCAATTCTTCTTCTGGCCGCAGCAATGCAGGCTCTACGAATACAAGGGCATTGTGCAGACAGAATTGGGGCTTTTGCCGTATGGTCGTTCCTCACTACATTCGTCGCATGCCCTTGCCAGCTTCCCCTGGGGTGACCGTCTAATTGGCCGAGACGTTTCAATTTTGCAGTGAGATACTGTTCAACGATAATTATTATTCCCCTGAAGTAGATCCATTGTAATGTCTCTCCATCAATTGCTGCTTGCTTGAACATGCCATACTACCAGCTCTGTAGTCACCGAAGCCAATATTGCGCCCATTTTCTGCCACCGCCTTTCCATCACCAATAGGTAACTGGCATCAGAACCAGAACAGCAGCTGCAAGCTGCAAATAAAATAAATCCTCTGCCACTCAAGCTACCGTGCACATCGCTTCTTTCACAGAAATACAGATAGCCGAGCATATTTTTGTCGTTATCCAAAGATTCCTTATCGCGGGGCATGGCTCTCTCTGGTGAAGATCATTGATCTCATGCTTCTTTGCCGCTTGATGGCATCAGCCTCGTCGATCAGCGTATCAGTAGCGCGGGCTACATGGCAATATACCTAAACAAGTCAGTGACTGCCCGATAGAGGAGAAATGTCGAAGCCGAGGAAACCGCCAGTCTCTCGCGGTCCGCCGCGAAGAGATGTTCTGGCTTCTCTCAGAATGGCTTCAATGGAGATTATTGTGCCTGTTTTGCCCGCAGGTACGTTATTAGCTTGAAAGACACCGCAATTGATTCCTGAATATGTCGTCTAAGGCAAGAAAGAATTGCTCTCGCAGGTCCTCGACTATGTCGAACCGGCCGATCTCATTCGCTTCGCTCGGACGTCGAAACGCATGCGTGAAATGGTATACGAGGATGATAGGTGGATCACACGATTGAAGCGTATAGGCTGCTGGAATGATGAAGAGGCTAGGAGGAACGCAGATACTCAAAACATGACGATGGCATCTATGGGTCCAGTCGCTACTGGCAGACGACGTTCTAGTGCTCGCCAAAAGCCGCCTACCGACGGGTTCGACTCAATACCTGTATCGTCCGGCGTAGCAGAAAAAATTGAACAGGAAGATCCAACCGTGGAGATTTTGAAACATGTCAAATCAATACGTGGGAATGCGCGTCAGGAATACGGGAAGGTTCACGCTGTGCTAGCCCCGTTGTATAATGATATCGCGGCCAATGGAGGGTCTACCGATAGTTTGGTCTTCAAGCACTATAGCGATCCCGAAAGTCAAGCTAAGATGCTTGCTCAGCTGGTGTCCTTTGCAAATAGCGACAATTCTATTGGATGGGCGCAGCGCGAAGAGCACCTCCAGCAAGCAGTGCAACTTTTCGAGACAGCCGCAATACAGGAATTTCGAAACGCCTATGAAGTATCCGATATCAATGGCAATATGCGCAAATATGCCCACGTCTTATACCATCTTAATGGTGGCCAGGCTGCAATTGATCTCTTCCTCCATCATAATCACATAGTCACACGGAAGTCTGACCTCGGCAAGGTTTCGGATTGTATAGATACGGATACGTTGGACGTGAAAGTTGAGCATACACAAGCATTTTTCACACGGTTTGGCGTTGCATACAACGAAGAAATGGAAGCGATTGATGGGGCTTTCCCCCCAGCGTTAGAAGTGTCTCTATCTTTCCTTGACAAGGCAAGCGTCGACGTTCTATCACCGTTTTTAACAAGTCTTTTTGACGAATTGCATCGCTTAAATATAGAGGGTTATCTAAAAGGCGTGTCTGGAACACTGGTCCAATGCTTTGACCTCATGTCAGATTTGAAGATTCCTGGCAAGTCTAGTGAGATCAAACAAAACATAATAACGCGCGTCGTCGCTCAAATATATGAACCTCACTTGGATCTCTATCTGGCGGAGGAACTTGATTTCTTCCGCAAAGGCTGCGATGCCACTGTCGAGGATTGGGATCGGCAGCTCTCAGAACAGGCAGCATCGACAGAATCATTTCTCATGTCGAATGTGAATCGACAAGCTGTCAAGAACGACTTTTTGACCTCCTTCAAGAAGGTCCTTATGATGCCGGTTACTATTCTGCCTTTGCCAAACTTCTCAAATAAAACTCATCGGAACGAAGAGGACGGATCAGTCACCAACGACACCGCTTTGCACAACAAAAGTATCGCTAGATTTTCCACCGTGGCTCCTCCAGCACCTACCCCTCTAGCAGAGGCGCCATCCGACGAGCTAGCTGCAAAGGCCGCTTTGATGAATTCTAGGTTGGAAGGCATCAAATCTCTCTTCAGCATCGAGGTTGCCCTAGGCTTAGTCCATGCTGCTAAGACCAGCCTTGAACGTACTGTGCAATTCGTAAAACTGGGAGGCGACTGGGGGAATTCAGCAAAGCAGCAATGCGAAGGCATATTCATTTCCCTTCTCACAATTCTCGGCCATCGACATGTCATCAAGGGATTTGATAGGGCAGTTGATCATTTATCGAATTACCGGCCGCGGGAGCAAGGCGAACGAGATAAAAACGGTGTTGAGCCTCTTGTTACGTTTCTTGAACTTGTTAACGTTGGCGATCTCATCTTGCAAATGATGGATGTCTTTTACGAACAAGAATTGATCGGGGCCAAACTCATCGACAGAAGTGACTTTCTGGATCCGGCTGCAAAAGGCAAGAAGAAGTTCGAGCAAAAGCTCGATGAACGAGTGGCCTCTGGCTTAAGCAAGGGTATTGATGTACTTATGGAGGAGGTAGACTATATGCTCGCCACAAGACAACTAACGACTGATTATAACCCGGGGGCCGATATCGACTCTGTCAGAAAGACGCCTGACATAAGCGTCAGCGACGCAGCAATGGGCGTGATTGACGTCGTTTCTTCTCACACCTCAATGCTCATAGGCAGCACTGATAAAAGCACGCTTGATGTCTTCAATCAAGAGGTTGGCCTTAGGCTTTTTGCAGCCATCTGCAAGCATATCAAACGCCAGAGGATCAGCGTGGACGGGTCGCTCAAATTAATCAGGTAAGATTGAGAAACCGAGCCCCGTTTCTTCCAGTAGCTAATACAAGAAACCAGTGATATGAATCATTATTTCAAGTTCGTCCAGACGCTGAAGAATAATGAGCTATTGCTATATTTCAAAGCCCTTCGCGAGCTATCACAGATATATTTGGTTGACCCATCGGACGCAAAGGAGCTAGCGTCCGTCATCGCTGATAATGACCGTTTTTATGGCATCTTTCGTGCAGAGGAAGTATATGAGTTTGCTGAACGACGTGCAGATTGGTTCCAGGTGCGTCGTGATGTTGAGCGAGCCATGTACGGCTTGGAATGTAGCGTGATGTGAGGAACGTTGTATGTATATAGCTATTTCCGCCCGATACATATTATATATATGCATATACCATAAGTATACTCTGTACCCTAGTCAAGTGGGAACGCTCAAGAAGCTGTCTATGGGACTAGAGCTGGTAGTAGGCGCATGTATTTACGTGGATACAACGAGACATATGAGCCACCACCGTGTTTTGGCTAATTAGAATCCTTGGCTCTTTGTTATTTTGACGTGCTTACTCATATCAGCCGTCGCCGGCATCTTGGATCTGGGAGTTGTAGAGGAGGTAGGGCTTTTCCGTAGCCAACCGTGCCCGAGCTTCCAAGGTTCTCAAGGCAAAGTCACCATATAGATTCTTAGTAACTGATCACCAGACAGATATCTCGTCCATCAGCCCCGTTCCAGCTTTTGTCCATTTTGAGCGTCGGTCTTGGGCTCGGTCTCGGCCGCCGCAGGCGATGGTGTTACGCGGCCGAGTATACCGAAGAGACAGGACCAACAGATGACGGAGTGTATCTTTTCGGGACTGCTCGGACGACATAGATCGTTCAAGAGAAATTACCATAGAATGGGAGAACATTAAAAAGGCGCAACCCCGTGCCCTAAAGCATAATGTGTAAGTCTGGCGTACCTAAAGCACAGTAGGGATCTTCCACGAAATGGCTGCAGCTTCTACAGCTACCATGTCTGCACCAGCAGCGAACCCACTGGTGGATTCGAAGTCTGAATCCTCCGTTGCGGTTGATAACCGTAATGTGTTGCATACTGTCGATGGAAGAACTGGATTGTACTACGCAATCCCAATCAGCAAGAACGCCATCAACGCCGCCGAATTCAGGAAAATCAAGTCGACCAAAGACCAAAAGCATCCTGCTTACCAGAATGAGCAAGGTCTGCGTCTCTATGACCCGGGTTTCTCCAATACTACGGTCAGTGAGAGCAAGATAACCTACATGTAAGTCGACTGGCTGTTTCGAGGAATAGCTTGAACTGATCCATTCAATTCGGATTTGCTACAGAGACGGTATTGAAGGAACTATCCAATACCGGGGATATTCCATTCACGACATATTTGGGAAGAAAAACTGGATTGATGTTTCTCATCTTCTCATCTGGGGCACTTGGCCATCTGCTGAAGAAGCCAAAAACTATCAAGACAGACTGAACAGCGTTCCAGTCCTGGATCAGCACGTCTTGAATGTTATCCACTCCTTTCCGTGAGTAAAAAGCAAGAAGAATGGAAATTTAAGATCAAATAGAGTCGACTAACAAGGTTTTTCTTTTGCCAATTACAGGAAAGATGGCTCCATCACTGGCATGCTAATCGCAGGGCTCTCGGCTCTACAATCTTCTAAGTTGGACGCCGTTCCAGCCCACGTTGGCGAGAACCTGTACTTAGGACACCCAGAACGAGTGGACGAACAAATCATTCGCCTACTTCAGAGCTTTGCCATGATCGCGGCCGCGTCCTACTGTCACTCCACCGAGAGGTCCTTCACGCCACCGCGAAAGGACTTTTCCTATGTCGAGAACTTTCTGCTCATGACAGGCCATGTGGACGCTGCGACCGGTCTACCCAATCCGCGTCATGTCAAGGCTCTTGAGCGTTTATGGGTGGTCGTGGCTGACCACGAAATGACCTGTTCCACTGCTGCGTTGCTGCACACGGCCTCGTCCCTTCCCGACTTGATAGCATGCTTCATCTCAGCAATCAGCGCCTCAACAGGTCCGCTACACGGAGGCGCCATCGCTGTAGCCTATAAACACTTCAAGGCCATCGGCTCCGTGGCTAACGTGCCGGCCAAAATCGAGCGTGTCAAGGCTAGGAAAGAACTGCTCTACGGCTACGGCCATCGTGTCTACCGCACGACAGACCCGCGGTTTACCTACATAACCGAGGTCCTCAACGGACTCGATGAGGAGGTTTCTCGGGATCCGTTGCTGCAGGTTGCGCTCGCGCTGGATAAGGCGGCTTCCGAGGACGAGTACTTCACGTCAAGGAAGTTGTTCCCCAACGCAGATCTCTTTGCTGCTTTTGCCTATCAGGCGCTGTAAGTCTCCCTAGTCATGGTATATGTATGCCCTACCTAGGTATATTATACTGACCACGGTGGGCGCTCCTAAGTGGCTTCCCTCCGGATTTCGTCCTTACAATTTCCACCTTGTCTCGATTGCAAGGCCTGGCAGCTCACTGGAAAGAAGCTATGGGTAAGTTTATTGCTGAACACTGATTGGAATCATTGACTTCTCTGCAAATAGTTGAGGTGCTAATAGATCAATCATAGAGGGCAAACCCAAGATTTGGCGTCCAGGCCAGATCTACACCGGTGACTTGGGCAAAGCCATGGATTAGTCGATGATCTGTAGAGACAACGAGGTATCTAGGCAACGCATGATTCAAGAGAACTTTCATAATCTGGCATATGAGTTACAACAAATTAGGCTTAAGTGGGGGAGAGACGGACTCGGAACGAGGTGGTAGGTTGAATCGAGGTTGAGATAGTATTATATAAACGCCTAGACCGTTCCTAGATTGCCTAGATAGTCGTATTGCCCTTAAGCAAGTAATGGAAATTAACTTGACGACTTTACCAATTTAAACGTCCATATTTGTTCTATTTTGTCCATGATACTACACCACTTTAGCCCGAGAATGGGCAGATGAAGCTAATTTTATATAGAGTCAGGATTGTTTGACAGACATAACCTTTTCCCCGAACCATGGAATGAGCATTTTTGACTGTTGCTCGACTTGCTTTCGAACTTTGAGATTGACATTAGCTACAAAGAATCTCCAAAGAAACTGCCATCTTATATTCATTTCTGATTTTTTTCTGGGAACATACCTTGCATACCTCAGGTATTGAAGAGCTTATGATGTCCCCGTTCTACTTATATAGCCCTAACCTTACCCTAGCCCTAGAATTCACCCATAAGACAGTAAAAAGGGACCCCTAATAGGGTTTCTGGTAATGCTTGCTCATTTTATATAAATAATGCCTTATATTCTGCATATTGATCGGATGAAAGCGCGTGAGCAGAAGGAACTCGGGCCCGAGATGCGAGCACTAATGGAGTGCCTGCATACCGAGCATAGTGATAAAATGCAAAATTAGCTTAGGTAGTACTCGAATTGTGCCCATCCCGATTAGTAATATGCATTTGGCTATTTTGTTTTCACCCAATATATATATTCTCTAGACAGCTTGTCTATCTAGCATGACCTGGATTCCTCCCATGCACGTTATATATATTTCCAGTGCGTAGCAAGTTTGATAGCGAGCATTGTACAATTCTAAATATCGACTGTGAATGATATCATTCTGGCTTACGCTCCTTTATAGGGCTGGAAGATGATGTATCAGGAAGCGGGGCCCCCACTTCCGTTAGCGCTTGAAAAATCTGAGATTTGCAATTTAAGCCGTACCACTATTTACTTTACCTTTTAAGGGTACGCGGATTCGGTTTAGCTAGCGTAGAAGCTCGGGCGTCGGCACCCGCAGCGGCCCGCTCCATCTCAGCGCCAAGCCGGCCCCAACCAACCCCGTAAGCGTGTCTTCACATCACATCGAAGGCAGGGATATCGGAATATTTACCGAGATAACCCGCGATTGGGATTCGCTTTTCTTTCGGTTGGCCAATTCATATAATCGGTTTTATGCTTCATCTTGAATGAAACCCTCCAAGATTAGATATCTCCGGATTATCTACGTCTTAGAGTCTTAGAGTCTTCTTTGTCTCCTGGGCTTGCCACTTTGTTGTCAAGGGTGCCGAGCCCTACATAAAACCCTGATGTTGGATCACAATTGTAATATATACGGTCATCTCTCTTGATTAAAATTTGGAAGAGATCCTGTCAATCATTTATGCTAAAACCCGCATCCTCCTGTCAAGGCTGTCATTCTCTGTAACGTGTGTTCCCCGCCACTCCCCTCTTCCGTGCTGTCAAGAGACAGGGCGGCAGACCAGTTCTCTGTGGGGTTATACGTCATGCCAAAGCCCCCGCCACCGAGCTCCAATGGGCTCAGTGTAGAACCGGAGACCACCGGCACTTGTGGCTGCCAAGAAGAAAAGCTTACATCCAAGTCCATTGTCTCCCTTGAAAATCCCGAACGCATCCATTGTTGTTGCTGCTGTTTCTGCTGCCGTTGCGCAGATAGCAGATGCTCCGAGCTTGAGTCCAGTACACTGCTGGTGATAATACTGGCGCTGCCGTCCGTAGGCACTGGCGTTTGACCCACTACTGAACTGCTTGGGGCGCTGGCCGACAGCTCTCCAGCCTGTGCTCCTATCAGCCAAGCTTTTCGCATCTCGTCAAGAGCATCTGAAACCCATGCTAGTCCCAGCTGGAGTCTGTGGAGGTAGGTGGTTGGACGGTCGGGGAATTGCAGGCCCTGTAAAATGCGGATCACAGCATGAATTAGGCCGACATCAGCCTCGACATCTTGGGACTCGGCATGGATCGAGTCACGGCTAGGTGAGGAGCGGCTTGTGATAAGCTCATCAAGGCGGAAGCTAAGAAGATCTAAGAAGGCAACTATGGGATAGGTTCCCAAGACGCGGCGCAGGGAAGCCAGTCGCACTTTGGCGAGTCTGCTCGGCGTTGGCAGAGTACCATCGCCCATGTTTCCCATCTCCACAATCAGTCGTAGGCAGATGCGCGCATGGTTGCGCATTTCTACCTGGGCTCGCTCATGCTCACTTCGTTCATAGCGGAGAACTAGAACGTGTGTGAGATGGTAGCAGTATCTCAGCTCAAACTGGATAGATGCCCAGTCATCAACTTCTTGATGTCGTGTGCGTGATCTCACAAGCTCCTCTGCGAATGGGCGATCAGACCCAACGGCCTCCATGACACTGTGATAATGTTCATGCCATTTTCCTAAGAGTTGCACGAGGCCTGCAACTTGACTTGATGAATATGTTTCTCCTGCTGCGATTGCCCGGGCAGAGTAAAGTTTCAAGTACATCTCCTCCCAGATCATCATCATATTATCGAATGCCGCGATTAATTTTCGACTTGGAGGTTCAACCTCGTCGGGTTCTCTTCTCGAGCTTTTCCATAATTCCAGATCCGAGTCAAAATGGTAAAGATCGCAGGGGTCACCGGTCAGAAAGACACGCTGCTTGTCCAAGCCGTACAGGACTCGAAAGATGCGCTCCCGTTCCCTAGGGCTCTCGCCCGACATCTTGCCATAGGACTCGGATAAATGCAGTCCTAGCATGCGACTCACGCCACACGCTGTCCGTAATACTTTCTCAAAGATGTTATCACCGTAGAATTCCTGCGCTACCAGAGCCTAAACGGAGGAAAAAAAAGGCACGTTCACAGTTAGAAGATCACTTCACAGGATGCGTGTTTATACAGGTGATTAGAAGCACCTACCAACGTCAACAGAGCTTGAACATGGAGGAGACTCGGAAGCGTATAAGAAGTAAGATCGGCAAGGGCACGTTCACAGTTGCGAAGTAGTGAGGAAATGAGATCTTCTGTGAGCAAATTTGTTTTAATTAAGGACGAGCCAGCCACACTGTCCTGCCAACGGGTGACGTGCGTTTCCAGGCCCAGTTCCAGCAGAACGATGTTGGTGAATATGATGGCCCAGGTGCTGTCAGTCGCATGCTCACTCGCCGACAGTGATGCCGAGGGCGACGTCGATGACGATGTTGGCGGGGCGTGCAATACGCCGGAATAATAGGTATCGACTGCGTCCTGGAGACTATTTGCGTCAAATATCGGGATCCGCGAGTTGATATTTCGTAGGAAACCATCGATAAAAAGACGTGCAATCAACTGCGGCGGCGCCACGACAGGCTGTCCGTCGCTGGAGACAACAGGTTGGAGACATTTGCCCTTAAAGGGAAAGCTTTCAAGCTTGCGAAGCATTATTGCCCGTGCTGAGGCGGATGCAGAATCACCTGCTCCATCCCTGTTAGTGTCAGCATCTGATACTCGGCAGACATCGGCTAGCCTTCTTAATATCGGCTTGAGCAATGTCATTGATGCTGGATATTTGTATGTCCGCTCCCCGCCATGCTCCAACTCAACTCTCTCGGTGAGAATCTCCAACCTCGCTTGGCCCAACTCCTGATGCGAGCTGGGTAATACTACATTTGCGGGCGCTGAACTCTGGTGGAGGCTGGTGGAGATATTTGAGGAGTCCTGACGTTCATCAACATGTTGACGAGGCAAGTTAAATGGTGCCAGCCAAAAAGAGTGCTCGGCAAATTGATTGGACAGCGTCCCGAGGGTCTGATCAATCTCATCCAACCGGTACAATACGGTTGAAAAATCGTCGTGCCTACATTGCACATGCACACATTGTTAGCTCCCCATCAGTCTTCAGCTACCGTTGACTTGACTGACTCCGAATAGATACAGTAACGAGCAGGCACAGGGCTAGTTCGACAATTTACAGATGCCCCAAAAGAATAATGAAAATAAGCAGAGGAGATACGGAGATAAGGAGAGAGGGAAAAAAAAAGGACTTGCAGTTGTTTCGTGTGGTTCACACGCTTGAAATCGCTGTTCTGGTTACACTCGATACCGGCCTTGCGGCAGTTGGAACACTTGGGTTGCTGGCGGTCACACCGTACCTTGCGGAACCGGCACCGGCCGCACGCGGTGGACGATAGATTAGCTGTCAACCTGCTCTGCGAATCATTCTCGTGGAATCTGGGGCGTTTGCGGTATTCGTTGCTGCTCACGGCAAGCTGGGCGTCGGTGCCAGCACCGTCCAGCGCCGCCACTACTGGCAAATTGGACATTGTCCTTGCACCTGTGACTTGTAGACAAAGGCGAGGATAGAATCGATAGGGGGAAGGCAGTCGACAGCCATTTTGCCATGCTCCGTGGGGTCTGCTTATGTATCTAGATGAGGCTTCTGTCAAGCCACGGTCTGGCTTGGCCCTGGGCCTTGCGGGCGCTAGATGCCGTGACTCCGAACGCAGGTGTGGAGACACTAGCCTCCCTTTGGCCTGGTGGCCCCTTTCAGTGAACGCGGTCGCCCTAGTATTTGACTTGGAAATCAAGCTAAATTTACTCACTTAAAATTATTGTTCGGAATTAAAAATAGAAAGTGGGCCATGGCAATTGCAAGTGGGGCGGTCATGTGCTGCCAAGACCAGCCCTATCAAGCAAGGTCACTTCTCGGCGTTCGCCAAGCCTGCGTTATCTGTGTCCCGGTCGCGGGTATTTATCCGACATTTATCCACGCACCAAAAGGGCCATCCATCAACAAAGCCCAGAGAGTACTCTGTATCAAACATTGTACAACAGGCTCATGGAGCATGGCTTATGGACAAAACTAGAGTTGTGGGCTGCTGTTAAATTATGCTGTTATAGCCAGCTGGCCCTATTAGTTCTTTTTTCTTTTTCTTTTTTTTCTCTCTCTACAATATATGCATGCCGAGCTGTGTGTGTGCAGCCATCAATTCATCATTATCCAATTGACTAATAGTCTCTATGGCTTATGTAGTATGCATGCGACGCAATATGTACAAGTATAGTCATCAGCTTATCACCGCCCAATTGATTATAGTCTCTGGTTCCCTTAATGGGGCCTCTGATAATGCTCATTTTATGTGTAAATTATGCCTTGAAATTCCGCTATGACGCTCTTAGAGAATGCATGCAGGAGCGTAACCGGGTTTGCCCGGCATCATAACTGTTGTCCTGCGTTTGCTCGCCTGAACTGCTGTGCCATGCGGAGTTGGGCCTTGTGCTCTGGACTTCATTCAAGATCCAGTGGATCATAGATGAGTTCCCATAATTCATCAAGGAGAGCAGCCACTGGGCGCTCAGCAAGCGCCAGGTTTATCTGCGATGAACTCCTCCCAGTCACGGCGGAATTTGCGGACTCTTTGTAAGCTACTGGCGAGAGAATGGTACGACTATGATTACTTCCCATTTCTCTGCTCTTATTGTATGCGCGGTCATCGACGGGTCTTCCAAAAAGAAAAGCGGCATATACTCTTGATACACGTCATTAGAATATCTTGCCTTCATTTATGGATTGTGTTTATTGATTTATGGCCTCCGAGTCTTTTCCTAGTGCCAAAGTGAGCACCATAAAACTAACATCATTTTATTTACCTGGACACTAAATGAAGAATACATACGCACGGTTTTTTGGTGTAAGTTGTAGGCTTGAACTCCTTCGCAAATCGACCCGTAGATTCGTGCTTCTATCTATGGACGCTGATAAAGAGAGAAATATTTCCTAGATATATAGACAAGTTTTCGAACATAGCCTACCTAGGTAGTCGTGAAACTTTTATAGACTATATCATTCAGTCAGGTTATTAAAGGCCCTTGAAAATAAATCCTAAGTTATTTAGATTTACTTCGATTAAATCAATGTCTCATCCTCTACCCGTCGGCGTATTTGGTTCGCTGCAGTTCAACGTTGCCAGCGCCTGCTGAAACACTTCAAAGATCGGCTGTTGTCCAATCATCTGCAGCTTGTATCCTTTTTTTTGAATCCAGACCCTTTGTATGACTGGACCTGATCCTCTTTTTATTATTATTATGCAGATGGGGTCTCGCCCTGCGCCAACTCAGAGATGACTCGGATCGATGACTGAAGAAATTCACTCAACCTTTTTGTGTAGTATGATTTTGCTATCAATCTGACTCAAGATCGCAGTCAAACGAAGATAAGTCAAGTTCGCTTAAGCGATCGTCATTTGCAGAAGAACTATGCGACGCCTGCAGTCCCTATTTTGTCTCTACATAAACGCCGCTGCCCAGCAAATCGTAACCCTAACGCCAATGTTGGAACAACGAGCTGGAACTGAAACAACCGTCATAGTCACCGTCACAGTATTGCCCTCTACAGTGCCTGCATCTCCCTCATATACCAACTCTACCGACTTTGAACAAGATGTTTTGAACCAGACCAACTATTATCGTCACAAATACAATGCCAGCGATCTAATATGGAACGACACTCTCGCAACACACGCCCGACAATGGGCCCAGCCATGCAATTGGAAACATTCGGTATATATAAGTCTCTTCACCACCTAGGTAGCTTGACTCTTCGTTAAGGGGATTAACACCTATGCAGGGCGGCCCATATGGCGAAAACCTGGCAGAAGGCTATGCCAACGTCACAGCAGCCGTCGATGCCTGGGGCGATGAGAGCGCCAAATACAACTTTTTAGAGCCCACGGGGTTCAGTGAGCAAACTGGGCATTTTACGCAACTCGTCTGGAAGGCGACCACGGATGTCGGATGTGGTGTCGCGGATTGCCCGGCTGATAATGCCAATAATGAAGGCCGGAGAGCAGTTGGATGGTTTCTGGTGTGCGAGTACTGGCCAGTAGGGAATGTGGAGGGCGATGATAATGAGTACTTTAAGGAGAACGTCGACCGGTCAATTTCTCAAGCTCACGGATTCAAAGAGAAGAAAGGGTTAGGTGCTTGCTTGACGCTCACCCTTGGGGTGATTTTGATACACTTGCTGTGATTAAGAAAGACCTGGTCGAAAGCATAAGCTCGAATGGTTCTTTTGACTTGGGTATCTCGTTCTATATACGTAGCACTTTTATTCTTAATGTCGCCAAATCCTGACTTTCTTGTCGGCCCCTCCACTGCCTACTCGTTCTCCGTCCGGCGACCAGTCTACAGCGAAAACTTGGTCCTCATGCCCAGGTAGATCCATCACCAGTTTCCCTGTGCGAACGTCGAAAATCTTCAATGTACTATCCTGCGAAGCGCTGACCAGTAATCGAGAATCAGCTGAAAAGCAGCATTGATAGACCGGAGCTACGTGGCCGCGAAAGGTATTTGTGAATCTAATTTCATTAGCTTAGAGTAAATCATGATTTAGTGTTCTGCTAGCACTTACTTCCCGTCTCGAGCGTTCCATAGCTTGACGTGATTATCAAATGAGGCACTGCGTGGAGTTAGGCTTGGATGATAAAATCAATAAAAGTGGTATTGGATCGTTGTAACGTACCTTGCAATATAAGCTCCATCAGGAGAGAAGGTGACATGATTTACTGCTTTCTGATGGCCTAGCATTCGTGCAACTGGTTTCGTAGAACTTTCCGGATCCCACAGAAACATTGTAAAGTCATCGCTGGCTGATACTAATCTCTCTGTTATTTTCCCACCAACAGTAGCAGCTTTCTCAAACCGCTTTTTGGCTACTTCCACCTTGTCTGATTCTGCCTCGGGCACCGTATGTGTATGGTCATGGAAAGCGGTCCGGAGAACAAAATCGGTCGACAACGCTAAATGGTTTACTCTGTGAGTATGAGCACCAAGTGCGGTGATCAGAGTACCATCTTTGGCAGACCAGACACGAACTGTCTTGTCCAAAGACGCGGTGTAAATCTTTCCTATTCCACCCCAGCGTACACAGGTCACCGAATCTTTATGGCTTAAAACCATTTCAATTCTCTTATTGACAACATCCCATACCCGGACTGTTGTATCCTTAGAGGCAGAGGCTAGTCGTGGTCTACCTACCTCTTGTGTATGGTAAGGCTCCCATGACAGACTGTTTATCCAACGGCTATGGCCCTTGAGCATCCCCAATGGCTTGCCTTTGGATGCAGACCAGAGACGCACAGTCTTATCCTTGCTACCAGTCGCAATTATTTGACCGTTCGGAGAAAAGGACACGGCCAGAACCCAATCTGTATGGCCTTTCAAAGTCTCTATCGGTGTACCTGTATCGCAATCAAAAATCCTAGCTGTGTTGTCGCCGCTGCCAGTGACCATAGTCGACGATGAAACTGGGGAAAATGCGATAGCCAGTATCGCTGAGCCATGTCCAGCTATCGCTGCGGAACATCTCGAGACGGCTTTTACCCTGAAGACAGCCTGCGGAGTGTAGTGGAGGCGAATGACATCTTCGGTAGTTTTCAATCCGGGCTTGATCAACGCATGATATAGATCCGATAGGATGTCGATCGTCTGTCCCTCTTCGTTCTCTGGCTTATATGCAAATCTGTACGGCACTCGGTCATGCTCCGTCTTTGCCATCATCATCATTATCAGCCGCCGCCCGACTGTACGTTCGAGAAAAAAAGTTCAAATTAGAAGCCAACCTACATTTTCCAAAATGGTATTTAGAATAGTCTCAAGCTCTCGCACTGTGGTATTGGCAACGGGGACCTTAATCTCGCCCTTGGTCGGTTTTCCAGTGGACTCATCGATGAACTGCAGCACAACGCTACCAAGATCGCGCGGTAGAATATCGACTTCTTGCTGTTCTCGAGCTCTTTCTGAAACTTCACGCTTTTGCTTTTTGCTTGGAGGAGGTAGTAATGTCGCCATCTTGCTCGCAAAACCCCTGGCCTATGATACCCTGGGCAGCCAATTGGAAAAGAATTGCAAGAGGTCCAAATGCCAAGATGGAGTTCAGAAATTTCGGGCAAAACAACCCGCACTAAACCGCTTTAAGCGATACCTTATCTTATCGCCCGTGCCTTCCTAAAATGGTAATATATGTGCAAGGACAGAAAGGAAGGACCTTCCTTGTTTGTCTGCTTCTTCGATTTCTTCTCTTATTTTATTTCTGTCTGCCTACTACATGGCTCACTTGTTGCTGCATTGGCTTGCCTAAGCTCCGCTCCAATGTCTTCGATTCTCACCGCTGCCGATGACTTTCCAACAGAGAGCAGACCACGCACACATACTGCTACCAGGCCCACCACCGCTGCTACGAGTATAGAATCGCAAGAAGTTATATGTGCCATTAGCGAGTCTCGTGGAGTCTCTCCGACTGTCGGCCTGGCATTCGTGAATCTCTCCACCTCGGAAGCAGTGCTTTGCCAGTTATGTGACAGTAATTCCTATGCGAGAACAATCAACAAGCTCGCTGTATTCGAGCCCAAAGAGCTTCTGTTTATGAACACCTCAAGCGCACGCCAAACGAAGTTGTTTGATACCATTCAGGACAACATACCAGGCCTTATCATTACGTGCATTGACCGTCGGTACTGGTCGGACAGGGCCAGTCAAGAGTATGTTGACAGGCTTGCATTTCCAGAAGAGTTGGAATCAATCAGGTCATCCTTGGAGAGTCACTATTTTGCGGCTTGTTGCCTTGCATCAGTGCGTTTGATATCCCAGATCAGGTTGACATAAACTAACTGCGTTATAGGTTCTCAAATATATCGAGCTCCAGCTTGACATGACTTTTACTTTTCATTCTCTGCGCATCAAATTCGAAGCATCCCAAGGATCAATGATGATTGACCTTTCTACAGCTGCATCATTGGAGTTGGTCCAAAATCTTCAGAATACCAAGTCGCGAGATAGCTTGTTCGGACTACTAAATGAAACTCTTACTCCTATGGGAGCCAGACTATTACGAAGCAATATTCTACAGCCACCGATTGAGCTTGAGAAAATAAATATCCGCTATGATGCCGTGGAAGAGCTTAGCACCAAAGAAGATATGTTTTTCGCTATCAGAGAAGGTTGGCTACGAGCAGCGTCCCCCATTGCTGATGGAGCTAAATATGACAGCCCTGAAGAATTTTGTCGACGCCGACAAAGTCCTCACTTCAGTAAGTAATTAATAAGTTAGCCCTTATATAGTGACTTCATAGAACTAACTAGCAAGATCACTTTGAGTCCGATTAAACTTTCAATCGCCCATGTTGAACAATCCATTAATCATGTTATCATGCTAAAGTCATATGTGCATTCGATCCTCCCCATATATGAGGCGTTGGCGGGTGCCAATAGTGCGCTTCTCTTAAGGATCAGAGATGTTCGACCCATCTACTGTGATCATAAAACGAAGACTGACAATAATTAGGCGTGCGCACCAGACAATTATAGTCCGACCAAAAGTGTTATTGACGGGACGCTCAACGACGACGTCCTTTACCAAAGGAAACCTCTTGATCTTCGAAATCAACGAACATATGCAATAAAGGTACATACATGCCTTATCTTGTGACGTATCCAAGCTAACCATAGCCCAGACTGGAGTAAACAGTTTGCTTGACGTTGCACGTCAAGCATATAAAGAAGCTAATGCTGATGCAGCTGAGCTTGTTTCCGTGCTTTCTGGTAGGCCGAATTTTGATGCGATTAAGTATTTCGCTAATTACATACAGAGAGACATGATCTTACGTTGGAGTTGAAGTATGACACTGCACGAAGTTATTACATTCGACTTTCGGTATTCGAGCTGGAAGGCGTTCTTCCTGAAGAATTCATCAATGTTTTCAAAAGAAGAGATCGTATTGAATGCCAAACACTGGATCTTGTCAAGCTCAATCAAAGGATTTCTGACTCCCATCATGAAGTGATGAGTATGAGTGACCAAGCTGTTCAGGAGTTAATCGACAACGTGTGTGAGAATGTTCCAAGTCTCTTCAAAATCAGTGAGGCGATAGCTACACTGGATATGCTATCAGCCTTTTCTCAGCTAGTGACTATCCAAGAATACACGCGGCCTGAGTTGACGAATGTGCTGGCAATTAAATCGGGCCGTCATCCACTCCACGAGAAGATACTCAGAGACAAATTTGTGCCCAATGACACATATGCAGCGCAGCAGTCGCGCTTCCAGATCATCACGGGTTGTAACATGAGCGGAAAGTCGACTTATGTTTGCTCCGTTGCCCTCATGGCCATTATGGCGCATATTGGGTGCTTTGTTCCAGCTGACTATGCGTCTTTCCCCATCATTCACCAATTATTTGCTAGGGCAGCTTCTGTCGACGAGATCAATGCCAGTGTATCAACATTCGCCGCTGAAATGCGAGAAATATCTTACATTCTTCGCAATGTAGACGCACGCAGTCTTGTCATTGCAGACGAACTTGGTCGCGGCACAAGCACTACAGACGGACTGGCAATAGCTATAGCTATTGCCGAGGCTCTCGTTGACAGTCATGCATTCGTATGGTTTGCTACTCATTTTCGTGATCTTGCACGTATCATGTCCGAACGAAGTGGCGTTGTTAACCTATCTCTCGCCGTGAGGCTCACACACGAAAGTAGCAAGATGACGATGTTGTATAAAGTTCAAGAGGGGCATGTTCAAGAGAAGTTTTACGGTCTTGCCCTTGCCAAAGTCCTACCATTTCCACCTCAAGTTCTGGAAGTTGCACAAAGAGTGTCAACGCATTTGGCCAAAGTTGCCGAGCGTCGTGCAATTAGTTCTCAAGTACTGGGGACATCTAGAAAAAGAAATCTAATCCTCCAGTTGCGAGAGCAGTTGCTACATGCCTACAATGGAAGCATAGATGGGGAGGAACTGCGGCAGTGGTTACGGAGACTGCAGGAGGATTTCGCTATGAGAATGGCGGCGCTAGATGGTGAATTTGATACATCTCCAGGAGAAGATGCGGCCATACACAGGAGAGATATAGAGACAAGCATTGATGCCAATGAATTTCAAAAAACGAAGTCAGATGAAGGATCCTTTGAACCGGTCGAGGAGGAGCTCGAGAAAACAATGCTCACTGAGAGTGATATGCCTAGCAGTCAAGGGGATGTGGAAGCTGAAGAGACATGGGATCTGTGACTTGAATACAGGCTGTGAAATGTATACTCGGCAAACCAGAGATCTCCCAAGGCTGATACAGGCACCTTTTAGAACATACCTAGACTAGTATACAGACTTATCTGACTATGCAGAAGGCAGGATGTAGGGTGAGGGTATGTATTATTAGAAGCTATCACATTTCCTACATGGGAACGATGACCAAATGCATGAAGTATCTTAAAATTGTATTTACACAATTGACTCCCTCATCCGAATTGAAACAGAACTTGTTTGCCTTTCTTCCCCTTTCCTTTTTTCCCTCCAGTAGATACACCCACTTCATCGGTATCCCCAGACGTAGAAGCGCCAGAATTTGTATCTTCATTACCCCAAGCAGCTGGGGCTGGACCTCGTCTGTCATCCCAACGTACTGTTCCTCTTGTAAGACCGGCCATCAGCGTGTTCGGCTTCGGAGCCGCAGGCAGAGCTGGAAATGCGTTGCGATCGGTTGTTCTCGGAGCCGGTCCCGTTGAAGCCCGTGGTGCAGGTCGCGCATACGACGTGGTCATGACCGAGGGCCGAGTGGCCGGTGTACTATTCCATGCTGGAACGGTCGCCGCAGCACGTTTGGTAGTTGTTGGAGTTGATAGTGGCGGGAATGGATTACTTGATATACTGCCTGCGCGGCCAACTGCAGAACGCGAAGACTGTGCGGTTGAGGATTTCAGGCGTAGTACGCGTTTGCCCCCGGACCCTATTGTGCTTGAGGATAGCCCTGGAAGCATGCCGCCGCTTGCGCCTGGAAGAGCTGGATAATCTTCGTTTATGGCGCGCCAGTTGTTCCATGCGGAAAGCAGACCGGTCCTTTTATTATCGTTCTCATATATCTCCGCCAGTTCTTTTATCAGTTTACCCAATTCTGAGGTCGGGGTGTCGAATAACGAGAAAAAGGAGTCGATTAAATCATTTGCGGAAATGGTGGAAGTGCGATAATTCGATACTCGAGTGCGGAATTCCGAAAGCTTCGATGCGTCATTTTGAAGAAGGTTTGAAGCGCGCTCAATCACGGCAGCATGACGAAGTTGACGGGCCTGGTCCTGGGGCGAGAGGGTGCTAATGGATGCGTTGTTTAGGGTGAGATTTTCAATACCAGCGGTGACAGGAGGAACTGGAGGCGTCGCACTGGGAGTTTGACTTGGAGTAGGTCGAGTAACGGGTGTTTCCCGCGAGGTAAGCTGTCCGCCGAAGCTCCGCGTCGAGACGGATTGTGCACTTTGGATAGCCATTTGTCTTTGATATGCTAACTCATCTCGTCGTAATGGTTGGGCACTTGAGATAGGTAGCGACTCTGCATTTGGATCACGTCCTCTGCCCGCACCTCGTCCTTCGCGACCGCCTCGGCGTTGCCTCTGGGGTTGGTAGGGGGCACGATAATCGAATGTAGATATGTTGACTGTGCGGGCATCTCTCCGGGCGTCTTTGGAAAGTCCATTAGGATGAGTTTCCAGTTGGTGTGCCTTCAGATCCATCTCAGATTCAAAAACAACAAATTTCTTATCTAAGCATTCCTTATCCAAGCAAAGAAAGTGATCCTTTTGAAAGTGGTCTTCAAGCGCGTCATAATTGATGTAATACTGGTGCTGGCGATTGCCAGGCCGTCGGTCACATATATGGCACCGCTCATGCTTGTCTCTGCAGTGAGTGTAGAGCTCATCATCTCCATAGAAGCGTTCGCGACAGAATTCACATTCGGGATGCCCTTTAAAACCACTTTGGTCGATAGCACCGGGCGTGTCATCTCCGTACTTCTCGTGTTTGCGAAGCTGCGCGATAGTGAAAAGTTCATGCTCGTGTGTGAATACCTTTTTGTTACGAGTGCAGAGATCGCTTTTCCCCTCCCCCAAGACATGTCAGTTCCAATGCTCTGATCGCGATGATCTCTCGGAGAGAAAGCTTACCACATAGATCTCCCATGCTTGCTCTTGACGTGACGGTGTAGATCGGGCCATCCGAGGCAGGCAACATCGCAACTCGCGTCCGGACAGTTGTATCTCAGCAAAATGACCGTGTCTCCGAATATATCGTCATTTTCATACTTGATTCCCAGGTTGTCATCCGTTCGAGCTATTTGCGGGCCTTTGAAATCCTCGAAACGTTTGACGGGGTCATCGGTGAATATCACAAACGGTGACTCGGTCTAAGAACACAGAACTGTTAGCGCAACAAAGGCAAGTGTGTGGCAGGTTTACCTACTCGACAATGGGCGCAGGCTTTGGTTTTGTACAAGACTCTCAATCTAAGCGCGCATATATGGCAAGTCCTGTGGTTACAAGGCGCGACGGACGTGTGTACGACTTTGGAGGCGCAGATAAAGCAGACTTCACCGTCGTCCGGCTCATCCGTCGCCGTTGCAACCACCTGCGTGCCTACTGTCGCCTCACCCTTTCCTGTTATGGCATCTCCAGTCGGGTGATCACCAGAGGTGCCTGTTCCTTCAGGACCCGAGCCGGGTGGTGATGCTCGAGGGTGATTGCGATCAGACCCTTCGTTGCCTCGTCCTCTCCTCCCTCCCCGACCGCGCGAGTTTCTAGTGTTCCCTTCACGCTGGTCGTCACTCCTATGATGCTCTGTGCGATTCGAGCTGTGAGAAGCTCCCCGTCCGCCACCTCGTCGTCGGCCACCGCCGCCGGCATTGGAGTTGCGTGGCCCCGCAGATGCTTGGTCAGCCATTGCTGTGAAACGGTGAACTAAAAATAAACAGAGAGTAGAGTGGTCGATTATAAAGAGAAGTCGAGGTTTGCACGCGAGACTATAACTAAATAACTGGAATTCTTAGAGGAGATCGTGGGCAAGCGGGAGGGTTACTGTTATATTCAGTTGGCCGTCGGGCTATTTTTTTTTTTCTAGGTGGGCTACACTTCATGGCGGGCCCGTCTCGAGCTTACTTAACTTGGATTCGTGGCTGCACCGCCATGAGTCGCATTTTTGCATTTTCGATAGGCTTGAACCAGTGACTCATGATTACTGTTTATTAGTTAACTAATTATGCAGCGGCACGGCTTTCTGCACAGCCTCGTTGTAACACGATGGTCGACATAACCCCGGGGAGTGCTGTGTACGGAAAAAGAAGCTCAAGTCATAGAATGTTTGATATATAGATAAATAAGACCTAGTGGGAAATCCGAGACCTATCAACTCCCGCTGAGCGAGGAAAAATATGGATATATGAAACGCTAACGTAAGACCAATCATGCAATCACCAGAATAGATCATAAACAAATGGAAGATGCTAGCCCACGAGATCACCAAAGAAAATGGAGCATGAATGAATAGGAACGCATGGAGTATGGGCCCCGCCGGAAGTAGCCGAGGGATTGGGCGGTTCTGGCAAGGGTTAGTAACCTTTGATACTAACGTGAATCCAGCACTCTATTTCCCAAAATAAGACTGCTCGTCAAGGTATGTGTCAAGGGTGGTATGGCGTCTGTGGGGGACAAGGATGCAGGGGTACCTGCAGCTCTTGTAGAGTAGCCTCAGTGACTATTCTCCAGGGTCGTACAGATTTTCGTTCAGTATCTTGGTCATAGTAAACATGTGGACACGGTCTTGCTTGAATACTGGACGCATGCGATCATCACAGCGGATTTGTCGCCGGTCTGCCGGGTCTTGAAGACCGTTTTCTTTTATATATTCCCAGACCTTTTTAACCGTTTGTGGGCGCGAGAGCTTCAGTCCGAATCAGTAATTCCCACGAGCTTATGAAAGCTGAATTTAAAACTCACCGCAACTTCACCACCCAGGAGCTCTGAGAGCGCAGGGGACAAATTCAAAGGTTTCTGATCAGTGAGCACAACAAATTCTACGAATGAAGCGGGGGGCAGATCTCTCACATGAAAGCCACCAGAACGATTGACCTCTTTCTTAGGACCAGCTTCTGAGGCAGAATTTAGGTCGGAATCATCCTCAGCCCGCACCTTTTTGCCCGTCTTGGATTTAGACTTCTTCTTTGCTGGCGCGACCTTGCGCGTAGCACTACCCCGGGTCGGCCGCGCACGTTTATTCTCTTCTGCCTGCAATTTGGCTGCAAATTCGGCATCCGCATCTATATCGTGATCGGAGCGTTGCTTTTTGGCCTCCGTGTCATCTGACGCTGCGCTTTCCGCCTCGCGTTTCCTTTGCGGCGACGAGATTGAGGTTGGAGACGCACTGGTTGTTTCTTGTGTGTGGGAGTGGCCGTTGACGCCCTCAGTTGACGGGATCACATCCTCTGATGGCGTCGAATCGTCGTCGTCTTTCTTACTCGCGAAGATGTCAAATCGCTCCATTATCAGCTCCTTGACAGCTGTCTGCTCCATGTCAGCAAGCAGTTTACAGAGAATAGCCAACCAAGGAACCGACCTTGTAGTCATTGAGGTCATAGTCGACGGTGGCCTGCAGTCCCTGTCGGATCCGCTTGGAAGAAATGGTATTGATGTCACTTGCAGCCAGGATAGAGTCAATCACTTTCGTGAAAGAAGCGCGCTGCTCTAACGAAACTGCGCGGCGCGATTGAGATCAGTCGCGGGACCTAGATTAGAGCTAGGGGTTGGATTGACTTACGCGACATGTTGGGCTTTGGTAGGAGATCGGTAGCAGGTCGGAGCAGTATAAGGTTGATGGAAGGCCAGTCAACTAAAGCCGGCGCTTAGGCACGATGACGGGTGGGGCATGGACAGGACGAGCAAGCTCGGTCGAGAGTTCACGAACGAACGGCTGACCATGAAGATAGGTCCACGGAGAAAAGAGGATGCGCTGGGCTGTATGCCAATAATGGCATGTGCAGGCCTTCCTGGGGTGCTGGCCCTAAGAAGACGAGGAGTAGATGCAGGAACGATCTGTGTTTGGAGCGGCATGAAGTCACTGTTCGCACCAGGTCACGTGCCGGGGGCCCCGGTCCGCGCACCAACAAGGGCAGACGAGCCTGACGAAAGAGGGCGGCGGCTGCAGCAGTCTGTAGACGATGTCTATGAATGGATTGATTATTCGGCTGGTCTGGCGCGTGTTCCTCGCTGCGCAAGCTGCAAGCTGCCAGGCGCGATGTTTGATGTTTGATGTTTGATGTTTGTCTGTTTTGTCTGGCTCGCCGCCTCGCATGGATGACTAAGCGGCACACACAGAATTAGATTAGTTGCCCTCTGCCAGTGCGTGCAACACCAGAAGCGCCAGCCAAGAGGTCCACGACAATTTTGCTGTGTGCGCTTTCGCTATACGAGCAACTGGACTTATCCCGCTGGTGTCTGATTCAGTCTGCCCAAGATGGCTCCCAGCATCGACAACCTCTCGGACGACGAGTTCGATGTTGACGAGATCAACTTTGACGGTAAAAAAAAAATCGAAATTTCCCCGGCCTACCCCTCCGCGCGCGCTGACAAGGAAGAATAGATCTCCACGAACAATTCGAAGTTCGACTAGAATCAGGCTACGATGCGTTTGTCGTTCTCGATGGCCTACCTATCGTACCGGGTGAGTTGAAATATCACCTGCTGGACGGAGCGGGCATATGCCGGCATCGAAGTCGCCTGAACGCCATCCGCTAACGATTTATTTTAGAGGACAACAAGGAAAAGCTCGTTAAATATGTTTCGAAAAAATTGCAGACGGTCGGTCGTGTGCTCGACTTTTTCATGCCAATGAACGAGGAGAATAAGTCTGAAGGGTAGGGAGAATGAAAAAAAAAATCAATGAAAACTGGGAAAAGGAAGGACCAACCACCAACACTGACGATTTTCATTCTAGGTATGCCTTTGTTGAGTACGAAACACCAGAGCAGGCCACAGCTGCTGTGAAACAACTACACGCCGCCCCCCTTGATAGAAAGCACACCCTCCTAGTCAACAAACTTACAGATATCGAGCGCTACGGCCGCGAAGGGCGTATCGATGAAGAGTACACCGCGCCCGAAATACCGCCATTTAAGGAGAAGGAACACCTGCGATCATGGTTGGGTGACGCGAATGCTCGAGACCAGTTTGCTCTTTACCGAGGGGACAAAGTTGGCGTCTTCTGGAACATGAAAAAGGACGCCGCTGAAAACGTGGTTGATCGCCCTCACTGGACACAACTTTTCGTGCAATGGTCGCCACAAGGAACATACCTTGCTTCGATACATCCCCAGGGTGTGCAACTTTGGGGAGGAGCTTCGTTCTCCAAGCAGAAGCAACTGCCTCACCCTTTTGTTCAACTCATTGAATTCTCCCCTGGCGAGAAGTATCTCACAACTTGGTCAGCGCGGCCCATTCAAGTAGAAGAGGGCCAACAAGGACCTCTCACTTACGAGGAAGATGGAAAGCACATAGTCATTTGGGACCTCGAATCGGGAAAGCCTCTGCGATCTTTTGTGGCGCACGATCTCGCAGGCCCCGAAGGTGATGCGGCCGCACCTAAGAAGAAAATCCAATGGCCCGCATTCAAGTGGTCGGCGGATGAGAAGTTTGTTGCGCGCATGTTGCCGGGACAGTCTATTTCAATCTACGAATTGCCCCGCATGAACTTGCTCGATAAGACTTCTGTCAAGATTGACGGTATCGTGGACTTTGAGTGGGCCCCTGCTACTGTCGTCCGAGAGGGAGTCAAGCGCTACGAGCAATTATTGTCTTATTGGACTCCGGAGATTGGCAGCAATCCTGCCAAAGTTGGATTGATGAGCGTTCCCTCGAAGGAAATCGTCCGTACACGAAACCTCTTTTTAGTCTCAGATGTCAAGCTTCACGTAAGTTATCTTTCTGCTAAACCTCCAACAGTTGTATTGATATTGACCGTATCTCTAGTGGCAATCGCAAGCGGCTTTCCTTTGTGTCAAAGTTGACCGCCACAGCAAGAGCAAGAAGAGCATGGCCACAAATCTCGAAATTTTCCGTATCAAAGAGAAGGGAGTTCCAGTCGAAGTGGTTGATAGTTTGAAGGATACAGTCATCAACTTTGCCTGGGAGCCAAAGGGCGAGCGATTCGTTTTGATCACATCCGGTGAGGCAGTTGCCGGAGCAGCAACTGCTCCCAAGACTGCCGTATCTTTCTTTGCGCCAGAAAAGGTCAAAGGCCCGACTATTGGAAACTTCCGGCTTGTACGAACAATAGAGCGCAAAAACAGCAACGGTATCTACTGGTCGCCCAAGGGACGATTCGTGGTTGTTGCCACGGTTCACTCGCAAACAAGCTTCGATCTCGACTTCTGGGATGTAGACTTTGAGGGTGAAAAGCCAGAGCAGGAGAAAGACTTGAACGCCAATGTCATGCTTTTGAAGACTGCTGAGCACTACGGTGTCACAGACATTGACTGGGATCCAACGGGCCGTTATGTTGTTAGCAGCGCTAGTGTCTGGACTCACTCGATGGAGAACGGATACAACATCCATACATTTTCGGGTGAGACACTATCGGAAAACCCAACAGAGAAGTTCAAGCAATTCCTGTGGCGCCCTCGACCACCCACGTTGCTGAGCAAGGAGGAGCAGAAGCAAGTCCGGAAGAACCTGCGCGAGTACTCCAAGGAGTTCGATGAGGAAGACAAGTATGCCGTCGACATTGCTAATACGGCGGTGGTCGAGAAGCGCAAGCGTGTCCTCAACGAATGGTTGGCTTGGGCCCGGAAAGAAAAGGAGCTTCTGGCCGAAGAGAAGGATGCCGAAGGTCTGCCCGAGGAAGAGATACCCATCGATACACCCAAGGCGAGGGCTGAGGTCGAAGCCGAAGCCGATACAGTTGTCGAGGAGATCGTGGAGGAGATTATCGAAGAGACGGAAGAGATCATTGGATAGGCCATTTATCTTTGCCATTCTCTTTTGTTTGAATGATATACTTTTTTTCCTTCTTCTTTTATCCTCCGATCCTACTATATTTTTTTTCTACTCCGTATTTACTCCCTATCCTTCCCTCCAGTCATCCTTCAAGTGCATACTTTCTACATTCTTGTTTTGAATTGTTCGGTACCGGGGAAAACGTTGTCCAGTCTATTTCATGAATAAAAAAGGAAAAAGAGCATGTCCAAAAAAAAAAAAAAAAAAAAAGGCACAGCATTTCACCGATGCTAATCAACTGTGCGTGCTGGAGTCGAGGCGATTATTGACGCCAAGGGTGCTGAACCAAAAGAAGGGGGGTCAGGATTATTTATGATGTATCATGATGAGATGATAGACAGTAATCAATCCATTTTACACGTTTGTTAGCAGTGAGTAGACGCCTCCCGACTAGCTGGTGTTTGCGGACTTGATAATAAAAAATAATTACTTGCTTTCTTTGATTGCTTCTTCTCTCTCGGCAGTTAAAATGTGACGAGGTTCTCATTTTGACTGTGGCATAACCAAGTGAACCATAATAAAAAAAACTATACAATAAAGTCTCAAATCAACATTTCCAATGCTGGATTGAATCACAAAGAAGAAGGGGGGGAAAATACAAGAATACGAAAATGAAGAATCCAGAAAACCAGGGGAAAGGGCCACGTCTCTCAGAAAAAAAAAAACAATCGAAAGGAAGATGCGCCTTCCATGCGCCTATACGCCATTTGACGAGGAGGGTATTCCAAGCAGACAAACAAGAAATCAAAATGAGCAAGCCGCATCCCGGATATCCGCCACTTTCAACTGTTTGAAACCTCAGACAGACAGGATCAAAGGTTGAAGAAAGAAAAAAGTCGACCATTATAACGAGCATCCGCGTGCAAGAAGAAAAGATAAACCCGACATATTGTCGTCATTGTCGACAAAAAGAAAGCACGAGCGCCGGTCTATACGACGTCCTCCCTCCGAAAAGACAGACATTTCGTCTATGTGGTCTTGCCACCAGGCACTTCCTTAGGCCGGTCTTTTGCTGGCAGTCGCTCGGGCTGTGGGTCAGCAGCAGTGATTTTGGCCTTTTGCTCTTCTACATTGGGAATCACGGCATTGGCAACACCACCTGGCAAAAGCGAAACATTGAATTGTTAGTCAATTCTTTGCTTGAAACAACCGGGTGTGCGCGAACAATCAGACCTACCTCGACCTGTGAACTGCACATTCTCCTCTGACCGTTTCGGGGGCTTCTCGACGTCCTGGCTGCCACGCGCCAGTTCTGGACGCTCTTTATCGTTATACATCATGTTTCCTGAACCTCCTCGACCGGTCGTAAAGAAGTCCTGCTTGATGGTGGGTGTGACGAGGTCGGCTGCGGTGGTTGGCTTCCCGTCGGCATGGATGTTTCCTGAGTTGCACGAGTCAAACCAATGCACAACAAGCGTGCTTGCAATAGGAAGATTCACAAGGCGATATTGGTTGCAAGCAAAGAAGCAAAGCAGCAGTATAAAAGGGCTTACCTGCGCCTCCACGGCCATGCGACACTGCGCGACCCGACGACATGAAGAGAGAGAATGTGAGATTGGAGGGACTCAGAGAATGATGCGGCTAGAACAATAATTAACCAAAATCCAAATCGATCCAGCGAGCGAATGGCTTTCCACACAAGATGAAGATATATCGACCAGCACAAGAGAAGAAGAGGTTGAGTTGACAGTGCACAAGGCAACTGCCAACGAAGCACAACGTGCCCTGTCTTCCCTTACGTACTCGGAAATAGAATTTTTGCCTGAGGCGGGCCTGGCGGGTACTCGCCATCTGAACCTGAACCCTGAACCACCGCCCTTGCTGACGCCATATGCACCCTGCAATGGTCTGCTTTGGACGCGTCCGCCTATTGATTGCTACAGTAACATTTGCATACTTCGGTTTCCATTTTCTACTCTGCAGGGTCAGCGTTCTTGTTGGCGCAGTCGACGCCGGCCTCATCTACAGTACTGCGATCACGTGTGATGTCGTCATAACAAATTGCCATATCCACTTCGGGTAATATCAATCTACTTACAACCTCGCTTCATACCAAACTACCCTAGAAATTCACCCTGGCCCAGCGCCATCCACGGCAGATCCTCTTCCCAGCATCGCTGCATCAGTTTGCGCGCATTCTTAAACTGCGTCATGCAAGTAAATGTTAGCCAAGGATAAGTCGGTCATGAGAATAATCTATACACACCTGCTTCAGACCTTCTGCTTCAAAATTCATCACTCGTGTCATCATCTCCAACTGCTGCTGCGGATCGCGACTCTCGCATCCCGCAGTGAACAGCGGGAAGAGTACAGAACACTCCGTAGAACTCCCAGTGCGAATCCTGGCGATAGCGTTGCAAAGATGGTCGATCGCCTCCTGCACCTCTGCTGAATGCGTCTTACTGCCCAGAACACGTCGGTGGATGTGAACAACGGCTGACCAGTGAAATGCCAAATCTATGGCTATCATCTCGTCGTCCTCTAGTTCCGTGTGATGGGTTCCCAGTACATGTCCACGCTGTCTGGCGCGGTGCATATCCTGTAACAGGGACTCGCCAGCCTGGATCATTTCTTCGGATGGAGTCCAGTCGGTCAAAAAATGGCCCGCGTCGTCAAACCGCTCGCCGTCGCAACAGTAGGTCAAGTGTGCAAGCCGCGCCAAGTGAGCCCCCGTCCGAGGTGTGAAACCAGCAAAACAGTCAACTCTGTAGTTGTCATCATCGTCGTCGTCGTTATCATTATCGTAGTGTTTGTATTCGTTACTGTCATCTGGAATACCGCGCACCGTCGAAGTTGACCAATAGTTTGTACGCAGTAAGGGTGGTCCGCTGTGTCGGCAAGACAGACTTCCGACGATATCAAGATAGCCGAACCAGTGTGCAAGGAAATACGCCACTTTGTTATCTGGGCGAGCACAATGATAGATTCCGCGAGCAACAAACAGATCTCTGGCAAGTTTGAGATGAGTCTGCCACGTGATGGGCACTTCAAAGGTGCTTGGAGACACGATTTTCAGGGACAAAAGCATAATAGCAGTTGCTAGATGACTATCGGTCACTTTCTCTTGAGGTTCGTTCAGGGCATGGCGCAGGGTAGGGAAGACATCGCTGACCCAGTGAGCAATTCGATTTGACGGTTCTGGATGGCGCAAGAAACGTGCTCGGTGGCTGGCCGAGTACGCCAACATCAGATTAAGAAGGTTTGGATCTGTTATAGCCACTATCCATCATGATAAGTAAGGATAAAATGGTCACTAAAATTATGTGGTAGTTACTGATCACTACTTACTCGCAGGTAAAACTTGCAGGAAGGCGTTCTGATCGCAGTCATGAGGAACCAAAATCCGCGCAGTATGATCGATAAAATGATGGAAATACAGTAGATTTATTGGATTGTCCAGTAGCGTCGAGGGCAAAGGTGTCATTCTCCGGGGTATTTTAACACGGACAGGCGTCACATAATAGCCCCTTCCTGTAGCGCCTGTTGTGAAGGACGACCTTCTTCGAACATGAATAGATCCTGTGGGGGTCTCCTCTGATGTAGGGCTTAAGAATTCGTCCTCAAAAACCTCCTCGGATGGACTTATCGGTCCAATGGCCTCAGAGTCGTTGTTTTTATTCAAATCATAATCGGGGCTCCCGCAGTCAAATCCGAAAAATATTTCATGGCCGCTGACTACCGGTTTACATCTCTCCCGTCCTGTCGGGGAACCCACTCCAAATATCCTGTCATCTAGTCCCTGGTCAAGGGACTGAGACGAAAAATGAGTCGTGGCATAGGTTGTTCGTTCTCGATGCTGATAATCAACGTTCCCATCCTGCATTTTGTAACGTTTAGCCCTGTACGAGTTATTTGTGGGCGACGTTGCAACAGCCACTGCTTCTCCCGCTGAGGTATCACGTAGAAATGAAACTGGCTGTGAAACGGAATTGGTTTCAAACGAGAACGAAGATAGTGCGTGGAAACTAATTCCCATAGGATCAAACACGGAGGAATCCGAGAATGGATATGTTTGTGAGGGCTGTACAGTCTCGTGCACTATTAAAGACGAGCCTAGTTCTGGCGAGGGCATAACTCGTTCAGCCATGGATCGCACAGCTGGGTTCTCGGTAGGTATTGCATGACTGATAGATGCAATGCTATGCTCATCAGAACCTGTAGGCGACTTGGCAGATACCGATGGGGGAGAGACAGGAGTGGTTCCTGAGACCCAAATGTTGCCAGCGTTGTTTGTATACGGGCTTGAGACTACAGACCATTCGTGTTGAATCGATCCAGGTACTTCAATTGGAGAAGTCAGGTCTACTCCAGAAATCAGCGAAGACTGCTGGAGATTAGCTGAATATGACACAAATCCGGAATTTGAATTTGGTGTCGCAGGATCGGGAGCCTTTCTCTTCGTACGGCCCTCCCAATTAAGACGAATACTATAATCGCACGTATCGCCTTGACGCAGACAGTTTGAGCATGATGGTTTTCCCTCGTCGCTTCCAGATATTTAGTATAGAATTCCTAAAATGCACATCTATCAAACTTAATATCGCACATACCATTTGATCTTACGTCTTTTACAAGGCCTAATCATACTGTTAGCTTTTACTTCACCTTTCTGAAAAGCAAAACGGTGGGGAGGATTGGCAGGCAGAGACCTGCTTGCAACCCCGACTCTGCACTCACCAACAACCATGACGACTTCTCGGCTTTGGTTCAGGCGCGCCTGGTCGTTTTGGTCGCGGCATTATAAACTAAGCGTCCGGCAGATGCGGGTGGAAGACTAGAATGTAGTATTGCACACGGGTACGCAGCCATCAAGCCTTAAATTGGGTCTAAGGTTTCCGGAAATTTATCAAAATATTTTTCTGTAGATGCTCCTAGAATTATTGGAGCTTTCATCGACGGAGTGATTATCTTGTTCCTAGTCATCGAGGTAGACAATTGGCCGGGATTCGCCGGTTGCGATCTGTTGGATAAAAACGAGTAGGATGCTATGCTGGTGTGAATTCTTTTGCTGCGACGCGGCAATAGCGCTTTTCGCAGCAATTCAAATGTTCTGGCTATGAGGAGATGGCTTGATCTGATAATTCGTCGTTGCTGGACTTGAGAGAAGAAGTCTTGATGATGGCGGAGGTTGACCAGGCATCGGCGCCGGAACAACGTTTTCCAGTTGGATCTGGCTTCTAAGTGGGTGCCAGTATATGCGCTAGTCCTGATCTAGCGTAGCCTCTCGATAAGGGAAAAGATGACCGCCGATTGGCTGGCTGCAGCTTTGTTGATGACGTTGAAGTCGATGTCCTCAAGCCCGACCCCATCCGCCGCACAACGTTGGAATCCATTCTGCGTTGATTCCTTCCATCTTCCCAATGTCTGTCTCCAAAACGTCCGAGTTGCTGCTGAAGCATCACCCGCTCCAGCAACTCCCGAGCCCTAGTAGAGGAGCTTCCGCCATAGTCCATGTAAGGCCGTTCAAGCAATCACCTCTAAAAAATCCCATGGCTGACGGCACCTTAGATCCTCGGACTGGCGAGTTTCTTTTCGTCGTTTAAGTTGTAGGTTTACAACTCCAAGCAACGAGACAAATTACCTTGATCGACTAACTTTCGGCTAGCCTTGTCGACAACCCAAACCATGCGTGAGTGGCAGCCGGACTCAGTTAAGCCAGGGGCATCTATTGACCATAACCCCAAGTTCGGACGGATACGGTTGGCACTTCGTTTTTCTGACAATTATTGGCCTTTCCCTGTCAACTTGCACGTTCGCCGTCGGTCTATTGGCAGATATTACGCTCTCTCGGCGATTATTTTTATTGAAAAATCTTTTGTCAGTATGCAGTGCTCCGATGGAAGTATTGATTAGCCTGTTATACTGGGGGATCAGATTGGTAAGGAGCCATCATGACAGACTACAATCAATTTACTTGCGGTATATCAAACTAATTTTTCAGATTGATCCTCATCTTCTAATGCCCGAAGACGAACTGATTATTCCTTTTCACGTCGGTGGGTAGTGACTCTCTTACGCACGGAGGTTAGGTTATTACTAAGCTGTTATAGATCTGGGATTCCATTTGATTCCAAGCATTGTGATGCTTTTCGACATTCTCTTGCTCTCGCCTCCCTGGACAATCTCCGCCCTTCCAGCTATGGGTCTATCCAGTTGCATCGCTTTTGGTTACTGGTTCTGGATTGAAAAATGCTACGCTATCAACGGATGGTAAGCCTTGCTCTTGATTCAATTTAGATATAAGCATTTTAGCTGATAAGAATAGGTATCCTTATCCGCTCTTCGAGTTGTTAGATACTAAGGGACGCATTGGGCTCTTCTTTGTAAGTGCCTTTTTGATGGCTGTCAACACCGTCACACTCAAGTGGCTATATGGCCGCATCAATGGATTCGGCAGAGCGGAGCGCCCACGGGCACGATCAGGGCACGTCAAAGAACCTGATTTCCACAATTGAACACTCGACGATATATTTGCTAGGATTCGAGCATAACCAACGTAGGTGCTGATAAAGATGGGTGTTGACATGTGATGTCTGGAATTATACATTTCAGGACCCGAGGATTTAGATGTTCCGTGCACATATGAAACGACATAGAGAAACATAGACAATTCATAGCTGTGCAAATAAAGACCAAAAAGTAGATAAGATCAGCCAATCACAGGTCGGAGCGGCATACGGCAATTACATAATCCCCAAAGTGGGCCGGCAAGGCAGTTACGACATCTTCGCTGAGCTTGGAAAACCACAACTCTTCTAGCACGACACAGCATAGCACCAGCACCAGCGGAATTTCACTCTTTTGCTGGTTTTCAACTCCGTTCAGCAAGATGCATTCTTCAGTTGCCAATGCTTCTCTGCGGAATGCCGTGTTGGGGGGCTCTCGCTTTTACTGCTGCTTTACTCCGTTCACACCAACAACCACTTTCCCTCAACACTCTTCACGAACCAAGCACGCCGTCCTGAAGCGCTATATCAGCGGATTGTCGACAAAATGTCCCATTGACCATAAAAATATCTCGATGAACAGCCTTGCGCGAACACAGATTCCTCTCCAAAGGGCGGCCACTCCCTCAAGCTCACGCCTCTCGTCGCAGTTTATCATCACATCCATCAAGCGCAACTTCAGCGAATCTGCCGGTCTCCGCGCGCGGGCCTCGAAGCAGACCCAGTCGGATACTATCAGTAAGAAAAGTGCCGCAGCGTTGCTTGACTGGAACACATTCTTCAAATTGCGCGCCTCTCGCCGGCGCTACTCACTTGCTTCCTCAATTCTTACGTCCTTTGTTAGCACTGCCATTGGCGTTCAAGTACTTTCTACGCAGGACATTGACACACTCGGTGCGCAAGTAATGGGGCTAGATCCTTTCATTGTCCTTGGTATTGCTACGGCTGCTTGCGGTGCTCTGGGATGGCTCATCGGCCCGATTCTCGGCAATACGCTCTGGGGTCTCGTCAACAGACAGTACCGGAGTGGTATTGCTATTGTAAGTGTTCCTTTACTATGTTTCGAGATGCCTGATTTATCTAGATACAAGTTCCTAATTGATTGACTGTATTATAGAAAGAGAAAGAATTTTTCGACCGCATCAAGCGCTTCCGCGTCGACCCCTCTGCCAACTCCATTGCGAATCCCGTTCCTGACTACTACGGCGAGAAAATCGGCAGTGTGCAAGGCTATCGGCAGTGGCTGAAGGACCAGCGGGCCTACAACCGAAAGAAGTCGAGGCACATTCTATAGCGTGCGACTATACGCATGGTAGAAACTGTTGAGAGAATCGGACACACTTTGTTTTTGGTCTGTTTATAGTAAGCGAACTTTATGAGGTCCAGTCACTAGTTGTCATGGCAATGTATTTTTATTATAAAATTTGCATTTCCGCTTCTCGTTTCCGCTCTTAGAGTAGCAGGCTCAGAAAACATCAAGGCCTATCATCGCCCATATTTTCTATCTTCAAGACCCAGTTTCGATAATCTAACATGTTTCTATGTAATATAGATATGCGTACTCGAAAATTGTTTTGATAAGAGGCTGACTCCCGATCTAGGCCCGCGCCCTGTGATGAGCACTTAGCTCGTTAGGGAAGGAGAAGTATGTATTCGAACTGTTGTAAATCTATCATCTCCCGGATGGGCCATTCAGATCTCAGTGACAGCGAGAATTGTCCGGTATGAAATTCTGTGGACAAATCGTTGTAGAGACGATGTGACTCAGATCTGCCGCTGGGCCATGTGCTCCACGTCACATTCCAAGGTTATTAGACAGGCTGGCGGCGTTACTTACGCCAGAAGAACCCCAAAAAAATCTACTAGTTTAGAGGCAGACGAAGAAACGGATCAAGAAAAAGAATGGCTTCATCTGATATTTCCTCCATATTTGGAGCCCGACTCCTCTCCTCCTTCCCCTTCACCGCTGGCAATATCAATATCAACCATGGTTCATTTGGTGCCTATCCCTTTGCCGTCCGAGAAGCTTTGAACAATTACCAGCGGCGTATCGATGCTCAGCCCGATGGCTTTCTGAGATACGAGCTGCCAGAGTTAATAGACAAATCTCGCAGCGCAGTCGCGCAGCTAATCAATGCCGACGTTGACAATGTGGTGCTAGTCCCCAACGCCACAACCGGCGTCAACACCGTTTTGCGCAACCTGGTGTACGAGGAAGGCGACAAGATTGTTTATCTGGGGACAACATACAGTGCCTGCGAAAAGGCTGTGATTCATATCGTCGATACCTATAAACCGCAGGATTCGGTCGAGGCTGTCAAAGTAGATATGCGGTATCCGATGTCCAGTGATGAGATCCTGAAAAGGTTCGAGGATGCAATCTCCCACAAAGGGGTACGCATTGCCCTCTTTGATACCGTCTCAAGCCTTCCCGCTCTTCGGTTGCCGTTTGAAAAGATGGTTTCCCTGTGTAAGAAGTACAATGTTCTCAGTCTGGTAGACGGTGCTCACGGTGTCGGGTGTATTGGGCTCGACATGCGAAGCTTAGACGCCGACTTTTTCGTTAGTAATCTACACAAGTAGGTTGCGCTTTGCCTTGAAAATGGCCATGAAATAAACGGGCAGTTCTTGTTACTGACAGCTTACCGTTAGATGGCTTTACACACCCCGGTCCTGTGCAATCCTACACGTCCCAGCTCGGAATCAACATCTCATCAAAACCTCACTCCCTACATCCCACGGATACAACCCTGCAGAACGGCCAGGAAGACCAAAGGTTCACAATCCTTTACCAGCAAGCACCAAATCAACGTTTGTGTATCTGTTCGACTTTGTGGCAACCATGGATTATGCGCCATACCTGTGTGTTCCGGACGCCATCAAATTCAGAGAAGAGCAGTGCGGTGGCGAAGACAAGATTCTAACGTATACTATTACCCTTGCGAAGCAAGGAGCGGATCGCGTGGCTAGCATTCTAGGAACAGACGTCCTTGGAGATGACGACCAGAGGGCATGTCCTTTGACAATGGTACGGTTGCCGCTTACCTTCTCCGATGAGGATATCAAAGAAGAAAAGCACAAGTCGGTTCATGCGTGGATTGAGAAAACAATGTTTTACAAGTATGGAGCGTTCGTTCCTTTGATCTATCACGGGAGTCAGATGTGGGTTAGGTTAAGTGGGCAAGTCTACCTTGCCTTAGAGGACTTCGACAAAGTTGGGCATATGTTGTCTGATCTCTGTGCAAGAGCTGCAAAGAGAAAGACTTCGCATTTATGAAACAAGTTAAGTTTGTTTTACATTGTTCTTGCATACAATGTTCCAGCACAAAAGAGTCGAATGCCAGTCACCGACAGGAGTCATCACGGGGGAATTTACTTTCCATTAAATCGAATATTTAAAGATAAAAGATACCTCTGTTAATGAGAGACATTTCGCAATCGAATTTTTAATGGTTCTTTTTCCCACAGTGTAAAGGTTTTCTGTTCCTGCATCCAATTGCGACTGTCATCGTGCAATTCAAGGTCAAAATTCCATAAGATACGGCACATTGTCAAACGCATTTCCGCATTTGCTAGACTAAAATCAGGCATAGAGTCAGCAAAGATAGTGACTAAACAGCGGAGAGAAACAATCATACTTCTGTCCAATGCAGTTTCGCGGACCATATGAGAAAGGCTGGGTAGCATCTCGCTTGTCGTGCTCAAATCGTTCATCTATGCCCATCCACCGCTCAGGTATGAAGTCGTCAGGCAAATAGAAATTGCGACTCGATCGATTGGCAGACCACTGATGTACTCCGACTGCAGTTTTTGCCGGAACGAATCTACCGCATACAATCTCTCCGGGCGCCGGTGTCTCTCTGGGGAAGGTGTTGGGAGCCGGAGGGTATAGTCTGAGGGACTCCTGTAGTACGGCTTGCAGGAATGGCATACCAGCTGTTGATTGCATAGTTATGTCGGATTCATATTTGAAAGTGGTACGCACTTCATCAGTAAGTTGATCAAGATACTTAGGATTAGTGAGCAGAAGATAGAATGCGCCTGCTAGCAAGGTGGCTGTTGTTTCGCTGCCGGCAATGAGGAATATCGATGCCCCGGCTTTGATCTCTCGTACTGTCATGCCGTTCTCCTCATTTGCACGAAGGAAATAGGACACTGTAGTGTTGTTGTTAGTTTCGGCTTTTTAGACATGCCACGAAACTATCATCTTGGAAAGAAGCACTTACTGAAGTCAGGCCTTTCCGTGGCTCTCTTCATCCGCTCATCAACCTTTTCTCCACTGATCTTATGTTGAAACTGCTGGTCTTGCATCAGATTCTTCGGAATCATGGCAATCACCATCAACTCCCTTAAGGGCGAAGGAAAACGCCTAGCAGCTCGATACCAGTTTCCAAACTTGACAAGCCCGAATATAACATCAATATACCGGCTAGGCACCCCCTCCACAAGCGATCCAAATGGGCTCCCAAATGCAAGATCACCAATAGTATCAAAGGTCAAGAAATTGAGCCATTGCACCATGTCAATGACACCGCCGTGGTCCAAATTCCCGCCCTTTTGCTTACTGCTTGCTGGTAATGCTCGTTTCTGCAGCTGGTCGATGAACGTGTCAATGTGGACTTTGATAACGTCCTGTTGCGCTGTCAATGCCTTTTCTGAGAAGGCATGTGATTGCAACCTCCTGAGCCGGCGATGATCCTGGTCTTTGGCAATTATGATATGTGTGTCAGTGAATTTCTCAGTGCCGCCGAAGAAGCCCTCGTCCTTCTCAAAGCTGCCTGGGCGATCCCGAGTACGGTGGCCTAAGTGTAGGTAGGGTTTACATTAGCTCCTTTTACGGTCTCGGTGGGCGATTGCATGCATATTTTAGACATAGATGTGGCCTTGAGTCTGAACATACCACAAATATCAAACCATGCCTGCGCCGTGTTGTATGAAAGCTCGTTGGGCGCGATACGCACTACTTCGCCATATATATCGTGTAATTCCTTCTGCTTTGAATGCTGCACTCCGGTAAGATCATAATATAAGTGGTAGAGGCGAGTTGCTCGACCCAGCAGAGGACCAGGGTAATCTCGTAAAGGATGGAAGTAGACGTTGTAGACACATTTCGTAAGGAGGAAAAGAAGAGTCTATTCCTTTATTAGATCAGTAATAAAATCCACAAGAATCAGGTACTCGAAGCCAATTCAAGTAATTACAGTTGGCCAGCTGGGTTATCTTACGCTGACCGTAGTGTAGAATAATATGGATGCCCACTGCAACTCTGCAAGAGCCATAACAATTGATCGAAGCAATTACCTTGCACGGGAATCAGCTACCATCAATCTAATGAAACAGGCTTGTGAGGAAGGTCATTAGGAAGATAAAAATTGCTGGAAACATGAGGGAAATGCAAGTGATATAACGAGTGGGAGGGATGGCTCAACCGGAATGGTTGGAACGTGACCTACCTACCTATCCCACCTGCAGCAATGCCCGGCCGCAGGCGTCAACCCGTAGCAACCCTGCAAATTGCGACACCATTGGATTTATGCATATTGATCTTGGATGAGGGGTGTGCGTCAATACGATCTATACGAGCCATACGACGGTGACGACGAAGAAAAGTGTTCTAATCGACCCAATTACCAATCACCTCCGAAGATGATTTCTAGATCATATGCATAACGAACGCTAAGGTGGATTCTAGACGTCGCCATATAACTAACTGTCTTGGGAGAAACAGGGAACTGCGAGAATTTCCTATTCAACTAGTCATTGCATAAGTATTATCATTATACCTGAATCCGCGAGGTATCGTGCTTGGATCAATCTCATGCAGTATGTAGTTAAATGATTATCAATCGATCAAAAAGCCGATATTTCCTATTCCAGTTCTCGCCTCATTAGCCCTAACTCTAAACATACGCCAGCTCTACCCGCATGTACCAGCTTGACAACAATCGCAGCCATGTTCTAGAGTTTTGTTGCAGGTCAGTAGAAACAATATGTATGCAAACTATGATTAAACACTGTATATTGGGAAGCTCTAATTTTGCATAAGACCCGTTCGCGATTGCGGGTGGTACCTATGTATTTGAAGCTTTCATTCTAAGACATTCTAGTATGCCATGGCTAGTTCTCGGTAGTTTCTTCTCTTCATTTCTGGCGGTCAAATTTAAGGAACCCGATTTTCTTACCTTTCTTCGTAAAGTGAAGGAGTCAACGACAGGACGTCAGATCATGAACAGTGGCTTGAAATAAGACCCAAAGAGGAATACAAAATGATGGAAGGATTCACATCTATTTATCCCCCGCTGCTTCTCCTTTCAAGCCCTTACATAGGAAGGCGATTGCATGGATCTTTTGCGAAATTGAGAACGTCGTTGCCGAGCAAGGAATTCTGCTGGAACGCTCTGTACGCAAATAGAGCTGCTTTGACAGAGTGAAAACTCAGAGAGATTTTGATATTAGCTGCTTCCTGCTCCAACATGTCGACATCCTCCAACATATCGATGTGCTCCTTGGAATGAGTCTCAACGCAGTCCTTAAGGTATGTATCGGCGAGTATTTCTTCAATGAATGTAACCAATGGCTCGGTAACCTTGGTAATTGCTAAGCAGCGAGTGCAGCCGTACCTTGAAATTGACTCTTCCAGATATTGGCCCACCGGGTATGTTGCGGTTTTCTCAAGAGCCACACAAGCTCGGACGCCTTGTATCACCAGACCTTTCTTCTTTGCGTATTTGCAGAACTTCATGGCTGATTGTTGATGTACAAACACCACTCTTGCTGTGTGGTAACCAGTGATCGGAAATGTATTCAGTAAATCGGCCGAGAATACGTCTCCGTAACAGACCTCAGCAAGTACCCTGTCCAGCGTAGTATTTTCAGGGAGGTTTTCAATACGAATGGTACGGTATATGTCCTTGTCGTCGGCTTTCGGCAAGTAGCGTAAACCGTATTGAAAAATCCATTCGTCTTGCAGTTTGAGCTCGCAGTTGTCCATCGAATACAACATAGCCTGCTTTTCCTCGTCTTTGTCCTTGAATAGACGCATAAATTTCCATGCAATTGTCCCATCCCACGGTACCATATCCTGTTTCTTTTCACTAATCGCAACCTGTGTGGCGTCGGTGACAGCATTTTTCGCATTGGTCAGCTCCGGAGATTTTAACAGGATTTGTGAAGTAGGTGAAGAAGAAACGAATTCTGGACTGGTCGCTACCAGACTGGACTGTATGCGTGGCTATACATGTCAGTAGCAGTAGACTAAAGAGATGGCAAAACATACATTTCTAGACGGCGTTGAAGCAGAAACAAATTCTTCACTGCTTGCTGTCAGACGAGACTGTGTGCGTGCCTAACTCATATCAGCAGCAGCAATAGATCAAAGAGACAGGAAAGCATACACTATTAGATGGAGTCAAAGTAGGAAATTCGGCCACAGCTGTTCCATTGGTGATGATCTGAAAGATGTTAGCTATACTCAAATAGAAAGTTGTATCAACTCACCTTGGTAGCTGGCGTAAGGATAGGTGTGCTCAGGAGGCTGGGTTCGTCCAGTAAACTCAATAATGGCAATGACTGGTTACTAAGTTGATTGGGTGCGTTCTTAGTGTTCGTGTCGGTTACTCCATGAGCATTGTCATTAGACGAGGTCTGCGGACTCATTTAGTAAACATCACGGAAGCCATTAACTACTTCCTACTTACGTTTGGAGTTGGTGGTTGCACAAAAGCCTGAAGAGAGGTTTTGCCAAAGCCTGATGCACCCTTGGCGAATGCAGCTTGTCGTAGAGCTTTATTTTCGTCCTCGACGTACTGCATGCGATATTCAAGGACGCGCTGCTGGGCCTGCAAGGCATATACAGTCCGCTCAAGGAGTTCGAGCCGGTGCCTCACTGGCGAGTCTGATGTCTGCATGGTTTCTGTAGCTGAAAGCATTTAGACTGGTTGTGTTTGGAGGTGACAGTGATGCGCAATTAAGGGAAGAGAAAGAAACACCGCTCTCTGCCGTCAAATAATAAAGAAGTCAGCGATGAGTCAAACTGTTTTGTTCAAGGGATGACGATGGCGAAGGCGAGGAAAAAAAGGAAAAGAGAGAGAGAGAGAGAGAAGAGAGAAGCAAAGAGAGAGAAGCGTGAAAAGTGAAAGTGGGAGTCCGGTGAGGAAGGAGCACCTTCTGGGTAGAATCGAACAGAATGGGAAGGCGCGGTTGCCCTGACCTTTTCAACTCTGCACTCTACAAACTCAATCCTACCTGCAGGCTCCCACTTTTGCTTGTATCTACGCATTTGAAAATTCAGCTTTTGACGACAGAGAAATATTACTGGGGTGAAATCCTTCTTTCCTAGTAACACTGCAAGAAGGACTACGGTATACAGACTCTTTGAGGAGGTCACATCCTGTTTCTGTTGTCCGTGTGAGAGTCTATCGTCAGGCGAATGATTTTTTTCTTCACAGTGATGATATCCTCACAGAAACCCTGACTACGACCTCGTTCCGCGTATGCAAATGGCATCATGCATCCATCACCGTAATTCACATCAGAGCCGTTATTTTCAAACGCTCTAATGATACCGACGCTGGCAGACGATAGGATGATCAAGTCAAGTAGACGAATGACGAACAGAGTCCATCTGGGATCTAGCATGGCGGTGGAGATTGTGGACAGGGCCCCCGGTTAGTGGCCTTGGACTCGCTCTCTGCTGTGTACTATTGGTTGACAAGTCAAGCTTAATATTCTCTCCGCATTTTCATGGCTTTGACACTTCAAATACCGACCGCATTGAGTAACGTGCTCCGGTCGGAAGAAAGGATGCGGGGAAGGGATAGGAGCACGACCCAAACTACCAAAGCTCACGGATCGCTGCCTGTGGGTAGGCAAAACTCCGCAGAGTCCCAGGAATTTCGTATGAAATGAAGGCTGCTGATCTCGTCATGATTCGTTTAGGACAGGAAAGAAGCTTGGCGGTCTTCTGTTCGAGCGAGAGATAAAAGGGAGAAAGAATCTCCTTCATCCTCATTTCTTTTCCAGCGTCAATACCGGCTCAGTATCTCGAAAACAGTCCGTTTTCACGAAATTACTCTTGTTCACAATGGAAGAAGAAGAAGGGTATTTGGAAAAGCCTTTACACGTTCATGCTTCACTGGTCGAGGACCCTGATGAAGGGCTTTCCGAAGAGGAGAAAGCAAGCATTGTATGATTAGCAGACATAGGCCTCTTGAGTGTCTCACATCGGATTCTAGCTCACTGTACTTATTATAGGATCGCAAATTGCTATGGAAACAAGATCTATCTGCGATTGATTCCATGGCTCTCTTTGCTGTACCTTGCTGCGTTTTTAGATCGCACAAACGTGGGGAATGCGAAGATCGAGGGCCTGCAGAAAGCCTTGGATATGACCAATAACCAATACAACGCTACCCTCACTATATTCTTTGTCTCCTACTCTATATTCGAGCCTTTAACGAATGTGTTGTTGAAGCGTACCAAACCGAGCATTTTCATTTCGGCTATCATCATCCTTTGGGTAGGTTAATATGCTATGTGCACCTGCGCAAGTGATGTGTACATTTAGACTGAATGTTCTAGGGCATATGTATGACCACGATGGGGCTTGTCCATAATTTCTCCGGGCTTATGGCAGCACGCTGGTTCCTTGGTCTTGCTGAAGCGGGCCTTTTCCCCGGCGTGAGTTACTATCTCTCGTGTTGGTATAAACGATCTGAATTCGGCGTACGCATGGCTATATTTTTCTCTGCTGCAGCCCTCGCTGGGTCATTCGGTGGCCTCTTGGCTGCAGCGATCTCAAAGATGAACAACGTGGGCGGCAAGGCTGGCTGGTCATGGATATTTATACTAGAGGGCCTGGCAACAATTATACTAGGAGTTCTGTCATTCTGGCTTGTCGTTGACTTTCCGGACAATGCCACTTTCCTCTCAGAGCTTGACCGTAAGCGGGTTCTCAGACGATTGGTACTTGACCAGCAAGCAAGTGGAGAGCACGAAACGTGGAAGAGATCCTATATATGGGCTAGCCTGAAAGACTGGAAAACATATCTAGGTGCTATTATTTACATGGGTGCCGATGGGCCCTTATATGCATTTTCGTTGTTTCTCCCCACTATCATCAGTGAATTGGTTAGTTTTACATCCATGGAGGATTTTAAAATTTCTGCTTACCTGTATAAACAGGGCTATTCCTCAATCAAAGCCCAGCTTCTCAGTGTCCCGCCCTATGCGGTTGCAGCAATTCTAACGGTAGCAATTGGTTACATCGCTGATCGCACACGAGCACGGGGTCTCTGTAACATCATTGTCTCATTACTCGGCGCAATCGGTTTCTCAATGCTTCTTGGTGCTAAAACTGCCGGCACTCGCTATGCGGGTACATTCCTTGGTGCCATGGGCATTTATCCCTGCATCTCCAACACTATATCCTGGACGAGCAACAATGTGGAAGGTGAGTGTAAGTTTCGCATCTCCTTGAAACTTGCTAACGTTGTACAGGTGTCTACAAACGCGGCGTTACGCTCGGGATAATGATTGGCTGGGGAAACCTCAACGGTATCGTTTCCTCGAACATATATCGTGGACAAGACGCGCCCATTAACTACCCTGGACATGGGACTGTTCTCTCCTATCTTGTCATCTTCCTACTCTGCGGATCGGTCTTGCAAACTATCCTCCTGCGAAGAGAGAACAACAAGCGGCGACGGGGTGAGCGTGATTACCTCGTAGAGGGCTTGAGTCCAAGCGAGATCAAAGACTTGGGAGACATGCAGCCGGGCTTCATCTATACTACATAGGTCTAGTCTGGGATATATCAGCGCAGGATGATAAGGCGAGGTTGAGATGTCTGATTAACTGCATCAGTCTTCTGGGGCCTGTAGAAATAGGATATAGGTAGATGAATGCATGCGTACTGATTTGCTTCAGATGCTCTACCATATAGATTCCAGTGACCATTCAAAGGGTATCTCATCGTATAGAACCGTAGCATATAGACGAAGGAAGAACTCATAGTTTGTAGGCGGATAATCCGAAACGAATTTAGATAGACATCTCTCCAACTGACTCAACTTTACCCTTCAATTGAATACAAATTGACAATATCCTGATTCTTTTTCGGCCCCTTGACGACATGTCTACTAGCCCAGCTCAGCACCTCGCCCGTTTCTGGCACTATTCTGAACGAGTATGCTGTGTAGTACATATCCTTTACACAAAGATGGTCTCCTCGCGCATGTATCACTTCGGTCTCCGGGTATGCCTGTGCCAGAGTCGAAGACGATGCTAATAGCGGGGGTGTGGGCGGTTGTAAGGAAAGGGTTCCCGTCTTCTCATCGGTGACGGTGACGGTGTCATTATTGCCTTGTTGCTGACCAAAATCAAATTTGTGGAAGAGATAATCTGCCTCTTCTTGTGTCTCTTGATCTTCCTTGTTTCGCTCACGGCCAGATTTGATTTTGACGAACCAGATACTGATTCCGCCAGCACCAGCGCTGAGCTCAAGGTTTTCATCTGTTTCTTTTGCGTCTTCTGATGTGTTCAAGGCGTCGTTGCTGCTATTGTTCAATCGCCAGATATATTTCTTAGTCCACTTCAGGCCCGCCATGCCTGGTACGGTACTCGGCATTTCGCCCTCTTCCCTGTAAACCATTTCTCTGTGTTTGTGCTTCCTGTCATTATCGATATTACTATTATTGTGATTGTTAATCAGAGGATGAAAAGTCGCGATCCCGGTGAGTTCGCCGTTGATTTCTGTGGGGTTGTCGCTGCGGAGAATGCGTCGGAGATACCATTTACGTGGTGGTGAGTTTGGTAATAGCGGCGCAATGTCAGGTGTGTGAATTGGGGAGTGTGAGGATAGCGAGGTGAATAAGTAGGAGAGTAGGCGGGGTGAGATCGGTGGTGATGGCGATTTCATGCTCGTCGTCGTGGAGGTCTCAAAGACAGGCATTGTGTGTGGAAGTGTGGAACAAGTAATGTTTCGTTCCTCGTTCTTAATTTGTTGTTTCAATTATGAGGAAAATGCTTTATTCATAGCAGCAAATCTGTTGAAGCTTGGGTAGATTGTTGAGCTTCTTCGGTGCTGTGCCGGGCCGAAGAAGCTATTTTGTTCCTATCGATCTAGCCAATTGGAGGATTCCAGTCACGTGACTATAGAGAAATACAATGTTACATACTCATGAAGATCCAGAGCTGTGGATGATATTGCTAATTTTATTGTTATATTCTTTTGTGTTATTCTTTGCTTACTGCATTTAGTGTGTTTTCTTCCAATAAATAGACAATACGATTATTTGAGGCACTTATCAGGGCAATAAGTGATAAAAAGAATTTCAAGCTTTGTGCTTCGAATAAAGAAGCATGTAATAAGAAATTAGGGATTATGACAACAACAACATCCGACGTTTCTCTTGTATTAGATAGATAATGCTATTATCCATTCAGATGGCACACTTTGTATGAGGATATCAAAGGTTGAGCAAAGGATAAACAGTAAACAAAGGCTGACATTGTTACTATGAGATGTCAACGTGGAATCTGGCATCTCTGAATTTCTCCAAAGTTCAAACAAAGATGGCAGCCTGTGTGCTCTACCTGCCATCCCATCTCCATCACTATATAGATACCTACTCATCCTGCCAATTCTGATGATCTTTTGCATCACTATTCCGGTCTCCTAAATGTTTCCCTTCTGATTTACTTCTTTCTCTATCATCATACCATTTGAGCACCACCAGAGGCTTGTCTCGTTGCCAGCAAGCACAGCAGACAAGAAAAGTTGCCATGGAAAACGGCAGCAGAAGAGCGGAGAGCCACGATGCCCACTGGAGCAGAACTCTTGTCAGCCACAGGGCAATGCAGAATCGGAGGCTCCAGGTCTCTGTACGGCATCATACACATGGTATTGAAGGCACCGAAGAGGCCGACGCCGGAGTGAAACAAAGCATCATTGACGAAATTGGTGCCACGAACTACGTAATCCACGACTACCTCAGCAGCGATGATGAAGATCACTACGACGACGACAACGATGATGAAGAGGAAGAAAGACTATGGAACAATGTCGTCAGTCGTCGTCTTACCATCACACGACTACTAATTCTCAGTGACCTGATCAATCTTGTTCGGAGACAAGCGAGCGAGCACGCACTACCTCGGACGGATGTTTTCAGAATCTGGGAAACAATAGCACCAGGCGACCCAATGACGATCGTTATTGATGCTCGAGCGGAATTTGTGCACATGGTTCAAGATGTGCTTGATTTTCACTTTGGGGAGGATGGAGAAGAAGAAGAAAGATAAGGAAGCACAGTCGAAGCCCAATGAGAAGCAGAATGAGTAACCACACGAGGATTGGAACGAGAAAGTGAAAGAAGAGGTGCAAAGGCAGAGGAAGAGGGAGAGTAACTTTCTTGCAATTTTGGAAGCTGTGGGTTCATTTGTTGACATTTACTGTGCTATTGTTTCTGGAGTGACCGTCGGATTGATTTATGGAGTGGGAGATATGGCATGTATTGTTGTTTTTAATGAGTTGCGGTGTTGCTTAGAATTGGAAATACATTTAGACTAAATTTAGATGACAATAAATTAAGCTTATCTCTATCTTATCATCTTATCGATAATGGTCACTGGACCTGCCGACTGCCCGAAAGGCCGACCAGCGACCAGCGGAATCTGCAAGGCCCCGCTTGACGACCCCTTGCTTGGATCAGCTGACCAAACTGCAAGGATTACTTTCATCCGAAGAACGGAGCGCGTAGTTTAACGCGCACGTGATTCTACTTCGTTACATGCCCTGCGTCGATCCGCAGCACAAGCAATCTCGGTACCTTCCTAACCTCCGACGCTACATGAGTGATACATACATACATAGTAGCTTGGGAACCTCCAGGAAGCCCGCGGATGTTATGTCAGTCCGCTGGAATCCGTGCAAAATTCGCTCATGTTCCGAGTACTTACCTAGGTACGTAGTACGGTAAGGGAAGGAAAGGGAGAAAAAAAAAAGCTCCCATGTGGATCAGTCATATTTCTGTCTAGTTAGTATTACCTCAACCATAAACTTTCTGAGTCACGAGGACACATTGCATTGCATATCGTCGGTTAGGTATGGAGTCGGCACGGACTTAGCTCGCAATATATTTTTGTCTTCAGCGATCTAGATGCAAGTTTTGGGTGGCGTACGGTGCCGCACTGCCGATCCGCAATAGCCCATTGAGATTTGACTCGTACTATTGCCTGTCTCGGTTAGCGTTAGGCGGCGGGATCTACTCGGAAAGAAAAAATAAAAAAAACTATACGTGGTAATTACGTTGGCAGCCAATTTTGGGGAATCAAGTTTGATTCGAATTCCTAACCTAAGGTAAAAGCCGTCTCGACCTTCAGCCAGATCATTCATTGATACTGTGCGAGGGAGATCGAAGAGATGTATAGTAGTGAGAAGAGAGTCATTAAATAAATAACATGAGTAGTGATCATATCCTAAACGATACATGAGTGCAATGCTTATCATCAATCAATCCCAACCAATGCAATGCTAGTGTATCGCTTTCCAATTCCGAAAACAAAAACAAAAAAGAAACCAAATTGCGCCAGACAAATGCTCGCAGATCAGAACGTCGCCATGGGTATATTCATAACATAATCAATCGATGATGGTAAATAGAGCGGTAACTTTTGTGTTGGTTTTTTTAGAAGGCAGGAATCATCGTGCCTTGGTGGATAAATCCATGCTCTTCAAACATCGGTTGCGTTTCTGAGTCTGTAAGCAGGTCGGCCCGCTTGGCAGGGTGTTCCTGCTGTTGTTGTTGTTGTTGTTGTGACGAGGTAAATGTGTCCATGACCAACGCTTCGGGTGATGGTGGCATCGAGTCTTCATCGTCATCCGATGACAGATCCTCGAGTAACTCGGGAGGAGATTGTTGTCGGGATGGTGAGCGTGTTAATGTGAGGCGAGCAGCTTCTTCCTCTTCCTCTTCTTCCTCCTGCTCGTCTTCGTCTTCCTCGGAATCGTGCTCCGCAGAGAGTAGGGCTGGTGGAGACGGTGCTCGGCGCACCGGACTGGCAGTAATGGCTTGGAAAGTGAGGTCTTCGAATTCTTCTTCGTCTTCATCGTAATCCGAGTAATCGTCATCGCTGACGTCGGAGTCATCATCGGAGTAGTCCTCCATGGACTCCTCTTCGATTGTGTCTGCCCATCGGATATGTGAAGGTTGGGCTTTCTTGGTGGCATTGCGGACGGTGTTGTTGAACCATTGTTCTTGTTCCTTCTCCGCATTGGCCAGGTCCAGCATCAACGAATCCAGCAGGTTGGCGTGGCCAACGAGCAGGCGCAGATCATGGTCCGCTCGGGCAGCCTCCTTGGAGAGCTTGCTCCGGGCGGTGTGCGCGAGGTAGTAAGTCTGGGTGATGCTCATTTTCTTTTTGGACAGGGGAGAAGAAACTGGGGAGGCAAATGTGAGAGCCATTTCAGTAGGCGGAGGATGAGACACCGTATATATATAGATAATTATATATATATATATGTGTGTGTATAGTGTCGGTCGGCTAGGCAGCGCCGAGTGACTCAGTCTGGTCTTTTGTGTTTGCTTTTTCCGCTGCGAGGGAGAGCGGTGAGGAGGGGAACGTGGGCAGGAACGCGGCTGATTGGCTGACTGGCTGCTTTGCTGGGGGGGTGCTTGGTGAGGTGGCCGGCTTAGACCCTTTTTTTCCTTTTCCTTTGCCTTGTTGTCTGGACTGTGATTTCAGAAGTGTCGCGCGGGCAGGGAGCTAGGTCTTTATGCACCGGTGGAATGAGCCAAAGTCCTAAATCCAGATTTTTAATCCGGCATCCGAGCCAGGCGGACGGTTGAAGCTTACGGCCGACCGCGCGCCCCACCCGAAAATCTTTTCCCGTGACTAATCTTTCTCTCTCTTACTAGTTAACTCCGTGGATGCAATTCGATCTACTCCTAGTCTGCGACTCGTCCATCCATCCTTCCTTATCCTGGACGAACTTAGTGGACTACGTAGTTACTAGTTAACTAGGTGGTTTTGACTCGCAATCATTGCCAACTTCGAGCATCTAGTTACTAGTTACTCACCGCTCCTGGCCGTGCAGCAGCCCTTTCGATCGTTTTCCACGGCCCGCCAGTCTTGGCCAACCCCAGATTTGACTGCTCCGCTTAGCAATCACTTCCGGTTACTCATCATGACTGACTGCCTGCCTGCCATTATTAATCACGCTGTATAGGTAGTTAACGGGTTACCCTCTCTATACAGTTATTAATCGCTTACTTTCATGAATCATATATTCTTGCAAACATGCAATCATTGCAATCATTGCATCCAATGCATTCAATGCAAACACTGCAACGCAAATCGCGCCAAGCGACGGCACAATTAATCTAGCTGCCTCAGCAACCAGTCAATCCTGCCTGACTAGCTAATCAGAGCGATCACTCTGACTATCTGAACGAGGGTGCCTGATGTGTACCAAACTAAAAAATGCTAAAAATTGCTGTAAAAATCTAAAATCTTCGTAAAGCTTGCCTAAACGAGTAAACGAGGGTGCCTGATGTGTACCAAACTAAAAAATGCTAAAAATTGCTGTAAAAATCTAAAATCTTCGTAAAGCTTGCCTAAACGAGTAAACGAGGAGCTAGGCTTGACCACATCCGGCTAGGAATGCGAACGGGCATTGCTGAGAGTTGAAACAGACTGATGAAACGCGCTCAGCCTCGTCCGCTATGTCCCAGGGCAACTCAATTTGTCTCGCTAGAAATTTAAAAATTTATGCTGCCTGACGATAGTTAGTTTGTCAAGGGCTTGAGGCTGAGCTGACTCATAGTCCCGTCGCCCAATCGCATCCGCTGGACGGAACACGGAGTTACGGGCAGCCTTACAAAGCTGGGCAAGAAGGTCCCCACAGATTTATGTTTTTTTTTTTCCTCTTTTTGCTTTTTTCTCCCCCTCGGGTTTCACTATGATCAGATAACATTGGCTTGGCGACTTCAGTGGTTTGCCAATTGCGCTCCTCTTGCTGAGAAGCAAAGTGCAAAGTGCAAATCGCACACAGTGACGAATATACTCCGTGGTAGATAACTACATACTGTAGTGTAGTGTATCCTGCAGACCATACAACCCGACTGGTGTAACACGGTATATCGGAGTTCGGTGGTTCGGGCTCTCAAATCTACGACTGCGGTGTCTTGATGAGCTGTCCAGCGGCGCTCTTTATTGGCTCGCACTCGTTTCCTGTCACGCTAAACCTAATCTAGAGTAGAGCACCGAGGTCCGCGGACCGGACCGCTTCAAAAATTTTCGTCCGATAGTCTCTCCCTCACCAAGTTTCCCTGGACACTCCGTGGACACGACGGAGCTGCTACCTTCCGATTTTTGTGCATAGCTGAAAACGGAAATACGGAGGCCTCTTAATCCCAAACCCCGTTTATCCTCCCAGGATAAGCTTCTTTTCTTGGCTCACTACGCGAAGGAATAATGAGTCATGATGTCACCATAGACAGCAGCAAGGGCTTTTGCTTATGTCCGGATCGGCTGCGTGGCTTTCCGTGATATACTGTCAGCCCTATCACCCCGAGGCCATTGGATCACAATCCTGAAAGTCTAGACTTGATATTCATGTCCAGAGTGTCTACGTGGTCATACGATTTGCTGCTGTCGAAGCTTCGAGATACGTACGCGCTGGAGTCTAGAAAGATTCTCTCCATTTTGCCTCTTGCTGAGTTCACTCATGGCATCAACTAACTAACGTGTTTTCAATAATATATGTATAAAAGGCTTATTATATATACAATATGTATAGTTTCATATATAAATATATTTAAATAACAAATACGTTAGTAATTATTGTGATTTCAACCCGAAGGTGTTCCTATAATATTTAAGATCTATCAAGCTGCGTATATACTAGTAGAGACCTTTGCGCAAGTGGGTCTACAACTAAATCTTCACAACTATTGCTTTTTTGAGTAGGCGGTCTCGCTAGCGTTGAGGCCTCAGGCTTCCATGCTAAACTATAGAAGGCAGGAAGTTGAGGACATATATATAACAGTTGTACTGGAGGCGCCCCCTTTGGGGACGCACTGCCGGAATGAAAGTAAATCTGAGGCAATCACGGGACTGCAATCACGTGATGTCCTGATTAGGCCAATTTCTACCTCGACGTTCAGGCACCGCAGCGCTCCCTAGCTCGTTCGCTGGGTGGGGTTATGTGCACGCGGCAGACATTTTTACCTTCCATTTTATTCTGGCATATGGGTTCTCAACTTTTATTTACAATTAGTGCCCTTTAATAAGGCTAGATTGGAAATATTTACTCGAGTATTTCTGAGGAGTAAGTTAATATATATTTTTACTAGCAACTCAACTCTCTATCTTTTTTCTAACGTGAAAAGATGTCAGAGAATCAGAACGTCACAGCCAATAGATATGAAACGCTAATGCGTGGAACAAAGGAATATCCGAAGACCGACTCGCTATGAATATTGAGGTATACATATGGAGATCACGGGCTCACGGAAACACGCAGAAGCTAGGACTAATTAGGATTAGGGCTATAATATCCATCAGAGCCAAATGTTAGTATCTGGCTATGATGGATATGATGCGACTCATCAGAGTCAATTGTATGAGGATGACTATGATGGCTATGATGGAGGATAACTATATAAGGACACTCATTTACCATGTATTTAGTTTTCTTCTATCGTCTTGAATTAACTGAGATAACTTGAGTATACGATCGATCTTCTATCGATCAGGATATTCAGACCTTATTCTTATTACTTTCGTCTTTCACGACCTTTTGACCTTAAAAGCCTATTAACTTCGCCCGTTAATAGCTATCCTAGCTATACTCGACGGTAATCCAACCGAAGTTTCCGACAAAAAACTAAACATTAAATGGAGAATTTGAGTTGGGGATGCACCCCTTTTAGAAGGTGGCTTTCCTATAATAATATTAGCAGGAGTTGAAGCAGGACCTCTCGATGAGTCAATTTATCCATTTTTGGTGAGAATTGAAGTCAATTTGGATGAGAAACCAAGGTGCAAAGTTAGGCATATCTGAGGTCTTATATTGGTGCACTAGGATGACCTCGATTAGTGCACCTTTGGTATTGTAAGGCCTTGTAAGGTGGCTATTGCTTACAAATATGCCTCTAGGCCTAATATGTGTTAGTATAAGGCAGCAAGGCGCTGAAAAAAATAAAACCGGCAGTATTGAGTTGTGAAAGTATAGTTGTGCAGCCGGCTGTCTCTAGTAGAGGGTTAGAAATGGCTATGTTCTATGGGTTGATCCGTTGACCTGTGAAATACGTTACCCGTCTCGTCGCTTCCCCAGGGTGGGGGGGAAAGCGACGAGACGAGAACGTTAATGGTACGTCATTTCCTATCTCCGGTATATTCGATGTAAATGGCGAGTATATATGAAGCGCTCCAGGGACAATTCTTCGACTTAATTAGAATGTCAATTCTCATACCCTTCTCACATTCTTCAGAACCCTCACAATGGTTTTCAACAGCTCCTCTCCGTTGTTTCGGCATCGCCAGCTCGCACCTGCTGCCTCAGTCCGCGCCTCCCCATTATGTCTGGGCACAATGACATTTGGCAGCGTTCAACAGTCCCGCTACGGAGAATGCTCACGAGAAGACTCTTTGGAAATGCTGGATTACTTCGTCTCGCAAGGCGGAAACTTCATCGACACAGCAAGCGGATACCAGCACGGCCAGTCCGAGATACTGCTCGGCGAGTGGATGACCGCCCGCCAGAATCGCGACCAGCTTGTCCTTGCGACAAAGTACACGACACCTTACATGACGCACCATGAAGACAAGATCCAGTCCAACTACGGCGGAAATGGCGCCAAGTCTATGAGAGTCAGCCTAGAACAATCTCTGCAGAAGCTGCAGACAAGCTACATTGACCTGTTCTACGTTCATTGGTGGGACTATTCAACATCCATTCCAGAGTTGATGCATGGCCTTGATGACCTGGTCAAATCAGGAAAGGTCATCTACCTTGGTATCTCCGATACCCCCGCGTGGATTGTCGCCAAGGCAAATCAGTATGCCCGTGATCACGGGCTGCGCCAGTTTTCTGTGTACCAGGGCATGTGGAACGCAGCACTACGCGATTTCGAGCGCGACATCATTCCCATGTGTCGAGACGAAGGAATGGCTCTGTGCCCGTATGGCGTTCTGAACCAGGGACGTTTCCAGACGAAAGCCGGGTTCAAGGAGCGCGAAAGGCACAACCCGGGCCGCAATTTCGTCCCTCTTTCTGAGCACGACAAACAAGTTTCACGCGTGCTGGAAGGCATTGCGAATAATAAAGGAGTTGGGCTTCTGGATATTGCTCTGGCATATGTGATGCAGAAGGTGCCATATGTCTTTCCCATCGTTGGTGGGAGAAAGGTTGAGCATCTCAAAGGCAGTATTGAGGCGCTGAGAGTGACCTTGACTGCAGATGAGGTTGCCCAAGTTGAGCAGGCATACCCCTTTGATTATGGGTTCCCCAATACATTCCTTAGTGGCTCGTTATTTGAGACCGGGCCTTCATCGATGGCGAATGGCCCTGGAGATGTGTGGTTGACGAAGCAATTAGGCACTTTCGACTGGGTATCCGCACCTGGTCCGATTAAATCATTCAACGAGCAAAGTTGATGTTCACTACTTATGGTTTCCATGTCGCTGGGTTCCCTGAGCTACTCCGGCGCACTTTGAAAAGACCTTGATTGTGACTTTTCTATCCGTTTTAATAAATACAACGGCGAATTGATACTCAAACTGAACCATTGTAAACTGCCGTCGCGCATGCCATGCCTCACAACTTCTTCTCTCTTGCGCATGTACCCCGCACATTCAGTGATACCTCACTATATGGTCATGATTGTAACATTGAGCTTGTACTAACTTGTTCTTGTAGTCGAAACGCTCCGATGAACTAAGGTGCAGTTGTATGGGTTAAAATTTCAGGATGTTGAAAGTTGAAGTGTAAGCGCTAAGCGGTCAACAACGATCTTTAGTTATCTCGCCTTGCCGAGCAATTTTATTCGAGTTAGAAGGCCCAAATAAGTCATTCGTCCTCGACTATATATCATTACAATTAGTTGAGTAAATCGAGCAGGTTCAAACAACAATAGCTATATACACGTGTATTAGTGTTCCAATTCGGGATTAGGCCGCGAACCCGGGCCCCGCAGCCCCGCAGCCCGACAACGTAGCCGAGAGCCGAAAAAATTATAAAAACTTTTTGGAAGATGCTCCTTTTCTTGAGCACATCAATGTAAAATTGAAAATATTGCAAAAAAATGGACTTGCTGGGAATCGAACCCAGGACCACTCCCATGCTAAGGGAGTATTATACCACTAAACCACAAGCCCATGTGTTGTTGAAGCAGCTGCAGGATAACGCCTTATTCCAAGAGTATCCCCCAGAGGCCAACGTGACTTAGTATTCAAGGAATTGATCCATGTATAAAGCAAAGAATCTTATCGCACCATTGCATCCATAATAATTGACTGTAACAGCAAACCTAGCAAGCAGCTCAAGATTCATGTCCCAAGTTAGGCTTTTGTGCCAGCAATGAATGGTATTCAGCTGCCTCGTGAGTCTCAGGGTCCCAATTATAGACATTGAGCTCGACCGACCCTTTTGCCGAACAGCGAAACACTCTTCTTCCAGTCGCCATTGAGAGTTTTCTTAAATATCGGTGAAGCTAACAACAGAGGTTTCGCTGATAACTGTCATATCTGCATAGATATCAAGCGCTTCTCTGCTTGCTGCTTAGGCCTTTTCTCTAAGAGCCGCTCAGGGTTCACTGCGGTAGGTAGAACAAGAGCCTCTTTTTCACATAGAAACAGCTTACCCTTGTCCCTCCTTCTCCTGTTCATGATCCCAATCTGCAAATGAGGCATTGGCATCTTCCAATACTATCATAAACTCTCCATCTGGATCAATCACGTGCGCCGGAGCTTCCATGGTGGTCGTTTTGATTTGCTGACGCATTCTATAACTTCACTAAGTATTAATAACCACAAAATATTCCGCAAGGTTGACAAACTTCCATATCGGAATAAACTTTACCCGATCGGCTCAGATGGAATAGCTCTAGTCTACCATGTGATTTAGAAGCCACCAGTGATCAATCACGCGTCAGTGCGTGCCTGCATTTCTAGGTGTCGCCACGAACAAGCCATGTCATTCTTTGCTTGATGAACTTCTTTATACAACACCCAAAGCCAAAATGATAACACCAACAGTACGATAGTAATAAGTGGAAGTGCCATACTCAGCCTGCCATAGGCAATGGAAAGTTTATGCATATTGTCAACATCATTCCCTCTTGTGACCAAATCATGCCAGCTTCTCCAAAGAGTCTGTCCTCGTAGCCTGGGTAAGTCTAAGGCTTTCTGAATACCTAGGTAGATCAAAGTTTCTCCTGTGCATATATCGTATGCAGGTCCATAACAACGTTTGGGAGAGGATTTTATAAAAGAAATTATCCTAGCGTTATCTAGCCTTGCGGCACTGTTAATATATATATTTATATAGGGGCAAAGACAACGATGTCGAAATCACAAGCGGCAACAAGATCATGATAAAGCCATGATTAATAGCAGCTTCCTGATAAGCCTTTAATTGATATATATTCCTACGGGAAATTATAGCCCGGCCCCCGAGGTACGCGTGCGCAATACGCCAAAACGAACGGCCTTGTCCAAATTCATATCGTTGAGATGTGGAAATCAAATGTCGAGGAAGAAAATGAACGAACAAATAGAAAAAGGAAAAGTAGCTTCGCATGCGTCTACCCTTATGAATATGGTTGTATTCCGATACTTTCACTAAAATAGAACGTCATCTCCTATGGAATGATATCACTTGGATAGTGGTAAAGCTGATGTTTTTTCGCTAGGCCAACCTTGGAATCCAAAAATCAAAATGCTGTCATCTTCGACCTTGTAGCGATATCGCGGATTATTGAGCCAGTCCAGTTCGATGGGAAAGTTTCGATGGAGGAGGATGACCTCTGGTTTGACACCCAGGTTTTCATGGGTGTTTTCGGCCAAAATTCGGTAGACAGGATTATGAATTGTAAGCTGGTTGTCATGAGCTAGAATGTTTATGGCTGAGCCAGTTCACCGGAAAGCTGCAAGACGGCGGACGGGGGTAAAAAGGGAGAGGCATATGACGAAATAATTGATTTTGATGCTTTTGTATACATATGTGTTTCCTCTCACTTAGTGTGTTTAAGTATATAGCGTGTCAACCAATATCTGAAGTTTAAATTCAACTAAGACTTTGCTCCTGTACCGTTATGCATAATACTACTAGTAATAACAATTAGCCATTAGGGCTAACCTGCCAAGGTGCTAAATGCTCGCAGCACAAGTTTACAAAGAAGTGGACAGTGAATAGTTCATAATCGATAATCTGTGTGTTCATTCAGACGTTACTTGACTATTCTTGTCCCTAAAATTTCTTGGGCGAGTTCGAGCATCTCGATCGTGACTCGTCACGTGTATCATTTGCATTTTTTGTCATTTGAAGGGGATTGTTCGGTAACAACGAACTCATTGCTTTATATTTCACAAATAGTGCTAAAGCTAGAACTGACAGTCGCCGATTCAATGCGAGGGGCGACATGCTTATTGGCTTGCCTAATAGCATAGTCTCGTTGTTCTTTTGCCCAGTCTCTAGCATTTCGATACCAAGTTGCTCCTTCTCGAAATGCCTCAGTAGTGTCCGTTAAGGCAAAGGACCTTAACTGGTCCATGTAATACTCTGGCCAGTCTGGAGAAGCTGATTTCGAAGGATGACTGGTAAAATTTCGAAGTTGGCCGTTGTGGTATATTGATGAGATTGTATACGCGTTATTATCAAACTCAGGTTCACCTTTGCTATATTCCTGTAGTGAGTGCATCCCCCTTGCTCCTAAGGCTCCGTCATAGCACGCCTGCCTTTGAGCTACTGATACTAACCCATCAGGACCTTTCACTGCCAGGAAGAAATTTGGTACGGCTGGAAGATCGTGCTGTGTGAATGGAACTAACTGATTGTTAAGCTCACTGCGTATTTCAGGGCGTGCCCAATAGTAACGATCAGGGTTCCCTGGAACTAATGTTCCATCTCTGAGATGCTCAAGATTTCTAAACGGGATACCACCTGCAACACATCTATCATCTGTATTGTCACCCTCAATCATAGGAATTACAGACTCTGTTACTTGCTTCTCTTTGAAGGCACGGCGTTAGCACGTATGAATTTTCCATGCATATTGTCGTTGATTTTTGAAGGAGAAAAGTGAGCGTCGGCGGCGTGCTAATCTTTCCTTGATATCACTCCAATTCCTAGGTTTCGGTGGCATTCGCCCGTCTGGATATTCATAAATGTGAGGATAGATACTATGGTCGTATGGCCCGCTGGTCTGTACAGATGAGGATTTAATGTCACCAGAAGTACCTAAACGTTGCAAAGCAGTTCCTGAGGCGCTCATACTCTGCTTCTGGACTCGGTATTTTGATCGGCGGCAAGTCGTATTAGGCTCAGGATACTGTAACGATCAGTTTGAAGCCTCAAGGATATTAGTTACCACATACCCCTCTTAGTTCCGATAGGTCTAGACTTCCCTGACGAGCAAATCTTTGAAGAGTGACAGGTCTCAGGGGTTGAATGTCTGAGAGCACACTTGGTGTGGTTTGTTGTTGGCTTCTCTGCTCAAGCTCCCGTAGTGAACCGGCTACTGCCAATGGAGTCATCACCACCCAGAAGCATCAAGGCAGCATACAGGTGATCAACGCGACTGTCATTAGGCATTCAAGATGACCATCTTATGTGCCGGGAATCGAGCATTATACCTGAGGGTCAACAGGACGATTGAACCACGCACAGTGAACAACTATAGTTTTCGACCAACTTCCAAAGCATCAACCACACGCTCCTTGAAGTCAAGCGAGAGCTCCATGTTGCTGTCAGTTTTGAGTTTACTGGACAGACATGCCACGACAGCCGATGTGTATGACTCTCCCACCTCCTTCGGAAGCTCTCGCTGAGCCAAGGCGAGAAACGCACTACGGACGTCTTTGGCCTTTGGGAGTCGTCCAGTCTTATGTGCATCTTTGATTACTTTGTCAAAGAATTGGGAAACAGTCTTCCAGAGGCCAATTTCCAGCAGAACCACGCCCAGTGCATAGATATCATGACTTCTACTAAACTGACGTGTGGGCTTGCCCTGGCGCTCTGGATGTCGGTAAAGGTTGGGTTCGACTTCAAAGTCGCTTTTCATTTCCGTGCCACCCTGCTCCGGTCTAGCGTATCCCCAGTCCCCCAGAAATGCCAGGGTCTGTCCTCTTTTTGAGTCGGCTGCCCCTGCTTCATTGCTCGTTGGACGGAACGGTTTTATGCTGTTATCACTGCTTCGTTGAAATAGAAGAATACCCCTGCTCCAGACATTCTTGTGAATCCAGTGTGATCCATGGACATTCAGCAGAGTAAGTGCTAAGCAGTGAGCGATAATAAATCGATCCCCTAAAATCGGCTTCCCTAACAGTCTTTTGCTAGCAGGATCTACCCTGTTTATAAGCTCGTGAAGTGTGATTAAGCCAGCAGTGCTATCGCCAGCTGCGAAGGGGAGCTCATAGATAAAGACCGAGCGCCCATTTTCAGCCTGGTCAACGAAGCCCAGACATTGAAGTGCATATATAATAGGCTGGTCTGAATCATCTGTCTGCTCTTCTCCACTGAACGTGGAATTCTGCAATAGCCAGGCTAGATCTCGGACAGGGGCTTTTAATTCGTCAATTTCTTCCGAGTCCAGGTCTTCAACCTTGAGGCGGCTGTCATATTCATGATACTCGACAATTACTTGTTGTTCCTCTCTATTGTGCTTCCAAAGGGCTAGCTGAAAGCTGCCGGTCGATGTGCCATTCTCTTCAAGTTCGCCGCTGAGAGATTCGTAGTCATCCGGCGCTTTCAAAGACGCAAGTTTCTGTCTTTTAGCGACAGGTTCCAAGCCAGTGCCTTTGAGACTAATTTTGCTCATGGAATCTGACAAGGAATACACAGCTTCCTGCGAAAAATGCTGCATCATGTCTCGCAGGCTATCGGCCCATTGTTTGTATTCCTCGACTACCGCAATAATCTTCTCCTTGTCAAAGAGAGACCAATCATACCCTTTCAGTTTCAACAATTTTGTCTTTGTCTTCACTTTTTCGAAAAAGGATTTCTTCTCTTTCTCCTCGATCACATCCATCCCTCCTAGCGAATTCTCTTCCCCCGAAAGATCATATCGATGCAGCAAGACTTCATATTCGGCCAGTACACTTTTCATCTTCTCTAACAAATGCTTAATTGCTTCTTGCACCCTTTCCGGAAGGTTACCTGGTAGTAACAGGCCATGTTGAGGGTCCAGAAATCGTTGCTGGAAAAACTGCAATGAGGCCAGTTGCAATTCCAGTTTTAATTTGACGTTGTACTTGTCCTGCTCGAAGGCTTTGATGTCAGAAACAACGCCTTGGATGAAAACAGTAACCTGGTAAATCTGCTGTACGGCTGTGACTGCCGTCCCGTAAATATCCATGACTAGAATTTTCTAAAAAGATTGGTAGGTAGGGTAGGGGTCGGCCCGAGCCTTTGGATTTGGTGCTCGTTCCAACGTCTTTCGATGCTTCAACCAAGGATCAAAATAAGAAAACAAAGAAGAAATTTGAAAAACCGATCCGGACATTTCAAGATTTAAGCCATCAGAAAAAGCCCCGAACTACAAGGCTAAGCCTCAACCAACCAACCAATTCAGATAACAACGCGATCATTGCCGCGAGCGTGTGAATTGTCTGAGCCTCCTCCTAAAGGTCGAATTTAAGCGATTTTTAATTAGAGCGTAACGATAGCGCCATTTCAGCAGCAATGAATTTAGGCATTTAAAGTCTGCCTAGCTCGTACCCCCACATCACAACAGTTCAGCTTCATGCGGGCGTTCTTTAGCTTCAGCTTGGTGTCCAAGCACTAATTGGGCACCTTGAAATCGGCGTCATCCTGAGATCAAAGGATCCATAACAAAGCTTCATTGTGATATGGTTTTCTTTTTGAAATTTAGGTAAGAGGAGAGAACTTGACGATAGGAAAATATGGAAATGGACTTTAGTGTGAGCAAACCAATAAGCAAACCAAGTTATTATGATGACTCACTAAACTATTCGTTTATTATACTAACTTCAGGCAGTCATTACTTCAGCCAAATGACCTGGAGCCCGATAGAATTACTGCTGGAAGTCAAAGTCTCCTTGACGACACATTGGATCATTTTGATACCGAAGATGACTTGAGCATACCCATACCCAACATCCAGAACCTAGACATTGGCGGTGAACATGATGACGCTGCTGCCGAAGATGATGTAATTTTACAAGTAACGCTAGATACTACAAAGACCAGTCCATGGGTAGATATCCTTGAGGAGACCAAGACATCAGCTCGGAACGGCGATGGACAGCTTCTAAGCACCGTCTCTCAATTTGTGGGAATTCTCTCGCGCACCGGCATCCACGGACCACGCCATTTGAAGGCGCACAATCTGAAGAGTCGTGCAACCAAGATTGGAAGCGGATCTCAATTCACAGTGTTCAAAGACAACCCGGATGGCTTCCTTGCAGACGATGGTATCGTGGTGAAGCGTGTCAATGTGCCTCTCTCATTTGAAAATGGGGTAGGGACCTTTGCCCAGGGTGCAGAATATAGAACGCAATTGAGAAGCTTAGAGCTCGAGATTCTCTCCCTCTGTAACCCCGTATTAAGGAACCACCGCAATATTGTTCGTCTGGTTTCTTGGGGGTATGACTATCCTCAACCAGACACGCCGTTGCCAGTTCTCTTCATGGAAGAGGCACTGATGCCATTGAATGGTTTCCTTCAGAATAAGAATTTTGAAGAAGCCCTAAGACAAAGCAACCGTGAAGGCTACGACATCAAATATCATTTCTGTCTCGATATCATCGCTGGTGTGGAGGCAATGCATCGACTTAATATCGTCCATGGAGACCTCAAGCCTGAAAATATTCTTGTCTTCAAAGGGGATCATCCAGATGTTCCATTTTGCGCAAAGTTGAGTGACTTTGGAGTATGTATCGACATAGAGAATGCAGCCAACCCACTTACTATTGATGATTATACTGGAACCAAGGCATGGCTAGCACCCGAGCTTCGCGATCGCACCCTGGCTGACTTCAAACCGGAACTGATGCTTCGCTTCGATGCATTTAGTGTGGGCCTTGTGATATTGTCAGTCTTCCTTCAAAATTGCGGCACTGTAGATTTAGGTATGAAAGGGCAGGACCCGGTTGAGGTTGCGCTTCACCGTCTCCGCACTGAGGATGACATCCCAAGCGCAATCAAAAGAGCGCTTTCTTCCTCTATACGTAGTCTTCTTGATAGCAATATCTGGAACAGGCTTCTGCCAAACACCGACATGCTCAGCACTGAGACTGAATCATACGCTTCTTGGTTTGTTGCAATTTGCCTTTCTTCTACGAGTCATTAACACTCGTGGCTAATTTGTGATAGGTTATCGGCGTGTCAGCGGAGTCGGCAAAACAGAGTACCTACTGGTACAATTGATCCTATCTATAACAAAGGCCCTCTCTTCTGGTACAGACTCGACGGATCTGTGTTTGCTGAGCTAGAGAGTCAGTATGCATCCTTCAAGGCCGATTCACTTTCGTCTTTCCCCGGTGATGTTTGTTTCGGTCTTGCGCAAACAGTCACTGCGATGAAGCCTACATATTTGGACAGATTACTGGAGTTTCTCACAGAGGCTGCAAGGCAAGGCTATTCACCTGCACGGGCAGTATATGCTCAAGTTGTACGAGCACATGGTCTTGAGTCTGATTTTGATGAGAATACATTGAACAGATGGATGTTGCAAGCAATTTCGGAAGGTTATCTCTATGCCGAGCCTTCTTCAAGTACTCGCATAGAGGATATCAGATCTGCACAGGAACGATTCCGTCACGCCGGAGGGTACTGTTCTGATCCTTTCCTGGAAAAATCAACTGTGGTCGATAGTTTGAGGCAGAAAGCGGTTCCTGATAAGCCTACCAACTCAGTGGATCATGTTGGAAACACTATTCTCCATGTAGCAGCATCACTAGGTCTTGTTGATATTGTCAAATGGATCGTTGAAGACTACAGAGTGCCAGTGAACGTTCAAAACGATAACTTCGAGACTCCTCTATATAAAGCCTGCCAAGCCGGTCATGCAGAAGTGCTCTATTATTTACTGGAGGAAGGTGCTAATGGAGCAGTTCAGACTAAAGCAAATAGCCTTACGCCACTACACTGGTTGTTTGTATTCCCACAAGAGCATATATACGATGTCGCCAAAAGGTTAATTAGCCTCGGGGGAGCCGATGTCAATGCGGTTATGAAGCCTTCATCGTCTGAGGCTGCTAATCAGTTCCCTCGAAAATTCTCTATCAACCATTTGTAAGTATTTCTCTAATTCTCAGGACCATTGCCATTTGCACTCTAATCACAAGAAAGTAGTCCTTTTGAAATGCCTTTGGGGACTCCCCTTCATTGGGCTTCTTTCGCCCATAACACCCTCGCCATTGATACATTGCTTGGTCTTGGGGCTAATATTAACGCTGTATACAATGGCATGGATCTATCAACAACGCCTTTAGCGCTGGCAGTCTGGTTCACCGAGCCCGATGTGGTTCTTCATCTTCTGTCGAAGGGTGCTGACGCTAACGTGAAGGATATGCAAGGCAGAAACCTTCTACACCTCATATCACATCATTTGCCTGATCGACACGGACAGTTAACACATTATTGGCATTATTGGATTCGGCATGGTAATTGGGAGAAACACGTGCACAAGATGAGAACTATAGTTAGGGCTCTTGTCGAAGCGGGTGTTGATTTGGAGGGAACACGAGACAATGATAGGGCAAAACAAACACCGATTTTGCTGGCTGCATCTACAGGGAGAATTTGGGACGCTGGTGCCATATGCGCAATGCTTGATGCTGGTGCTGATGTGGACGCACCGAGGGATGGAGTTGGAGACACAGGTAGGCCAACTACTTTCTCATTTATGATCTCTTTGTCTAATATCTTTCATGACTAGTACTTCACGCCTGGTCTTCCATAACAGGACCTCGGATTGCATACCCATCAGCGTACCTCCAAGTATTTGAAACTATAGCGTCTCGAGCTCCAAATAACATCAATGTTCACAACAAGTTTGATAAAGATATACCGCTCCACCTTCTAGCAACAATCTATCATTCAGAAGAGGAATTTGAAGCAGCATGCGACATTCTCTTTATCAACGGCGCCCAAAGTCTTGAGAAGACAATAAATATCAACGCTGAGAATAACCGTGGTATGACACCACTTTTCTGCGCTCTCCAGAGCACGAATATTGATGCCGCAAGGAGGGGACTATATCTTGCTAGGCATGAAGCAGATATCACTGGACATTTTGTCGATGCTACAAAGGATAATATTTATGCCATCACTTCCAATCGCAGTTTGGGCGATAGGAAAAGCTATGAGCTTATCGCTAATCTTCTTGACCATCTCGCAAGTAGTCACTCGCAGGAGAGAAAAGGAAGCATAGTACCTGACTTTGGTAACCATGAGGAACTTGTGGCTACTTATAAGCCTGTGTACCAACGTTTTTTTGAGCCGTCTTCGAAGCAAAACCAAACGTCTTATATATTGTCTCTATGGGCTTCAGCTTCCTCGGGCCGTTTACTCACGACCAGGCTTCTTCTAGATTTAGCCCTGCCCTCCCTCGAGATATCAAGATTACTCAACGAGCCTACGACCAACTACCGGAACTCCTTTTCTCACTCTTCACCATCAGCATCATCATCATCATCATCCGACGAGCCCCAGACTCTTTTGGACTCCATCATGCAACAATCTGAATTTGCTCGTCGTAGATACATTTCTACCCTTCGGGCGTTCAAAGCTGGCTTTGCCCGAGAGCGCGCCATTAAGCAAAATCTAGCCTTTGGTCCAAGTGACGGATCTCCTGAGCGTGATGCTGAGAGATATACAAATCTGCCTCAAATTTTACGTATGCTTAGAGACGAATATGGTGCCAAAATGGCTGTTGAGACATTCTCAATGTCACAAAGATGGTATCGCAGGATAACTCTCAAAGATTCTCTCCAGGAGGAACAGCTTCTCTTGTCGGCTGGAGGAGCATGGGATTTGACAGAGCTATACGAATGCGGATACAGCCCAGAAACTCAACCGCACAGAGATCAATGGAGAGTTCTGTATGAACTTGCTGCAGGTATCATCAACAGCGACAGTTCTGACAGCATAGTCATCAATTATTTGAGAAAGAGGTATACTGAGGATCAGGGGCAAGGGTGCTGCTGGAGGCCGCATGTCAAGCTTTTGCAGACCAAACCGCTTGGTAACCATTCCTCTGAGGAAATAGAGCCGTTTACAAGAAATAGGGATAGACTGTTGCCGATGATCATTTCAACGTTTGCGAAGCTAGGCGAGACAGACAGCGACGGTAGGGTGTGGATCGAAGCTTGCGATGATTCCAGCATGGCAGCAGAGGCAAAGGTTCAGGTTGAGATTGTAGATGGAGTGCGGGTGGGAAAGACACGGACGATCAAGAACAACAAACTAAGACAGTGATACTACTACGGCAGCATTATTGAACATGGCATGAGTCGTCAAGCAATTGACGCTTCTGCTAGAAAGGGAAATTTCCTAAATGGGAATAATCAAGGGCTATCTCGGCGTGCCCTAACCCTAAACAGGAGGTGCGTTGTTATTGCTCCATTTGGGATTTGCTCCAGTGATACTGCAATTGCAGTTTCACATAGTTGATAAAAGCGAATTATAATTCAGGATCAAAGCGCGAATCATATGTGTTGTTCTTATCTGTCTGAGTTCGCTGGGAAGCTGCATCTACGAACTGCGTTGATATAGACAAAGAAGATCGTCCTATTATCAGTGCGTTGATGCATCTTCTTATCATTATATGCAGCCTAAAATCCAATTCACATGCATTTGCACTTTTATCTTTTTGACACATGCATTGATACCTCGTCACTCAAAAAATTTGGGATATTGGTTGCATTTAAAGCATCTACAGCAACTAATACTAGATAGGGAATTCTGGACTTCGCTGATTGGTCGGCTCGAGAGTGTACAGGTTTCAGTCACAACAGTACATAGAATTTAAAGGTCACCCAATAACGATGTCTTTCTCCTGTTCCTTGTTTAATTCTTCCATGAAAATTCTGCGTAACATCATGTGGAAGAGGCAACGGAACCGGGAAAAACTCGGGGGGTCGGCAGGGACTGAAGAGGCTTTCTCCGCGGAGGCCAACTACTACCACAGTGCTATCAAACAACAGACGGCACTAGATATTTCATGAGTTCTCGGCCGCGGAGATCCTGACGCAACGAGAAATTTTAGGGAGCAAAATTATAGCATCTAAAGTAGGCACTAAAAAGATATTTTTCATGTGGCGGCATTGCCGAACCGGTTCCTCGAGTGTCTGGTCTCATTGGCTGAGTACTCGTACCTTGCGTCTTTTTCCTTTTTCGTGCTCGATATTTTGTATGCTAAAATAACCATGCAAACCGGTGGGATAGGAATTCATTGCTAATGGAAAAAGTCCCATTCGATGAACCAATCCCTATGTAATTGTGGGTACGGCATTCCGCGTTGTTCCCTCCGCCTCGCAGATTCATCAGTATAAATTGCTTGCTTCTGTTCCAGCGTTGTTTGTTCAACATACTCATAAATCATAATCTACAAGCTGATAAACTCGATATCAAGACCAAATCACCATGCCGCTGACAGAAGAGCAAATCAATATCATCAAGGCCACCGTTCCCGTGGTTCAGGAACATGGAAACACGATCACGTCTGTGTTCTACAAGAACATGCTCCACGAAAACCCGGAGCTGAACAACTATTTTAATACAACAAACCAACTCAATGGCCACCAGCAAGGCGCACTGGCCCGGGCTCTCTATGCTTATGCCGCGAACATCGATAACCTCGCAGTCCTAGGGCCTGCCGTGGAGACAATCACCCACAAGCATGCATCTTTGCATATCCTACCAGAGCACTACAAAGTTGTGGGCACTTATCTTCTTGCCGCGATGAAGGAAGTGCTCGGTGATGCTCTCACACCTGACATTCACGACGCATGGGCTGCCGCATACTGGCAGCTGGCTGATCTGTTCATCGCCAAAGAAGACACCCTTTACAAGCAATCCGAAGGCTGGACGGATTGGCGAGAATTTACCATAGACAAGAAATTTCCCGAGTCCGACCAGATTACTTCATTTTACTTGAAGCCCGTGGATGGCAAGCCGCTTCCTAGCTTCCACCCTGGGCAGTATATCTCCGTGCGGACAAATGTGCCTGCCTTGAAATACCTGCAGGCGAGACAGTACTCACTCAGTGACAAGCCCTCACCTGATTACTATCGTATCAGCGTCAAGAAAGAGACTGGTCTTGATCCCAAACACCCAGATGCCAAGTACAACCCCGGATGCATCTCCAACATCCTGCACGACAGCAAAAAGGAGGGCGACGTCATCCAGGTTTCTCATCCGCATGGCGATTTCTTCCTTGTCGATGCAGAATCGACTTCACCCATTGTCTTGATTGCAGCTGGTGTCGGCCTGACTCCTCTCACTTCAATGTTGAACACGGTTACTTCAGGTTCGAATGCAGACCAACGCAAGATTCACTTTATTCACAGCGCACGACAGGCCAAGTCGCGAGCATTCAAGGATCATGTTCTATCCTTGTCGAAGCAGCACCCATCACTGCAAGTCACATTCTTCAATACTTCGCCATCCGCGGAAGAGAAAGAAGGAGAAGATTTCCACCACAAGGGGCCCATTGTCATCGACTCTCTTGCAAAGAACGGCCAGCTATTCCTCGATGATGCCACAACGCAATATTATATCTGTGGCCCTGCCGCTTTCATGACCTCCATGGTCAAATCGTTGGCAGAACAGGGAGTCGCCGCTGACCGAGTCCACATGGAGCTTTTCGGCACGGGTGGCGTTCCCACGGCGTGATAATAATGATGTTACGATATATTTTATTTCTCTCCGCTCATGATGTGATGGCATACTATTTAGCATCTCCTATTTGGCGTTAATACATCAGTAGATTTCTTTCCTTTAGATTTAATGTTACTTGAGCGTTAAATATAACTTTCTAGTTTCCCTACGTGCGAACTTCGATATTTTATCTCAACCGGCCAATGAGAATTGGTTAAAATAACTACCACCAAGCCACATGTGGCTTAGTCATAACGGGGATGTGGCGCATGGGTCATTGCTTCCTATTCGTCTGTTCTTCAAACTCGCATCCATCCAAAGTACTGTTACCTACGAGGTAGGACGCGAATGAAGCTTGACTGAGCTGTGTCTACCAAGAACTCTTCCTGAACAGATTACGCCATGTCAGCTCAAAACCCTCTTGTCCAGCAAGGCAACGCAGCAATCAAGCTCGAGGAGTCTTCCCTTCAGCAGCAACTCCAGTCTATTGACTGGGACTCAGAGCGCCAGCTCATATCCTCCCTGTCTAAACTGCAAGAACTCGAATCCAAGGTCTGTAATATTTACGCTTTAGCCCAGGGGGTCACAGATGCTAGATACATCGTTGTGCTTAACGGTATCAGCTGCTAACAGACTACACAATCTTCTAGATCCATGAACTTCGGTCTCTTCTCCCCGACCGCCTGCTGGCACCTCTGACCCCAATTGTGAATCCCCGCAGATCCAGTTCATCGAACCCTGTCCCGCAAAGTCCACATACCCTCAATGCTCTTCTCAGAAAATCTGCAACGGAAGGTGTCGCCGAAGTGACAAATTTCAAAGACCTATGGCTGAGTCCAGACATGCAAGCTGTCTGGTCGCGAGTAGACCAGAAATTGATTGAGACTAACGGCGCTTATCCACAGCCATCGGGGACCTGGAATCGGGATTACGATGCCTTGTTGAAACAGATGGACGAGCAAGAAGGAAATGGCGCGCGAGTGCAGGCGCAACCAGATATCGAGCGGGGTCAGCAGCCAAATTCTACTCTCCTTCCCATCTATGGCACAGCAGATCCAGAACGAGAAGCGGGGTGGAAGTCGGTGGTTGAATCATTCCAGAAAAGACAGATTGCAGGCTTTCGTCTTGCAAGTAGCAAGAACGAGTCTATGATCTATGTCAATCTGGGACTGGCCGGTATTATATTTGAGATTCAGGAAGTGCTCACTACCAACAACGCTGCTGCCTCTGATACCTCTACTACTACTTCATCAACTCCTGGTGCAGGAACAAGACAACCTCTACCAGAATGGCACGTCTCAACGCGACAGTCGCTTGGCAAGAATGGACCCAGCCGTCTTGAAATGGCAATTGTGCAACAACTCAACTCTCGGCCAAGGAAGTGGGATTTGCACTATCTACTGGTATGTTTTGCTTTCCTATCAGTCTACCTATATAGACATTAAAACTGAATAAAAATCGAGACTGACGGAGAAATCATCTATAGGAACTCATACTAGCATACTCTAATATTCAGAGCCAACCATGCAAGAAATGTAACAAGTTGACTGACTCATCGGCACAATTACCCGTTATTCGAAAACTAGCTACAACCACCGCCCCTTCTATGAATACGACTAGTACTAGCAATGAAGCGGCAATAGCCTGGGAGGCGTATCATGCAGAATGTGCCTGATACTGGCAGAACCCCTTCCGATATACACTAGCCTAAAAGCGTATGAATAGATGGAAGGCTTTATGAATATCTTCAAAACAAGATTATATATCATTTCTGTAATCTAATATATCCATGCATGTCAAGCCGCTGCGCACTGATACACTAATTATCAATAAATCAATACATCAAAATGAAATGGAAAAAAAGAAGCACGAGAAAACGATGAAAACCGAGGACAAGAAATAAACGCCATCGAAACACCTATGCCATATTGGAAAGAGGAAATTGAGAAAAAAAAAAGAATACACGCTTTTGTAAAGAATTCAAAACCCATTAATATGTTATGAGAGCGGTGAAAGGAAGTATGCTGAACGAGAAACCGTCGGGAAGAAGGTTATTGTATATGCATGACAAGACGGAGGGAGAGCTGGAGATTGAAAAGTTGAGATTAAAACTATAAGACCGCTCCAAATCCGCCGGCGAAGATGGTGAATGTGGCGATGGTAATGGCTGCCATGGTAATCATAAAGCCGAACGTTTGTCGTTCCATATCCGAGATTGCGGCGCTGCACGTTACGCAGGTCCATTCTGTTCGTTAAGATAGTCATTAGTTTCTTGTTCACTTCTAATTGGTGTAGCTGTTGCTGCCTTGTGGTACATCAAACCTACCATTCAATGGCGTATATGACTGAGGAAGGTACATTCCAAACGTGTATGAAGCTGGTCCAAGTGCTCCTGCGCTAGCAACTTCCGTTGGCGATGTGCCAGCCTCGTAGATGATCAGAGTATACTCGGCCGTGACCAATGGATATTCGGAGTCCGACCCGTAGTTGTCTGTATCCCAAGTAATAGAAGTAGTGTTTACATAACTGGCATTGCTGGCCAGAGTGTAAGTTGCCTTGTTCAAGCTGCATGTTGCAATGACATCGACTGCGGATGGTGTAATTTGGACCGACGTGTAGTTCCAGCCCATTGTGACATTGTTGCCGATTTTGTAATAGGTAGTTGAGGTTGACGCAGGGTATGTCATAGAAGCACCGCCAGCAGGGTCTACGGGGTTGACAGAAATCGAGCTCGACGAGGTCGTTTTCGATCCGCTACTGGTACCGGAAGTCTTTCCAGAGGACGTTCCAGAGCTTGTTCCAGAGGAACCCCCAGACGATGTTCCAGAAGATGCCCCAGAAGTTGCTCCAGAGGCCGTACCAGTATTTGAAGCTGTATTAACTGAAGCTGTGGTACCCGTGGTTGCTGTTGTAGCTGTGCTATCCGAAGCAGTTGCGCTAGTAACACTGGCGGTTGAGTCGCTCGCTGTGCTTGTGGTATCGGCTAGGACAGTGTCAGTTGCCGCCTAATACAACAGCCTGACAAGCGCAAGTTTGTCAGGTTAACGCTTCGGACATCTCATCTCACCTCGTTTTAAAAGGCCGTCAAATATATCCGGCATTGACCATGCCCATGTTACTGATGCCAAGAGCAACAGGTTGATTAGTATACTGGAGATTGTGGAGGAACGCATTTTGTAAGCTCAAAGCTGATCACCCTCGTCAAGGGGGTCGCCGAAGGAGGGGTGGAGAACGAGATGATCGAATCGATGGGAGTGTCGACAGTGGAATAACGTAACGATTAGACTCTGCAGTCAATAGTAGTGTATTTCTCCTTCGATGAAAATCGCGAGATAAAATCAGATCAGGTGGTGAAACAAGGCGGATGCAAGTGAGGAGTGAGACAGCCGAACGAAGCAGAGACCAGGGGCATTAGCGATAGTGTTTGTTTATTCCGGTCGAACAATCTAAGCGAGTGACGTTGGGGCGAACAGAGGAAGAAGAAGAAGAAGCGCAACAACAGGCTGACGACCTGAAGAGACGCACTGAGAGTATTGCTCAATTGTGTTTTTAGACAAGACGAAGGAAAGAAAGATTGTTCCAGAGGAGCCTCCCTCCCTGTCTTCACTAAAGCGTACTAGTGAATTGCTATTAATGAACATCGATCGGTCCAGTGATCTGAGGCGGAGTCTCCAGACGGCCATTAGTCCAATCACAGAGCGAAAAACCGCGTACGGGCTCGTATGATTGGATCATGTCGCAAAGATGGTTGCTAAGCGGCCCCATTCCTGAGGGCCTTTCGGCGTTTGATTGGCTCGACTTTCTGCAAGTCTCAGACATCGCTATGAGCCGCTAGTCCTGTCTTGGAGACGCTTGTTTACCTGACCTTTGGCCTGAGGCACGGAGCCCTCTGAGTGCTCTATCCTTCTCCATGTCAAAAGGCATTTATACAGTCGACGACTTGAAACTCATCTACAGTAACTGACTCATAAGAGGGGTCGTATGTGCTTAGTAGAACTCCATGCTAATCTCGCAAAACCCTATTTGAATTCCTTACTTTACTGTCTTGCTGCCATGATAGAGCAGCGCAGTCATCTTCAGTTCGACGTATGTTGACCTCATAGTACCTTCAAGTAGTTATTATGTTAATTAGCTCAGCTTAGCTAAGCGAGTTATGTACATATAGTAAAATTGAAACATGTGGTATGGTAACCCAAACGCCGAATAACCCAACGTCCACGAAGACCGAATCGAACCCAAATTTTGATTATACCCGTTAAATGCATCTCATGATATTGCCACTATAGTGGAAGTAAAAGATTGATCGACCTTTTTCAAGAGCTGATGGCTTGCGTTACGAGGGTGACACTGCTGCAGCTTGACGGGATGTCGACGCTGTCAAATTCAATCTTCCAGAAGAGTTGGGGTGCTCCATGCCACCAGTCGCAGGCTGAAAATAATAACATGTAAGCAAGACCGACCAAAGAAAGAATTTATAAGGTTTAGAGAGTAGTAACCTACCGAGCCAGCCACCAAATTCAGTCCCGTTAAAAGCAACGGTGCCATTGCTTTCCACTGAAAAGCCTGACTGCGCGGTTTGGACGTTGATTGTGACAAATTGCCAGGCTTTTGAACAATATCAGCAACCAAAATTTCTAATGAGGAATGGCATGAATGCTCTTACCAGCATAGCCACTGTCAGCAGCCAACTCAAACCCATAGGCATAGTCCACGTCTCCAACATCCATCCGCAATTCTGTGTCGTTCAAGTAGAAATGGCCAGCGTTGATATTGTCCGTAGATAAGACCGCATCAGCCAGCCCGGCACCGGTGTGGTAAGCTTCAAGGAAGAGGTCGTTGTGCGAAGAAAGGCTGGAGCCGGTGGTCTTGATGTAGAATTCATCTGCAGCAGCAAACGAGCCAGCAACGAAGGTGGCGGCCGCGAGGGCAATTTGCGTGAACAACATGGCTGTAGGAGGAAACTTCCTTTTTTCCTGAGCAGCAGATGGTAAAACAGTTCTCGAAATGAGAGAATGATATGAGGGAAAAGCGCTGATTATAATGCAAAAGATACTCCGTGAGCGCAGATGATTATTTTCGGACACAAAGACAGACGGGGGCTACTTATAGCCAAGGAGGACCTGTCCGTCAGTTGCCATTGCGAATCGGCAGGTGAATCATTGTTTTGCTCGTAAATGGTAATGATGCAGCGTCCAAGACTAGTGCCTGGTTGATCCTGGTGCTATGACGTTGCCAGTAGCTCGCTGTCGATCAATGTCTCGGTTCGCAGCGATTAGTGGCGGGGTGGTCTCATCTCGGTTCGCGGCATGGAAATTATAATAAGCGACACAGCCAGCCTGGAGCAACAAATCAGTCGTGGCGTTGGTTCAGGCGGTTCCTTCGCGGTGGGCTTTGCGCTGCAGATCCACGACGTTGCTACTCCGCAACCTGCTGTTTTGGGAAGTTGTACGACCAGTAGACACGTCGCTTGGCAGCAGCCGATCAGCTGACTTCATGTCCCATTCTCTCCTCTTCAGCACCAGCACTCCGTTCTCTGAACCCGCTGTCTGAGATGTACGTACACGCAACACTCCGGCACAAAGAGAACACGGCAGAGCCTGGCTATTTATTTCTAAGCGGCGATCAGCAGAACCATGGAAAGGAGACCCTTGGGACTAAATCAGGTATGGAGTAGGAAAACTGGAGTTGAAACCAGAAATTGACCCAGTCTGCCTAGGAATATATGACTTCAGACCCTATTCCACTCGAATGCATTCTCCATCGATTCCCACGGCATGCTTAGGGACAGTCAATCCAACAAACCAATACTTGCCCGGCGGGAGCTATCACCTCCCCAAGGCCAGCAGACAGGAGCTCACCAAACTTGATCGGATCCTGGAAGAGACGAGGAAGCTTCCCTCCTCGTTTATGCATTCATAAACAGCTTTACGATTTAGAATTAAATGAAGCACCGTCAGGCATCTATGCCAAATCTCACCTGTGCGAGGATATAAAAACCAAACGTGGATGCGCGGCGTACAACCAGTGACCATTGAATGGAGACAAGGTTAGAAATTAATCACAGAGCTTCCCAGGTAGGTGAATATGTAAATAAAATGAAGACAGCTTGTGGCATGAGAAAGACAAGGGCGTACACGGATGATCTATTTTAATAGAACAGTCATGCAGAGTCGCAGTCATGATACGTGAAATGCCCACCAACAGCCCAGGTAAGAGGTCATTTGCGGCATTGGCTTCATACTATATAAAGCTCAAAGATTTGTCTCCGATCCCTTTCCTATAAGTACACCATGGGATTTCAGTCAATGTGCTGCGGTATTAAGAACATAAATAGCAACGCTTGTCTTAGCAACAGGCATGTTGCCTTTTTGTTCATTGAAATTTTGAATTAGTTTCACCGGGGCACTTTTTCAAGTAGGAAGAGGCAATGCTCTGGAGCCTCTGGGTATCTAAGTATCTACTATGTATTTCTACTCAACAATTATTCTCTTCGCATATTCTTTCTTCAATGACCATTTCCCCCTCCCGTTGCGTCCGCCTTTCTCTAGAACAGCCACTTTCTTGAGAATCTCCTTGAACTCGGCTGACCGCTGAGGCGTAGTGCAAAATCGATTGAAGTGGTCAATCAGCATTTGAGTGTAAACGGAACCACCTTGGGCTATCATATAATCTCGAATCATCGACATAAAGTCAACGCGACCACCAGGAGCCGGGCTATCTCGAGGACTGCTGGTGCGACTAGCAGTACGGTTAGCGAGGTTTGCGAGTATACTAGCAGACGAAGGACCGCTAGCGGCCCCTCGCGCTGTACTGGCTGCCCCTCCAAAGGTAGACCGAGGTCTCTCTTCCGGCCTCCCAGCTACGCCGAATTGGCCGGTCCACGTCGGCGTTCCTACAGGTACGGATCGTGCGGTCTCCTCGGCTTTGCGAAGCTTTTCTGCTGCCTCAGCTGCTAGACGCTTGGCCTCAGCTTCAATGATACCCCTGTCTGGTGCAATAATCTTCTTTCCGTTTACAATCCGGTCATGCTCGACAGCAGAGTGAACCCCCGACTGTGCAAATATAGTCTCCATCAAACGTGCTTCGGAATTCGAAGCACCCGGCGCGTTCGCTCCCTGGCCCTGGTCTGAGGCTTCTTCGGCTTCATCGTGGAAATGTTCCACGGCTGTGACTCCCTCAACCATTTGAATTTCTCGTCCGTCATCATGCAGATCTGGAGAATTGGCATTCTTTGTTCCAGCTTTGATTTTAGAATTTTCACGTTCCTGATAGGTAACCTCTGACTTGAAGAGACTGCTAGTTTCAGTTTGACCTTCTTCGCCCAGAGAAAAGAGATCGTGGAGATTGCTCATCTCAAATGTCTGTCGCTGCTTTGGGTCTTTCAGGACCTTGTTGGTTAAGAATTGTTTAAATATTTGACGATGGTAGATCTTCTCCTCAATCGTACCGGCAGTCATCAAGCGGTAAATAGTTACTTCTCGTTTTTGACCAAGCCTCCATGCTCTTTCGCGAGCTTGCATATCAGTTGATGGATTCCAATCTGGGTCGTAAATAATAACCCGATCCGCGCCGGTCAAATTCACGCCGAGGCCCCCAACCTTGGTTGTGAGCAAGAAGACGTGAATTTGAGGCGAATTATTGAATTCGTCAACAAGGAGTTGGCGCCGTGAAATCGGAGTCTCGCCATCCATCCTCCGGTAATTGAACCCTGGCAAAGCTCTAATAAACTTTTCAAGAATGTTAAGCATAATTCGGTGCTGTGCAAATAATAGTGTCTTATGGCCAGTGTCCTTCCACAGCTCTAGTAAAGCTTTTACTACTTGCATCTTTCCGGATTTTGAGGCGTCACCATACCCAGTTGATGTCGAAAACAGCTTGTGGGTAACGAGGTCGGGATGATTACAAATCTTGCGTAGCATATCAACACCGTAGAGGACCTGTCTCCGTCCGGCAAGAATAGAATTGCATTCCTGCGAATTCAAGAACTGCTCGTAAGCCTTTCGTTGGAGCGGAGAAAGCTTGCAGAAGAGAACCTGTTCACTCTTCTTCGGTAGATCCGAGGCAACGTCGACTTTGAACCGCTGTAGAAGATAGGGACTGATGGCATCCTTCAAAGTCTCAGCACAGCGCGCTGCTGTCTGGACCTGAAGATTACTTGCATTTGCATATCCCCCCTGGCGAATGGGAAATTCAAATTGATTTCGAAAATCGACTAAAGTTCCCAGGCGCATGGGGAAAACGAAATCAAAGAGTGACCACAGCTCAGACAAGTTATTTTGCATTGGTGTACCAGACAGAATAAGACGGTTCGGGGTACGCAATTCCTTGCAATGAATGGTGATTGAAGTATTGGGGTTGCGAATTTTGTGTCCCTCATCCAGAACAGCGCAGTCCCAGTCCACAGGAATCAAAACAGGTGCATAGGTTTGCAATCCAGAGTAAGTAGTAACTAGCACATGGCCTTCTTCGACTACTCGCTGCACAATTTTCTTAGCCACTTTCTGGGCCTTTGACATAGTGTATGGTCGACTAGGATCCCACATCTCATTGTTTAGAGCATTCTCGCGATTACTTTCACTCCGAACATTGATCATGCCACTCCCAGAGGTATGCAAAATAGAAACTCTGAAAGGAGGCCACCACCGATGAAATTCAGTAACCCACTGTTTCATAACAGTCGCAGGAGCAACCACAATCACCGGATTACTCAACTTTCCACTGTGGTGGAGACCCGCCAGGAAAGATATGACCTGAATAGTTTTTCCCAGACCCATCTCATCCCCAATTATACCCCCAACTTGCTGCTGGTAGAGTTCCCAGAGCCATTGAACGCCAGTCTTTTGATAATCAAAAAGAACAGGGAAGATATCGCCGGGTATACGATACCCGCCGTCATACTCGGCATCGGGGATAGTAGGATGAGGCAGAAGCCATTCTTCTGTAGGTTCTTCTCTACTTGTATGATCTGTATCTTGTTCAAAAAGGTTCACATTGGCCCCTGTATTGTCAACTCGCTTGCGGGCAGCAGCTCGTCGACGAACCCAGCGCTTTAGTCGGGCTTGGTAGAAGTCCTCGTTACCATCGTCGAGCCCTCGAAGATCCTCTACATCATCTCTATGGACCCTCCTGGAGATTTCCTTGCGAGCCTCTCCAGGTGTCGGGTCAAACTCATCCGTAGAGGACGAGACATTTCCTTCACTTTCGACATAACTATCATCATCTTCGGCCTTGACTTTTGGAGATTTTTTAATGCGTTCTCGATGGTGTCTCTGGGTAACCCGTCTCCTTTTCCGCGACGGGCCTGGCTCAAAGACGTCGTCTGAAGTTATCTCGCTGACATCACTAATGTTGATGCCCGGAACCCGTAACTCACGATGGGATACTGCAGCTCTGTTGGAGGCGTTCTGTAAAGCTTCGGCTTCGTCACGCTCATCTTCAGCATCAATGAGAGCGTCGTGCAAACTCGCTAATGGGCCCTCTTTAGGGCCAGTTCCCATTTTTGAGAATGGTGTGATTTTTCCCGTCCGTATGAGATATTCTCTTCTGGATTCATTGGGTAATCGTCCAGAATCAACTTTCGAGACGTCATTTTGTTTGTCATGGCGCTCGTCAATACGTTCTTTTATTTCCTTCAAGTCGTTTTCAAGTGACGATAGATGATCCTGCGCCTTGGCGATCTCGGATTCAATGCGTACTCTCTGAGATGGACCCGCGCGCTGTTCCAAACGATGATAGAGCTTCAAAATCTGCTCTTCAATTTTTCTATTCGGTGTCAACCCAACGTAGCAAAAAACATTGATGCTATCGAATAGAATACACTTACAGCTTTTCCTTTGTTGTACGGTCAATTCTCTTCTGATCTCGTTCGTCGGCTTGCTCAAGAAGCAACTGATCAGCCTGTTCATACGTTTCGTTAGAATTGACTTGGATGTTTAACAAACAAGGCCATTAAGAGACTTTCATACCTGACGGCCGAGTTCTCGTTCCAGTTCATCCTGATTTCGGACATTTGTCTGGAGTTCGCGAAGCTTCGCAGTCTCATCAGTCAATGGCGGGTCTACCGTTGTTTCTGAGTTATGCGATGGCTCAGACTGCATCACTGCAAGTACTTTTGACAAGGGAAGAAAAAAAAAAGGGTAGTCGTGGGCCTTCACCGAGCACCGTCTCCGCGTCCACCTTGAGCCCTGTAAATGACGGAGTGGCGCAAAGCGTCAATCATGACCAGCAAGACAACTAGCAGTTATGGGGTTGATCACTTTGAGCGCGAGTGCAAGGATCAGTGTAACGGAGTTGAGGTCATGGTATCCATCCTATGTTATGCTCCTGGATCAATGGCAGCTCCCCAACGAACTAAAATGCAGCGATGACATCGCCGCCGGATTGCGAAGGCAGAATGAGGTGGCGTCCGTGACCGCCTTCGCAGGGCTGCTGCCTTACGGATGAGTCAGCACCTTCATCTCCTCTCCCTTCGTCCATGAATCCATCCATATTCAGCAGGCACCGATTTATTGGTCGCCAAGGCACATGAATATGACTGATAATTAATTCCTTTTCTTCCTGGGCCCCCTTTTCCTTTTTAACTTACCGTGGTCTGCAGCCGATCAGTACGCATGTCGCTTCCTCCTAGCGAGCCTACCGCTAGGCAGAGGAGGCCTTCGCTTTACGAGTGATTTAGTGGTAGCTTTCTACTCATGTCGTCATGGGGACGAGGATGAGTGAAAGCAATCACCAGCATCCCTGTCTTAAGCATACCTAGAGATTGAGCGACTCGTTAACGCTTTTTGGCGTCGGGCCCCCGCCACTCCATCTGTCGGCAATGGAAACGAGACTCACAATCGCGCGCAATTGCAAGCGCACCGGGGGTTGCAGTAATCCCTCAATCCACGATGCTAGCTAGATTTAGATGTAGTTGTAAATATATCAGCCGCGACTGTATAGGATGAGCACGACGTACGCAGAGAGCATGCTGCATGTCATGTAATTGCTTCAAAGAGGCAGTCGCGTCCGGAGTAACTGGAAGGAAGGCAGGGAAGGAAAGAGCTGTTTTGGGTATGCCGTCGTGCCTCCTACACTTATCTTCTACCCGACCTCCATCCACCATCCCATCTCTCGCTGCATCTTCTTCTCTGCTCTCCATCGTTGTCTTGTAGCTCTTTATTTCCTTTCTCTCTCTTTTTTTTCTCTTTTTCTTTTTTGTTTCATCTCTCTTATCCTGCCATCAAGGAGCAACCCCAGAGATTTGTCCCCCACAGCGCAGGCATTCCAGGTTAGAACCCGAAGCGATCCTGCCGACAATCCTCACTGAGGGCTAGCTTCTAATTAACTAGCCTCTTTACCAACCATTCCCGCCCAACGACATCAATCCATGAGCCCTCCTCCTCCTCTCTGCCTCACAAACCGACATTGTGTGAATTGGCGCACAGCTTCATTGTGCAGCCCCTACAATTATTCTCACAAGCAAAGCCCGGGATTATGAATAGCTGCATTTATCTCTAGCACCAATTCAGCTTTTCACGCGTCATCCACTCCTCGCTTGCGTCAGACGCCATTCTGCTCCCCCACTGTTTCTACGCTACGTCGCCTGTACAGTGAGAGCCTCAGTTAATGTGCTGCATACCCAACTTGTCTCTTCCAGCACATATTGAGTGATTTAGCACTGTTGCTAGACAATACGTTACTCATTTCTATCATCAACAGCCTCATCTTTTCAGCCCCCTTACCCTCCGCATGAAATTTGGTTCATATCAGACAGCCACGCCATGGATTCCCAGTGGCAGTCCTATGGCAACCTCCCACCAGGTCATCCGCCTCATCTTGATAATGCAGCAGGGTCTAATCCGTATCGTCTGAACACCAAGTACAATGGACAACAGCAGGTTCAACCACCCGCCGGATACACCTATGAAAGTTACCAATCTCCCATAACCGCCGCGCAAACCTCTGCTGGCTCCACGTCCAAGTCTGTATCGATGGCTTCATCTCCAGCGGCAACACCCCATACACGCGATTACTTTACCGACGCCGATACCCCCATGGAGGATGCTGACCCTTACAATCGTGCTAAATATTCTACGAGGTTGACTCACAATACTCGTCCGTCGTCGCAATACATGCCGACCGAGGAGTCATCCGCTGCGCGCCGATACTCCCCTATGAACATAATGTCTCCAACTCTACCGTACTCGTCAAGTCCAACGAAGCCTGCCCAGAATCCCTTTGTTGGACCTTCTGGCCCAGGTAGTTCTCGTCAGTCCCCTACGAGAGCTAGTGCGTATACGTCACCACAGGCGTATCAGTCACCCCCAGGTGTGTCTATACTGTATAGTGTTTTGTCATCGGTTGACCGATCATGCCAGTAGCGCGGCTAACGAATTAATTCTGTGGTCTAGGCTCTCGCGCGTCTCGTCTGCCTCCTTTGCAGCCATCGGACATTAGCCCGGAACAATATCTACCTTCTTCGGCTACTTCCCAATTGAGCGCCCCCTTCAGCGCCGAAATAAAGTCACCGCGCACAACTCAACAGAACAATCACAAACAGTTGCCCGGTCGTGGACCGATACCAAAGTTCACAAGCATCAAGTCGATTCAGGAGCTTAAGCCCAGCATCAATGCGCAACCGGCTTTCCGAAGAGCCAATCCTGAGGGGGGCTTTATCAGTGTAAGTAACCAATTCCTTCCGTCGTGTAGACAATGCTAACTAAGGGTCCCAGCCACTACAAGCACTCACGACCCACCTACCAGCTACGTATCGCATATGCAACCCTACTTTCAAATACGAGTCGTCGCGCAACCCTCGTCGTGTCTTAACGAAACCCAGCAAAGGCGTAAAGAATGATGGATTTGACAACGAAGATAGCGATTATATTCTATATGTCAATGACATTTTAGGCAGTGAAGAAGGAGGTCACAAGTACGATAATCTTCCCAATATAATTCAAAATGTATACTGACTTTGCTAGCAATCGCTATTTGATTCTTGATGTCCTAGGTCAAGGAACTTTCGGACAGGTGGTCAAGTGCCAGAATCTCAAAACCCAGGAGGTTGTGGCTGTGAAAGTGGTGAAGAACAAGACCGCCTATTTCAATCAAAGCATGATGGAAGTGTCTGTGCTCGACTTGGTACGTTCTTTCTTTTCATAGCTAGGGCCCTTTGGACGACGCAATCTAATGCCTTAAAATAGCTTAATAAGAAGTACGACAAAAATGACGATCATCACCTACTTCGACTCAAGGATACTTTCCTACATCGTCAGCATCTCTGCCTAGTGTTTGAACTGCTGAGTGTGAACCTATACGAGCTCATCAAGCAGAATCAGTTCCGCGGACTAAGCACAACACTTGTGCGTGTGTTTGCGCAACAATTACTGAATGGTTTAAGCCTTTTAAATAAGGCAAGATTGATACACTGCGATCTGAAGCCGGAGAATATACTGCTAAAGAAGTAGGTTTATCTCTCTCAGTGTTTTCCGAAGATAGAAAGCATGCTAACAACATGTTATCAATTCAGTCTTGAAAGTCCTATTATCAAGATTATCGATTTTGGCTCTGCTTGCGATGAACGTCAGACGGTGTACACGTACATCCAATCCCGATTCTACCGTTCACCTGAAGTCCTTCTAGGTCTGCCATATTCATCTGCAATTGATATGTGGTCTTTAGGTTGTATAGTAGTCGAGCTCTTCCTTGGTCTGCCGCTCTTCCCAGGTTCGTCGGAGTACAACCAAGTGGCCCGTATTACAGAGATGCTGGGGTTGCCGCCTACGTGGATGCTTGAGATGGGAAAACAATCAGGAGAGTTCTTTGAGAAGACGCAAGATGAATTTGGCAGAAAAACATGGCGGCTCAAGAGCATGGAACAGTATTCTCGTGAACACAACACAAAAGAGCAGCCAAGCAAGAAATACTTTCAGGCGAGTACTCTGGAGGAGATTATTCGCAGTTATGCGATGCCAAGGAAAAACATGAAGCCGTCCGAAATAGAGAGAGGTAACCTTCACCCTATATTTCGACCCACCCGCTTCCTTAGAATATTACTAACGACTACCAGAGGTAAATAACCGTGTCGCATTCATTGACTTTGTGCGCGGCCTACTACAAATTAATCCTCTAGAACGATGGTCGCCACAGCAAGCCAAGCTACATCCCTTCATCACCCAGCAGAAATTTACTGGACCTTTTGTGCCTCCCATGAACTTGAAATTCTCAGCACTCAACAAAAGTATCGCTCCTGGCATACAACAGCAACAGCAAGCGGAAGCTGCAAGCAAGCAAAGAGCTGCCCAGGCCGCTCAAGCTGCTCAAGCCCAAGCACAATCTGCAGCGCAATCCGCCTACGCCATGCAGATGGGTCAATACCACTCGCCTTCTCATAACCAAGCTCCCCCAGTTTACAATGGAATGTATTCTACTCACCAGCAAGGTGCTCCACCGCCTTATCCATCTCAACCACCAGGATATGGACACCAAATGGGTATGATGCAGGGTCAGATTCAACCCCAATATGCACCGTCGCAAAGTCTTTACGCTCAAGCAACCACAAGAGCAGGACGGCAGCGAGCAACCACTTTGGATCAACAACAAGGAGGGATACCACCAACAATCCAACGTGTTGCTAGTCATCTCGACCCCAACGCTCCAATCAGACTTCAACCTAGTCCAGCCTACTACCCTCCTCCTCCGGACGGTTATGCCGAATCTGCTGCAAATTCTCGGCGTCGCGGAAGTCGCCCCGGGGCTAGCCATCGAAACAGAGATTTCATCCGAACTCTCGAAGACGGCGCTCTTGGCGATGGTTTTATGGGGCAATCCCAGTGGCATTAAATCAAGAGCAAATTTCCCTTGCATGGCGAGGGCTTGTGGTACAGGCCGATAGGGATCGTCCACAGCTCGTGCCTCATAATGCACAACGGGAAATATCAGCAAAAAAAGATGTCTTTGCTAAATAGCAGGAATTGTCTGCCTTTTTGGAGAAGGGAACAGAAAGAGGTGTAGAGCCTTGGCAAATATCTGATCACTGTTCATTCACATGTGGCGCTCAGCTAATGAATCTTACTTCTTTTTGAAATCGATTCGGCTAGCATCAAAACCGACCAAGGAGAGTACAGATTCTTACCCGCGTCCTCGACAAATCTCTGGAAAAGCGTTGGAAATGCGGAGCGTTATTGTCTAGTGATCATTGCCAAGTGCAAAACCTCAACGAACTTGCGGCCTCATGGGTAGTTCTTTCTTTTCTTTCAACGGTTTCCTTGGAGGGCTCGATATCGTTCCGCATTCATGGGTTGTTTTGGCATAGCGCCGGCGCAATTATTGGAAGACTTGTTTCATATTCCTACACGACGATGTTTTCGAGAGTGATAACCTTGAAATGTTTTTTTTGATGATCACCTTGCTTTGTCGTGGCAATGCAAAGTTCACGAAGACGATTGAGAATACTTGATGAGTATATACATTTCTCTTAGTTTAATGATTCATGTAGTTGTAGCAGAATAGCAGGTCAAATATCCATAAAACCCGACGTTCTAATGACTTATTCTCAATGATTCTCTGTCAGCGTCGAGCGTCAAACGCCTGGGCGTTTGGGCGTCTGCCATCTGGAAACCGATTTCTTGGCATGTTGTCTGCGACGTAACCTGATTGGGTTAAGCGACCCCTCGCTTAAATTTTGTATCGCCGCCTACCTTCCCAAGTCATCCCACTGCGGCTTAGGATCGTTCCTATCCAAAGACGAAATCATCGTCGTCAAGCAATAGACGCTACCTGCCCTGTCGATATCTCACAGGTCACAAACTTACTACTTGGACAGAAGCGCGCAGCAAGGAAAATCGCCAAGATGTCGAGTCGATTTTTCCACGGTGGCGATAGCGACAGTGACACCAGCTCTTCTGACGAGGAGCTTTACAGTGAGCACGAGGAGGATGAGCAATCGGAGGAAGAGGAGTCCAGCGAGGAAGACGTTACAGAGGATGATTCTTCCGAGGATGACACCAGTGAAGATGAGGATCGGCCTAAAAAAACCGGTGCCAACATTTTCTTGAAGGATGATAGCGACGACACCGATGAGAGCGAGGATGAAGACCGAGTGACTATTGTCAAAAGTGCCAAAGATAAGCGACTAGAGGAGTTGGAAGGCACTGTGAAGCTCATTGAGAATGCCGAGAAAATCGGTGACTGGGCAGTTATTTCAACTGGTGAGTTAGCTCATCATTTTAGACCGAGGGTCTTTTTTTTTTTCGCTATCGTGATTCACTGACTTTCATTTCTCTATAGAATTCGATAAGCTCAACCGACAAGTCCTCAAAATTGCCCAATCCGGACCTACTCCAAAAGTCTATATCAAAGCTATAGCCGATCTCGAAGACTATATGAATGAGACCATTGCAAAACAAAAGACAACGGGGAAGAAGATGAACGCAAGCAATACCAAGGGTCTTAATGCTGTCAGACAGCGCATTAAGAAAAATAACAAGGACTATGCCTCCGAGATTGACAAGTATCGCAATGATAAAGACGGCTATATGGAGGCTGTTGAAACCCCGGAGGTTAAAGTTGAAAAGACATCTCGGACTCGTGTTGCAACCTCTCTTGATGCGCTCACTGTTGAAGATGATGAGGGATTTGCCACTGTCGGCCGTCATGGAAAGACACTACAGTATACAGCTGAAAGTATTCTTAAACATCTACGCATCATCGTCGAATCCCGAGGCAAGAAGAACACCGACCGTCTAGAGCAAATCCGCACCATGGAGAAACTGCTCGAGGTCGCTCAGACTCCCTATCAGCGAATCCGGGTATATCTCACTCTTATTGCCACTCGTTTCGATCTCACATCCTCTACCGCAAACCACATGAGCCCCGAACAATGGAAACTCGCTGGTGCAGAGTTTTCTAGCCTTCTCTCTGTCTTGGAGGAAAACCGCAACCATATTGTTGCCGAGGGTGCTGAAGAATGGGAGGATGACGAGAAACAACCCCAGGTTGCAGAGGGAGAAGTTCTACGCATTCCTGGAAGCATTGTGTCATTTGTCGAGCGCCTGGACGACGAGCTTACTCGTTCCCTTCAGCACATCGACCCACATACTGCTGAATATATCGAGCGACTTGGTGATGAACAGACACTATACACAGCTCTCATCCGAGCACAATTATATGTCGAAGAACTTGGCAAGACTGACAAGAGCGAGCCAAGGCAGGACAGTCTTAACCGAGTAGTTATCAGGCGGTTGGAGCACGTATACTTCAAGCCTTCTCAAGTCGTTTCGATTCTGGAGGACGCTACTTGGAAGGCCATCCCTTCTGCATTGGAATCTTCCATCACTTCTCGCAATGCCACTACAGATGCCTCCGCTCTAGTCCAAACTCTGTGCAACTATTTGTTCAAATATAGCGATGGTATCATCCGGGCTCGCGCAATGCTTTGCCAGATCTATTTCTTGGCTCTCCACGAAAACTACTACCGTGCTCGTGATCTCATGCTCATGTCTCATCTGTCAGAGAATATTGCCAACTTTGACGTGAGCACACAGATTCTGTTCAACAGGACTCTCGTCCAGATTGGTCTCTGTGCTTTCCGCGCTGGCTTGATCTACGAGGCTCAGAATACGCTGTCCGAAATTTGCGGAAGTGGACGTCAGAAAGAACTCCTCGCCCAGGGTATCATTCTTCAGCGATACTCCACAGTCTCTCCGGAGCAAGAGAAACTTGAGCGACAGCGTCAACTGCCATTCCATATGCACATCAACTTGGAACTTCTAGAATGCATCTATCTCACTTCCAGCATGTTCTTAGAAGTTCCCCTCATGGCACAGACCTCTTCTAGCCCTGAGATGAAGCGCCGTGTTATCTCCAAAACATTCCGCCGTATGCTCGACTACAATGAACGCCAAGTATTCACAGGTCCACCTGAGAACACGCGAGACGGTGTGATCATGAGTGCCAAGTTCTTGGCCGGCGGAGACTGGAAAAAGGCCACCGAATTGCTGAATTCGATCAAGATTTGGGATTTGATGGCCCAGCCTGACAAGATCAAGGAGATGCTTGCGGGACAAATTCAAGAGGAAGGCTTACGTACCTACCTCTTCACCTACGCACCTTTCTACGACACACTCTCAATCTCCACACTTGCCAACATGTTTGAGCTCTCCGAGAAAAAGATCGTTTCAATTGTCAGCCGTATGATCTCTCACGATGAGCTCGCAGCCGCTCTTGATCAAGTGAATGATGCCATCGTCTTCACCAAGGGCGTTGAGCTGTCTCGTCTGCAATCCCAGATTGTGACTCTCGCTGATAAATCCATGTCTCTTCTCGAAACCAACGAAAAGACTCTGGAGCAGCGCACACAAGGCATGGCAAATGCTTTCCAGAGGGATCAAGGCCCTGGTGCTCGTGGTGGCCGAGGCGGTGGACGAGGGGGCCAAGCCCGCGGAGGACCAAGACTGCCCGGCGGTCAACAGCGACGTCCAGGTGGTCAACAATTCAGCGGCGGTGCATTGGGCGGTGCTATCAAGGCATAGATAGAATCTCCTTTATTTCCATTTTCTTTTATAAAGACTGACGAATGCCTTTAATGTAAACATTTTTTCTCTTTTACTTTGACCGTTCATAGGGCTGTGTTTCTTTATGAACCTCAGAAAAGTCTCAACCCTCATGTCTCCTTGTCTTCTATTTTCCATTTTTTCTTTTTTGAAGTCTCTCTACTGGAGTTTGTGTGTCATTTACTCAGGTGGAAAAGAAAATTGGATGATACAAATGTGGTTATGCTGCCAGGCCTGTGGTTCCTTGGTCCACTTTCTCATCTTCATTTCATTTTTGATAATCAATGAATACCACTAAAGAATCATAAGGTAGCGATGAATTCAATAGTTGCAATTTTCCTTTCGGTGCATTTGTTACCTAAATTTCGTGCAAGTTGTTTATGCCTGCGGTACATAGATATGTTTTTCCTATCATGATATCTAATCTACTTACCCTAGGTAAGACATATCCTGTCTAGGTTAGATGCTTGCGTAGACTACCTCGGTACATCTAGCTATATAAAAGGATATTTATTCTCAACAAACTTCATGTTGAGAATTTGATATACATATAATTAGCGTTGATCTATATATATATGAAGATACCTAGGTAAATATGATCACTAGCACACGCGATCGTCCAACCATAGAGAAGAGCCATTCGTGAAATATAGCACAGATTATCTAGTGATCAGCTCTATATGATAAGACAAGGGGAATGAATAAGACATTGGACTCTTCCAGGTTGTAGACACTAGTATTTATTTTTTCCGTCAATATCATTATTTGATATTGCGTAAGATACTCCGCTCATTACTCATGATCGTAACTCGTTTTCATTCGTATTCGTTCCATCAAACATCCTCATCTAGGAGATTTTGAGGAGACCAATATTCATTCTCCTCGCATTGATTATCAAGCCAAACCAATCCGTCAGCTAATAAATCGTCTATGACTGTCGCTGCCCGCGCTTTCTCCCAGTTAAGGTTCGCTTGTAACATAGAAACCGTAACGTAACCAAGGACTTGTATGGCCTCTAGAACCGTCGCTTGATCCGAGTTGAGTTCCTTGGGTATGGACCGGATGTATTGCTTGCTTCCGACATGGATGATGCTAAATCCAGAACCCAGAGGCTCAAGGGACTTAACGGCTCGGAGAATATCATCACTAGCGAAGAGTGAGTTCATATTTTCATGGGCTTGACTTAATGTATATGAGACATACTTTGATAGCTCTAAGCCTCCGCCAATAGCTTTCCCTCTCCCTACTCTTTTGCGACATTCTTCAACACCTATTAGACCGCCGTTTTCACCTCTTGTTTCTCGGCATAACTCCACAATTCTTGCTGCAACTTCGAAGTAAAAGTCATTCATGTCACCACCCAATATTTGAGTCCAGAAGCTGCCTCCTTCCATCAACCCTTTTCGGCCGCCTTTACCCTTGACATTGCTTGCCGCGAGAGGATCAACACCGATGGCATTGCACATACGCGCAAACTCGGCACGGAAAGTAGAATTAGACTTGATGGTGGATGCATGTTCGAGCGCAAATGTGTGCAGTAGCGACTGGAATACCGAAAGTTGTGTTTGTAGTGATGAAAGGTGTGTCGAGCGCAGGTTCGCGCCGTGTGTTGCGTAAGATTGAGTCGCCTGGTTCCGGTTGGCGAACGCGCCGAGCCCAACCCCTCGTCGCGCAGACATTATGTTTGAACATTAAAAATTTACATGTCAAACCAAGATAAATCAAAGGGTGAATATATGTCATCAAGGACTGGTAACTTATCAGAAGGTTCACTTGCCGTCATGCGCGGGACCCGTTGCTAGCCCTAGCCCTAATGCTGATAAGATAACGTCGGAACGAGTGTCGGCCCGCAGACACGTTAAATCAACCTTACCCAGGTAGGAATAGTGAGTTCCGTCTACCCACAAAGTAATTTCTTTGCGGATTCTTCTTCTTCTGCCATCGCCCAACCGACAATCGACAACAGCGACGACGCACAATCGAAATGGCTGCCACAACGTACGATTACCCTTGAACATCTTCAAGCTGTTTAGCAAGGCTTCAGTCATAGTCCTCTCTCGCTGGAGTTGCTGCTGCGTCCAATGCTCAGCGCCAGCTCGATTCTTCCCAGTGGCTGACATTTACACTGGGTCAATTTGGAAATCAAATTGCTCGGGTTAATGATGGCGAGGGGTATTGGGGTTGAAGGCAGCTTTGCTCTTTCTCCCTAAAATCAATTATCATGTGTCTGTATTTGCGATGAGAAAGAAATTTCTCTTCCGCGAATGAGAGCGATGATAAATCTTCCTGAGCGTTTTGCTTAGGGTTTTGTTGCTTGAGGCATTACTGGAGATCATCTACCCATTGAAACTGTTTGCCTGTAAAATGGCATACAGAATTAGAAAGGGACATGGTTGATCTACCTATCATCCTCATCAACCAAATGAATTTCGTCGAGTTATTCTTCGCACCGCCCCAGTCTGAGAATGTGGCTCTATGCTGCAGTTCTTTCTACTCGGCGATTTTCTTGTCTATCATGGACAGACTGTACTGACATTGTAAATTTCAACAGTGTCCCTACCCAGGACCAGGTCCTTGTGCCTGAGACCCTCCTTAAGAAGCGCAAGAGCCAGGAAGCTGCTCGCGCTGCCACCCGTGCTGAGGCCGAAAAGAAGAAGCAGGTTAGTTTTTGATTTTCTGTGACGCATCCTTGGAGGAGGAAGGATAATGGCAGGATGATGATATCAACCAACACGCGACTAGACCACAGGTCAATGCTGTCGCTTTTGTTAACCATCTTTCGGGGCTGACAATTGCCATTCCTTTCTCTACCATGGATGCCCGCATTGGCGTTGCAGCTCAAGCTAACAGTTCAACTCCGTAGGCCAACAAGGAGAAGCGTGGCGTCATCTTCAAGCGTGCCGAGTCTTACGTCAAGGAATACCGTGATGCTGAGCGCGAGAAGATCCGTCTTGCTCGTGAGAGCCGCAACCAGGGTACCTTTTACGTTGAGGACGAGCCCAAGTTGGTCTTCGTTATCCGTATCAAGGGGTATGTTCTAAACCTACATCGGTTGGTGAATTTTGAATATTGACAAATGTATTAGTATCAACAAGATTGCCCCCAAGCCCCGCAAGATTCTTCAATTGTTGCGTCTTCTCCAGATTAACAACGGTGTCTTTATCCGCTTGAACAAGGCTACCGCTGAGATGCTCACCATCATCGACCCTTACATTGCCTACGGTTACCCCAACCTCAAGACCGTCCGTGAGCTCGTCTACAAGCGTGGTTACGGCAAGGTCAACGGCCAGCGTATCCCTCTTTCTGACAACCAGATCATTGAGGAGAACCTCGGCAAGTACGGCATTGTCTGTGTTGAGGATTTGATCCACGAGATCTACACCGTTGGCCCCAACTTCAAGCAGGCCTCCAACTTCCTCTGGCCCTTCAAGCTTTCCAACCCTACTGGTGGCTTCCACAGCCGCAAGTTCAACCACTTCATCGAGGGTGGTGACACTGGTAACCGCGAGGACAACATCAACAGCCTCGTCCGCCAGATGAACTAAAAAAAAGTCTTTTTCATTTGTGGCATCATGGATGTTTTATTTAATTATGGGTTGTTTGCTTTACTGGGACTGCATGTCATTAGCGTTATGATTGTCGATTCATACGTAGTCTAGCCAAGGTTAATCTGGACAAATCAGTATTCAATCCGCTCATAACCCCAACTGTTCTATAGTAGAAGCAATTGACTTGGTAGATCATTTATACTAGATACACCATTCATAAGTCTCTTGGGTCTGTGTTCTAGATACGAATCACTTCCTGAACTCTTCTCTTCTTATCCACAACCAGTCGAAGCTGCCTATCACGCCAATCCGCGACTTGAGTATCCGAACCTGTTGTTGGGTGAAATACGCCGTTACGTAGGGTCTGCGTGAACAGCTCGTATGATGGGTAATCTGCGGTAATTGAGGAAATAGTCAGCATTACTCAATCGTGTCTTTTGTAAATGATAACTGCAGGTTACGTACACCCGTCGACGAAATGATTTAGTTGTTCTTCGTTCATGCCTGTTCCCTTGGCGGCAATGAGTGTCCTCTCTTGTTCCTGTCGCCAGTCGTAAACGAAACGAGTATTTTGGGCATCACTTTGTGAGAGTCAGAAGCATATTCCAGATATAACCGAATTTGTTGGCGAATAAGGATGGTCGTAGCTCACATGTGTATAAATGCATCGAGGTTACTTGATGTATCAAACGTTAGAACATAACATAATGTAAAAATGCCGATTGCCAAGATCATAAAACTTACTTTGTCAAGACATCATACTCCTTCAAGGCATCATTGATAGCTTGAATATCTTCAAGTTTAACGTGCCCCAAACGTCCGTCGTAGTGACTTGATTTGTCTTCTATCTGTCTGACTGCGGTCTCCCATTTTTCTCTCAAGACATTGTCGTCTAGCGGCCTGAAACCAACGCACCAGCCCTCGAAAATCACAGCTTTGATCTTCTCATCTCCTTCTTTATTAACCACCTCCCATTGAGTTTCAGGAACTCGGTCACCTTGTCCCGAAAAGGCGGACTTGTCATACTGCGGAATGGCTGTGGGCTGATTAGCGGCGAGAGATTCGAAAACCTTTTTTCCAAGTGATAGATCGTGCGTCGACGGCTGACCCCGGTGCTGAACCAGAGGATTATCCGGATGGGATTCAGCCAGCGCGACTTGGTCTGTGTGTGTGAGATATATATCGTCGAGCGAAAGAGTGACGGTGGGGAGCGAATATGGTGAGGACCGGAGGGTTTTCTGCAGTATTGAGACCTTCCATTCCCATTCGTAAGCATCCGACTATGATGGTCTGTTCACGTTTCAGTGCGGCGAGAGTATGGATGTTGAGGAATTACCAGGACCGTCTTGCCAACTCCTTGCACGCCATTCAATCCTAGGAAAAATGGCGGGGCATTGGCATCATCCGCGTATCGAGTCTGATGCTCCTTCAAACGGTCGAGGAGGAAAGGAATGCAGTGTTGCGATTTGTCGTCAACGATTTCCGGCATTCTGGAGAAGTGTCGAAAATGATGAGTCTAGAGTTCTTAAGCCAATTCCGAATATGTAGGGTCTCTTTTATTTTCAAAAGACTTCGGACATGGAGCCGATATATATGTTAGATCTTCCCCACCAGCCGCTGTCGGCTGATAGTTCTGCCTAGACCGTAGATAGCTGATAGCTACATGGCATATACTCCTGGCCTTCAAAAGAAACATACAGGAGGAAGTTGAAAATGCGATCTAAATGCCCCATATTGTTTGTTGCTAGGCCTTTCGAAATGTTTCGGCGGCTGTTGTAGGTCTTAGCTCCCTCGCGCTATGAATGCTGGGCCGGCTTTAGTCTACGGCAGTATGATTCAATTAGCAAAGCGCGTCTCCTCGAATAGCATGGCATGGCATGGGCATAGTCACCCTGAGAGCTTCTGTGTAAGTCAAAGTGTGGTTGTAGAAGAGATTCATGTGCGTCTTGCATGTGAAGAGGTGATGTCACGTCACGGGGAAGCCCGAGTGGAGCCTCGCCCGAGGCAGCTTCCCCATTCGCTGGGCCGCGCTTTCTGGAGAGCCGAGGCTTCGTCGGCATCCTTTGTCGGACATCCCTCGTCTCCCTGCACATCCTCTTTTATAGCCAGATCAATGCACCCTCTTCTTTCCTCCTCGTGCTTTGAGCATTTCATCCTATACTCGCGAGCATACAACACTCTATCACAATGTCCGAGCTCCGTTTTGACGGCCAGACCGTCGTAGTCACTGGTGCTGGCGGCGGTTTGGGTAAGGCATACTGTTTGTTCTTTGGCTCAAGGGGTGCCAACGTCGTTGTCAACGATCTCGGCGGATCTCACAAAGGTGAAGGCACTTCAACCAAGGTAGGCTAGCGGCTTGCTTGAAATGTTGACTGGCATCAAACATACTGATTCATCTGTTGTAGGCCGCTGATGTCGTCGTTGAAGAAATCCGCAAGGCCGGCGGCAAAGCTGTCGCCAACTATGATAGCGTGGAGAACGGAGAGGCTATTATTGATACTGCCATTAAGAACTTTGGCCGCATCGACATCCTCATCAACAACGCCGGAATCTTGCGCGATGTCTCGTTTAAGAATATGCAAGACAAGGATTGGGACTTGATAAACCAAGTGCACATCTATGGTGCTTACAAAGTAAGCTTCAGAGCCATTTGAAGCTGTTGCTGGTTAATTAACAAGCTACAGTGCGCCCGAGCTGCATGGCCTCACTTCCGAAAGCAAAAATACGGACGCGTCGTTAATACTGCTTCGGCTGCTGGACTGTTTGGCAACTTTGGCCAAGCAAATTACTCAGGTAACCTAGCTCCAGTCTACGAGATAGAATGTCCTTACTAACGCAAGTGTAGCTGCGAAGCTGAGCCAAGTCGGCTTTACTGAGACCCTCGCCAAGGAAGGTGCCAAATATAATATTATTGCTAATGTCATAGCTCCAATTGGTAAGTGAATGGCGAGAGTCATAAGTTATTGGATGCCGACTAACAGCTTACAGCTGCTAGCCGAATGACAGCCACAGTTATGCCGCCCGAGTTTCTCGAGCACCTAAAACCTGAATGGGTCGTTCCTCTTGTAGCGGTCCTTGTACATTCATCAAATACCACCGAATCAGGAGGAATATTCGAAGTTGGTGGTGGCCACGTTGCGAAGTTGCGATGGGAGCGAGCCAAGGGAGCTCTGTTGAAAACAGACTCGTCTTTGACTCCCCAGGCCATTTTGGCCAAGTGGAATGACGTGAACGATTTCTCTCAACCTAGTTATCCTTCTGGTCCTGCAGATTTTATGTCCTTGTTGGAAGATGCGCAGAAGCTTCCTGCGAACCCAAGCGCGCCTGATTTGGATTTCAAAGGCCGCGTGGCTTTGGTTACTGGTGGTGGCGCTGGGTAAGGGAATTTCCGTCCGTCAAGGTTGATGTCTCTGTACTAACCGTCTTCTAGACTTGGACGAGCCTATTGTCTTCTATTTGGCAAGCTTGGCGCTTCAGTCGTTGTCAATGATCTGATGGACCCAGAACCCGTGGTTCAAGAAATCATCAAGGCTGGTGGCAAGGCTGTGGGTAACAAAGCCTCTGCAGAAGATGGCGATGCTGTCGTCAAGGCTGCAATCGATGCTTTTGGCCGCATCGATATTGTCATCAATAACGCCGGAATTCTCCGTGATAAGGCATTCAGTAACATGGACGACAGCCTGTGGAATCCAGTGCTGAACGTTCATCTCCGAGGTACATATAAAGTCACCAAGGCGGCTTGGCCCTACTTCCTGAAACAGAAGTATGGACGCGTAGTCAACACAACTAGCACCAGCGGTATCTATGGCAATTTTGGACAGGCTAACTATGCCGCAGCTAAGCTGGGAATACTTGGGTTTTCCCGCGCCATAGCCATTGAGGGAGCTAAGTACAATATCAAAGTGAACACCATTGCTCCTAATGCCGGTACCAACATGACTCGTACTATAATGCCAGAGGAGATGGTTCAGGCTTTCAAACCTGATTATGTTGCCCCCCTTGTCGCCCTACTTTCTTCCGATGCAGTGCCTGAGGATGGCACCAAAGGTCTTTACGAAGTTGGCAGTGGCTGGTATGCTCAAACTCGATGGCAACGAAGCGGTGGGCATGGCTTTCCTGTCGATGTCCAATTGACTCCAGAAGCAGTTGCTGCTAAACTGAAGAAAATTGTCGACTTTGATGATGGCCGTGCTGACCATCCTGTGGATGTATCAGCTGGCTCGGAGCGTGTCATGGCTAACATGGGCAATAAATCCGGTAGTCAAGAGGAGGCTCCCTCCGGTGCTGACAAGGAAATATTGGACAATATCGAGAAGGCGAAGAAGTTATCTGCAGAGGGAACATCATTTGATTATAGCGACCGTGATGTTATACTGTATAATATCAGTTTGGGTGCTAAGCGCACTGACCTGCCGCTGGTCTACGAGAACAGTGATAACTTCCAGCCTCTTCCAACTTTCGGTGTTGTTCCGTGGTTCAACACGCAGACCCCCTTCGACTTGAGTGAGATTGTTGCCAATTTTTCACCAATGATGTTGCTACATGGTGAACAATATCTGGAAATACGCAAATTCCCCATCCCAACAGAGGCTAGAACTATCAATGTGCCCAAACTGGTGGATGTTATTGACAAAGGCAACGCTGCCATTGTTGTGACTGGCTTCACAACCAAAGATGCACGGACTGGTGATGACTTGTTCTACAACGAGTCCACTGTCTTCATCCGAGGTAGTGGCGGCTTCGGGGGATCACCTAAGCCAACCGCCTCGCGGCCCAAGGGCGCTGTAGCTGCCTACAAGCCTCCTAAGCGCAGTCCTGATGCAGTTGTTGAGGAGAAGACCTCAGAGGACCAAGCTGCTCTGTACCGATTGAACGGCGACCGTAATCCTCTTCATATCGACCCTGAATTCAGCAAGGTTGGTGGCTTCAAGACCCCCATCTTGCACGGCCTTTGCTCTCTTGGTATCTCCGGGAAGCATGTGTTCCAAAAGTTCGGCGCTTTCAAGAATCTTAAAGTCCGCTTCGCTGGTGTCGTTCTGCCTGGACAAACTCTCCGCACAGAATTGTGGAAGGAAGGCAATCTGGTTCTTTTCCAAACTACGGTCGTTGAAACCGGCAAGCCTGCTATCAGCGGCGCAGGCGCTGAATTGGTCCAAGACGGCAAGGCTAAATTGTAAATGAAGAAAATTCAACCGGAAATATGTTATATTTAAATTATTCCTTCTCTGGTGTTTATTAAATCATGATGATGTTTTCTTTAGTTCGAAAATCTCTTTGGTTTCATTCTACCTTGTTATATTTGTATTGAAAATCATTTGCAACAAGGTCCTCAAGGCCTCTTTCTCTTATCTCCTAAAACCAAGGGGTTCCTGGCTAGAAGGAAGAGTCTCAGGTACCTAGGCAGCCTCAGCATATACCGAAACTGATAAGCGGTCTGAAACCCAAACTTTGTCTAAGTCTGATATCATAATGATGGGCAATCGAATAGAAGTCCTATAAGATAAGATGATTCAAGAAAGTCTTTTATAACCGAACCGTTTCAGGTTTCAGTATACCGAGCACAGAAATAAAAGGGACCAAGCTGAATCCGAACGGCACCAATATCAAGTCTATTCATTGAGATCAAAATGAAAGGTGAAAAGAGAGTTGATTTATAAACAGTTCAGGTAAGAGGCAAAGCAGAATTTGGGTGAGATTGAGGAAATGACTGGATTGATACAGAGACACATGCACACACATGCAGACAACGAAAGTGTAGGAAATCGCTAGACGCCGTTTATATGCTCCGTTATAAAAAGAAAATACAACCAAGAAGAGAGAAAGGAAACAAGCAGAGACAGAATTTGACAACCAAGTCAAGAGAACGAACAACCAATGAGCGCATGGAGACCGATTTGGTATCGATGCGAGTATGCTATAAGCGAGGCAAAAGGGAATCGAAGCAAATGGCGAGTAGAATATCGTTGGTAGATAGGTAGGTACAAGAAGATGTCGGGATGAGAGGTGATTCGCATCAGTTCCAAATGCGACTATGCGCGAGTCCTCAGATGTAATGATGATTTGAATGATGGGGTATGATAATGGTAAACGTCGATATGAAGTATGCACAAGAAAAGAGCCAATATGACAGAAGAATCCATGCCTAGGGACCTTGTTGAATTATCAAATTTTGATCGGTGAAAGGGGAGGGCCTAATTCCGGTAGTTGAGAAATGCTCCGTCGGTGACTCGTTGTATCTTGAAGATTAGCCGGCCGAGTTCTGCGCGATGATGCTACTGGCTTCGGTGTTCTGATATTTTCATGTTGATCGGGCTGGCTGCTCCCCGAAGATGAGATAGCACGCTCGTCTGCAACTAACGAGGAATCAGGAGATTGACCGTCACGGGAACCCAAGACATGGCCGTTGCTGTTCTTGATCTCATTAGCCTTTTTCTCCTCTGCTTCCTTCGCGGCCCTTTCAATAGCTTCTTGTTCATCCTGGACCCATTCCTTTTCCGTCCAGCAGCCCTGCCAACAGTTCTTCCAATCACACACTAAGAATTGAAAGCAGAACCCGTCAATCTTCATGCAAGGCTGAAAGCAGATACATAGGTTCTGGTAGTTCATTTTATTCTGATCCACATATGAATGTAGAAGGTTCAGATGGCACGTTATTGCAAAAAGGAGGTAGTAATTATACGGAGGAAGCTTGGAAAGCTCGTCCTTGAGAAGCTGCGGTGCAGTTGTTGCACCCTCGCATTTCTCCGCGATCATTTGTTGTGTTGTTTTGGGCAGAAGCTCATCAGGCAGCTCTCGTAGCCAAGCCTTGAACATAGACCCAATAGTGTTAATATCGTACAGGTCTGGCTCATCAAATAGATTAATATCGCCTTCGGAATCAAACCGTCGCTGCCAATGCTTGACTTCTTTGCCACTGCCGGGAACTCTGTATAAGCCTTCTTCCTCACATCCCTTGTAGTTCAAGTAGTCGATGCATCGATAAGGTAACGCGGGCATCCAGTATTCAGTCTTGTCCTTACAATCTTCCAATCTCTTCGAAATCCGCGTTTTTCGTGTTTGCTCAATTAGAGGGAGATTGATGACAGAGCACACATAATTGTCATCCAAGACAACTTCTCGCTCATTGGTACTTCCGCTTCGAGTAATCTTTCCGAAGAACCCCTTCCCGGCTTTACCCAGGCGATCTGCAGCTCCACTGGATGAGTGCTTTATGTTGTTGAATAGAGATGCAGATGCTCCTGATACTTGAATAAACGAGCTTGAAGGTACCATCGATGGGTTCGCTCGTTCTCGTCGGCTGGTCTGGGGGCGGCTCTCGATTGGGCGGTCAGAAGGGTTATGCGTGACAGTCGGGCTTGCTATTTCGTAGAAGCCTCGTTCTGGTCTTAGCGGTGCCGTTTTGAGAGGCGCAGATATTTCTTCCGTACTTTCTGAGACCTTGAGTAGGGTCGCATTAGACGGGCGACGCAGGCCCGCGCTCCTGGGACCAGAGCCATCATCTACTCTGATAGAACGCGTGCGGGAAAGTAAATTCGCGAATCTTGGTTTGCTTTTCTTCAGGGTGTGTCCTTGCAGCACGTGCTCACTGGTGTGCCTGCTATCATCTATCCCATGTCCATTTGGAGTATCACCCCGAACATCTTCCGCTCTCTCTTTAGCTGCTCGAGAGGCGGCTTCTAGCAGGTCAGACGTTGAACCATTCTTTCGTAGGGTGTGATGAGATCGGTCACGAGAGTTTCCACGGCTTTTCGATGCTTGTTCCGCTGAAAGACCCGAACTGTCTGAGTTACTGATCTTGTGGGACGACTTGGAAGCTTTCAGGTTGGCAAAGAATGACCGTGATGGGTCACGGTTATGTTTAGGATTTTCCTTGGGTGATGGCGGATACTGAGGCATCGCCGTGAAATTCGGCGTGGGCGGCTCTGCTGCTTCATAAGGAGAGAGTGGAGCTGTCGTAGAGGAACCTGTCCTTGAACGTGACGTGACCGGCCGTATAGTCGGTTCGTGGCTGATGGATCGGGGGGATGATGGGGAGGATTTTGGCGAACGAGGAGTGAGAGGGCTGAGCGTTGATTCTGGTTTTAAAGCATCAGCACTCTTTGATGCTGGATTTTGCATGCCTTTGTTGAACGTGGTAGTTGCGAGTTCCAAGGTCGGTGCTCTGTTTGATTTTGGAGGCATTTTGAATGATTTTCAATCGGCGCAGCCAAGATAAAATGTTCGCCTCTCAAAAAGATGAACCCAACACCGCGCTTGGGTTCGCTTGGGTCGCTCAAAAGACAGGGGAAAAAGGGGGGTTCGTCCGCCAAAATCAAAGCAACAATGGGCGGCGTTTCAGCGAGGTCGATTCCGAGAGCCGCGTATAAATGGGGGAAATAAGTCTCTGGTGCTTCTAAATCAAAGAGCAATAGTGTCAGCAGACAGGAAGGTCTCAGCGATTGACAAAGTTTTGACTATTCACTATGTCAAATCAATCCATGACCATGGTGTCTCCAACCACATAGGATAGAAGGATATAACGACAAGGAGGCTCATATTACCCACACCCCGTTCGCTGGTCAGGGATCGATTTGATCGTGAAGAAGAATCAAAAGAAAAACAGAATAAAAACAAAGTCATGGATGCACTTTGGTACACGTAGTCTCCCAACAAACAAAGAAGGGTACGAAGCAAAAAGACCAAAACAACACGTACCAAGTTTGGCCTGTCATTTTACTTTCGTCGCTGTCCCAAATCAATTATTGCCACCTCTCCCTCGTGTCAAACACAGTCTGCTCAGATGCTGGTTTTTGGGTCGAACGATTGGTGTGGCATAGAGAAGTGGCTGTGTAGTCGGTGAAGGAACGAATAATATAATGCTTCAATGACGGGTTCGACGATGGAGTGATCGAATCGCATGTATGTAGCTAGGCCTTTGCCCCTCTTAGACCCCCGTAAATGCTCGAGCAGGCCGTCAAAAGTCGAATAAAACGGCAGGCAAAACGAATCGCGATATAGAGTGTGCGTGTGAGCAATGAATTGACACGCAGAGCTGAGTGATAGCGGTATGACGACGGGGGTTTCTCCGTGTCCTGTCGCGACGAAGGGGGGAGGATGATGATGATGATGAATCACAAACGAACGATTCTGATGTTGGCTGACGAGTGTTCTCCGAGCGTTATTTTTCTTAGGCTGGGCTATGAGTGTTAGACGCCAGACCCGCACAGACAGTGCATTCCTACGGAGTAATAGGCGGTGGCGTACCTTTGCAATGCAGGCACGGGCGTGGAAGTAGTATCGAAGCCAAGAACGGCGTACTTATGCAGTCGCACTGTTGTGGCAATAGACCAGCACGTTCGCTATAAAATGGATGGAAGGATTGTCATGATAAATTGGCAATGCGAGAGACGGAGAAAGGAGAAGAAGGTTGAAGGAAGCACGCTAGCAAGGCAAGCGGGTGCTTGCCAGGGGGAGGGGGGCAGGCACCACTGAAAGGGGAAAGGAATGCCAGATAATTCTGGCACTAAACTAAAACACGCTAAATAATTGTATTCTTGCCTTGACGGTAAGAGTCCATGCCAAGCGGGACTCGGAGAAGACAAGAAGGAAAGCTCGTATCGCAGAGCCATGGCTCGAGCCTTTACAGCTGTCAATGGAACTTCAAACGATGCCAGGACACGCGAGCTGCCATTTGCCGAGAACAGCGTGGTGGATGCAGGGGTTGAGGGGGCCTACACTTAATTTATATGGAGCACCGAGTCCAACATCCACATGAGAATTTCGATAGTATACGGAGTATAGAAACATAGAAAAACACACTGCGCAGTAAGTGCTAAATGACGATAGGCCCTCACTCGCGAGCCGATCATTCCTTGGCCATAGCATTTATCCAACACAGCGCACTGCCATGTAACTAGAGCCGGATAATATTTGTATTAATTTATGATCGTTTATGATTCTTTCAGGAACGGAAGATGGAGTACGTAATACGACTCTGCTGCACTAGTCCGGATTGGGTATCGCTGGACCCGCCTGTCCATTAAAAGCTCGCGTTAAGATCGCGCTAGGCCCAAGCCAGTCTAGTCCACTGACGTACACCGACTATGGCGAGTTCAGCCAATCAGCTCGAGTGCTTCCTACGCCCGATGAACGACGAACAGTATATTACTATATGTCGAAAAAAATTCCATTTTGATTCTGATTGTCTGATTAGCAAAGCAATACCCTTGTATTTCTCTCCGTTCTCATTATCAAACTCCACTCTGTTCTATAAGGCTGTGAGCAAGCCCATGGTTCGAGAGAAATAAAGAGCTCCGCCTTGAACCGAGTTGACAATTTGTTAAGCCGCCCCCCCTCCACCTTCCATATCTACGTAATAGTCCTTGGCGGCTTTCGTCATAATCATATTCTTCTCGGATGCAATTATTTCAGTGATGAAATTGGAACTGAAAGATTTGGTTGGTATTCGTGGCTTATCGTTTCATGAATAACGGCATCTAAATGACTTAACTGATTCTCCTTAGTTGACTAGTTAGGTAACTAAATTTAGCTACATTAGGTAACAGACCAAGAGTCCTGGGGCCAAGATTTCTTATCTCCTTCTACCCCTTCAACCTGGTGTTTGCCGTAGACTGTAGTCCGTACTCGTTGCTGCCAGCCAAAAGAAGTCAAGTGATTGACAACTCCGATTAGCATTGATAGGCGTTGATCAAGGGGGCAAAGCCTCAAGATGATGGCATGGCTGGCCATATGGAGTATCGATATGCATACAAAAAGGGCGACATTGCACTGTATCAGCTGGCTCCACTTGTTCTGAAACATGGCTGATGAAACTGTTTCTCCACGAGCGAACTCGAGTCTTTGATTGGCATAACCCGTTCGACTGGTCATTCATACACTGGTTACTATTCGATGTTATGCAAAACAATTCAAACGATCATTTCTTTACCGAGCCTGCCTGAATCAGGGTATTAGTACTGATTTTTGCTAGCGCATAATAGTTCGTCCCCAAACTCAAAGTGGGCCTAGCATGAGCACGTGCCATCATTGCCCGAGGGCTAACTAAACAGTGAAGGCCAAGGCTGAGGCGCGTTTTCTTTTGCAAGCCGACTAAAAATGTACATGAATGCATGTTGCGCAGATCCGAGCAAGCCTGCACTGTCACCCTACCCTTGGTTGCTCTATCCCTTCGCCCTACGGAGTACGGAGTACTTGTGTGATGCCAAGCTGCAACCCTAAGCAGCAGAGGCTGCACGCGCCGCACGGACTCTACATTCTTGGTGACTGGCGGACTCGCTTTGGCAACATACCGATTTGTGTGCGGATAGCCCCGGGGGCCAGGGGTCCAGGACCTAGGGTCCCATCCTGGAGCCGCCAGTGAAGTCCATCTACTACTTACTCTATTTATAAGTGTAGCGTTCGTGAGTTTAATCAAAAGCGTCTGTTTCATATTGGTTTTATGCTGAACTCCAAGCTGCCCTATGCTTTGCATGAAGGCCATGACCTAGTTTGGTGAGTTTGCCGTTCTAGACCCTCGCGCCATGATAGGAGTACGAATTTGTTTGAAGTTATGCACGTATGTTCCTGGCATATACTACGAGTTTCATCACCCCTTATGCGTGCATACATTCATTTGCATGTGATATCTGTAATGCTTGGTGGCTAGGATACTTGTATGACTGCAGCACTGAAACCAAGCATACTACCCCCCCTGATCCAGTTCATCTATTGTGTCAACTTTGTCAAGGACGTCTTTTCCTAATTTAGACTATAATTGGGCTAGTATTCATTCTATCATAATACCATGAAGCCGCCCTGGATTCGCATGAAATCAGGACTTACCTAGGTTCTTAGTATGGATGAGATTCACGCTCGATCTACGAAATAGATAGCTTTACATCGACTACCTCAAACAAAGATTTTACCAAAGAAAGTGCTTCAATTTGAGGTATCCCATGCTACAAATACTGCATATAATGTATATATCCTCGAAACGAAAGTTGATTGGGTGGTCTCTTGACTGTCATGTGACATATTGGAGAAGTCCTTGGCGGTACCCACTTTGTCTTTTCATGCACGAATTATGTTTTGGGTCGCTCTTCTCAACCACCACAACTGCACTCTGCTATAAAAAGAGGATAGATTTCAAAACACACCAGTGTTACTCGTCTCTTATCTCTCCTTAGCGTTCCCAGCTGGTGCACTATACTAGATAATGTCCCTGGTCTCGGGCCCTGGTAGGGGTGGAGGGTCAGGCAGCCAGGAAGCTTTATGCATAGACAAACATGTGGCTTACATTCAAAGTCTGAACACAGTGCGTTGCCGATGCCCGCATTTGTTTTGATATTACCTTCCAACACCAACAATTAAGATGACTGGGTCGTTGACAGCTGTTTAGCGCAGTGATGAGCTTGAGTACTGCTATACAGAACATCTTCGCATGAATGGCGTCTATTGGGGACTGACTCCATTGCATCTCATGAATTGTCCAAATGCGTTACCAAGAGATGAGACAATCGACTTTGTTCTGTCATGCCAGCATGAGAGTGGTGGGTTTGGCGCAGCACCTCTTCATGATGCCCATATGCTGTATACAGTCTCTGCTGTGCAGATTCTGGTCACTTTAGATGCTCTAGACGAGCTAGACAAACCAGGCCGCAGTGGGAAACAAAAGGTCGCATCATGTATGGTTTCCATCATTTCCCTACTTCCGTTCGCGCCTATTTGTGTTCTTTTTCCGCGCTTCCAGCTGATACTAAGTATTTGCAGTCATCGCCTCTTTACAAGATCCGGAATCTGGTGTGTTCAAAGGCGACGAATGGGGAGAGATGGACACCAGATTTTTGTACGGTGCTCTCCTCTCCCTATCCTTGCTGGGGAAGTTAGACTTGATTGATATCGACAAGGCTGTCTCTTATATCCAGAAATGTCTGAACCTGGACGGGGCATATGGTGTACGGCCTGGCGCTGAATCTCATTCAGGTCAAGTGCTGACGTGTGTGGCTGCCCTGGCTATTGCTGATCGGTTGGATCTAATTGATAAGAACCGACTGGGAACCTGGCTAAGCGAACGGCAGGTCGATGTAGGAGGACTTAATGGCCGACCTGAGAAGCTCGAAGATGTGTGCTATAGCTGGTGGGTAGCGGCAAGTCTAGCAATCATCGAACGCCTGGACTGGATTGATAAGCAGAAGCTTAAAGCATTTATCTTGCGCTGTCAGGTAAGACCTCGTTTGCATCGGGCAGAGAAACATCGACTAACCGGCAGCAGGATCCCGATCGAGGTGGACTGTCCGATAGACCAGGAAATGTGGTTGATGTATTCCATACCCATTTTGGTATTGCTGGCCTGAGTCTGCTGGGCTACTCAGGCCTCAAACAGATTGATCCTGTATAGTAAGTTCAGTCGCTGCTGGGAACCGCGAGTCTCGCTAACGACACGGAAACAGTTGTATGCCTAAGGAGATAATAGATAAGTGGTTTGGGAAATAGAAATTGTTGATACCTGACATTAAGCGAGTTCTCTGGGTTGCACTATGCTGGAAATAAGGTCACCATACCGAGTGCACAGCTGCTCACCCTCTTGCTATCTAATAACCCACTTCTTACCACACTTTGGACGATGGGATACAAAGCAAGAGAAGAACAATCGATCTGCTATATTGTCGTATTGTATGTGCTTGATTATGCCCAAGGGCAGAATAGTCTGCGCATTTATATGTGGCAGTACATGTTGTGCTTATTGATAGCACCTAGGTAGAGAAATCGAATCAAGTGACTTGGAAGGCCGTTCTTGCCGCGGGCCACCTTCCCTGTTCGCTGCTGCCCGTCGTGCCTCTCTTCGAATACCCTCACATCGTCCGTTCTTTCTTCCCTCCAATATTCTGTCTGATCTCAACTACTTCTTCCATCATTTGGCCTGGCCATTGCCCGATTTTATACCCCATAGAAAACCTACCTCCTAGCTACCTTGCGGTAGATTGGACCAGTGGAAACCACTGACCGTTCTGTTTTGTCCTTGCCTTGATTTCCTGTCGACCAGCTGCACCTGGTAACTGTAACTTCCTATTTTACTGTCATTCACGAGGGTCTTTCACGCGCTGAAAGAACGCCCTGATCATCCATGATGGATGCAACTTCTCTTTCCTGCAGTATCTGCAACAAGAAACCTCAATTCAGCGACTTATCCCATCTCTTAACCCATATCTCCTCAAAGGCACACTTAGCCAACTATTTCAAGCTTCAGGTTAGAAGCCACCATGACCCGAGATCAAACGAGACTTTGATTCAATACGATCAATGGTATGAAGAGAACGGCCTTGCCAGACTACTGTCCGACCGCATGGCTTCGGCCTCTAGGACAAGCAGGAGGCGACGCAGTAACAGATCGTTTGAGACGGAACTAGGCAAGTCCAATAGCTCTTTCAGCAATACTCGCTAGTTTGTCGGAACTGGACTGATTGTTGGAAAGATATCCCATCGAAATTACCCTTTCATATTCCTGAAGACAAAATCGATCCTCGTCTATCCGACTGCCGACAACTCCTGACCCCTGGTGATCACATTAAAAGCGAAGTCCTTTCACCAGCGAGTCTATCAGACCAATATGAACGACCTTTTCCCAAAGTCGAGGCACAGTCGCCTCAATGGTCAGAAGACGCAGGCACTAACGGTGTTGGCCTTGTTGAGAGTACAAGCAACTCACTAGAGGAAAGATACAATCCATTCTTGCTCACCGCTCGTCCCAAAACACCAACTATAATATCCGAAAACACTCAACTCTCTGGTTCCGGTTTTGAGATTAGCGAGGAAGGAAAAGTTGATGAAATGTCTAGACTGAAAGGCGTGCAATGGCCAGGCATGAATATTTTCGATGCGGCATCAGATGTCATGAAGCGACAGAGGAACCAGAAAAAGGACGCAAGCACTTTCAAAGCAATGGAAGCAGCTTCTTGCGCTACCGAGCCAAATGAGATGGTCTTTTCTCCTTCTGGCACACTGAGGAGGGAACGTGAAATCACTGGGTTTGTCGAGGGGGAGGAGGATCTCTTGCCTGGAGAGTGGAGCATTCCAAAGCATCGTCGAGAACGTCGAGAGCGCCGTAATCACGATACTTCTACGGCTCGCAGTGGACAGGGCATTCAACGTGTTGCATTATCTGTGACGGATCCCAATCGTTCTGTTCTGGGAAGTCGAGTAGCGAAAAGGGAACTGCCAAAGCAACACTCATTAGAAGAGCACAGGCGTCGAGACTACCCGCTTCATACAGCTTCTTGCAAACCTCATAGTCACGGACTTTCTCACGGTCATTGTTATCCTGCTGACGATGATGATGTCGATTTGCAGCTTTCGGTGGGCACTACTGGCCGAAACCGCGCGTCCCGTGTACACATTTTCAAAGACGATGACTCCGCCGCAGCAAAACCAAAGATCAACTCTCCTATTCCTGATATTGTGGAGAATAAAACACCGTGTGATGAACAATCTACTCTATCGTATCATCAACGAATAGCTGGCTCAGTTCATTCTATGTTGGCGGCGAATGATCCAGAAAGGCTTTCACCGTTATCGAATAACACTAGTTCAGTACCTGCACACAATTACTCCCACAATCGTGTAAGTGCTGCGCGGGAGTTGTCTAGGAACATTGATGGTATATATCTTGTCGACAACTCGCTCGGACCAACTCATCGAGTTCCTTATGATCCGCTTGTTGGGGGCAATGTGCTTCACTATCGATGGGACTGGAATGCTTCCGACCCAGCACGAGGCGGCAATGATGTTGATGATCCTGTGCTCGGCGGTGGCATGTTTTACAACCGCGCAGCATCTTCTGACACTACGATCTACCAAGATGAAAACGAGAATAAAAGCTGTCTCTGGCTCGATGGTTATAGCCGTTAATTGTCAGTCAGTCAACAACAAAATCCCTATTTATGGTGTTACGCATTGCAACACCTTCCTCTTATAAAACACAGCCGAATCAATATCGTGCACACAGCTACATTTGATTCTAGTTCCACCGTCTTGCTTCTTTCAATTTATATACAGGCCCTCACACATGGAGTTTATGCGAAAGGTTTATCTCGATGATCCGTCTCTCATTGTTATGTTTGAATTCTGATATTAGGTCACAACAGACCTGGCATGGAGTTTCTCTTGGTCAAGAAGAACACACGATTATTTTATATCCTTTGCAACGTATTATATGTATTTATTATGCAATTAATTAATCAATAGAAGTTTGTATTCAGTTTCAACTCGTAGGTATCTTCGAGCTGCTTCTTCCCTGCTCCCTGTAATATTGCTTATGTAAGTGGGCAATTAAACCCAGAAAGGACGGCGCGTCACGCGTCAAGCTTGTCCGCTTCCTTCTCCTTAGATGAGCACCCAAACTCAACAGCACGCATTATCTCGGTGCTTGATCAAAAGTTACCCCCGACTGTGCGTTGCTACATCCGATCAATCGTGTCTGATGCCGTAAGCAGTGTAAAGATCGGTACAAGGCATGTATTCCACACCCGAACCCGCTCATTTGCTATTCCATCGCCACCATTGAACGAACTTTCTTGGATATATAGCTAACTAGGAATTGCAAACGCTGGCAGCAAACATGCCAACCATGTCTTCCCAGTCCTCGCCTCCGTCCTCGTCGCCCGCATTGAAGCGCAAACAACAGACTATATCTAGTTTTTTCACAAAAAAGCCCTCTCCAAATGGCCAGAAACCTTCCAGTCAAGCAGTTGTCCAAGGAGTTATCCAAGAGAAAAACGAACAACAAGGGAAGAACATTCCCTCTGGAAAAGAGAATGCTGTCTTCGTGGGCAAATCATTTAGTCGCATAGAAGATGGACAACGCAAAGACGATGACGATGATGATATTATTTTGCCGGCTCCAAAACGAGCCAAGATGGGCGACGCCGGAAAATCTACTCCTACAGAGCCCCGAGCAGACGGCGACATCCTACAATCTTCACAACGGACGGAAAGGTTTAAGTTCTCGAGCTCACAAGCGGTAAATGAGAATGAGCAGCAGGGCGGGGACGACGAACATTCCCGGAAGGAAAAAGAGAAAATGCACCAGAAATTCGTCAGGAAATTAGGTGGACCAGATTGTCTCGTCGGTATTGGCAAATCTGCCGCCAATGAAGACGAAACTGCAGCAGGTGCAGAAGATGCGGAAGACGACGAGGAGCCCGTTCCTGCACCGACGACCAAAGGAAGGCAGTCAAAGAAATCCGGCTCGAAACTCACGCCAATGGAAAAACAGGTCATTGAAATAAAACGGAAACACATGGATACTTTACTCATTGTGGAAGTTGGTTACAAGTTTCGATTCTTCGGTGAAGATGCAAGAACCGCCGCGAAGGAATTGAGTATTGTGTGTATACCGGGGAAGATGCGTTTTGATGAACATCCGTCCGAGGCGCATTTGGAGCGATTCGCTTCAGCAAGTATACCAGTTCACCGTTTGCATGTCCATGTAAAACGGCTGGTCACTGCTGGACACAAGGTCGGCGTGGTCCGACAGCTGGAGACTGCGGCACTCAAGGCTGCTGGAGATAATCGGAATGCCCCCTTTGTCCGCAAACTTACGAATGTCTATACCAAAGGAACTTATATTGACGATGCAGAAGGCTTGTCAGCACCAGCAGTGGCGTCCATGGGTGCTACACCAGCAACTGGATATCTTCTCTGCATTACCGAGTCAAATACTAGTGGGAGTGATGAGCGCGTACACGTGGGTATTGTTGCCGTCCAGCCAGCAACGGGAGATATCATCTATGACGAGTTCGAAGATGGCTTCATGAGAGGTGAAATCGAGACTCGATTGCTTCATATAGCTCCTTGTGAGATACTTATAGTTGGTGAACTGACGAAAGCTACCGAGAAATTGGTGAAACAACTCTCGAGTAGCAAAATGAATGTCTTTGGCGACAAAGTTCGAGTTGAAAGAGCACCACGATCCAGAACAGCGGCGGTAGAATCACACAGTCGCGTTTCGACTTTCTATGCCGACAAATTGAAGTCGACAGAGAATGCAGATGATGGTAAAGCTAGTGCACTCCTAGAAAAGGTTTTACAACTACCTGATCAAGTCACAATTTGCCTTTCTTCGATGATTGACCACCTGTCTGAGTACGGCCTGGAGCATGTATTCGACCTGACTAAGTATTTCCAGTCGTTTTCTGCACGGTCTCACATGCTTTTAAACGGCAACACATTGACAAGCCTAGAGATCTACCAGAATCAGACTGATTATTCTAGCAAGGGCAGCTTATTTTGGACAATGGACCGGACTCGAACTCGCTTTGGCCAAAGAATGCTTCGTAAATGGGTAGGGAGACCGCTTCTGGACAAAAGCCAGCTCGAAGAACGTGTTGGTGCTGTGGAGGAACTGTTGAACTCGGAACAGAACGCCCTTACTGATAGGCTGAAGGATTTATTGTCCAAAGTCAAAAGTGATCTGGAGAGGAGCTTGATCCGTATTTACTACGGTAAATGTACACGGCCAGAGCTTCTTACTGTCCTCCAGACCCTACAACTGATCGCAAACTCGTTTTCGCATATTAATTCCCCTGCTGACACTGGATTTGAATCGACAATTATCAGCGAAGCTGTCGCTAAACTCCCTACCATTCGGGAAGATGTTGTCATGTTCCTTGACAAAATCAACATGCATGCTGCAAAGAACGATGACAAATACGAGTTTTTTCGTGAGTCAGAAGAGTCGGATGATATTACGGAACAAAAATTGGGTATTGCAAGTGTCGAACATGATCTGGAGCAACATCGTGATGTCGCCGCGGAAGTGATGGGGAAAAAGAAAGTGGACTATGTCACTTCATCTGGTATTGAATATCTGATTGAAGTTGAAAACAACTCGCCGCAATTCAAACGTGTCCCTGCCTCGTGGGCCAAGATCAGTGGAACGAAAAAGCTCTCTCGGTTTCATACTCCTGATGTGATAAAGCTAATTAGACAGCGAGACCAGCATAAGGAAGCACTTGCAGCTGCCTGCGACAAGGAGTATATGAGGTTATTAGCTGAGATATCGAGTAAATATCAGTCATTCCGAGATTGCATTCAGTCCTTAGCGTTGCTTGACTGCTTGTTTTCCCTTGCCGCCGTTGCCAGCCAGCCGGGATACACGAAGCCTCAATACACTGATCAAACACGCATCGTGGTTGAACAGGGTCGGCACCCAATGGTCGAGCAGCTTTTACTGGATAGCTACGTTCCAAATGATACACACCTCGACTCGGACCAAACTCGAGCGCTGCTTGTGACCGGTCCCAATATGGGTGGAAAATCTAGCTACGTCCGACAGGTAGCGTTGATAGCAATCATGGGTCAGATTGGTTCCTATGTGCCAGCGAAATCAGCTACCTTGGGCATGCTGGACGCTGTTTTCACTCGCATGGGTGCATTTGACAACATGCTGACAGGGGAGTCAACGTTCATGGTTGAACTATCCGAGACTGCAGATATCCTAAAGCAAGCGACGTCTCGTTCTCTAGTCATTCTCGATGAACTAGGTCGAGGCACATCTACCCATGACGGTGTTGCTATTGCACAGGCTATTTTGGATCACATGGTCCGCACGATTCGCAGTTTGACCTTGTTCATCACACACTACCAGAACCTCTCAGCGATGGCCAAGTCATTTCCGAACCACGAGCTTCGCAATGTCCACATGCGATTCACTGAGTCTGGAGATCGGAACGACGAGGAGATAACTTTCCTGTACGAGGTTGGAGAAGGGGTAGCACATCGTAGTTACGGACTAAATGTGGCACGCTTGGCTAACCTTCCTCCGTCCGTACTAGACTTGGCTAGACAGAAGAGCAGTGAGTTGGAGGAGAAGATCAGGCGAAAAAGACTTGTGAATGCCGCTAAGAATGTTGAAAGTATCCTAACCAAGGAATCCTCGGCGGTTAATGATGGCGGAGCAGAGCAGGATTTGATCATTGAGAAGCTTATTGGCTTCGCCGAGCAGCTTTGACAGAAATCTTTTTACATGTGATGGCTATGGCTCTGGTTACCGGCAGGTACCCAATGTCTCGATGAGGGAGGAGGGGTTCTGGGGCTTGTATGTACATACATGATTGGATAAAATAATAACTAAGCCGCTGTTGTGTATTTTGCGCCTGTCTATGACAATTTGGATAACGAAGAACATTCTACTAGGCTCACAGCCCAGAGCATTTTATACGCCGGCAGACATAGCGGGGTGTACTATTTTGCCATCATCCATCGATGCTCGACAGACTATTAAGCGCCGAGACAATATGGATAGCGTGCAGACCAAAGCGTCACACTGCGCCAGCTGTGTGATGAGATAATATGCATTTCCGGTAACCACGAACTACTATATCTTTTTCGAAGCGTCGGGAATTCATTAGCTCGATTTTCCAGTGTGACTGTCACTTCACTATGGGCGCTAAGCCGGGGTGTGCTCGATTGGCGAGGCTGGTTGGTAACCTGCATGACCAGGTTAGCGCTGAGGTTCCTGTTAGGGCAAGGGCAGAAGACATCCCCCATATTATTGGTGTGTGTTTATTTCTTGGAGATAAAGGAGAGATTAAAACTCGAGAAAGGAGTAACTCTGGTGGCGAGTCGTTGAGGGAAAAGAAATGACTCTGCGGATATACTACCATGCCAACAGAGCCAATCATTCATAAAGCTCGACGAAGAGAGCGAGGCTACGAAGCTTGATGAGGGATATCGTGTCTCTACAAGTGCCAAAATCCTCTAATGGCGAGAGGGTTTCGTACAGCTGCAAAAGAGGGGTAGTTAGGGTTACCGGCTCTCGGCTATTGGATCAACCAGCTTCACTGAACCTGCCGATGCCGGATGGACAGACTCTCCTGTAGGGATTGAGATGCCTCGATATTATCCCGAATAGTCACCATAACAACAAGCGATGCAAAGTCTCCAGCCAAAGCTGTACGACGGCGAGCAGCTGGACGAAGTCGCCGGCTTCCCCACGCTGTATAACTTCTTCGCAGGCGATCCGCAGAAGCCACTGGTCGTATTCATTCCTGGCAATGTGCATAACGCTCGGGTCGCATACGGTGGGCACCAGGGCTATGAACCAAGGGATTTTCTGGCGTACTGGCTGAACAGCCATGGCCACGGCCTGTTGGCGATTTCATATCCCCTGGAGAGCGAGCCCACAATCATGCCGGCGACTGCGCCGCATTTCCGGACCCGCGACTGGGGGAAGCAAGCCGCAGAGGTCACGCATAGAATTATTAAACAGCACGGCCTCTCCAATCAGGTGGTGCTTACAGCATGGAGCATGGGCGGCAGGATAGTGATGCCGTTCAGTGCGGCGGCGCAGTCCCTTGGAATCGACGTGGTCTTGTTTGTGCCTCTCGCGGCCACCCCGGGCATCTATGGCTTACGACCCCCTAAGCGAGAGACTAATAGCACGGCGGCTGGCTACGCAGAGCTGTCAAATGTGCTCGGATCATTTGCTAGACAGGTGCAAGAACAAGGACAACTATGGAATGGCGGACGAGTCATCGTGCCTGATGAGATTTACTTGAGCGAATATTGCGGAGCCACGCCCGTGAGTTTATCGGGATGTCACCTGAGCTATGACAGCGATAGTCGCGGTTTCGTGCAAGATGACTTGACGTCAACGGAGGATGCAGCTGTGGACCAGGTCCAGCATTGTCCCATGATTGTTGCATTAACAGGGAACAGTCCCCTAGACGCCCGGCATGTCTTTACCGACCAGGCGACGTGGAGCTTTGTGTTGACGCGCAAATTGATGCACGAGATTGAAGATCACGGCTTAAACAAGATTGTGGGGAATGGCACCTGGGATAAGTTGATTGAGATGGTGCATTCTGTGCCGACACACATATCGTATTCTATTCCTGGTAACCATTTCTTCTTCCTCGGCGAGTTTGGCGCTCGCGAGACAGCAGCAGCTATCGTGAAGTACCTGGAGAATGCCAGTGCATTCAGACGTGATTTCGAGTCCTTGTTGAGGGGAGAAGCTTAGTGTGATCAGTTCCAATCGAGAGAATCAATAGGTAGATTCTAAGCGCTGAGGATGATACCCACCCACTTTGGCGTTTTCTGTCCAAGCCTTCTGCATTAGATTTAACGAATTGAAAACAAGCCTGTTCAGAACGTCAAACTATTGGCCCTGGTCAGATAGCCGCCGAGCTACGAGGGATAATTAGTGTAGTTCGGTGGCGTGTCAGTGCCATCCCTGCCCAGCGCTTAAGTATCAACTATCAACCATCACCTCGGACTAACCCGATTAGGCAATGAGGGCTATTTTCGTCCTCTCTCTGCCTCGCCCTTTCGTTTATAACCCCTAATCATCCCAAGTGCAATGTTGGGGAAAAAAAATTCCCAAGACAGCCAAAGGAAACACAAACCGCATCCCCAAATGAGGCTGCACACAATCATCGCGGCGGCAAGGGTCCGCAAACAAAGGCAGTCCCTCCGCACCTGTGAGGCATGCCTGAGAAGAAGAAGGCCATGCACTCATATTCTGAGTTCGGAACTTAATATGGACAGCATCTCGGACACTTCCAACGTTTCTGTGGCCTCGCCTCTGTCTTCTGCTCAACCTCAATCCGGGAATGGCACCGAGATGATTGCGAGTTCAAGTTCCAACACACAAGAGGCATCCCCCGAAGACAATTCGCATGCTTCCAGACCGGCTACAGGAGATTTAAACCTAGAGAGCGCCTACCAAACCGTTAGCAGCTCCAAGCCAGCTACACAGAGCACTGGAACCTGGCTCGTCGAAAATCTGAAAGCCAGCGGAACCCCCAAACGAGTGAGTGGTGACGCCATTATGCCCGAAGGAATCTTCTCCAACACAAATTCAGCTACTCAGAAATTGTTGGCCTCGCTTCTTGAAGAAGAATGCTTTTCCGAGCTTCCTTCCGAGCAACCTCTTTCCAAACTCCTGACTTATTACGCAGAGGAAGTATATCCTGTATTCCCAATCGTCAACATCAAGTCGTTCGAGACCGATATTGACCGCAACTCCAAAATCTTACTTTCACAAGCTATGTGTTTGATTGCCTCAATGAGCCCTCAGTGTACAGAGTTTTTATATCTCCGCGGCAGGGATGATTTACTACTGGACCCTCGATTATTCGCAAACCGTCTCTTCTGCGCCATGCGCTGTGTCATTGATGTTGGCACGATAACAAATAAAATGGTGCAGCTCCAGGCGTTGGGTGCATTATCACTTTACAGCGAAGGCCAGGAAGGCCCTACATTAGCGGCACAGTTTTGTGCCAAGATGATACAGCTTGTCCAAACACTTGGCCTTCATGTTCAGATGGAGAATAAGCATGAAGAGGAGCATGCGGTGACTGCTCTCTGTTGTGCCTGGGCTATAGACCGAATGAACGCAGCAATCCATGGGCGGCCGGTCTCGATGCACGAACGAGATATAGGCAGAGACTTTAATGAGTGCATCGAAGCTCAGAGTCCTGCTTTCAGACTACTATTAAGAGTCGTTTCTCAACTCAACCAAGTCATAGACTTGTATCGTCCGCAGAAGAACACGAAGCCCGCAGAGACTGAATTTATCTGTCCTCGGTTTGAGGATCTTGTGATATCGGCCCATGGTGCTAACCTGGAGGATAAGTTCCTCAGTAAGTATAATCGACTCTCCCTCTTCTTCCTATCCTAGGCCTTGTGTTGATACCTGTCAGATACAATTGAGGTGCTGTACCTTGCAGTTGTTATTGTCTCATGCCGAAACAGAGAGAAGCCGACACATAATCGCGCACGACAGCTTCTTGCAGCGTCCAGAATCACCTCTCTTGTACGACAGGAATACGGAAATGAGCTCATGATATTCTCATTTGTCCCATATGCTGTATCGCTATCACTCAGTATTTACTACAAGCAGATGCGGTACAACAAGGTACCATTGTACCGACAACGTGCACGATCAGAGCTGCAATCGACCTGTGATCTACTAGACCAACTATCAGAACACTTTTACATCTCTTACATGATGGCCAAAGTTGGGCGAGCAACATTAGCAGAAATGGATCGAGCCCAAGACAGGAAGAATCTCACCGAGGTTTCTCCAAACATGTCTTCGCAGCCACCGCCATATTCTGAAATCAATCAACCTTATGACCCCGAAGTGAGCTGTAGTGCTGTCGACAATGGTGTCGCGAACTCAGGGTACGTTGATATATTTGATTTGTTCGATGCTCGTTTCGAATTGCAGGGTGTCGATGCCGTTTTCCAGAGTGGTCTTGATTTGCGCATGCCGAGATTTCCCTCGCCTTATATCGATCGCCTAATCATACCACGCAAGTAATGTGTTTTGGCAGTTATCCGAATTCTCTATTACTTTCTTTTCCTTTTTTGGGTCATGTTCTGCTTTTCTTTTATGTTTGTTTTGAGCTCTGCAATGAGATAGGGAAATTGTAATGCTGTTGGTGACACGGAGAATAAATTGCCTATTTAGGTAATATTTACTACTCTTGTCAGAAGATTGCCCCGTTGAGTATTTATCTAATGAGTCACGGTCTTTATACTTACAATTAATCGATTGCCTTTGATTCGATAAGCCTTTATTTAATATCTATACGCTGGTTGATGCAGATAAGACGTCAACCTGTGAAAAATGTGCCAAGTTGATCATATATAAGTTGATTGATTTGATTTCTTCTATAAATCATGCTGAATCGAAAGTATGAGAGTATACAAGATAGTCCTCTGAGCATCTAGGTATCGACAGCTGGTCTTCAAGGCAACTCACTAATAGGAATAACGGAAAGACTGGTCCTCCTTGTCGGTCATGTCGATGCCTTCGGAGTCAATGACGGCACCGCCGCTCGACTGTTCGCGGTCCCGCCGAGCATTGTCCCTAGAGCACACATACCAGTAGCCGGAGATGGCAACGAACAGCAAACACCAGATGACGATGTCTAGGATGACGCCGGCTAGGTATCGGGGAGCCTTCGTCCATGCTTGCGGTCCCGCGATGCATCCAACACAGTAGCCGATGAAGAAAAAGGTATTCACCATCGCACGCTTGGTGTTGCCCTTGACGTTGGACGCGCTCAAACTAAGAATAATAGTCATGATGTCGGAGATCAAGCTGGCCTGTCCGGTTGGAGGTGGTGAGGTTAGAAGAAGAGGTAGGTTTTGGTCCAGAACACGTGTCTTATTACTTACTAGCCACGAAGCGACGATAACTCCCCAACCCGCAGATATAGGAAGCTTTAACAGAAGTATGTTACCAATCAATGGCGGAATGATGAGAACCAGCACTACCGCACACCGGTTCTTTGGGAAGACTAAGCAGCCCAGAACGCTGATCCAAATGAACAAAATTTGAAGGGCTCCAGACGGGGAGCCGTACAAGAGGGTATCAAATTTGTCATATCCAATGTTCTTGATGACAAGCGAGGCGAACTATTTTATCAAGATTTAGCCATGGTCCCATACCACATCGTACCCATGAGGAAAGGAGAGCCTACGGTGAGGGGAGAAGAATTCAGCGTCACGAGCAGCCCGAACGCAAAGACAAACCATGACTTGATATCCAACAGGCCCTCTTTGAATTGGCTTATAGAGAAGTTGCTACGATCTCCACCCTCTCGGTCTGCAGCCATACGGGCGATGAGGATCTCCTTCTCGCGCGGTGACAAAAACCAGGCGTCACTGACTCCATTGGGGACGATGAAGAAGAACACTGCGCCGAAAAAGGTTGTCATCGCGCCGCAGATGAGGAAGAGAACCCGCCAGGGCTGCAGGCTGAGACTGCCGTTCTTGCCGACGCCGTACATGAGCAGTGAGCCCACAACTTGGGCTAATCCGTTCATGGTGACCCAGATCCTGTTTTTATTTTTATACTCAGTTTAGAGGAAGAAAGGCGAAGGACGGCCAAAAAGAGAGAGGGAAAAAAAAAAAAAAAGACGAGACTAACCCGACACGAATAGGATGTTCACTCTTGCGGTACCAGATGCTGGTTATCGTGACAAAGGCAGGAGAGACAGCACCCTCGGCGAATCCCAGTATGAATCGAACGGTGGCAAAGCCCGCAAAATTCTGCGGTGCAGCAAGACACATGCATATACCGCCCCAGACGAAGCTACGACAGTCAATAAGGGAAGCTCCTTAGACGGGGCATACAGAGAGATGACTGACACAGTAGCCCCAACGAATTTCGCCAGCGGAAGTCGACTCATCAGATAGATAAAAGGATACTCGGAGACCAGCTGGCCTGGTGAAGGCAATGAATTCAGTCAGCACACGCATGAAGCAGGTCGGGACTTCGACATTTTGACCCACCGAAATAAAAGATGGACGAGGTCCAGGAATACTGCCGTCCTTCCAGTTTCAGGTCGGAAATGAGGCCGAAGACTGATGCATAGCTGAGACTTTGCTTGTCGAGATCTGTGCGAGACACGTTAGCCCGTGACCAGCGCAGAGGTTCAAGCTCTACCCAACATACATTGGAGGAAGAAGACCCAGCACATCTATTGCATGTCAGTCCAATGGAAGCTTCTCTCTCGGGACATCAGTATGAATCATTATTACCATGGGCAGAATCACCAAGTCCAGCTTGCGGACAACCCTCCTCTCCTCTTCCGGAGTGTATGAGCAGGTTTCCACATAGCATCCATCGGCCACCTGGGTGTCCGACAGCGCGTGGTCCTTTTTCTCGAGCGTGTTTGAGGTATCCATGTCGCGATCTGACGAGGGAGGGAGATAGCGGACCACCGTTCAGGAGCTGTCGGACAAAGGGTCTTATATAAAGACATGGTAAGCAAGCCCTCCACGACGTCAAGTTAACCTTATCAGACACTTGCATTCGTTTCGCGATAACGGGAACAGGGCTGCGGACGGGTACACGTACCCGTCTGTAGGCACGCGTGCCGACGATGCCGTCAGATCCACTGCTCATGAATACATCTTACTTTGCGACAGATGATAAGATAAATCAATACTAGCAAGTCCCGGCACAGGAGCCAAAGTCATTGAACTCCCTACAACCACCATGGTGACAAAGGATTTCCTCAAGCCCTGGAAGCGAAGTCCTGCCCGCCGGTACATCTTCCGGCACGCCAACGTGGTCGATCCTGTAGATGGCTCAATCCGCGAGAATGCGACGGTTATTCTACGCCATGGCGTGGTTGAATCGGTGACTGAGACAAGCTCGACGGACGACTACGGTGATTTAGCGGCAGGCGCAATTGTCATCGACGCTCGTGGCCGCTATCTGTGTCCTGGACTCATCGACGCCCATGTCCATCTCACGTCGACTCCCGGTGGCAGGGGACTAGCAGATAGCATCAAGATGGCCCCCGACCGCTCGAAGATGCGCCAGCCATTTGTCTGCCAGCAGATGTTGCGGCGAGGCTTCACTTCAGCCCGGGATTGCGGAGGCGCGACCCTAGCCTTAAAGGAAGCCATTGCCGACGGTGTGTTCCCAGGTCCTCGCCTGTTTATCGCTGGACATGCGTTGAGCCAAACGGGCGGCCATTCGGATTTCCGCTCGGCAGATGATACGCACGAATGCTGTGGCGGGCATATTACGGGACTGGGCCGCCTGGTCGACGGCGTGGCCGAGTGCATGAAGTATGCTCGCGAGGAGCTTCGAATGGGCGCTGATTTCATCAAGATCATGACCGGGGGAGGGGTGGCCAGTCCAACCGACGCGCTGGAGAACCTGCAGTTCACCACGGAGGAGATCAAGGCCATCACCACCGTGGCGGCCAACAGTCGAACATATGTCACAGCGCATGCATACACGCCGGAATCCATTCGCCATGCCATCGACAACGGCGTGCTGGGCATCGAGCACGGCAATCTCCTAGATGAACCTACGGCCGCTCTCATGGCAGAAAAAGGCGTGTTTCTTACCCCAACCTTGATCACATACTCGGAAATGTCCTCGCCTGAATGGGAAGGTTTTTTACCTCCGGAATCCGTGCAGAAAAACCAGCAGGTCCTTCAAGCAGGGCTCAAGTCACTGCAAATTGCCGTGGCCGCCGGCGTCACGATCTGCTTCGGGACCGATCTTCTTGGCCCTATGGGTGTCGCGCAGACCAAGGAGTTTTCCTTGCGGGCAAAGGTTCTGACGCCACTGCAGGTGCTCCAGAGCGCGACGATTAATCCTGCACGCCTGTGCAAACAGGAGGCTTTTCTCGGTCAGATAAAGCCGGGGTTTGCCGCCGATTTGTTGGTATTGACGCAGAACCCACTGCAGGATATCACCATCCTTGACGACCCAGACCGACATCTGTTGGCTGTGATCAAGGAAGGTTACGTACACGCAAGCCGGTGGTCCAAGTTACCGGAAGATATCGCAGCTCTACAGAGGATTATCGAATGAATGAGCACGTATTAGTGAGACTATGATAACCTCGACCCTATATAGATATAATTTTCCTTTGTTTACTAGTCACGTACACTCATAGTTCCAAATATTATTCAATTCTTTCCTTGAAAATAGAATGCACAATCACAAGTCATTCCAATTACTAAAATTCATCACATCAAGACCTGTCAGGCCCAATATAAACGGATCGTCATAGGCCGATGTTAGGGGTGCATCCGTCCAGCCCATCATCGTAGGAAGTGTGGCAGGAGCTTCTGAGTCAGGGTCATGAGAGGTTGATGAGATCGCATCCATGTACTCTGTGGTCGGTTGCAGGACGCTGCTACCATGTACCTCCGCTCTTCCCGTTACAGATTCCACGGTGTCATACTGTGATGGCGTTTTATCATTTTCGTTTTCGCCTTCGTCATCGCAATCGTTGTCGTTGTCGTCGCCGCTCTGTTCTTCATTCGGGCCTGCTTGACCGGTTTCCGCGAGCCATTGGAGCCAGGAGTCGTACCCAGAGCCTGTTTCTGACGACACGAGGTCCGGTGGTCGACGAAGTCGATGCTGCATTTTCATAACCGCTTCATCAGCAATAGCCTGAAAGTGCTCGACACACTGCACTCCAACCCTGGCCATGCGGTTCTCAGCCGCAATGAACCGTAGCGAAGCCAGCCCAAAATCTACCCAGCGATTATATTCCGAGTCCCGCTCAAGAATGCCAGCAAGCAAGATGATGGTCGTTGCCGTACTGCAGCCGTGAAAATCAGTGAAGGAGAATGGCGCTAGCCTTTCTTTAGCCCACAGCAACTCAAAAAGCTGAAGAACCTCTTTCGCAGCTCGCACGCAGAGTCGGCCATGCTCAATGGTGGTCGGGTCGGTCGGTTCATTGAACGAGGTGTCGACGAGGACCCGCTTCAGTCGGCCACGAACGATTCGGAGCAATGGGATGCGGCACATGATGATCCAGGCAATATGATAGTTTTGGTGAAGGTGGGCTACCGCACGGGGGCTCTTCATCTCTTGCCCTTTGGAGAGCAGGTTCTCCAGGGCAAGAGTGGGTGGCAGCTGTTCTTGCCAATGGTGAAGCTCATTTTTGAAGACCTCAAGAGAACGTGAGGCTGTCTGTGTTTGAGAAATAAAGGCAAGATTTCTGAGCAAGCGTCAGAAAGAGCCTTAATAATCCAGGCGGGGGAGGAGCGGGGCGGTGGAATATACATCTTTTGCACCAGCCGGCTTAATATCCGCGTGAGAGACGCATTCGCAATCTGATGATGAATATTGTTATTGATCTGTACTTCATCCAGAGCCGGAAGTGCTGTGGGAAGGGGGGCGTCCACTTCATCTTCTCTGATGAACCCCGGCCGGCCGATTTTGACGCTGACAAGCCTGTGTGTGTATGTTAATACTCGTAAGAATAGAAAGCCGAATATTAAATGATAGTGATAAGAGTCAAGTCGTACCGTTCCATCGAATACAAGGACCACCACAGTCGATTGCTTATCTCAGCAGATCTAGGATCCGCGCAATATTTCATCGTGCTGCGACGGTGCATACCCAGAGAGATGGCTATGCGCAGAGCCAGTCCCATGTAGAAATAAGACTGGTTTCGTGCATCGGATGGCAAGAAATAGATGGCCATCAGGAAGAAAACTTGAACAGAGGTAATAGACGGCACCTGGATGAGATTGGGAACGAGAGGATGGATACTGTCGACAAAGGTCACGCCAGGATCATAGCTGAGATCGGGCCGGGGGGTTGGCGAGGGTTTCGACGCGAGATGTGCAAACTGGCTGCCCAACGCAAAGACCATAAGACTTATTACAACGCATGAGCAGTTAAGTGGCTGGTCATCATGGCTGGCGTAAATGCTATCCAGATCGCGCCGAAATGCTGTCTGGTGAAAGTAAAAAAAGCTATCAGAGGCAAACTCGATACACGTGGAGACAAGGAAATCCGCCACTTGCTTGGGTGGAAACACCTTGACAGTATTTCGTAGAAGGCGTTGATCAATATGTAGTTCAGGTGTAGATCCTAGAGGAGATGCGTTCCCTTCGTACAACCGAATCGGATCTCTGTGCCCTGGGCTGAGGAACATGGCTTCCCGGATTCGCGGGATAAAGTCTCCTTGGGCGTTGGACCAGTCAAGATCTTATGTCGCATATCAGCGAGGTAAGATGCAACAATGGGGGTGAGCAAGATACCTACCTAGCGAGGCGGCATCTTCTGGTGATACATCCGATGTGGAACCAGCAGCTGTAATGTCTATTGTCTTGTGCTGCGTCTCTGTAGGCATAGCTTGCGCCGGCCTTCTGACTGGTTCAGCCCTGTCACGGTACTTCAGCAGCCTATTTATTTTCATTGCTTGAGTCAGATTTTCGACTTACCTAACCACATCAGGATCTCGAGCTGACTCAGTTGACATCAGCGAGCAACGTTGCCTACTGCTTGCGCACCGACTGCACGCAGCAGAGGTGGCATCAGAATTAGGAACAACGCAGCGACTTTTGCGGCGCCGGCATCTTTCACATCTATTACACACCAGTCAGTCAGCCTGACAGAGAAAGAAACACGGAAGAACTTCTATATGTACGCCTGTTCCGCTCGCTTGCGCTTCTCCTTGGCCACACGCGGTCTATGTCGACGTCGGCTGTTGTGTTCCATGCGGAGATGGCCTGGAGAAGAGCTTGCTATGAGACACGTCAAATGGACAGCTTTGTTCATATGACGGTGACCATCTGGTTGATTATTTACAAGTTAATCCGTGAGTGTCGATAGCGAGTCGGTACACTGGTTCGGTTTCCTGATAATTAAGCCTAGTTTGGTTAGCACCTGGCTAACCCCATTTGGTATTTTAGGGTTATTGCATAAAAGTAGACATTCTTGCTCTTAGATCTGGAAAAACACTCGTACACACGAAATAGACGAAAGTCGATAAACAAAATAGCCGCAGGGTGCTGTGTTACTTATAGAGCCCCCTCCACACACCGTTCTGTCAAACCCGGCAACACCAATAACTAACAGCCAAAATAGGGACAAAGGTGCTATGATTGATGCCGCAAATTAGAGCTATATACATCCGTTTATGATAATGTGCTGAGTAATTGGAAATTGGACAGTGTTGACCATAATGTAACGTAATTTTCCCCCCTTCTCTCACTTGTTTTGCCGCCTCTTTATTCTAGCTCGTCGTATTGTGCAACAAACATCCCACAGAAAAGTCGGACTGAATTTATTGACCAAGACCGGAACAGTTCTCATCGGTAATGGATGTAATGCTGCTATATGGGTAGGGAAGTGTCCAAATAAGACCGTAGCTATTTTCAAAGTCCGATTAAATTTCGTTCTCACATATGCAAATCAAATACGGAAAGGAAATACTCACTCATCATCAGGGTACTCTGGAGCATCACTATCACCCAATTCTTCAGCAATGTCGGTCAGCTCACCATGCTCCCAGCAGATCAGGATGTTGCCGTCCCCGGTGTAGGCCTTGACAGCCTTCTTCACACACTTGGTGTCAGTCTTGGAGCATGAGGTGTCAACGGTGAGGCCAAGCTCGTCGGCCAGGGGTAAGACAGTAAGATAAGGACGGTCGCGCTTTCCATCTTCATATTAAAAGACTATGTCAGGTTAAAGCTCTTATTGCTCAAAAGCAAATCGCCTATTGCCAGCCGAAGGAAGATTGATTACTTACCAGACTTAGGCTTCTCAGCCAATATATAACCAATATCATAGTCGGAGCTTGGACCAAAGACACTAGTTAAGCACTGAGCGCGCTCCTCGCCTTGTTCAGAAAGACCAGTGTCACCGTTTGATGGCTTTTCTCCATGGCGGATCAGAAAGACAGTAGGCTCGGCGGCGACAGCGCCCACGAGAAGTAAAGAAAAGTTGGCTAGGGTGAGCAACTTCATATTTGCTGTCGTTTTAGGGATATGTACACAAATAGGTATATGAACGAAGAAGTCGAGAGGTTTTCAACCGCGGAACTAGAATCCGAGCCGAAAACCCAATTCCAGACTGGAAACGCAACTGCATTTTATAACCCCGCTGCGCTATTTCTTTTTTTATTTTCAACTTGTATCAACGCATTGTACAGAAGCTTGCGCCTGTAACCCAAGGTGGTACCCAAGGCGGACATTCTGTGATTAAATCGGCAAGGCGACCTGACGATCTGCGGGTAGATCGAAAATGCGGGCCAATGAGCGCCTGCGCCCAACGAGCTACGCAGTCGATGTTACCTTCCGAGGAAGGGAAAGCCGCCCACGTGAGACCGCCGGGTTGTCGTATTGGCGCGGCTAATGCGTTTAATCCGGCGCTGCTGTGTGGCGCCCAGCGCTAGCTGGGTGGGGCTATCCGAAAGAGGAAAAACATCAAAGCCCTAAAATGACGGAACTCGTGGCTAGCATGAGCTTGATCAGAAAGAAGTGAAAAAAGTGAACGCATGAGCCCGAGTACCAGATACTGCGGTATAAGCTTATATAGGTTGAGCTAGTATTTTAAATAGTGGAGTTGGCGAGAGTTGTAAAGATAAATTTAACAAGGAGCTCAATACAGGGATTCGAGGAGTACACATGGGAAATACTGGAAAGTGAGGGGCTTGGTGTTTACCCACAAATGGATAACCGCATAACAAATTGATCTAACATTCGACTTACTTCGTAAACCAATTTTTGAGTCACTGAATGCGGGGCTACGAAGGATGTTATTTGTATGACATGCAGAGTCTAAGGTCCTAGTGGCATGACTAATCCAGGTCTCCGATAAGGTGGTTATTAAATAAGTCTGTAGCAATTAAATTGTATTCATGACTCCGTGTATATTGCTGAGATTTGCAATTGACCAGAAGCAGGGATGAATTTGGAGGCAGCAGCTGTATTTTTTCTCCTTTATGATCTGAATAATCTGGATTTTACATATCTAAATGTACTTCAAGAAGTTTTCTTCTTCATTTGGCTTGCAAGGAACATCGTTAATATCTCCCATACCGGTGATTCACAATCGACTCCTCGTTGAGTCTTAAAGAGATAGATAGACAAAACAAAAATTGCCCCAGACATTTATTCTCTACTTTTTTTCTTTCTCAATTACTTTGGAGTCTAGTGGCGATAAAGCCCAACAATCGAATGTTGTTCAATAAGTCAACGACGTTGACCGGGCGTCCCTAGTACTTCGCAGCACTTCGAGCCAAAGCCCCCGTTCCTAAAGTTAGCTGCCAAACTTCGATTTGATTAATACTACCCAATCCTTGCAAACTTGTTGAACAAACGGAGCCAATTGAGGGTTTGAAAAGTCGAAAAAAGATGCCCAGAAACAAATTTTTGCGGTAGCCAGCCCTGAGCTGTAGGAAATTGGAGCTAGGAATATCGTGAACGTGCAAGCTTGTTTGCATTTAAGCGAGAACAATCACTTGACCAAGGAACATAATTACGTTTGATGTATCAATGTGGATGTTAAGGTTAACGTAATTTCTAAAAGTATTATTCCTTGAACTAGTATGGAATACAGCCTGGTGAGACAACGAGATCGATCTTTACGCCGAGAGACCAATATGTTCTTTGACAACTATGAGCAGAGGATAGCAGATCCAATTTTCTAGTAAGTTTGTGATAAGAACCAGGTGTTCATTGCCCGTGACTAGCAACAACGATGCTTTTGATGCTCACAGCCTAACTCTGAACACGAGCCTCATATCATCCACTCAGACCCGCTTAGTATCCTTCTTTGATCATAATGCGACCACATAGAGCGCTGGAGGAAGCTTCGAGTTAGAAGCTATCTGTAGAGACATCTCGATTAGCCATAGCCATCCATAATCATATTTAAAGTTCACCAACCTTTCGAGTGACATCCTGGCATTTGGATCAAATATCTGAAACAGATCTCCAATTTTCGTGGAAACTCTCGAGTAGCTCAATAATCTCGCGGTCTCGGCTTGTGATATTCCATTCAGTCAGGTGGTTTTCATCCGAGATTCCGTCCTGGATTATTCCGTAAGTGTTGGATTTACAAGCCATGATTTGTCGAGGTTAATATTCGCGGTGTCTAGAAAGTAGACTATAGAGAATCCTAGCAAGGTCCTTGTTCAATACATGTAGTTTCAAATATAGCAAAAGGGCGTTCGTACAGTTGTGAGGTGAAGTTTGTCTTCGAAATAGGTTCGCGACTAAAACATAAATCAGGAGAACATCCCAGGACTTAAATATTCGAGATAGAAGTCAGCCTTGGAGTAGTCACACGTAATTATGGCGCTTACAGGTATGTGATTTAATGAAAGATGTACTTCGAGGACCAATCGATTATCGGTTGATGCTGTGTCTGTGCCGCAAAGATAAGGTAACGTGCCTCCGCGGCGCAGTCGACGCATGGGAAAGGGGTGTGCCGCAATACAATACAATGGTGACCAAATTGTATGCTCTTTAAACAGTAGAAAAACAGTAGAGAGAGACTAATGGTCGGTGTCTGATTAAGGTGGGTAGTATGTCAAAGAAAACATGACATGGTACTTATTTTGCGGAATTACTGGCTGTTAGGGTTACGCTCGAGCCTATGAGCACCTGGGCAATACAAACGAGGCACAGGATTAACTACGTAACGAACTCGCAGCTACAGGGATATATAATAGCCGTCCAAATGTCAAACCAAATGCACTTGCTCAGGCTACAAGATAAGCTAAATAAAACTATGGCGCAGCTGTCACAACGGTACTAGCTAGGCATCCATCCTGATCCACAGCAGCAGATGGCAGCTGAGCTGGGACTCGCATCTTTACTGGAAGTAGTGCAGTGGCTTTCACAGGGAGTATAGCAGCAAACAATTATCGACCGCGATCCTCCGCATTGAGTCCGATCATGCTTTCCCGCGAGGACTTGCATGAAAGCCACTCATCATCTGAAAGAGGGTGAGGGTACTTCTCTGACATGGTTCTGCTACTAGGAATTTTTCGACGGCGCCAATAACAAGGACGTTTATTCCAGCCTTATAATTCAATAATGGCGCTCACTTATCATTGTCTCTTGGTTCAAATTTGTTTTGAGGGTTATGAGTATGATCTTTCTCATTGGGCGTTTCTCACCTCGGACAATCCAGCAGGTGGGTTTCTTGATCGTGTTTGTCCTCTTTTTGTCGCCCTTGATCTAGTATTTCATTTCCTTGCCGCCCCTTCGCGAACCCCTCTGGCGGTCTTTCTCTACGTTATTTCCATGGTCTTCTTCCAAACTGGTCCCCATTTCACAACATACATAAAGCCCTCAGAACTATCCCCTACTCAACTACGTTGCACAGGAGTAGACATTTCTGCAGCTGCCGGAAAGACAGCCACTGTTACTGTGCAGATCTTCGGTTCTTTATCTAAACTTGGTCCTCGCGGTAGATCCAACATGTTCGGCGATGGAATTATCGTGTTCGGCGCTTTCATGTTGGTTGGCACTGCGTTGACCGAGTGACTGACTCCGGAGACCAGGTTGGCGGGATGGGAAAGCCGTTGGCCTTGAAAAAGTTGGAATGTATTGGAAGAAAACAGCCCTTCCGATGTGTTGCTTCAAATTCAGAGCATAATCCTACTGTGGCACAAGCCAACCCAGAAGATGCCCGCGCGGTGTGATAAGGTTGGGCTCAAGGATGCTATAATATGCGCCTGCATTGGCGGCGGTGAAAGATGCACGACGGAAATTGGAGATCCAGGCGATGAAATCCAACTCCTTCTATCGACGACAGCGCTCATATCATCCACATGCACAGGTGTCGGCGTCGACACGGTGGGTGAGCCCATGACAATAACATCGTCCCCAGCTTCATGCGGTCGGTTCTACCTGCGCTGTGAAAATCTAGTTGACGATACAGGAGCTCCTTGCTTGACTGAGGATTAGATCCAAGATAAGTATCAGCACCGATGAGCATCTGTTTAGGAGGCGAAGAAGCTCATCGCTGATCACAATCAATTGACATTTTCGACAGCCAGAACCCAATAAGCGAATTCGTCTTCGTAGTGGGAAAGATGAATGATCAAAAAGCGGAACGGCCTGCACGTGGCCTCGGTGCGATGCCTGAAAAGCCAGGCTGCGACGATGAGTCAGGCCCCGCCGGTATCGTCGCCGCAAACGAACTGCTCATCTCATTGTTTCCTGCACAGCAACAACACTGCAAGCTATTCTGCTCTTTCCGCACTGCTTCAGAAAGTAAAGCATACACAGGAACTGCTATTCCAGTTGCAATTGTTGACCAAAGATCAATTCACGCATCCATTGAGACCAGTTTCCTTTTTCTTTTTGTTCGGCCCGATAAATTCTGATTGCGGCCCTCGATAGCTAACACACCCCGCGCCGTGTTGCGCTTCATATCCCCCCTCTCTTATAACAACATGGATCTCGTTAATCAGTAAGTCCGTACCAGAGAGTAATTCGAAGGGTCACAGAGCTAACTGATTTTTGTTTTTCTCTTTATCTAGCCTAGAAGGACGCCTGTTGTTCGCAGTGCCCAAGAGTCAGTACATGCTTTACGTCCCTGTCAACGAACAAATAAAAATTTGATTGATGGATATGATGTTCTAACTGCATGCAAACCGCAGAGGGCCGCCTTCAACAATCAACACTCGACCTACTCTCAGGCTCGGACATCCAATTTAGACGCGAGACTCGACTCGACATTGCGCTCGTCAAGAACCTTCCCATTGCGCTAATTTTCCTCCCCGCCGCCGACATTCCTACCTTCGTCGGTGAAGGTCGTGTCGATCTCGGTATCACGGGCAGAGACCAGGTCGGCGAACATGATGCCAATCTGGCCGAGGGCGAAGAATCGGGGGTCACAGAGATCCTGGACCTTGGATTCGGAGCGTGCAAGCTGCAGGTGCAGGTTCCCGAGAAAGGCGACATCACAGAGGCCAAACAACTCGTTGGCAGAAATGTTGTAACTAGCTTCACTGCGCTGTCGACGCAGTTTTTTGCCGGTCTCGAGGGTGTCAGCGAACGGTCGCAGCCATTGAAGACAAAGATCAAATACGTCGGAGGCAGTGTGGAGGCCGCTTGCGCTTTGGGCGTTGCTGATGGAATTGTAGATTTGGTCGGTATGTATTGAATATCCGTTTTCTCTCTCAAAACCATGTCCATGCGCTGACGCTACTCGACCTGCAGAATCCGGAGAGACAATGAAGGCAGCCGGCCTCAAGGCCATTGACACCGTTGTTCAGAGCACAGCTGTTTTGATCAAGTCAAAGAACACGAAGAACGAACTCGTTGATCTCATTGCCAACCGCATTCGCGGTGTTATTGGTATGTTCATGGACTCTTCTTTTCCCCTCTTTGATGAAAGAAACTATTTTTTGGCTAACGCTCTTCACAGATGCGCAAAAATACGTCCTGTGTCAATACAACATTCCCCGTGAAAGACTCGCGGCCGCCTCGAAAATCACACCGGGCAAGCGCGCTCCCACGATCACCGCCCTCGAGCAAGCCGAGTGGGTTGCTGTCAGTGCTATGGTTGAGAAGAAGAAGATTGCCACGGTGATGGACGAATTGACCACAGTGGGAGCGACGGATATTCTGGTTCTGAAGATTGAGAATACGCGGTCTGGTTTCTAAAGAAGAAATAAAAGTTTTTTTTTTCTTTTTTTTACGAAACGGTGGTTGATTTTGCTTCGATTCTCTGGCGAATGGTGTTTTCTTTCTGATAAGAGAGAGAGAAAAAAAAAAGGGTCTGGGACTGATCTGAACATTATCTAGGAGAGTTGGTCCCATTCATATAGACTAAAAAGTTCGGCGACATCTATATAGATGATGGAATGGATGATGGAATCTTAAGCCTGTGCGCAGTAGTTTATCATACATAGCCCTAATCTAGGTCAAACAAGAGAGAAAATCACACCGAGCCAGCAGCCAACACATACCCCCCATCAACAACCACAGTCTGTCCATTCAAATACTGATTCGTAGCCGCAAACAAAACCGCATTCCCCATATCCCGATCACAACCGGGTCTTCTCGCGGGCACTTTTTGCTCATACTTCTCCCTCGGCAACTCGCTCTTCTGCTTCTCATCACTCTGCCCCTGCGCAGTCATCTCAGACGGAAACACGCCGGGAGCAATATTATTGACGCGGATTCTGAGCCCCGAACTAGACACCTCATGAGCCAACATCTTGGTTAGATGGATAGCAGCGGCCTTGGAGGCATTGTAGGGGAAATGGTGTTGGGACGATTTCACAATTCCAGATATGGACGAGATGTTGATAATGGTGCTGCTGTCGGCACCACGATTGGATTTCTCTAATAGGGGCAGAAACGCAGAGCTCATAAAGTATAGCTGTGTCACGTTGGTGCGGTATACACTCTCCCAGTCTTCGGGCGTGGCGGCCTCGTCGTCGAAGAGGGTTTGTTTGAGGCCCGAGGCTTGCTCGCGCTCGACGTCTTGTCGCGATTGACTCGAAATGCCGGCGTTGTTGACGAGGATGGACAGACTGTTTTCTCTCGATTGGAATTCGTGGAGCAAGCGCGCTATTTCGCCCTTTTGTGAGATGTCGGCTGTTAAGGGGATGATTTGGCCGCCGCCGCTGCCTCCTCCTCCCCCTTGTCTTTCTGTTGTTGAATATAACTCGGCCACGCGCTCTAGTTTCTCTTCGGTGCGTCCGACTATGTATACCTTTGCACCGTTGACGGCGAGGGCTTGCGTGGCCATCAGGCCGATTCCTGAGCCGCCGCCGGTGACGAGGGCAACTAGAAAAGTAAGGGAGTTAGTGGATAAGCTAGTACATGAGGGCGTTTTCTTCCTACCCTTGTTTCTGACATTGAAGAGATTCTCGAGCCTGAATTGCTCGTTATTACGAGCTGCCGCCTCTCTTGTAGCTGTGGTGATGGCGTGTTGCCGATGCCAAGAAATAGGGCATCTTGCGTGCTTATAGAGGCCAAGGCATGCTCTTGGCTCCAGCGCTGCTGGTGTCAGCCTACGCGCTGTCGATAGCATTTTATTTCTTCCGTCGATGGAATGCTCTATATGCGATCTATTACCGAGCTGTTATAGAGCATGACATTCGATATGGTTTCGTGGTGGCGATTCCTGGGTGCTTGAATCCTACGTCAGAACATTGTAATCATTGAGTCTGATTTGATAGTTTGATAGTCCATGAACTGAGATGATATTGTGAATAAAGCCAAGACATGATTTCCTAGTCTAGCTTTACTCCTATAAATATATATAGAGGTATCGTTCTACTAGTACGCCCTGGGGCCTGGATTATAAATGAAATCAATCTTCACAACCAAATGCCATAGACAATAGATATATATATGATCAGAGAGACGCATCTTTTTTGATTGGAAGCGCCTCTGAGAAAGGAGTCACTTCTACCATGGTCTTGCCAGTATTGGCACCCGCGTACAAGTCAACCAGTCCCTGTGGACAAGCCTCCAGACCACCTTTGATGATGAATTCTTTCCGCTTGATCTTGCCCTCGACCAGCCACTGCCGAAGATCGTTCAGGGCACTTGGGAATTGTTTGTGGTAATCAAAGAAAATGAAGCCTTTCATCATGACTCGTTGTCCCTGTTACCGTGTAAGTTTTGGGGGAAAAGAAAGGCACAGGGAGAGAGAGAGAGAGAGAGAGAGAGAGAGAGAGAGGAGTGTATACAAACATACAATCATCATCATGATGTTCTTCGGCCCCTCTGGCCTTGCTGCAGAATACTGACTGATGTGCCCGCAAATGGCGAAGCGCGCATCCCGTGCAGCCAGCCCCAAACAAGCATCGAGGATCTCTCCGCCGACGTTGTCAAAATAAACATCGATATAGTCAGGACATGCTGCGCGAAGCTGCTTTTTCCAATCCGCATCCTTGTAGTTTATGGCGACATCAAATCCCAACTCCTCAGCGAGAAAACGACACTTGTCAGGACTGCCAGCCAATCCAATAACCCGCTTTGCACCCTTGATCTTCGCAATCTGGCCAACAATCGTGCCAGTCGCGCCCGCAGCGCCCGAGACGACCACGGTGTCGCCCTGTCGCATTTGGCCGACCTCCAAAAGCCCAAAGTAAGCCGTCAGCCCAACCGCGCCGAGCACAGACATGGCATCTGTCGGCGAACATCCCGGTGGGACTACAGCCCGCTGTTTAGCAGCGTCTTTTCCATTTACGAGCGCATATTCTTGCCATCCCGTGCCCGCAATCAGCCATTCGCCGGTCTTGAATTGGCCCTTCAGGTTGTCCCCAACGTGGACAACTTGGGCGACAGCCTGGCTGCGCATCACATCCCCGAGTTCGACGGGCGCTATGTACGAGCGCTTCGCGGTGAGCCATTGGCGCATTGCGGGGTCCAAGGAGATATAATGGGTGCGCACGAGGACGTTGTCTGCGGGAATGGGCAGCTGGATGGAGCTGTTGCGGAGTGCGAAGGTGCCATTCGACAGGTTCGGATCGATTGCCGGAGTGGGTTTCTTGACGTAGAGGATTTGTTTATTGGAGATGGCCATGATGGGGAACGTATTTTACCTGACGCTCAGTCGTACAGTACAATCAACCAACTCACCGATCATGCCACGTTGGACGATTGACAGTTGTACCCGGCTAAGCTGAGTCCGGGCGATAGTGTAGCGAAAAGAGCCTCGGCATTTCGGTGAGAGAAAGACCCAGCGAATATATAAGAAAGCAGAGCACGGCGAAGGGGTGAGAATATGTGAGGCGGAGCTCCTACCAACTTTAAGGCGACTGCCGAGGCTGGCAACGTGCTTAATCAGCACGCTTAGTCATCTCCCTCGCTTCTTTGCATGCGGCAAGCATGGAAGAATGCATTGAGTATACCTTCTCTGCCTCTTTCTCACTTATACTTATACCGAAAGTGCCTTGTAGATACTATGAGGCCTATTCCCGTGTTGCTCCCACTGCCAACACCAAAAGCAAGAACAGGCAAGCAACAAACGTCACTGGGAGTCTGGGGCCATGACGTCAAAAGTCGATCGATGATGTAGCAGGCTGCAGGAGAGCAGCACAGCCTGCGCAAATATAAGGAGGAATAAAGGCAAAGGCGAGGAGGGTACAAGAAAGCAGTTTTTCTTAGTTCGAGTCTTGAGAACAACAAACTAACTTCGACAGCGCACGCAACTCACCGCCACTCAGTATCGTCCCACGGTTGAATCACTCGCCATGGCGTATAACAACTACAACGACGCCCCTTCTTCCTCGTACCAGCAGAACCAAGCACCAAACCCAGGCTCAGAGACATACGCACCCAATCTCTCCAGCTACCAGACAGGCCCCGCGAAACAAACAGCCGGGCCGCATCAGACAGATTTCGCGAACAAACTCGATCCTCGCGTGGACAGCGACCTCAACAACCGCGCTCAATACGCCCCCGGCACAACGACAAGCACAAACGTCCATCCTGGAGCAACGACGGACGCCGCGAACCCAGCAGCCTCCAATCAAGGACCGCATCCTTCCGGGATCAAGAATAAGCTCGATCCTCGAGTGCATAGCAAAACCGGCGAAATGACGACCAAGACTACAAATGGGGGTGGCACGGGCTCGCGTCAGGAGCCCGTTAACCCTGGTGGTGCTCGCCAGAGCACCAATACCGCTGCTACTACCGGCGCCAACGGCGTTGTCGGGGGCTCGTCAACCGGTGCGCCTGCTCTTCCTACGCGATCCTCTCGATCTGATTATAGCCGTGAGCAATCGATCTATAATCCCGCCACTGGTAGTGGGTACACTCCGCGTCGTCAGCACGAGGAAACTGCGTCTGGCCAGCAGCAGCAGTCCGGCGCTGCTGCATCTGGGAGTAAAGGGGAAGGCATAGGGCAGGCAATCAAGGGAACTTTTGCTGGCATTCATGTGAGTCGATGAGAACCATTTTTATCTCTGTCCGTTCTAATCATGTTTTCCAGGGTGCTGGCGAATCCATCCGAGGCAATGTCAATGCGGCTATTGATCGCGCCTTCAACGAGCCGGAGGGCGTAAAGAAAAATGAAGCTATTGGCCAAGAGGGTGAATATGAAGCGCGGTCTGGTCAATTTGCCCCTTCTACTAAACAGCGTGAGGGCTTCAATACTGGCAACCGACGGGTGTGATTCTTGATCTATCAAAAGCGTTTGTATTGGACTGTGATTTGAAGTGTATTTGTGCAATTACGAACGAGGTGATAAATATGAACATGAATGTTTGTTTTGACTTGAAAATGATCTTTTTCGTGTTTACGCCGATATTCCGGACTTTCAGATATGCTTCGTGATATCACCTTGGGACTTTTGACTATGAGAAATGCTTGCGAAACGCTTGGTATCTCGATAGCAAGAAACGAAAAAAGAAATAAAAATCACTCCCCCATTCTCAACTGCACATTCACGAACTTCCCGCCAGCTTCATTGTGACGAACTTCAATGTCAATGCCGCAATCACTAAGCACACTCTTCACCTCGTTAATCTCGAACATTTCAGGCTTGCTCGCAAGGTCATTCAGAATAGCCTCGAGTTCGTGCGTGACATCATGGTGGTAATCCTCGGCGGCATTATTAGAGGCAGCACAACCCGCAGCAGCTGAGGCGTAGGTCCGTAGAAGCTTCTTGATTTCAGCAGTTGTCTCTGCGTATGCTTCTTCGTACAGAGTCGCCATGTACACCCCATGTTGATCGAAGGGCTCTAGAGTATCGACAGCGCGCTGGTAGTCGGACGGGAGCTCGGTGGAGGCTTTGCGTTTGAGCGAGCTGGCGGCCTGCGAGGTTTGGTTAGTTTATATGTATGCTGTCTGGGCGGCTGGGGTTTTGCTCTCTGTTACCTGCAGGGGAGGCTGAGAGGCGCTCATGGTTGCGTTATGGACGAAGCTTTCTTTTCTAAGCTCTTCTTGGAATGGTGCAGCAGAAGGATTGATGCCTATCTGTCCAGGTCGAATATCGAATACTCTATACTCTCATGGACGAGCCATGGCCAAGGCCAAGGTCACATGAGCAGCCTGAATGGGATGAGGAAGGTGCCCGGCAACCACACAATCGGATTCCTTCATTGTTGTTCACATTATATACATACTCAACCACTCTACAATATGACCAGACATAACAAAGCTGGAGAATCTCAGATGCATTATGCCGAAAACAGCTGCCCAGGCCCAACACAGCCAGGCGAGTTCATTGCCTTTTCGGGAAGGGCTGAGAGATGACGTCATAGGTCTACAATCCGTGGCCAACCAGGAGCGCGCATCGGGTAATAATTGCACAAGTATGGAAATTATTGCACTAAATTTTCGAAACTATGGCCAGGATCGGATCTGATAAGATTTATTATTGTTGGCCAGCTGAAAGAGAGCCGAGCCACTAAGGCGTTGATAGACAGGCACGTTCTGTCTGCAGATGGCGATGATAGAACAAGCCGATCTAGCATAACGAACTTATGTCTGTATACTCAGCATTGCGTCCTGCAGGAATTGGAATAAAAAGTATCAAGCATGCATAAAGTTATGAAGAAAATTTTGTTGGTCGTCGGTTCAGCGCGGAATGGCGGGGATCCGCAATCCCCAGTTAGTTAGTAGGCTGTGTACGGACTTCTTCGTTCTTCGTTCGCTCGCATTCAACCCAATCACTCGATGCTTCTTTCTTTCTTCTTTTTTTTCCCTCTGTACATACTTGGCCCGGCGGGTACCTACAGCAGTACATATGTGACCGTTTCGTGCCCGTCGTTCCGTTAACCCCGTCTATGACACTGAATATCAATCAATCTAGACGAACCCCCGTCCACATGGAAATTCGCCCTGCATAACAGAGCCCACACAGCGTGCTTCTGCCGATGGGGCCCGACACACTGCGCGGGCAGCCCCTTCCGCCATCGCACGAACCCAACCAGCAAGACGATCCATGGAGCAGCCCAGAGCAGCCCAAACTGTCCGACAGCGACGCCTCGCTGAGCTCCGACGAGAATGGCTCTGTCCGTCCGCGCACCGTGCCGGACGCAGAGGCTGATCGCGCCGACGATGTGATCGGGATCAGCATTGGCCGCGCCCAGAATCGCATGAAGGCGCGTCAGACGCCGGCAGAAGAAAAAAGTCGCGCCATTGAGAGCTCTGGCGGGTATTTCGACGCGATTCCGGACCCCGAGCCTCGTGATGGAGAAGAAGAAGAAGGAGGAGGAGGAGGAGGAGGAATGACTTTGCAATATCGTTCGCAGTTGACGGAGGAGCCGGAACAGCTTCTCGGCGACTTATCGGGCCCTACAACCCCAACACTAGCAACCCTAGCAACACTAGCAGCAGCAGCACAGGTGGATGGAAATAGGAAAGCTGAGAAATCGGTCCCAAAGAGCACCAAGCGGTACTCCCTTGGATTGTTGAAGTCAAGTCTGTCAGGACGGAGGCGTGCTATGTCCGGGGATTCGAATTATAGCTTGAAATTCAAGAAGCTCCTCCCGGACTTTAACCTGAGTCCGAATCGGCAGCATCACTCGCCAACCAAGGCTGATTCACCTGCCATGATGCGGTCCAGGTCTGCGAGTACTCCACAGGGGGCCGCAGGGCCGGACATAGAATCCGCCGCCATTGCTGGTTCGAATTCAAGCAGCACGAGCCATTTAAACGACGATGGTCTTGCAGCACTAGGCGCCATCCAGAGCTCGAGATCGCATTCGTATCATCGATATCCGGCCACAAAGAAGCGACCACCGTTGACTGTGCGACACTCGGTGTCGGACGAAAGCTTATATCTAAGGAGTCTCTCAAGAGTCTCAACGCTGGACCATCGTCCGCATTACGAGAATGTTCACTCGATGGTCAACAGCCGCTACAAGGCAATCAAGGACAGCCTGCAGGACTCAAGTAGCAGGATCTTCAGCATGCCTAGTTTCAATCTACCCGACTTCCGACATGAGTGGCACCCGGGACGGTTTCTCGGCGATTACCAGCGTAAAGATAATGTTTTGGGAGATGGTAGTAGTAGATTGGAAAACAGCGCTGCGGAAGTTAATGGCAATGCTGATTCCAGTGCTGCAACTTCCACAGCCCACGGTAACTTCAAGTCAAACACCAGACAGAATTCGATTTATCCCGGTTTAGACGAAGTAGCTTCAACGATGACGGGCGATGTAGTCGTCATGGGAGGCTACCGAGGCTCCATTCTCCGATCTGCGAAACCGCCACATCGTCAACTCTGGGTGCCTATGAAGGTGGGATTGAATATTCGAAAGGTCGATTTAGAAGTCGGATTAACGCACGAGGACGAGGAGCGTATGGAAGAATCAATTATTGCGAAAGAAGTCCTCTCCCACATTGGTCCGGTCGACATCTGCCGTCGGTTATTGCAGAGATTTCGCAAGTTTGAGAAATTGCGCAACGGCGCTATTCGTGTCTGGGACTACGGTTATGATTGGCGATTGAGCCCTCATTTGCTCTCGAAACGTCTGATTCAATACTTGGAGGGTCTGCCATGTAACGCGCCTGGTGTTTCACCGGAGAAACGAGGTGCCTATGTCATTGCCCACAGCTTGGGGGGCTTGATTACGAGACATGCTGTCAATCAGAGACCTGATCTTTTCGCGGGAGTTGTTTTCGCGGGGACTCCGCAACATTGCGTGAATATTTTGGGCCCCCTTCGCGATGGAGACGAGGTGCTACTGAGCTCCAAAGTCCTCACTGCCCAAGTTAATTTTACCATCCGGACCAGCTACGCCTTGCTGCCAGACGACGGGCGGTGTTTCATCAATAAAGACACCAAAGAAGAGTATCTAGTTGACTTTTTCGATGTGAAGAACTGGGACGAATATGCCTTGTCCCCCTGCATCAGACCGGCCTTGCCGCCCTCTGGGGGGGAAAATAAGAAGGGTCTAGGCCTGATCGATAACTTACCCAACTCACTCAGCACGCTGCCAAAGATCGGTCTGGGAAAGAGAATCTCCGTGAAGCTCAACGGCAGCAAGACAAAGGACCCATCATTTTCCTCGCCAGTGTCACCTCAGAAGCCACAAACAGCACGCGAGAAAGAGCAAGCGAGACATGTCCCCGGGCACAACGACGAAGAGAAGATATCAAAGCCAAGCGCACTAGTGACCGGGCAATTAACAGGCGGTTCGGTGGGGGGCATTATTGGGCCGAATACGGCCAGGACTCATAACACGACAAACGTCAACAGTCAACTTGCAACAGGCGTAGCAGCCTCTACAATCCCTCGCGAAGACGCGATTGCATACCTCGACCGCACGCTCAAAGAAGTGCGCCAATTTCGACAGGAACTGGCACATAACGAGTCACACCAAGACCACAATCGCTACCCGCCCTTTGCAGTCATGTATTCCAAAGCGCTGCCGACGGTGTACGGGGCGCGCGTCGCTTCCCGCGATGATATCAAGAGGAGCGATGCCTACGACGATCTGGCCTTTGCTGCTGGAGACGGCGTCTGTCTGGCCTCTGCAGCCATGCTGCCACCGGGCTATCGTGTGATCAAGCATGGCCTGGTGAAGAGTGATCGTGGTCATGTAGGGTTGTTGGGCGATCTGGAGGGTGCTGGCCAATGCATACTGGCTTTGGTGAGAGGCAGAGAAGCTGGTGTTGGGCTTGGGGCGTATGCGCCGTTGTCAACAGGGGGTGGGAAGAGCGATTGATTTTTTTTTATTATGCATGATATACACGCGAAGAATACCCTGTAAATATGCAAATACTGCATACATGATGATGCTATGAAAGTTAGAAATGTGGAATAGATCTTTTTTTATTATATACTTTAGTGCTCATCCCCCTCGCTGCGTTTTCCTCACGGAGTAGAACTGAGCCCTGTAATTAGATTAGTGAGTCTTATCGAATCTGGGGTCTGAACTACAAACAGATACGTGATGCAGTAAAACTGAGATATTCATATGGAACATATACGTAGATTTCTACTACTCGTAGCCTCTTTCCATATACTATAGATAAGACTACTGTAGGTGAAAAATCAACTTCATATGGGCGTTACAAGAGGCAACCATCCCTACTTCAACCCTAATTCCTCAATGAAAATATCCGCCGCTTTTTCACCCACCACCAACGCCGTATTGTTAGTATTCGCAGCAACGTTATGCGGTAGAATGCTCAGGTCTGCGATCCTCAGCGCTTCAACCCCATACACCCTTAGCCTGTCATCTACTACGCCGTTGTTGGCCAACGGCGCCATTTTACATGTCCCCATGGAATGCCATGTAGTGCCTACATTTGCACGTAGCCACGTTGCGAGAATGGCGTCGTCTTCGACTGTGTATTCGATATCTTGAATACTATCCGGATCGTGGTGGGTTACGTTGTCAATGCATGCAGCTTTGGACGTGGGTGGGAATGGGGGATGTCCCGAGACAACCTCGCCGCGATAGGTGTGCATGCGCCTGGCAATTTCACGCTGTTTTTTGTATGCCCACATGTGCTTTTTGATATCGATGTCGTCGGGGTCGGAAAAGAAGCCTGTTGAAAAGTCAAGCGCGTCGCTGGGCGAGGGTCCGGTTATATGTAGGTGCCCGCGCGAGTATGGATAAGCAGTGAAGACCGAGATTCCGACGTATTGCCCGGCTGGGATAATGGATGGATCACCTGGGAAGCTATAGGATTGTCAGTGTTACTGGGTTGGTATATCTAAGAAAGGCTGTATACGTACCCATTGATAAGTGACATCAACACCAATGGCTTATTCGGATTACTTGCATAATCACGCTTCCAGATGTTTTGGAATTCGGCTCCGATACCTGCTATATCAGTCTCCGATGGGCGTAGCTTGCAGGTGATGTCCTGGGTGTTCCAACCCAAGATTTTATCATTGTTCTTGAGAAGCTCCTCAACATTACGGCGACCCCCGGCGATTGCGTCGATCGTTTCTTCTGCGCTTAGGCTGCTCTTGTAAGGGTAAACAAGCAGTTCATGATCTTCGTATTCATGGCCAACTCCAGGTGTTTCTGCCACGATGGGAATTCCTGCTCGTTGCAAAATTTCGGGGCTTCCTATGCCAGATCTTTCGAGGACGGGCGGAGTTCCGAGGGCACCGCAGGAAACGATAACTAGTTTTCTTGCTCTGGCTTTTTGTACAGGAAGATTTTTGGATTCGTCGTTTCCTGGAGCGCCGGCGGATTTGGCTATATACTCGACCCCAGCGGCTTTTTTAGTATCACGATCGAACAGCACACGCACGATCTTGGATTCTAGAAGAACGTGGAGATTTGGATGCTTCCCGTCCTGCAATTTGGGGTGTAAGTATCTTGATGCTGCATCTTGTCGTTTCCCATCAGGCGAAATATAGCGCATCGCACGCTGGACTCCATTGTTTGCATCCAAGCTCGACAAATCGTCAATCTCGTTCCAGCCTACTTTCTCTGCCGCTTGAATAAAATCATTTTCGGACTTCAGGGCTCGATATGTGCCACTGGATACATGAATGGGCCCGCTAGAGCCATGGGTATCATTTGCTCCGGGGCCGTGATATGTCTCCAGCTAGAGAAACTACTTAGCCAAAAAGAAACACGCATAAATTGTAGTTGATATAGTAATCCAGGAAAGTACCTTTCGCAGGTACGGCACCATTTCCTCTGCCGACCAACCAGGCGTTCCCCACGAGTCAAAATCAGATCGTTGGGCACGACTATACATCAGTAGATTTGTCGATGAGCCTCCCCCGAGAACACCTCCGGATGGGACAATCAGTTTTCTGTCACCAAGTTGTTTTTCTGTGTTCGTCTGGTAGAACATGTTTGTTGTGCTGGTTGGCATTAGGTTGACCAAACAAAGAGCTGGCACAGACACCAGTGGTATATCATTGTTGGCACCGGCCTCGATGACAAGGATCGAGAGACCTGGGTCGGCTTCTGCCAGCCTTGCTGCTACAACACATCCCGTCGTGCCGCCTGGTTGTAGAATTAGTGGATTGATTGATTGTTTGGCAATTGGGGATATTCGTGACAGACCGCCCGCAATAATTACATCCACCTCGCTCAACTCCTCAGGCAGCGCAGTGTATATCGCCATTGTATAGTTGGTTAGCAGGACTTAGGTCAAGTAATAGTCTTAGATTCTGAGAGCGATGTTGAAGACGGATTTCGAGAGCAGCATGAACTCGTATGAACAATAACTAACAAATCTGCTTAACTAACTAAAAGAATGCGTACAAGGAGCCATTTCAAGCCATATTTATACTCTTCAGGGGGGTAACTAGGCCACGTAGCCTAGTAAGGATTTGACCTATTAGATAGGCCTGCTGAGCTTTGTATGCGGGGTCAGCTTACATGCTGAGTAATAGCTCAATCTGGTTAAGGTGATGAATATCTGCCAACAGATGTGGATAGAATATGGGTATATAATGTAAACTTATAGTTAGCAGGTTGTAAGCAAACGGGGTGGGGGGGTTAATATAGCGGACTATAGTGACAATCCTACTAAAATTCATTGACTAGATAGATAAATATATAGTAAAGTCTTCATAAACTTATACTGTAAATCTATAAATAGTTAGGTACATACCCAGCGCCCCCGGTACATGCAAGAACGCCACAGCCAATAGATAAGGAACGCTAATGCGTGGGAACAAAGGATTATCCGGGGTATACGCGCGGAGATTAAGACTAGTATAGCTATCAGAGCCATTTGTTAGTAAATAGATATGATGGAGGGATAACTATGTATATAAAAATACTGGTTTACTATGTACAGTATTTAGTTTTCTTCAGTTGCCTTGGATGAACCGGGGCATTCCTCTAGGAACTAAAGATATATAAAGAAGCACGAAAAACTTCAGAGACCCTGTAACTCTATCTAGGTTCCCTAGGGGATCATTTTTGTATCTATTATGATAGCTATGATCAAGTTGACTTTATATATATACTTTCCATAAGCTAATCATGCTTAGTGAGCACTTATGAAGTAATAACACAGCCCCCAGCATTTACCATGTAACGATGCTAAGCAGTATAGTGAGTTTAAGTTCTAGACTGTGAGCGAGACCGTAGCAAAATACTATACCAAAGAATAAGATGAGTACTTCCAACGCTGACTCCCATAAAGTCTATACAGGATCAACCTGGATCGCCCGAACCTTCCTTATTCTCCCCTTCAGAAACAACTCTGTGCCAATCGCCTCGGCCTCTCGAATCACACTCCCATTCTTCAGCAGCCACTGCCGACCGCCAGCACCCTGGCCTTCCTCTCCTTCCAACCTCCGCGCCACGACACGACTCGCCCAGAGCCTGAACTTAGCTGTGAACTTGTCCAACCTGTCAATATTCCTGTCCCTAACCGACTCATGAATCCACTCATTCGTATAGCCCACGGTATCATTCCCATCCACATACTGCAGCGGCGACCGAATCGCCCTGCCGAGTATAAGCCCTTCGAGCCAAACCTGCAAATCCCATTTCTCCTCTTTCCCCTGGCTCGTGGCCCACGAAACAAGCGCTTCTTCGACGATGGGCAGCGGGTCTGGGAAGAGGTAGTCGAGGTCGAACTCAAGTTGCTTGTCCTTGCTGCAATGCGCTATCATCCATGCAAGCGTGATGTTGGAGAGGCGCGGGTCTTCCTCGCCACCGCCAATGTCGGCGTGGGCGCCCGAGAACCAGACCTGCAGGAGTTCCTGGTCGGGCTGCTTGCAAGGGGCGTGCCAAAGGGTTGGCGCGAAGGCCTTGCGTTTCTCGTCGAGAGACAGCGCGTGAAATGCGTAGCGGATGTCCGGGGACAGGCGGGTGTTGGGCATTTCGAATTTCTCGCCGAAGAGCTTGCTGGTGATGCGGAAGTTGTGGAAGCCGACGGTGTCGAAGACGCCGATGAGTCGGATGGTGAAGCGCGGCAGATGGTCTCGAAACCCGAGCGAGGCGCGTGTTTCGTCGTCATAACTTAGGCGTTTCTTCTTGTAGTAGTCGTTGTAGATGATGGGGAAGTTGTCCATGCCTCGAGGCGTCAGGAGGCCCATGTCAGCGACTAGGCCTGCTACGGCGCGCGCTGTGTATGCGCCGCGCGAGAAGCCGAAGAAAAACAGCTCGTCGCCTTCTTCGTAGTTTTCAGCTATGAAGGCGTAGGCGGCTCGCACGTTAGCACTGAGCCCGGCTCCGGTTAAGCCTATGATGGGTCAGTCTCAGTATACACACTCTCTCCGGTCTATTCCGGTAGATTGGTAGAAGCATACCTCCCACGTACGAATCCAAAACTCCCGTGCCGACTCCCTTTTGATAGAAGGTGACTTGCGGGATGATTGTGCGCACCCCGTTCACGTTTACTTCGGCATGGGTCTTGAGCGCGCGCGCAATCCGAGTGATGTTGCTGAGCGGGTTGTTGATTTCCTCGGAGTTGCCATCTTCCCATGTTCCTGTATGCTGCGTATCAGAACAGACAGCCATCAATGAAATGAGGGACTAGGCGCACCGTCGCAGCACACAATGAGGCGCTTGCTCAGAGAGACTCGGGGTTCTGAAACACTTCCCATGGCGGATATGTAAGACCTTAATTCAGGGTTCTCTGCCCTCCGAACGAGAAAGAACCAAAATCCGCTGGCGCTCTTTATTTATTTATACCAGACCACCCATGTTGCACGAACGTCCGTGTGGAGAAACACGCTCCGTCGTTCGTGAAGCAATCGATCGTAGAGCAAGCATATTGGGGCAAATTGATGCCGGCTGCAGCTGATCGGCAAATCCTGGCCCGGTTGTGAACAGCGTGAACAGCGTGAATGCCCCTGATGCTCTATTTATTGGCTCCAGACCGCTGTGGCTTGAGCTGAACGGACTGGCAAGAAAATCCACTTTGCTGCTGTGTCGGTCTTAGCGCTGCAGGCGTTATGCACATTGCTGCACTCTAGGCGATTTAGTGGGAGTAGCCGTGGACTAGTCGGCTTCGCCTAGCCTATTGACCTGTTCGTGAACGAGAAACGAGACGGCTCATTTTCTGATTGCTTTGCTCGCTATTTGTCTGATTTCTGACCCGGCTGAACGTGCGCATTCGAGCAGCCTGATTTATATATGCGGCGTGTCCGTACGCAGTGCAATTGGCCCGTCAAGTGAACTATAACAGGCTGCATGGCGTCGATTAGATGCATTTATTCAGCTGTTGAGTTCCCTTGAGATTCTGCTAGTGAACTAGTAATATAAAATCCTGGCACAGATCGTCAATTCCATCTACGTCGATGCATTATTAAATGGTGTCGTCCATTTGAAAAACAGTTAACTCGGCAGTCCTAAACCTACAACATTCTTCTACTTATCTTGGGATCCGTTGTATCTTTTCCCATATGTCAGCCCTTCGTGACCGTACATATTGGCTTTTTATGTTAATTTAAATTTTTTCGCAGGGCGGGATTTAAAATATTTCCTCAGATGGCAAGGACTGCCCTCGAAAAGAATATAAATGTCAACTACCTAAACTGGCACGCACGCGGCATAATCAACTTAGGGCTAAAGCACAGGCTTTTTCCGTAAGAGGCAACAGTCGAGTCCCACACTCAAACCTTGAAAACCAAAATAGAGCTTACTGCGTGAGATCTTGGGTGTCCCCATAGGCCAGGCAGACTGGATTCTGTGTGATTACTTGGTATTTAAATAATTATATTTGGGCAAGAGAGCGAAGTGACGAATAATTCTATATTCTCTCAGTAGAAACAAGGCTTAAACGCCAGCCCTAGCGTCCAAGCACTCCATACATATCAGAGTTGAATCATCACGCTGCTTCAATTAGATTTCATATATATGTATATATTCTTATATAAAGGCATCATTTTTGGAAATGAGAGTGAAGTGGCCAATCTTCGTGATTTGCTTGATAAAAGCAAGGGTTTAAAGACAGCCATAATTGTGTTGGACCAGCGCACCGCTCAAACTACGTAGTGTACAAGCAGATATGTGAACTTCAAAAAGATAATCCCTTCGTTCCCTCCCCATTGTGATGGAACAAATGATGCACATCTCAGCAAGCCATGAGTTGGTCAAAGGTATCAGAACGCCGCTGGGGAACGCCCCTGGAATGGCATGGAAGGCTACTTTGTGTTTGCAGAGAAGCTGTCGATGGTCGCCATCACTATTGCATCCGCTCTTGCATTAAGATAGACCTACACCTCCGCGGTGATACAGACGATGAGAAGCACAAAGAGGACGCACTCCGCTAAGCATGGAAGCAACTGCGCTATGAGCAGCCACAGATTCAGAAGATCTATACCGCACCCCAAACCCTATACAACAAGCCACGCTCTATTATATTCCGCGCTCATCCGAACTCGTTCTCCGTGCCCACCATTGCTCCCTCGACGGCATCGGCACCCTAATGTTCTGGCTCGTTTAATTTCCGGTCTTTCCTTGCTGAGCCATATAACACGAGCCGCTATGCGTCCTCCTTATTTTATCAGCCCTGGCCTCTCACCTTTAATCTTCCCGCCTCCTTTAGCGAGCTCTCCCATGCCCTGAACACGTACTACAAGACTACTTTCCAAGACAACCCCGAGGCGCGGTTCCGTGACCAATTCCTTGCGCGACATCGCCCAAATGCCGGAATTCCTGGCCAACCCTGCATCATGCCATGCGATGATTGGTAGCCTGGGTATAACGGAAAAGTATCTGCAGCACAGCTATGGAGGTGGCGATGACGATGCGGCGACTATCACTGTCCGCGATCTGGAGTTTGGCATTGAAGTTGTCCTTGGCATGAGCATGTTGTTTGTATACACGTTCCGTGACCAGCTGCGGCTGAACTATTGTTTTAATGATGGGTCTGAGGAGCCATCGAATATTCAGACGTACTTGGATCAGACGCTGAGGGTCTTGGTGGAGGAGTTGTTAGGTTGAGCTTGTGTATTACTGAAAGAGTTTGTAGTCACAAGAAAATTGAGTATCAACGACCTAGGTCATACAGCTTTTTAATCTACTAGTCTAATACCACACAATATAAGTATGCTTAATGTCAGTGTCTATTATTCTTGTCTGCTCAGAAGCTAGTTAGCATCGACCAAGTCTTTATTGCCTCCACTGTCTCCATCAACTTATCAAGAAACGTAAGTACATGTACTCTTGTGTATATTGAGTTTCTGGACGACGATACCGAGCACAGAGCGCACTCACGCATGCTACGCAGTGACCGCTTCTTGCTGCATTTGATGTGTAGATGCATGTAAATCCACGTATCACAATCCCCGCACGATTTCGTATATGGGTGTTGGAATTGGATAAATCATGTGTTCTTTGCCTGTCCTGCAGCTCAACGTATAAAAAGCTCGCTTCCGCCGGATACATCTGTAGACCTCACCGCAACTAGACGAAAATCTGACCTATCTTGTAATAACCTCATTGATCCCCCATATACATCGATCAACTGCGACCTAAGAAATTAACATGGCTACCACCCTAACAGGACAGTCCACCACTGCCACAATTCCATCCAAAGACCGCATTGAGCCGGGCTCTGTCAATGTTTCCATTGGCAAGTTTCCGCCAACGGCCTCTTCTGATTTCTCAACGTCTGCAGGCGACATTGCGGCCAAACTAGTTGCCGAGTTTAACGAAGCACTTAGTCAGAAAAATGCCCAGGTCGTGTCGCAGCTGTTCTTACAGCATGGCTACTGGCGTGATCATCTCGCACTCTCATGGGACTTTCACACCTTGATTGGGCGCGACAAGATTGCCAGCTTCCTGGGCCAAGGGATTCGTCTTTCCCAGATCGAGCTGGATTATTCATCCCCCGTGCGAGCGCCACATTTTGGTCCCATTGACGGCGGTCTGGGGGAGGTTAAGGGTGTTGAGTTCTTTGTGAAGTTCACAACTGAACTTGGTTCGGGGGTAGGCATTGCTCGAGTCGCCGAGGAGTCAGCGGGACAATGGAGATTCTTTTTGTTGTCAACGACACTCTCTGATTTAACTGGACATGAGCGGCGTATCCGTCACAATCGACCAATTGGTGTGCAACATGGAGCTGACTCGCGTCAACACAATTGGAAGGAGATGCGTGATGCGGAGAAGAATTTCGAGGGCAATGAGCCGCAAGTGGTTGTTATTGGTAGGTTTTGGAGGGAACTCGCCCATGGTGTGTGAAAGGCCTACTGACAATTGTATCAATGTATAGGTGCCGGACAGGGAGGGCTGAGTGTTGCAGCGTGTTTGAAGATGCTAGGTGTCGAAACCCTGGTTATTGATCGTGAGGAGCGCGTCGGGGATAACTGGCGGAACAGATATCGTCATCTCGTACTGCACGATCCTCTATGGATGAATCATTTGCCCTACCTACCGTTTCCATCATCATGGCCAGTTTTCATACCGAAGGATAAAATGGGAGACTTTCTGGAGGCGTACGCTACGCTCCTGGATCTTAATGTTTGGACAAAAACGAGTCTGGTGTCCTCTTCGTGGGACGACGGCACCAAACAGTGGTCTGTCACCGTGGAGAGAAAGCAGCATGACGGAACTAAAGAAACACGTACCTTCCGACCTCATCATGTCATTCTCGCTACCGGGCATTCAGGTAAGAAGTATTTCCCTAGCATAAACGGACTGGATACCTTCCAGGGAGATGTTTTGTGCCACAGCTCCGAGTTCAAGGGCGCGCGGCCAAACGCCCAAGGAAAGAAAGCCGTGGTGGTCGGCTGCTGCAATTCCGGACACGATATTTCGCAAGATTACTACGAGCAGGGTTACGACGTGACTATGGTCCAGCGAAGCTCGACTCTGGTTGTTTCGTCCGAGACTCTGGTTGCTACTCTCAAGGAGCTCTATGACGACGATGGCCCAGCCACTGAAGATGCCGACCTGTGCCTCCTGAGCCTGCCTTCGGAGATTTTCAAGGCCGTCCAGATTGGAGTAACGCGTAAATTCACGCATGTGGACAGAGAACTCTTGGAGGGTCTAGATAGAGCGGGCTTCAAGATTGACCAGGGGCCGGACGATGGCGGAATATACATCAAATACTTCCAACGCGGCGGTGGCTATTACATCAACGTCGGCACGAGCAAGTTGATTATCGACAGAAAGATCAGAATCAAGCAAGGACAAGAAATCACGCGGATCCTGCCACACGGGATTGAGTTTGCGGATGGCTCGGTTCTGGAAGCAGACGAGATTGTCTTTGCTACTGGGTACCAGAACATGCACAGCGAGGCAAAAAGCATCCTTGGCGATGCCGTTACGGATCGTATTGGAAATGTCTGGGGGTATGATGAGGAAGGGGAATTGAGGTCTCTGTGCAGGCCCAGCGGTCACCCTGGGTTCTGGTACATGGGCGGCAATCTGTTGCTGTGTCGATATTTCTCAAAGCTCTTAGCTTTGCAGATCAAGGCCATTGAGGAGGGACTGAACACGAGAGACTAGGCCGTTGTCTTGACAGCAAGACACTGCTAGAGCTATGCTATGAATGTTGAAACTATTTACAGCGAAGAAAAGGAGTAAATCCAGGTGTCGTCGCGTAAGTTCACCAATCACACGCCTCAATTGGCGGTGTGTCCCAGTCCGGCAGGTGGGGCAGTATATGGGCCTCTGATTGGCTAGAGTCAAAGATATCGGCAACAGCCAATCAGGCCGCCATCAGGCAAACCTCCAAGAGATATTAACTGATATTAACTTAGCTTCGGAGTAATCTGGGCTGACTCACAAGCTTTCTCTTTTGCCAATCCCTTCACTGCTCGATGTGGGCAACCGTGTGAATAGGAGAAAAGAAGAGGAGCAAGATGCCCGCCGACTCAGTCAATGTCATTGTCCTGGGCGCCGGAGTAAGCGGACTGACAACCGCTCATAGCCTGCTCTCACACTATTCAGTGTCACCGCAGAATGCCATCAAAAAGCTAAACATCACCATCGTCGCCAAACATCTGCCCGGCGACATCAATCAAACAGAGTACTGCTCACCACAAGCAGGCGCCAATTGGCGCTCGTTCCAGCCGGAGCTCAATCAACACGCGAAATGGGACAAGGTTGCTTTTGAGCGCTTTCTGGAGATTGCTCGCGAGTCGCCTGAAAGCGGCGTCAAGCGGTTTCCCATGAGGTTGGTGTTTGGAGACGACGATGAAAGGCGGCAAAGAGATCAACTGTGGTTTGCCGATTTGGCCGGTGGCATTGTCGATGTGCCGAAGCACGAGCTGCCAGAGGGAACATGGGGGGTTGACATGGTCACTTTCATGTTCAATCCGGTTGTTTATTGTAATTGGTTTGTTTCGCTTGTGCCGTGCTTCGCTTGGATATGTTGCCCTTCCAGGATAAAGATGGCTGACGTCGAATCCTAGGCTATATGCAAGCTTGATGAAAAGAGGTGTCAAAGTCATTCGGCGCTCTTATGACCATATCGATAGCTTGCTCTCAGACTTTCCGGATACCGCTGCCGTCTTCAACTGCACGGGCCTGGGTGCGAGACACCTTGGTGGTGTAGAGGATGGAAAAGTGCACCCGACAAAAGTAAGTCTATCTCTCATATGTGTTGAAGTTATATTGGATCTCCAACTCACGAGAAACAACAGGGCCAAACGATCCTCCTTTCTGAGCCCAAAGTCCCACTAGAGAGGATGTACATATGGACGCAACCCTCTGTGATGGGCCCGAACGAGTTTTCGCACGTGTTTCCCCGACCGCTTGGGGGCGGAGTCATCATCGGGGGTGTAGCCTTGCACAATGACTGGGATGAGTCATTCGACGTTTCCCGGGTTGACCGAATCAAGCAACGGGCATGTCAGCTAGCACCTGAATTAGGCAAGCCGGAAGATTTACAGATTGTCCGGCATAATGTCGGACTGCGGCGTGAGTTTCCTTGTATTTCTTTTTGTCTTTATTTCACTGTTCAATGAGGGATTTATTACATGTCTTGGGCACTAACAATGAATCTATTTTGAATATAGCGAGCCGTGATGGAGGCCCCAGGGTTGAGATTGAAGAGCACAATGGGAAGTTTTTGATCCATAATTACGGTGTTGGTGGTAGTGGATATCAATCATCATGGTGAGTTCCTAGTGTAACTTGAGTATCCTCTTCATAATCATACAAAATATTTCTTTGGGCATTATCTAACTACAATGAATAGGGGCATGGCTGAACATGCTGTTGCTTTGTTTGCTCAGAAGGTGGGTTTGAGTATTCAGCAGGCAAAGCTGTGAGTAGATAGGATACCAACAGGTCAAAAAGGTATTCTGTGACTTATAATGACTAAACATTTAGCAAGTTTTCTCAATAAACTGCATTATCATCGCATTGTTCCAATTTTGCCCCTTCTTATTTTTCTAGACATCTCTCCTTTGGTTGTTCTTGCCACTAAAGGTGTTGTTGACAAATTCTTTGAGTCCATGCCACTATGGGACAAACGAACTGACAATAAGTTAGGAGTGGAAATTCTGTTATCGCCATATTTTTGAATGATCCAACAAACAGTGACAAGACTAGCGGCATCTTGTCCACAGGTCCGGGTAAATGCGATGCCTGATGTAGCACCGTCATGGACCTTGGGAAATACATTATTGCCTTGGTGGCTTGACTAATTGAGCATGCTCGATTCTTAGTGGCTGGCGTCTGGATCAGAGATAGACAAACCTTAGGGTCACCAGGGATATGCTTCACAATTATCGGGAATGTCCGTCAACTCTGTCATGCACAACCATACTGAGCTTCCAAATGCATCCAATAAGAGTCCAGGTCTCTGTTGCTCGTCTTTGTCTGGGAAACAGATTTTTTTTTTTCTTTTTTTGCCCAACACGTGGGATATCCACACCAAATTGACCTCACAGACGTCAGGAGATGCAGTGCAGACTTTCCTAATCAGGAACACCGATATGGATGCCTACTTATTGCGGTGAATATTCGTCTACTTGATTCATTCACCGAATATATACTGACAAAGACTATGCTCTCACCGAAGGCAGCCATGTTATAACATCAATGGATTTTGATGTCATTTTCACTCACGCTTTGTTCACCTTTGAGACATGGGCAACCAGTGATGTTACTATTGCTATTCTTGTCTGCCGGTGACAAACGCGTATTCAAAAATCAACCAATTGACGCTTGGAATGCGCCTGCCTGCACTGAGGCAGAAGCGAAAAATCTTGCCACCCTGGTGCCAGGATTCGAATATAAAAGAGACCCAAATCCCCCAGCTTGAGCTTCTTCTTCTTCTTCTTCCTCAACAGCAGCAACTACTACTACAAAGCTCCTCTTCTCTCTTTTACTCATACAAAAGGAAAGGAGCAACACATTCCTCTTATATATATTGAACCCCAACACTCATATCAATATACAACTATGCAACAACTTCATCCAAGTTTACCTGCCTTCTACAGCATCAAAAGGCATGCAAAGTATTCCAACAGCCCTACAGCCTTTCTCCAAGGGTACATACCACACATCGACACTGGGCTTCATGTATTTCATTCATTTTTCTCATCTTCTTGATTTTTTCTTTACCTCTCTTCTCGCTCTGCATTCTATCTGAAAGCCATCTTGTATGTTTTCACCTTGTCCTTCATTCTCCTAAAGTTGGCTAATAAGCATTTTTTGAGCAAGGCCAAAGCAGAGGCAATAGTGCATCGACATCGCCGTGAACATACCAGCACCCAAGGCCTCCGTGCGTAGCATCAAGCTGCATTTGTAAGCATCGTGCTTCATGTTGCCACATTCAGCCACACTCATGGACTATATGTTGTGGAACTTGATCTATTTGGTGAGCACTCCTCATGACTTATCACAGTCATTGACGCCAATTTGATAATGCTGACATGTATCTAGTTCTATGGGCTTTTCAATGATACCGAGTCATCGAAGGTCGCTATGCAAGACCGAAGGGTCAGCCATCATGGACTATCAGCTCTCGTCTTTACGAGCTGCATCCTGTATGCCTCAAAGTACAGTATCTTTCCGACAATCGACCTCTGTATATCTGGGTACGAGCCACTCATTGACTTGGCATGCAAAATCGAGCCCTTGGAGCCAAACGCAACTCCATCCATGTTCACAGAGAACCCGACAACTCTTAGATCAACATTGAATGTTCTCGGTCCACTACATCGCAGACTGGCTCTGCAACTCGTTGATGTGCAACTGACGCAGGAACTATCGAGTCGCTGCAAGACAAATTCGTGCGAATTATTTTTCCTAATATGGTTATTGTCGAAGATCAGAACCATCATCGCATCCGCCTGCGCTTCTGAAATGAGAACGCGTTCGGTACGCAGCTGCAGCATCCAAGTCTATCAACAGCAGACACGAGGATCTGGCTCGACAAATCTTCTTTGGAATATCTGCATTATGGTGAGTTGTTCATTATTCTGTTTCCTCTCTTCTCTCTTTCATCTCTCTTTCTTCCTCATCCTTCCTCGCTTCTATATGAGCTAACATTCTCTGGTAGGCCATCGACCAACGTGAAAACAAGCGCCACCGGTCTATCTGCGTTGGCAACAACAACAAGTTCAGCAGCGTCATGGAGAAGACGAGTACGAGCTTCTCATCCGCCATGTTGGCCGACCTATTATAGCGGTCAGCATTATCCAGTGTGACAGAACAACCTGTTACGCAACGAACACCTTCAGGATCATGAGACTAAAAAGTCGAAATTACCAGCCCAGCCTCTGATCCTCGTGAAAATGTTTAATCATGAGAAGTGGCCGTCTTCTCCATGCTTGTCCACCCGATGCCGATTCTGACACATCTGTGCTGCCTATGGGATCGACAATAGTACCTTTGGGCATTCAATGCAAGGAGCAGACATTGTTGAACTGACGATGGCGGTGCAATATTATGCGCGATATGGTTTTCGAATATCACGCACGTGCCGTCCGACAAATACCAGCTATATTATGGGTATGCCGCTTCCCATATAGCATTCGATAAGGAGACAGTACTGGAACGGCATCGGGGCGGGGGAACCAGACAGAACCCCCCCGGATGTTGTTGAACTGTCGATGGTGGTGCAATATTGTGCGTGAAATGATTTTCAACCACCACGCATTTGTTGATTGTGGTTCATCGCCCATCCCTTGACGGTACCTATAACGTTGTTGCAGCAGCCCCAGCATCACCGGATGTTGTTGAACTGGCGATGGTGGTGCAATATTATGTGCGCGAAACAGTTTTGGTGTTTGATCAAAAAGTCCCGACAGTTTCGCTCGCTTCTTTCTCGGCGAGTGCATCGCATTGACCGATTATTGCCAGTTATCGCTCACTTTCGAAACACCGACCAACAATGGAATGGCATCGGGGTCACCAGGCAGGACCTCAGGATGTTGTTGAACTGCCGATGGTGGTGGTGCAATGTTACGTGAAACAAGCATTGGCTGATCATTGCTGTGCATCAACCTTCCCTGACTAGCAGCGGAATGCAATATCTTTCCGCTAAGGTAGAGGATGTTGTTGAACTGTATGCGGCGGTGTACTATTGTGCTTGGAATGATCTTCCGATGCCACGCATTCACTGCCTGGCAGATCCTCGGTTTGTTGCGCTGCGTGAACCGAACCCCAGACTTGCAAAGATTCAAGGCCGAAATAGTACCCGACTCTTTCTGCTCTTGCAGCGCCCAGGATGTTGTTGAACTGGATGCGGCGGCGTACTATGGTGCTTGAATTGATCTTCCGGTACCACACATTGGACTGTCCGATGCATCCTCAGTATGTTGCGGTGCCTTGGATCCTGGCATGCTTTCTCTATCTCGTTATTTCTAGCCTTAGCCTTGTTTTTCATTTTGACTGACGAAGCTATCCTACTAGATTGCAGCTTAGAGGACCTCGCTTTCCTTGCCCAATGCTACTTGGATCACTCAATATTGATCTTGAACAATCCAAATTTCTCCTCTAGTAGAGCCCTCTCTATCAGCATCTCTAGGGTATATCTACTATGCGAATCAATGATACCCAGCCACTGATTTCATGGACTACACACAGAAGGCTGATGGCTTTCGAATGAGTCAATTCAAAAACACAGATGGTATCAAATGAACCAAAGGCCAGCGAAGAGTCAATACTAGAATACCACCTAGATCCTCGTGCTTTCGCCGCGCTCAGGATGTTGTTGAACTGTATGCGGTGGTGGAGTTTGCCATCCAGGTGCAGTGGCCCACCAACGAATTCAAAACTGCTCTTCCATGCAACGGGGATTACGACGAAAGGACTAGTCTACGATCCCTGAGATTTCCAATGGAAGTGACATGTATTGGCATATCATCCGACTTGAAAGAGTCACGATCATGTGTGTGGCTTCTCTTCGACCTTCGAGATGAATTTCGACTTTCACTTGTGCAGAGTTTTCATTTACTTTTTGGCACTCGCATGCATGTTCCTTTCTTCAGCAATCAATCTGGACCTCCGATAATTGAGGCGCGGACAAGATTGAAAATGGGCAAACTACAGAGCATGCCATCGATGAAAAGTCAAATCGCTGTTGAACTGCTTCTGGCGGTATGCCGCCCAGCAGTCGGTACTATCATGCGAATCAACAGGATAGTGCCAGAGCTCTTTGACGCGCCCTCCCCGGATGTTGTTGAAATGCATGTTGCAGCGCTGGCAATTTGACGACGCCATGACATTGCCTTGCTTCTATTTGGGATTCCCGTACCTCTACGGTGACCTCAAGGAGCACCACAAGCTCCTCCTTGACGAGGTGGCGTTATCATGCGAGTATGATATGCGGGCCAGCATAACAGCAGAATGCAGCGCACAAAAAAGTGCGCATGCATACCAAAATCATTGAAGGCATTGCTAACGATGACACTTTGCCTGAATCTTTCTCTCCTGGTGTTGCAGCACAGACTCTGCACCTAGGTGAGCACAACGCCAATAATATCGAGCGAAAGCGGAGGCTCGGCTTCAAATGTTCACAACGAACTGGAAGCACGATCTGCGCGCTGGCGGACGTGCCTTGCCAGGAGCTCATCAAATTTTGGTGGGACGCTGTCGGGCAGTAGTCAACAATTCGTCACTTAAAACATCAGCAGTATGCCCTTTGGCAACGCCGATGCCCTTGCACACGCGGCTCTTCCGAAGCAGAATGCAAATGAAACCAGGCAAATCTGATAGGATCGTTGAAAAGACCAAGTCTATCATGATATCCTTCAAAGGGTCGAACTTCTAGGCTGACATTCCAGAACTTGGCTAGAAAAAGACGAGTCGTCAAGGTCCACCAACCTTGCCAGGAGCTATAAAAGCTGCAAAGACGTATCGAGAGCGGCAAAACACGATGAACATAGCAAGATATCCAGGAAAGTCCTGTTCCTATGTATGCAATGATGACCCTGAAAATACCGAAGTTGCTCCTCGATGATGCCCAAACGGTCTCATGGTCATGCGATTTCCGATAATGGCTATCAGTGTTTGGCTCACTTCCTAGCGAGCATTTTCAGCAAATCGTCGAACATATAGCTGCAACGAATGAGTGCGGGCCAATCTCCTGCACCAAAGCCAGAGTTCCGCCGGGGTTCGGCAAGGATGTTGTTGAACTGGATGTGGCGGTGTATTTACTGTGCAATCAACGTGACCTTTGCGAGCAGGACAGATCAGTAGTGAGCCTGACTGTTCTCGCAATATGATATTCTCCAGTCTAACTTTTGTTTCAGGATGCTGTTGACCTGGACGTGTCGGTGTACTACTGCTTTACAGCAAAAGCGATCTTTATAGACAGGACAGATCAGTAGTGAGTCTGGCTATCCTCAAAACATGATGTTCTCCATCTAAATTTTGGTTTCAGAAGGATGCTGTTGAACTGGATGTGGCGGTGTACTACTGCTGTGCAGCAAAAGCGATCTTTATAGACAGGATAGGTCGAGTGGTGAGTATTCTCAGTCTCGAAATACGATGCTCTCCAATCTAACTTCGGTTTGCAGAAGGATGCTGTTGAACTATTGTGGCGGAGCAGCATCATACTGCAATCCACAAGAATTGGCGACGATGCAACACATCGGACAAGTTGTATCTACAGTCTTGAGCGTAGATCATTATCCTTTCAAATTCGGCGACTTCAGGAGATGATCATGAACCATCGTCGACCTTATCCCAATATGGCCGTCATTGCTGCATCAACTAGCTGCGACCTGAGAGCGATAGCCGTGGGAGTGGGAGGAATAATGGTTACCCTGGGCGTGGCAGCAAAATACGCTGAAGACCATCGAAGACGAAGAGTACCTGCAGCAAGTATTGGGTAAGTGGAATTCATGCTTCTCGATTTCATGTTCTCTGGCTAACTTTCTTTCGTTATTATTAGCGGACATCATCAACTCCATGCGAGAAACCCCGTCGAAATATGGATTCCTCCTATCTACCTGTGGTCCGCTTATGGAATGCGTGAAGTGGTTCGGAAGACTTGAAAAAAGCTATCTTCAATGACAGATCATCCGCTGATCTAGAATTTGCCCATTGCGTCGAAGTCTTCTTGAGACTTCCTCGATGAAGTGGGACGGGCTGCTAAATGCCATCGATCCATGGCGAGAAGCAAACACCTCAGGACCCTTCCAGAAACCGACAACTTCATCCACAGAAATCTTAGCTAGTCACAGACCTCGCTCAGATCCCTTCGATGCAACAGGGAAATCAATCTATCACGAAGCTATTCGAGTCCTACCCTGGGCTCATAAATCATGGGCAACACCGCTGAACTGGGTATTTGCTTAGACTCACTATCCCATGCCTCGGCAAAGACATGAGTTGCTTCAAAACATCAGTTTTCATGCCAGTTTCTCTTTCACTCAGAGCACACAAGACGACTTCCATCACCAACTCACAGACCACGTTGGAATACAACGGTCGTCAGGACTAGAAACGGTGGAACATCTTGATCATCCACACCGACGATCTCTGTCGGTTCATCTATCAAAACAACATTGCCATGCTGCTTCTACTAGCAAGAGCCGAGAGTGTGTTCGTCAATGGCTACATGAATTCACAGCAGAGCACCACCGGCAGTTCGCGAGACTCTCCACCTAGCCCAACAATGTATGAGGGTTGCATGCTGGAAGTGCTGTGCTAGATGGGGAAGACATCGACACCCAGTTCAGCAGAGTCCCGGTGACAGCCTCCTCAACGACGATTCGGAGATGGAGGAACTGATTCGGACTCTAAGTCATTCGCGCCGCCCGATTCAGGGCCCCCCCCCCCCCTCTCGGGGACGTCGAATCGCCCTCCGCGGCCAAATCGCAGCGGCTTAGCCTGTTATATTCAAATCGGACTGCATTTATGGGCTTACCTATTCAAACCGCCCAGTGGCCACACCTTCAAAGTGGCGAACAGACATCTCATTGCGGAGAACGGGTGAGTTTCTTTGCCGATTTTTCTGAATACCTTAAATGACGAAGATTCCTGGCGGTCCCACGAGTGGCCACAAGATAATCAATGTGAATACAAGAAAACCGCCGATCTGTCCATTGTGCGGGTGTTTCGGTCAACACAGCTGTCGACTGGGCGATTAGTGTCTTCTTGACCAACTGGTGGACCAGAAAGCAAGCGAGGTCGTCGAACAACATCTGCCGAAAACCCTATTCCGCCAAACATCATCGACGCATACATAGGCTCGATGAGATTATCTGCATGTACGAGAGCATCTAGTCAACTTCCAAGGCCAGATATCTAGTCTCTCTTCGCCGGCGACCTGGTCCCTGTACCAGATGTGGCTGGATCCTCGCAGCTGGTCTAGGTTTCGCAGTATACGGCACTCAAGCGGATCAAACCTACGTCCTCAACATCAGGATTGAGCATATCAAGTGCTTGGGATAATTGCTCGAGCAGAGTCTCCGGGAGGTACCAGTTCGACATTTCCAAAGAAATGAGGAAACGGTTCATGCTTTGGTCTCATAGTCTTCCAGTGAACCACCAGATCACGGGGGGAAAGTTTTAGAGCCACCTTCTGGTATGAAATCCAATCTCTCTGCTTGATTGTTGCTCGCACATGGGGCCCTTCATTCTGAAAGCCATTTGCCTTTCAGCCGGTTGTTCAAGTGGTAATTTGGGTATTTTTGGGCTCGGTCCACTCACTACTCATCAGAACGCTAGTATGCGCAGGATTTGCGCGCAACATTCCGGCGCATTGGTTTTATAACGAGTCGGTTGGTACAGGCTACAAAATATCTAGAGCACTATGCAGGAGGAGTTTGTCGATGGGTCGGCTGAACGACCTTGAAAGTCATGTATTTATAGCTTGGTTCATTACTTGTATACATAACGTGAGGTGCATGGTGTGGCTATCAAAAAATCAATCTGATTAATGTACTTAGTCTGAAAATGACATTCATGTATGATAATTAGCTATCGTTCAATCACAAAGCAATCCAACGTTCAAGTTTCTGATACGTATGTCACGATATACATGTCATCATCTCGATTGTGTGTGAAGAAAATGCATGGTAATGCAAACTTCCCAAGTTTGGCAGTACAACATCCTTTCCCAACTGGCCATAGTTATTGCTTCGTATCATACTAAGTTCCCAACTTCGAGAATGGCTCGTTTTTGTCGTCTTTTTGGCCTCGCTCCTGGGTTCGCATTGTTTGCAGGCAGCTTGACTGTATGATATACGTCAATTCGTTCCGAGATCGAATAGGATCCCTCTTCTGAGCAACCACCCATGGCTCCTCACATGAAGCACAGGTAAATGCATATCCAAACAATAGCCGGCAGCAGAAAGGTTAATGCCAGTAACATATTAGACGCATGAGGTGGTCTTTGAGCTGGGACAAAATCCATGTTTGCCGCTTAAACACCTGAGTATTAAGATGCGTAACAGAATGAATTGTTCGAAACTGCTTAGGAGGTACTTGTGCTCGTTCTTGCTAGACTTGGATCAATGGCACGAATGAGCCATTTGCCGTCAACTCGTTTCTTATGATGGCGTATTCGTCGTGAAATAGACCGAGAGAAGAAAACGAAGGGGGAAAAACATATCCATTACTTCTCCAAGAGCCGATAAATGATATCATCTGCCTGTATTTGCACATGCCAACATCAAATGATATTGAAGAAGGGGCCAAAACCGCGCTGGGCCGATGTGTCTCGGAGACCGAAGGCTGTCTGTCGTATCGAACTACGGACCTGTATTAAGCAGCCGGACCTTATAGCAAATCATAAACAAGGAACTGGCATGTCGGCGCCTGTTGGTCTGGATTATGTTCGCCAACAAATAGAGGCGAGGCAGTCAGCCTGTTTGTACCACGGAAAGGCCAATCATGCGTGCAGTAGGTAAGTGTGGCGAGCGGGGGAATAGTAGCAACAGTCGCCATCCGAGCTGCTTCTCGTGCCATCAAATGAAGACTTCACGGCGTGAAATGGATGATTTATCCAGAGAGAACAGGAGGAGAGGAGGAGCAAGAGAGAGAGGAGGCTACGGCAGCCTATTCGTACAACCTTGCCAAAATTCGTAATGTATTGAAATATGATAATGCTATAGAAAATAAAATAATGTCTATGTAGCTTGCTTATAGTGGGAGCTAATCTATTTATAGATTAATCTACATATATATGGAATTATATAACCTAATTTCGTTTCTATATAGAGTCCTTTAATAACTTTAAAATTTATTAATATTATGAACACTCTTGTGGATTTTTAATATATTAAGATATCTTAATTTATAGGCTTATCAAGGCCTAATTTAATTTTTTTAAATCTGTTAACTTATCTTCTTTTATTCTTCTTATAATTTATTAAAAATTCTTCTTCATTAAGTAGAGTAAGTAACATAATATAATTATTTTATTTTAATTAAATTATATTTAGTTTATTGACTTAAAATTAGATTTTAATTTAATTAATTGATTTAAAATGCTAAAAATTATTAATTATTAAGTAATAAGTAAGGCAATAAATGATTCTTATAATTATATTTTATTTAACTAGTGAGGTTATTTTTAGGTAATCCTTTTTTGAAAGTTAATATATAAATAGAATTCTTTTCTTACTTGTGCTATTTATTAAAGAAGTAAACATCTATTCTAGATAATTAGATTAAAAAAAGAGTTTTAAGGTGTAAGAATTTTAGAATTTTTTTTGTAATAGCATCTTTTTAGGTAATTTTTTTTAAAAGCTAATATATAAATAGAATTCTTTTCTTATTCATTTTATTTATTAAAGAAATAGATATTTATTCTAGATAAGTTAAAAAAAAGGTTCTAAGGTATAAGAATTTCAGAATTTTTTTTATAATAGTATTTTAAATAATAGAGAGACTGATGATTAAAAACTGTAATAATAAAATAGACTTTAATAATATAGGATCTAAGAATTCTATTAATAATCTTTCTAGATTATTAAAAAATAATCCTAAAATTTTAGATCTATCTTTAGATAGTAAATTATTTAGTTTATCACTAAGTAATAAGTTAGATAATAAGATAAATCTTAAGAAGAAGCCTGTAGAAAAGATAGTAATAGTTTAAAAAAATATTGCTTATAAGTTTTTATTATTTTTAGATTTAACTTTCTACTAATATAAAAAATAATAAAAAAAATTCTTAAGAATCTAAATAAGAATATTTTAGTCTTATAATAATATCTTAAGCTTATATCTAATAAAGAGTAGAAAATCTAGTTATAGAGCTTAAACTTTTTCCTTTATTAAAAAGAATTATAGAATTATTAGTTTTCTAAATAGAAAAAGTAATATTATGGTCCTAATATTGAGTAGATTCTTTTAGTTATATATATTAAAATGGAGGATTTTAATAAGAAATATATTAATAAAGATAGTTAGGATAATATTTATTATTATATATATTTTATATATTAAATCTTATAAAAAAATCTTAATTATATAGATAAGCTTTTTAGATTTCATCTTATAAGTTTTAATAAGGTTAAATACTATTTTTAGACTGCTATAAAATGCATTTAATATAAGTTTATATTATTCTAGTAATATAGACTTTTAAGTAGCTATATATTATTATATAAGAAAATTTATAAGAGGAAGAATTATCTTATTAAATTTACTCTTTATAAGTTAAAAAAGTAATTTAAAAAGAGTTTTATATAGAATCTTATTTTAAGTAATCTTACTTTTAATCTCTTTAATCTAAGTATTATCTTTATTAATAGTATAAACTCTTTTTTAGAGCTTAATATAAATACTAGCTCTAATAATAATAAAATTAATTTACTTTCTATAAATATTAAGAAAATTATAACTTTAATTAATACTATTTTAGCTAATTCTTAGAAGAAAATAATCTAATCTTATATTTAAGAGAAGTATTTAGTAAAATAGTCTAAAGAGTTTAATCTTAGTAATTTATACTAGTATTTAATATTTACTCAAACAGCTTTATATTATATAGAGCTAGATAATAGAGATAAAATTTAAATTTTATTATTTTCTAAAATTA